TGTGTATGATGTGTATGGTATGATGTGTGTGTATGATGTGTATGGTATGATGTGTGTGTATGATGTGTATGTGTATGATGTGTGTGTATGATGTGTATGTGTATGTGTATGATGTGTATGTGTATGTGTATGTGTATGATGTGTGTGTATCATGTGTGTGTATGATGTGTATGTGCATCATGTGTGTGTATCATGTGTATGTGTATGTGTATGATGTGATGTGTATGTGTATGGTTAGCTAAACGCTACGCGTCCTTTGCCTCGTATCCCGTGGCTCGTGCACGGTCACTTCATGTCGACCTCTGGGCCGTCCGGCGGCGGAAAATTGAAGACGCGGCCCTTGACGCTAGCCGCCAGCAGGCCCATGTCCTCCTCGCGGGCAATCTTGCTAGCAGCAGCGCCCAGCTTGGGGAGCGCATCGGACCTGCTCTCGGCGAGGGCCAGCACGGGCGCGCCCGTCTTGAAGCCCTTGCGGCCCGCCTCCTGCTGCGTCTTGCGGGCCAGGTCGCTGATCTGGTTGGTGCCGTAGTCGCGGTTGGTGGTCAGCGGCGAGGCCGAGAGGGTCTGGACCCAGTACTTGTTCCACAGGGCCTCGAGCAGCTTGGCGTCGAGCGTCGACTTGTAGTGCGACACGTCGAGCGGGTAGTAGTGGTTGGCGTGGGCGCCAAAGTCTTCCATCTTGCCGAGCGGAATGGTCTGGAAGCCGTCGGCCTCGACGCCGGCGGCGCCGTCCTTGACCGTGGGCCCCTTCGCCTTGTCCTGGACGTACGTGTCGGGCAGGGTGCGGAAGGCGCCCATGTCGACCTTGCCGGCGCTGACGGTGCGGTCCGGGTCGATGACGACGGCGCAGAAGGGGTCGGAGAACTGCTGCTGCGTCTTTTGCGTGTTGACGTCGATGCCGGACAGCCAGCAGCCGTAGCCCGGGTGGCTGTGGTACCAGCCGACGGCGTTGTCGAGCTGGCCCTGGTCGCGGGCGCGCTGCAGGAACTCGACCATGTACTCGTTGGCCTCGTCCTGGGCGTTGACGCGCGTCTCGGTGCCCTGGACCGGCAGGCGGAAGGCATCGGTGACGACAAACGTGTGGGCTTCAATCTTGCCCATCATCAGGCCCATGACCTCGAGCGAGCCGCCGGCGCGCGCGTGCATGACCATCTTGAGCAGCGCGACGGCCGAGATGCGCACCGAGGTGAAGTAGTGCGGGTCGGAGCGCCATGGGTGCGCGCTGTCGAGGGCCTTTTGGGCCGGGGCCGAGTACGAGTAGAGGGCATCCTTGGTGCCGTCGACGAGCTGCACCGCGTTCTCGAGTTCTGGAGACTGTCAGCCGCTGGAGGCGCGTGCGGGGGGCAGGGCGGGGCAGGGCGGGGCAGGGGAGTCGAGAGACTCTCAAAGAAGACAAGTGCGGGATCGCTGCAGCAGGAGCAGCGGCTGCCAGACGTACCCCAAGTCTTCAGGGCGGTCCCCATGGCTGCGCAGCGGACGGTGCAGGCGGCGTGGGTGGTGAGGGGGCGGATTGTTGGTAGACGGAGGTGGGGAGCTTGAGCTCGGGCGCTAGCTGCCTGGTGAACGAGCAACCATCACCGCAAAGGCAAAGGCAAACATTCTGGTCCTGTCACCGGGGCCGTCACCCTACGTGCGATTGGAAAATGCTCCTGTAAAGCTTCTGTGATGTCCTGTGAATAGACTGGCTGGCTCCTGTGAATAGACTGGCCAGCTCTGGTGAATGGACTGGCCTGCTACTGCGAATAGACTGGCCTGCTACTGCGAATAGACTGACCAGCTACTGCGAATGGACTGGCCAGCTCCTGTGAAGCTTCTGTAATGTCCTGTGAATGGACTGGCTGGCTCCGGCGAATGGACTGGCTAGCTCTTCGACCCCCTCTTCGACCCCCGCTGCTCCTCCCAGCCCATGTCCTGATTCATCCGGCTCGCCTCGGCCTCCATCTTGCTCACCCACCGGCGCGTCAGCTCCTCGTTGTCCCTGCGCAGCGTGTCCCGCTCCTGCTCGGCCATGTTGAGCTGCAGATGGAGCGCGACCATCTCGTCCTGCATCTCCTCGACGAACCGCCCCTTGCCCTTGAGCTCGTCCTGCTTGTCCTTGCCGCGCCGCTCGAGATGCGCCCTGTGCGTCTCCAGCTGGGCGATGCGCTGCTTCTGCTGCGCGTCCGACGCCTGCAGCGCCGCGAGGCTGGCCGCGAGCGTGCCGAGCCGCGACTCCAGGCCCGCGCGCGTCTTCTGCGTCGCGGCCAGCTCCGCGCGGAGCTGGCCGAGTGCTGTCGCGGCGGTCGCGTCTTGCTGGGCGGCCGTGGCTTGCGGGGCGGTCGCGGCTTGCGGGGCGGCCGTGTCTTGCGGTGCGGCCGACTGCGTGGTCCGGGTCGAGTCGCTGGCTGGGCGCGCTGCGGCCGTCGGTCGCGCCTGTGCTGCGGTGCGGTCGGCGAGCTTGGTGTCTGCGTGTCGTTAGTCTCGCGTCCTCTGCTCACAATGCGCGGCGCGCGGCGACCGACAGGCGTTGATGTAGACGCGATGCGCCTGCTCGCGCGCGTCACGGGCGTCCAGCGCGGACAGGTACTCGGCGAGGGCGTTGCTCATGGCCGCGGGTGAGGTGGCGCAGTCGCTCGCAGTGGGTGCATGCGCTCGCCCCGCGTCATCCAGAGTGGTGCTCGCAGAGACGGCGTGCGCGTGCAGGCTGCAGGCTGCAGGCTGGCGCGGCGACGGACAGGCCGCGCGGGCGAGCTCGGTGGGGTTTGCGCCCTGATTCGCCCGACGGACGGCGGTGGCTGTGCTCGAGAAGCTCCGGCCGACAGAGGGTGGTAGTGCACATCGGACGGCGCCCTCGAGAAACGTCCACCACCGCCAGTGCGCGACACACAGCTGCAGCCGCCTCCCCGTCAAGCCGCCGCCTCCCCGTCCAGCCGCCGCCGCCTCCCCGTCCAGCAGCCGCCGCCGCCGCCGCCACGCCGTCCGTCTACGGCCCGCCCACGAGCGATTGACCGCCGCGATGCCGCGCACCCATCACGTGTCCAGCACCGCGCGCGCGCTCCACCGCGTCTTCGTCCTGCCCAGCCTGCGCAGCGCGTCGGCGTCGTGCGGGATCCCCCTCGACTTTGCCCCGGCGTTTGCGCCCACGTACGGCCCGCCCAGCATCGCCGTGCCGTCGCCGCTCCACCAGACGCAGACACGGCACAAGTCGTACGCGCGGAAAGACACGCGCCGCCACGCGCTGACCGACTACTTTACGCTCGACAACGCCATCGCCGCCCCGCGCGTCAATTTCGTCGACGCCAATGGCTCCTTCTTCGAGGACGTGGCGACGCTCGACGCCCTCGCCGCCGTCCCCAAGACGACACACCACCTGGTGCAAGTGACGCCCGGCGGCGTCGACGAGCACGGCGTCGCGGACCCGACGCAACCCCCCGTGTGCCGCGTCGTGAGCAAGCTGGAGCTGCGCGGCCAGCACGAGCGCAGGGTCGAGGCGGCGCGCAAGCAGGCCAAGGGCGCCGTCGGGCCGGCGCAGAAGAATCTCGAGCTGAACTGGGCCATTGGCGGGGGGGACTTGAAGCATCGTCTCAGCAAGCTCGATGACTTTCTGCGCCAGGGGCGGAGGGTGGAGGTCCTCCTCGGCCCCAAGAAGCGCGGCCGCAAGGCTACCGAGGAGGAGGCGCATGCCGTCTTCAAGGCCGTCGTGGGTATCGCCGACGCCTGTCGCGCGCGGGAGGTCAAGAGGGAGGGCGCCGTGGGCGCTGTTCTTACAGTGGTTTTTGAGGGGCGGGCCGAGGACAAGAGGGCGGGCGAGGGTAGGAGCAGGGGCGAGAAGAAGACGGATGAATCAAGATGAATCAAGATGAACGGAAACAGTTCATAGTCTGCTGTCATGCAGCTACCCGAGAGAGCCCAGCCTGCTATCATACAGCTACAACCATCTACCTTTACAATGTACAGCACTACAACGCCCTAGTCATCTCGCTCACCTCTTTACAGTGTACAGCACTGCAACGCCCTAGTCATCTCGCTCACCTCCTTCCCTCAACAGGCGCCCCCTCGCGACCTCCCCCTCACCTCGACCTCACCTCGACCTCCCCCCTCACCTCGACCTCCCCTCCCCACCAGGCTGCTCCAGCGCCTCCTCGAGCTCATCGATTTCGCCAAAGGCCTCCTGCTCCGCCATGGCCCTCTCAAGCGCCTCGTTCGCAAGCACAATGCCCTCCTGCGCCTGCTGCTGCGCCTTCCAATCACCCCGCGCGTGCGCGAGTGCCTTCTTCTGCCTAACGAGCTCCAGACGGGCCGAGAGCTGCTCGAGCACATGTGTATCGACGTTTGTCCTCTGCACGCTGGCGCGCGCGAGCGCGACTTCAGCCGCCGCCTCGTTGCCGCCGAGATGGCTGGCTTCGGCGACGTGTTCGTGGACCTGCGCCGCCAGGAGCGCGGCTTCGTACATTGCGTCGTGCTTGTCGACCTCGAGCTCGCGCGCAGCGACGTAGTGCTGCTCCGCTGCCACGCGGCTGGTTTCCTCCGCCTGCCCGCCCAGCGCCGTCTTGGTCGCTATCTGGTAGTCCAGCGCTTGGATGCGCGGGTAGTGGCTCGCTGCGTCCTCGCGGCTCGCAATGTGCGTGTAGTCTGCAAACGGCATCCCCGTGACTTGGCTGAACTGGTGCTGCTTCGCCTCGGCGAGCAGACTGTACGCGCTGATGAGGAGCTCTGTGCGCTTCGGGCCCTCGGGGAGTCCCTCGGCGTGCGCGTACCGGCTCGAGGCCACGCTCTCGTACGCGTGTGCGCGGCCCGCGCTCAGCTCCGCCGCGTCCGTCAGCATCAAGCCGCGGAACTCGGGCCAGCCGACGACGGATTCGAGGTCCGACGCGGGCGAGCTGCGGATCAGGCCTCTGTCCCAGGGCGCGATGCGCTGGTGTGTGAGGTCTTCCTGGTGGGAGAGGAGGATGTTGTTGAGGGCAGCGCGCTCGATGAGCACGCGCGAGCCTTCGAGGAGGTTCTTGACGTCGACCTCGTCCCAGAGGCGCATTGTGTCGCCGCACTCGAGCTCCTCCAGCGCCTGCTCGAGCATCGGGCGCTCCTCGAGTGTTACGAGCAGGCTCCTCCCCTTTCCGCCTCCTTGCTTGGCCTGGTACTTCAGTATGTGCTCCAGCAGCTGTGGCGAAGGGCTCTCAATCTCCATGGCCTTGTCGACAATCATCAGCTCGCCCTTGCGGAAGCGGTACGAGAGCGCTGTCCTCCACGCCAGGTCGTACACCTTCTTCTGCAGCTCCGTGGAGAAGTCGCGTGGCCTGGGTCCGTGGGAGACACCTCCGGATCGGATCGTCGGCGACCTGACGTCTCCAAGACGAGCCCTTCCGGAGCCCTTTTGCGGGCGCATCTTCCGCTCTGAACCGCGCACCTCCCATCTGTTCTTGGTCGAGGCCGTACCCAACCGTGTCATGTCGCCCTCGTAGACGACGGCGCGGTGGAGTATGTCCTTTCGTGTGGGCAGATAGAGCTGGTTCGCAGGGAATTCCTCAAATCGGAGCGGCTCCAGGGACGGGAACTGGTGGATGGTCGCGAGCACCGTCTGCTCCTCGAACGGCTTGACGGGCACGAAGGTGTCGGCGGGAGTAGTGGTCGGGGCGACGGCGGCTTTCGACGCGGCCGACGTGGTAATTGGGCGGGCAAAGCCGGACGTGATCGACTTCTGCGCAGTCGTTAGACCAGTACATGGAGGCGTTCAGAGGCGCAACTCACGGTGCAGCGGGCAGGCAGCGCGGTCTGCCGCATCGCCAGCCGGCTCCATTGCTGCGAGACGCCCCGCAGCGGCGCCGATATCCTTGTGGTCGCCATGGCGGGCTGTGATGTGCTGGGCTGGCGTCGCGGAGGTGTTGCGGAGGAAGTTCACGAATCTCGAGAGGCCCGCACAGACCGCCGACATTTCTTCGACAACGACACCATCACACGCTTCCCCTGCACGCCCCGTCATCCATCGTCCAACACCTCAGATGGCGTCCCTCACGCCGTCGATGCGGCAGTTCAGCACGTGTCTGCGATGCGTGCGCCACGTCCCCGCCGCCAACGGCGCGCAGCACCGCCTGCTGTCGTCCTCGGCCGCCGCCCGTGAGGAAGCGCAGCCCCAGCCAGCTGCCGCCTCGACGCCCCAGCCGCCGCCGCCCCAGTCCGCGGCGGATGCCACCGCGAAGGACGTCCCGGAGTACATGCAGAAATGGGGCACCCTGGACCCTGTGACGGTGGAGAACAAGAAGCAGGAGCGTCGTCTGCTGCGGAGAGAAGGCGTCCAGCCTGTTGGTTCCCGCCGTCGCCGTGCTGCCCTGCGCATGTCTGCTGTGCGCAACACCGAGGAGATACCATTTGAGCAGCTGCCGTACCAGTGCTTCCAGGAGGCCCGCAAGTTCTTGCAGGAGGACAGGCAGGAGAAGCTGAGGGAGATCAAGACCCAGCAGGCGCGCATTCAAGCTGTCGCGGCGTCCGGTGCTAGCGATCAGTCGAAGAGAGACAGGATAGCCAGGATGAAGCAGCACCTGAACCAGTTGATCATCGAGGCGGACATCAACGACCCCGTGGTGAAGAGGAAGTTTGAGGATGGACAAGGCATGTTAGGACAGCAGGACGCATGAAGCTCGACTGACAATTGTGCAGGCGACATGAACAAGCCCATCTACCGCTATCTGGCCGAGAAGAAGTGGCGCGAGTTCAAGCGCAAGGTCCTAGAACAGCGCGTTACCCAGCTGAACGTCGTCCCTGACCTGCTCGGGTCGCTGGATATCGTCGCAGACGTTGATCTGTCGTTCGGTCGAAAGACCATTCAGCCCGGCGACTTTGTTGAATCCAACATCAGCGAGCACATGCCAACTCTGCACGTGCAGACATACACACCTGGCGAGAAGCTGGTGACGGTCGCGGTCGTGGATGCCGATGTTCCTGTCCCAGAGGAGGATGGTTTCACCACACGCTGCCATTTCATCGCTTCGAATATTCGCATCTCGCCCAACGAGACCTCGATCCCTCTGCAGCGCATTGCTGAGGACAGCAAGAAGAGCACCGACGACAACAAAATTGCTCTGCCGTGGGTTGCTCCCTGGGCGAACAAGGGCGCACCTTACCACCGCCTGGCCATCGTTGTGCTGGAGCAGAATGAGGCACGGAAATTCGACATCTCCAAGCTCAGCACTGTCCAGCGCGATGGCTTCGACCTCCGCAGCTTTGTTGCGTCGCAGAAGCTGAGGCCGCTGACCGCGACTCTGTTCAGGACAAAGTGGGACGAGAGCATGGCTGGTGTTCTGGAGCGCGCTGGATTGAACGACCAGATCAACATCGAGTTCAAGAGGAGGAGGGTTGAGCCATTGCCCTACAAGAGGCGCACTGAGCGTATGCGTTAGAGCAGCTGTACGATTACAGTAAATCTTGGATTAGCGACAGAGATGCTGTAAGTATTTGGTGGGTGTACTATATACTGCAATTTGCAGAAGTAACATTGTTCGACAAAAGTCGGTCGCAGTTGGCGTGTTGACCTGGATTGCTCCTTCCACTTCTCAGCACCCCACGTTTTCCCCCACTTTCCCTCAACACGTCTCCCTCTCATTATCGAAATTTGCTTGTTTCTGTTCTCTGCTTGTGTCGCTCGCTTTTGATTTGCAGCGTACATTGAATCAAGCCCGAGCTGCTGCTGTTGCCGTTGTCTCAAGCAGCCATCCCAAACCAACGCCTCACTTACCTTCTATCGAACGTTCGCTTTCGGTTGCGCAACCTCCTTTGTACCGATGTCACCAAAAGCACAGCCGCCGCGGGAGCTGTTTGCACCATCTAGCGCCCATATTGCGCTGGCGATTGCGCTCATAAGAGCGAAGCCACCCGGTACCTCAGCCAGAGGTGAGCTCTACCTTGCCTGACACTGGCTCTTGCTGACCATGCAGATTATGTTGTACAGCTACGAGACCAAGTGCGACCTGGCTCACCGGCATCTGACCTCCCGGACAACGGACAATATCTCGATCTTGTAGCATATTGGAAGGACCATTGTCAGAGACTACAAGACGAGTGCGATCAGTTACGACACGAGAACAGCAGACTCGAGCGTTCGAACCACTCGCTCACGATTCGCACAAGCTGTACTCTGGATGCTGCTCCTGTCAACGCTATGAATACTTCAAAGCGCAAGGGGCGTGCAGCTTCGCCGGCGAGAAACGCAAAGCGTCTCAAAGGAGACCAGTCAATCGAGCGCTCCGTGGCAGAGACGCAGGAAGAGATTGACCACGACATGGATTTTCTCGATGGACTGGGGCAGGGTAAGTTTCAACGGCTGCTCGTACTCAGAGTACTGATGGGCGATGCAGAAGGCAACAACCTTACCGAAGCATTGTTCACGACCCACAAACTCTGTCGCACGTCGAATCCGAATGTTGATACACTATGCTTTACACTGGTCCGGACAGCAAACGCTTTAGGTAAGGTCATACGGCTGGTCGCCCACAGACATGGACAGCTCTCGCGTCAAGGGGTGCAAACATCTGGAGCAGCGTCGCTGGACCAAGACAAGTCCAAATTCGCGCTTGCCATGACAATCTGCGCTCGAGGTTTCATGTCGGTACTTGTTGGCCTCACAAGGATGACCGAAGCTACCGACGACACGCGACTCTCAAGCCTTGTTGTATGCGAGTTGGCCGACATGTTCAAGACTGTACTTGCTGCAATCGAATCGGTCGCACGACAGACAGCCCAGCAAGTACCAGCACTGGCAGCTGAGCCGAAGAAAGCGAAAGACAACGCGCCCGCGAAGGTCGTCAAGGAGTCTGTACCCGCTCGTGCCTTGGCTCACTTGCTCATCGGTCTCCTCGGCTTTCTTGACAAGACCAACACAGTACACCAGCAGATTTTCGACGGGTTCGTCTATCTCCTACTCGAGCGCGTAGGTCGGCGGCTGTTCTATTGCACGTTCGGTAGACATCGTAGCAACTTGGTGGAGGGTGACATTGAATCGATACCCGAACCGACATCCCCAGAAGAAGTCCAGAAACGTGAGGTCGAAGCGCTGGGGACACATCTCGAAGTCAAGGCCTTGATCTTGGTTCTCGAGCGTGCGATGGGCCTCGCGCCCAATCACATGAACACTCAAACATCCAATATTAGCCGAAGTCAGAAAAAGCTAGGTCGTACTTTGAGTCTCAAGAACCTACCAGCCGCTTCGAGGGCTCGCTTGAGCCCTGTTGCTAAAGAACGACTCCAGCGGACACTTGTTGCCTGCATGTATGGTGACAAGGCCGACGATGAGTTCCTTGATGTTCTCACGAAGCCTATGCCATCGATGCGACTCGGTAACTTGCAGAACGTGGCGAGGGTGGAGGACAAAGACGTGGAAGACTGGTATAAGAAGGAAGTCTGGCGGCTTGTAGGCTGGGATGTGCTTGCCAAGGGCAGCGGGTGGTCGTGACAATGATGGAAAGGGTTGGTGCTTGTGATGAGCTTCAGGTGGCGAGGATATATACCTGATGTCCATTGTCTCTGCCATGGTACGATCATGTCAGTCAGGAGTTTGTAGTTCGCTTTTACACCGTATCTAGACTACCCACTTTTGGTGATACGTTCAGGCCTTTCACGTGCAGTCGCCAACGGTTTGCACAGCTGCAACGGTTTGCACAGCTGCAACGGTTTGCACAGCTGCAAGTTACCCGTGCGATCTCGGAGCTTGGTCATGGGTTTGCGCAAACGTTTGAATACTTCACTGTGAATACAGCAGTCACCGCGCATGGACCCTTGCACTGCGACTTTGTCCCGCACTCCTCGCCACCTTTCTCTTCTCTCCCTTCCACCCTCTCCCTTCCACTCACTTACGCTCTTTTCCTTCCACAAGACACAACATACACAATAGATACCACAATGGCGGAGCCCGCGGACGATAAATCCGCACGGCTCAGTACCATCTCGCAACCTGTCCGCACCTCCCTCGACAGCGTTTCTCCAGGCGTTGCCCGTATCGAGGCAACTGCGGAGCACCTCACGACTGCCAACCGAGCGTGCATCCTCTTCGGTGTGCTACTCGCAGCATGGGCGTACGGTTTGGATAGCATCCTCAGGACCGCATACCAGCCACTTGCTGTCAATGCCCTGAAGGCGAATGCGCAGCTTGCCACAGTGACAGTTTGCAGAGCTGTCATCGGTGCCGCTGCTCAGGTAAGTGGTCTCCGTGCTTGCCCAACCGACCGCGAACGGGCCTAGGGCAATGGAAGGGAGCTAACACGGTGAAGCCCACGGCAGCTAAGATCGCGGACGTCTTTGGCAGGATGGAAGTGCTTGTGGCCTCTGTCATTCTCTACGTCCTCGGTGAGTAAAAAGGCACAAAACAAAAGTGTCTTTCACTCACATTTTCAGGCTCGGCAATTGAGGCTTCTGCCAATAACCCTGCGACTCTCACCACTGGCAGCGTGTTCTATCAAATCGGCTATACGATGGCCGTGCTGATCCTGGAGGTCATTGTCGCCGACACTACGTCCCTCCGATCCCGCCTGTTCTTTTCCTATGTCCCAGCCATTCCGTTTCTTGTCAATACCTGGGTAGGGGCCGAAGTGCTGGATGACATTCGAGCTCTCGGATCCTGGCGTTATGGCTTTTGGATTTGGTGCATCATCTATCCAATCTGCAATCTTCCCCTCTTTGGCTCACTTTGGTGGGTCAATCGTAAGGCAAAGAAAGCAGGTACCCTCCAACAGTACAAGACGCCTGTCCAGGAACACGGAGCGTGGGCAGTCGCAAAGGCCTTATTCTGGCAACTTGACGTCGTTGGGCTCGTTCTTACCGTCTGCGTCTTCGGCTTCCTCCTTGTCCCTCTGACTATCAACGAAGGGAATGGTCAGACTTGGGGCCAAGCAAAGTTTATCGCTCCGCTTGTTACTGGTGTGCTATGCATCCCTGTCTGGATACGTTGGGAACGCATTGCGCCGCACCCGATGGTACCCTTTTATGTGAGTTGACTGCCAATTTTGACGACCAACAGTACACTGACTACTTTCTAGCTGCTCAAGGATCGTGCCGTATGGGGTGCGCTTGCGATCGGGTTTTTCCTGATGTTCTGTAAGTTCTGTTCAGTCTTGGCTGCAGCGAGGTATACTGACCACCCCTAGCTTGGGCTTGTCAGGCCGACTTCCTCTTCCTCGTGATGCGAGTGGCTTTCAACCAGGGGGAGAAGGCGACCACTCGCATAGTCGCTCTCTACAGCTTCTGTTCGACCTTGGCCGGCATCGCTGTCGGCACGGTTGTCTATCGCGTGCGCCGCCTCAAGCCTTTCATCTTGTTCGGCACCTTCCTCTTCCTTGTTGCCCTCGGACTAATGATCTACTATCGCGGTGGCGTCGGCACGCAGAGCGGTATCATCGGATCTCAGGTTCTTCTTGGGATCGCTGGCGGCTTTTTCCCATACGCGGCACAGGCTAGCATCCAGGCTGCCACCGACCACGAGCATGTCGCCGTCGTCACTGGTTTATATCTGTCAATGTACAACATCGGCAGTGCAGTCGGAAACGCGATCTCAGGTGTAGTATTTTCTCAGGTTGTACCAGGGCAGCTGCGAATACGCGGGTTAAGCAACGAAGCTGCGGACAAGTGGTACCGTGAGCCGCTGGATCATGTGAACGCCTTCCCTCCGGGTACAGCTGAGCGCGACACTGTGATAGAAGCGTACAAGTACTTCCAGAGGATTGTCTGCATCATCGCTGCCTGCGGCTGCCTTGGATTGATCGCCTTCGCTTTCTGCATTCGCAACCCAAGGCTTCCCGATACACAGTCTCTTCCTTACGATGAGCTTCCGCAGAAAGATCAAGATGTGGAGCAGCGCGAGTCTCATTTGATGGAGACATACCCTAGCTGCACCTCGGTCAACCGCAGATAGGCAGTGGGTCTATTCTCGGCTGCAAACATTTCTGGAGAACGCGAGTTCAGCAACACGTACTCGGTGGTTCCGATGAGCTGACTTCCTTCTCGATTGTGGAATTTTTGCGGGGATTTGCGAACGGCGTCTGGCGACTGGGTGTTTTCCACCTCAAGAGAGTTTCGCTGTTTCTTCTTCGCGTTCGTTGATGGCAAGCGTGGGAGCGTGGAGTAGGGAGTAGGGGGTTTTTCGTTCTCGTCAGTCAGCCTTCGCTGTTGTCTTTCCTAGGCACGCACGCCGGCAGCGTTTCAATGATCTGCGTTTGTGGATTTAGTCTACTATGTAAAGTAGATACAAGCAATTTCAAATACTTCACACTTCTTCAGGCGGCGTAACCAGCCCGCCAACCCTCTCATATGTCCTACCCTGCTCAGCCGGGGTCTTCTGCATAGCAAAATGCAGCACCATATCCGCCGCCAACTCAGCATCATCATCGGCATCTACAGCCTTCAGGCTCTCCTCTAGCCACTCTGGCGCCTTCCTCGCAAAGAACGTCTTGATGGTCTCCCCGTTCACAAACCGATCAAATTCAAAATGCCCCTGAAACGTGAGCACCTTCCCCTCCTGCATCATCCCCTGATTTGCACACCACGGCGTACTTCCCATCACACTCCACCCATCTGGCAGCGCATCCACATCCGGCACGACCACGAAATCACCGTGCACAAACTGCATCCTCATACTCTCCGGGACCTCGAAGCCCAGCTTAGCAAAATCGGAGCGGAATCTAGCGTCCATGGCTATCTTCTTGACGCCGACCTCCCACCCGCGTGGCTCGGCGTCGACGCGCACAGAATACTGCTTCAGCAATGCTTGCGCGATGATCTGGTGTCCGAAGCACGACCCGAACCATTTCACCTGCGGGTGATCTCGGTACACGTCGACGATATAGCGCTCCAGCTGGTGCACCCAGGGGATGTCGTCGTATGCGGAGCTTATGGAGCCGGTTATCAGGATCAGATCGACGTCGTCCAGAGTCGAGGGGTATTCTAGTTTTCGTGTGTCGTACTCTGTGGACTTGATAACTGTGTGGGGTCGTGTGCGCGTTGCTGCTGCGCTGAGCAGGGCGTGGAAGATCTGCCCGTAGGACGAGGCGCGGGTTGTGGAGACCTCGGGGACGGGGATGTCGGTGTTGAAAATGGCTATGTGGAGGGTTTGGGCCATGTTGTGATGTCGCTCCCCGGAAGTCCTTTTCCTTGCGTTGGTACTTGTGCCTGTAGGTTCGCGTTGTATATGTCGGTCTGCTCAGTTCACGAGGTGGCATCGACATTCGCCATGTCAGTCGCCGAACTCGGGAGGGAGACCGGTGCCGTTGATAACCGCCTTATCTTGATGGCTGTCATTAGTCATATCAGTCATTTCTTGCGTAAAAAGCAGTCACGAGGTGGTGTTGAGGCTTGCATGCTTCTCTTTGAGACCCTTAAGCGTTGAGTGGCAGATTTGAAAGCATCTTCTGGCTGTCGTCTACAAGATGAGGCCATGAAATGAGAGCACACTTGTGCTCGCCGGAACATTTTGAGAGCGCTTGAATTATATCGTCAAGTTGCATCTGATTATAGAGCCATTCGTTTGTTGATGATAGAACCATGGATGTATCGACGAAGTGTGGAGGTTGAGAGGTGAGCTGAGTAAGGTCCCACTTTGAATCTGTGTCAGCTGAGGACGCGCGGAGAGCGCTAACAAAGACGCGTCCCATCGATACCAAACACACGACACCGTCACAGCCCTCCCTTCATCAGCAGTGGTATCGTTGTACGACAAGATCGTCGTCGCCATGCGCTTTCGCGAGCGTATAGACCATACTCGCCCCTTTCTCCTGAGCAACTCGTCCCGCGCGCAACGTGTGCGTTTCTACGACTTGGCCCAGCCCTTGGGCACTTCACGAACAGCGAACAGAGTCCAACCCGAACAGCCTGAGCTTGAGGCGACTTTCCACGAATAGCGATTGCTTTACGTCCCTGCCGAAGCAACAAAGTTGCCGAAGAGCAAGTTTCGATAGTGCTGCGATGTGAGATGGCTCCCACGTGAGAACCCGGTGTTGAGATTGCAGATCACAAATTACTTCCGAGGCTCATCCTCGCAGTCAGATTCGCTGGATACGGAAGGCCTCGATAATGGTGTGGTGGGAAAGACTGGAGAAAGCTGACTTGCATTATCAATACCCCGCATTTTCACTCTCCGCAAAGAGAGCAATTGATCCATGAGCGGCAACAACGCCGACGGTCGGGGCTACCTTTGTACCTTTTTCGAATTACCTCCGAGAAATCGCTCCACGCCAACGGAACCACGACCAGCTGTTAGACTGAAGGAGCCAAATCCTGTACGGCAAGCTCGGCACTTCACAGTGTCCTACACGTCATGACGTCACCGCATCTTCCATCCGCAATTGCAGGCCACCGCAAGACTTCTGTGGTTGCTGGAATTTGGGTGAGTAGAGTAAACCATGAAGATGAACATGTCACTGGGCGAGCTAGCCGCAAGCATCACAATCCGGACCTATTTTCAGCGCCAATGTAGGTACGAGTTGCCGTGATTCGCCAGGTGTTCTCACTGATGGGCTAGTAATCGGTGTGCCTCATGACCTACACGATCAGCATTCAGGCGCTAGAGCGCCGTTCGTCCTTTGGCTGCTCCCCCTGGCTTCCCCAGATTGTATGCCTAGCTCCCATAGGCCAATGCGACCACGATGAGTGTTGAATGGAGATTGCCAAACTATAACTTGGCACCCGCGAACCGCAAATGGGACTGATCATCGATGTGCGACCAGTGCTGAGCCACTCTTGCCAGGGTTCTCTGCACTCACGGAGCTCTCTGCACTCACGGAGCTCCTAGGGATTTGCTTGCAGACGTTTGTCGAGATGCCGAGCAAGTTGAGGAAAACCAGAAGTTTTGGCTCGTGAAGAAGTAATGCCAACCATACTTAAGACTGCTGGAGCGGTAGTTGTCCCTCAGCTTGCCATCGTAGCAATCACTTCCCCATTGCTTCCGAAGAGAAGATTGAGGCTCATTCGTTCGCCATGAAGGTCGCCATACTTCTCTCGTTCTTACCGCTGGCATTCGCTGCTCCAGCTCACATTGAGAAACGCGCTGGGCCTACAGTCGTTGCTCCCTCCCCACAAGCTACAGTGCTCGGTAAGAGCGCCCTCAACGTAGAGTCCTTTAATGCGATTCCCTACGCCCAGCCTCCGGTCGGACAACTGCGGCTCAAGCCACCTCAGCCACTGACCTCCAGCCTGGGTACGATCGATGGTACTGGTATCGCCAGAGCATGCCCTCAATTCTTCTTCTCGGTCGATCCGGCAGCATTCCCCACTAATGTCATTGGCACCATCCTGAACACACCGCTCTTTCAGGCTGTGTCCAATGCTGGAGAAGACTGCTTGACCATCAATGTGCAGCGGCCTGCAGGTACTGCGGCGAACGCCAAGTTACCGGTGCTTTTCTGGATCTTTGGTGGTGGATTCGAATTAGGCGGGTGAGTGCTGCTTGAAAAGGGTGCTCGTTACCACTGAGCTCATCAGCAACTAGGACTGCGATGTACGATGGCACTTCAATTGTAGCCGATTCTGTTGCTCAGGGCAAGCCAGTAATCTTCGTGGCGGTCAACTACCGCGTCGGAGGCTTTGGCTTTCTTCCTGGTAAGGAGATCCTCGCAGATGGATCTTCCAACCTGGGTCTGCTTGATCAGCGCCTGGGTCTACAGTGGGTTGCAGACAATATCGCTGCATTCGGCGGTGATCCCGACAAGGTTACTATCTGGGGCGAGAGCGCTGGTGCAATCTCAGTCCTTGACCAGATGCTACTGTACAACGGAGACCACACTTACAAGGGCAAGGCGCTATTCAGAGGCGGAATCATGAACAGCGGTTCCGTTGTGCCTGCGGACCCCGTTGATTGCCCCAAGGGCCAGCTGGTTTACGATACGGTATGTATTATCTTGAACTTTGGAGGTGTATCGCTGACAAGACTCAGGTGGTCAAGGCTGCTGGCTGCTCGGGTTCATCCGACACCCTCGCCTGTCTTCGCCAAGTTCCCTACAACATGTACCTCCAGGCCGCCAATTCCGTTTCTGGTATTATAAGTTACACCACTGTGAATCTCTCATACCTGCCTCGTCCAGACGGCAAGGTCATTACTCAATCGCCCGAGCTCCTTGTTGCATCCGGCAAGTATGCAAAGGTCCCCTTCATAGTCGGGAACCAAGAAGACGAGGGCACGCTCTTCGGTCTCTTCACATCGAACATTACGACTACCCGCGAACTATCAACGTATCTCTCAACCGTCTTCTTCAACAACGCGCGGCCCGCGCAGATTGATGAACTCATCGGCACCTATCAAACCACCACTGAGGACGGCAGTCCATTCCGCACCGGTGTACTGTGGAACTGGTACCCACAGTTCAAGCGCGTCTCCGCCATCCTCGGCGATCTGACATTTACGCTCACGCGCCGCATATTCCTCGAAGTGACTTCGCAGGTCAACCCAGGCGTAAAATCATGGTCCTACCTCGCGACTTACAACTACGGTACGCCGTTCCTGGGTACCTTCCACGGCTCAGACCTGTTGCAGGTCTTCTACGGCGTCTTGCCCAACAACGCAGCCAAGTCCATCAGGGGCTACTACTTCAACTTCGTCTACAACCTCGATCCCAATGTCGGCATCTCGCTGCCGAACTGGCCGCAATGGAGCACGAGCAAGAAGCTCATCGAGTTCAGAGCGAACAGCAACGCGCAGCTGGACGACAATTTCAGGTCGGACACGTATGACTTTTTGAAGACGAACGTGAACTCTTTCCGTATCTAAGCCCGAAGGGCATGAGGAAGTAGCAGTATGTGAATAGTAATGAAAAGTCATCGAGCACACACCGTCGGATCATCATTGCTCGTATTTTGCGCTACTACAGTGTTCTTCCGCTTTACACATCACAACACACATGCACTTCAACCTATCCTTCTCCAAGACCTCTCCCACCACCGCATCGGTCCCATGTGGCCCCCAGTCGGCAGGCTGATCACTAGGTGCATGGTGTCCACTCCACACTCCTCGCCATACACCATATTCTTCCTCTTCACCATCGTACTCGTGCGGACCCGGTAGCGGTCCGCACGATCCGTGTCTCCTTGGAGTCCCCAGTCGCCTCCCGTCAGGTCGGGGCACATCAATGTAAATAGGTTCGGCAGGCAACGCAGCTTCAGGTCTCATGCCGAAGGGGTCAGTCGGGGGAGGTGGGAGGTTGGAGTAGCTTCGCCGACGTCGGCGCTGGTAGGGAGGGATGGAGCGTTGCATTGGCAGTGTTATCAGTGCCGTTACTGTGGTTTCGGGGCACCGGGTGATCGGTGCTGGTCTGCTGCGGATATTGCGACGCGTTGAAATATGAAGAACTAGGGCGTGAATAGCGGTGAGTTGGGGTTGTGACAGGTCTTTACTGTGGAAGCGTGTGCGTCATGGTCAACCGAATATCATTCAGGAGCAAGATGTCACAAAACGCGAAGTGACGCTGGGCCAGATGACTGTGGCGGCTTCGACCGTCTGACTTTGCAAGTCTTTCTGATTGAAAAGGCATGGTCGAGTGCCTGCCGTAAGTTAGAGGGCTACGAGGAAGATTCCCATTCACCGGCTCTCCAATTCTGGTGTTACGCTACTCATTGCAACGGTCCTTCTTTGACACGGGGGGTCTGGCACTCTCCTATACTCACTGAGAGCTCAATGGTACATGTAGACTTTTGCGCTCAGTAACCTCGGTGCTTGCAGACACGGCATCAGAAAATCCAGCATCTCGAACCAGAAAAGGACAATGGCCGTGTCTATCTGCTTCTTGTTACCAAGGAACGACAGCAACTTGTCAATATTCTCATATCAGACTGATTCGTGCAGCCTTCTAAAAAGACACTTTTTGCATCGGTGGAGCATTTGCATCGGCGGAGCATTTGCATCGGCGGAGCATACAAGTTCAAGACTAACGCCGCGGGATGTCAGGGCGGGTCAGCGTAACCGGGGCGCAGTACATGCTCGTGATCAGGACCCAGCACGCACACGTGGAAGCACAGAAGCGGTATTGTACACGATCCTCTCCACCAGACTATGCAATATGGTACAACAAAATCATCCTACACAACGCTCCTCCTACGCGCTCGCGCTCTTGAACGGATTCACCTTGGCCAGCATCCCCAGCACGCCCGTCTTCTGCTCCGGCTCCTCGAGTCTGGAGTACAGCTGCGTCTTGTCCTCGTCGGTCTCCTGCAGCTCCTCTGGTCTCAGCGCAGCAAGGATTCTGCTGACCTCGTTGCGCTTCTCAATCTCAAACTCCTCGGCCGACAGATACGCCGTCGAGTCCCTGATCCTGTTGATGGCAAGTGTCTCGTGCTCAATGGCTTCGGGCCACGCACCGGCCGCGTACAGGGCGTCCTGCATGTCGGCCCACATGACGCTCACGCCCTCCAGCGTGTAGGGTGTGGGGAGCGGCTTCTTGAGCACTTGCGGCAGAACGGAGCGTGCAATGTAGTGGTCGCGGCTGTCGGCCTGCTGCTTGGCCTCAAAGGCCTCCTCGAGGGTTGCAATCTCGGCCGTGTGGCGTTCGAGCAGGTCGGCATCAACGTCGAGGTGTTCCTGGGAGCGGGTGGGATCGGGGTTCTCGAGCGAGTCGCGGAGGGCGGAGACTTGGGAGTGCAGGTCGTCCAGCCTTTCTTGCGCGCCGGCCTCATTCGCGGGCGCGGCTTTGGCGGCCAGGTCGTCTTGCATCTTCTTGAACTGCTCGGCTTTGCGGAGGGCGTATTGCACGCGCCTGAGGCGGGCCTCGTGGCTGGCGCGCGCGGCTTCGAGGCGTTTCTGGTCCTCGTCCTTCTGCATGTGCTTCATCTTCATCTTCTGCGTGAGGCGGCGGATCTCGTGCTCGAGCCACTTGACGCTGGCTGCCTGCTTCTCCTTCTCGGCCGCGGCGTTTGCGAGGGAGTCGATCGAGGCCCACTTCTTGTCCATGAACTCGCTAGCCTTTTGCTGCTGCTCGGCGAGGGCTGTGGCCATCTGGAGGCCGTGGGCGTGCTGGATGCGCAGGACCTCGGCCAGGTCGGCGCTCATGTTGGCGCGCTGGTCCATGATCTTCTTGATGCGCAGCTCAATCTTCAGCTGCTTCCAGCCCGGGTTCGTCTTCTCCCACGAGACCTCGTGCAGCTTGCGAAACTCACGCAGCTTGCGGAAGGCATTGTGGCCCTGCTCGGGCGTCGCAAACGCGATGACGCAGTGCGGCGTCCACTCGTCCGGCCGCAGCTGGGCGGGGACCGAGTGCTTGCCGATGAAGGGCAGCTGGGCGAGGTGGTGGTCCTGTGACGATCAGCACGTGACACTGGATTTGCCAGCAATCGCTACACGCACGTCCAGCAGCTCCTGCAGCGAGTAGATGACCTGGTTCGTCTTGATGCTGCGGAAGACGTAGATGATCTGGCCGTGGCGCGCGGTGCCCTCGGGGTCGACCACGTCGCGCAGCGTGTACGGCTTGATGGGCCGCACCATGGACTTGCCCGTCGGCAGCGGCTTTGCCTTTGCGTTGACCACCGTCTGGAGCTTGACGTGGCGCGGGTTCGACTGGCGCACCACGTACTGGGCGACCTTGTTCTCCAGCAGGCGGACGCGGCCCGCGTCAATGCCCTCGAACGACACGGGCGCAGGCGGCAGCCTGTACCGCAGGCGGGCGAGGTTGCGGGGCATGGCGGCGGATGCGAGGATGCCAATGGGCGCGGCGGTGACGAAGGGGCAGGCTCAGCGTCGTCGCCCGCCGTCCATATTCAAAAGTCCCAAACTAGAGCGGACCCACTTTGCCGCGGAGGTCGCGCTGCTCTTCCCCGAACACGAGCGCGCAGCACCGCGCATCCCTGCGACTCGACCATGAGGCGTGCGAGAACCGCCCGCATTATTATTGCGCCTGCGACGTCCACAAGATCCGGGAACGCATCCATGCAGGGCGGCTGAGCGCATCACGTCCCTGTTGCGACCACCATGGCTCAGCTTCCGCAGCCGGAGCTGCCGCCTCCGCCGCGTGAGCGGCCCTGGTTGCTGCCTTCTGTGTGTATCGCGCTGCTTCGCGTGGTGCTCCATCTGACCCTGGTAGAATCGCAAGCTCAGACACCTCCAAGGCATCACCATCCGCAACCTCACCCTGTCGCTCGCGCCTGGGAGATCTCGTGGGAAGACCATCGATGATGAGGCATTGCCGAGCACACTCAAGTCGCCGACCAAGACGCTGGCGCTGCGAGAGAGCAAGGCCTTGACCTATTCACGCTCGTCCAGCGACCTGAAGAGCATCGTCGACGACGACGACGGCGACGACAATGACAATGACAACGACAATGACAACGACAATGACAACGCCAACGCCAACGACAACGACAACGACAACGCCAACGACAACAACAACAACAACCGATTCGACCATGGCCGTCTGCGCAAGCCGACAACGCCCACGCGACCAGCTAGGCCAACAAAGGCCCTGCGCCGCCGGTCGACGCTGGAGTGGACCAATGCCAGCCCATTGACTCGCCAGAAGAGGCTGGAGGACATCACAGCAGGACGCATGGCCGACACCTTCTTCACGCTGCACATCGAGGCGCAGACAGAGCCAGTGTATATATCTGAAGTCGCCGAGAAGGCCATGAACCCCAACTTCAAGTTCTTTGACCTAGACCCGTGTGGGCCAGGCGTCACTCGACTCGACAAGCTGACCGTCAAACTGTGGGCCAGGAGCGAGACGATGAGCGACTGGCACTTCTTGGCCGACTACACTGTACACTTTGGGTCGCTGCAATTCATCGGGAAGACCCTGGGCAACTTCAGACATGCATTGCCCCAGAACTGTGTCCTGTTCCACATGACCGACGGCATCTACACCAGCTTTACCGACCTGCCGGTGCAGGCACGGGCCGGCCAGGAGTTGCTCGCGCCGCCCAAAGAGAACCCAGACGGTCGCGTCTTCAGTTCGTCGTCTTACGATGCTCTCATGCGGCTATCGACACTCGACGACTGCATCCAAGATGCCCTGATCACCAGAGATCGAATTGCCGACGAAATCGAGACCATCTTGGAGACGAACAACGAGGCACTCTTGACGGTCGAGCAAGTGCCTGAAGCGGAGGAGAAGCTCAGGACTGTTCAAGCCGCAGTGACCGCTGAGCAGCGCAGGGTCTTTGCAATGCGCCGACGTCGAGACGAACTCAAAGCGAGTATACAGGCAAGAAGAGAGAAGATGCAAGCTGGGCGCGAAAAGGGCGCGCTCATAGCGTCTGAGCTGCCGACGCGTAAAGAACTGTGCAAAGAAACTACTGAAGCACTTGAGACTACAGCAGAAGACATCGCCGGTCAACGAAGACGGATCTGTGAGGACATGCTCAACATCTACCCCATCGATGCCTTAGCGGGCAAGTCGCTTGCCTTTACAATACGAGGCCTCTTACTACCCAAGTCCCACTTCGACGACGCGAATCCAGATGTCACATCTGCGGCCCTCGGCCACACAGCCCAAGTTGTCAGCATGCTGTCGCCTTACTTCTCAGTTCTACTGCCGTACCCAATATCTCTCCACGGCTCGACATCGACCATTGAAGACCCACTAGCGATGGGCCACAACAACGCGAACAACCCCCGTACATACCCTCTTTACACGAAGGGTGTAGTCCGATACCGCTTCGACTATGCTGTATTTCTTCTCAATAAGAATATTGAGATCCTGAGCAACGCCCTCGGCATTCGGCCGCTGGACATCCGACAGACGCTACCGAACCTCAAGTACTTTCTGTATGTGGCCACGGCTGGGAAGGGCGAGCTGCCAGCAAGGAAAGCTGGGGGCATCAAGGGCCTGCTTCGACAAGACGGACTCGGATCTAGGAAGGGTAGCATGGACAGCACGGGGACGGCGAGCAGTTTCGGTGCAGATGCCAAGGGCAGCACAGGGCCGCTGAAGGTTGACCACCTGAGTGCCAACGGCACCCTAACTGGCACTCTGAAGCAGAAGACTAGCATGCTGCCAGGGAGTAGGCTGAGACCCGCTGACTGAGGGAGAGACAAAGAGAAGCACTGTGTATAGCCACGGAAACGATTTGATCCAACCTCCCGTTGGTCTGCGTTTTCACATATCAGCAACATTCGAGTACCATACCTATACCCCGTTTTTATTGCAAGCCTTGACGTGAACCAACTCTTCATGGCACCCCTGCTACACCTGATACTTCCACACCTCGACGACACCCACCACGATGCAGACCACGCCAATACAGCCAGCCAACCCAGGCAGGCTGCTGACGTAACAGCCCCTTTCCCAATGTCACAGATCGATCGACGAGACCTCGTCACCTCGGAGCGTCTTGGCGTCCGATTCGCAAATTGCGGCGGACCCCCGGGACCCACATCTATATCTTGGCCAGGGTCGCTCTTGCAACTTTTAGTCCGCATCCCGCCCGCGCACAACAGTGAAGCTGTACTCTCCTTGTGGCATTTGCTTGTTCACTTGAGACTTGCAGACCGCGCAGGCGACACAAATACACATTGCGCCTAATTCCAGCTTCCTCGAGCATCCCAAGAGCAACCGTTCAGCGCATCCGCGATGACGGAACCCTTTCCCCCTCTCAACGGCGCACTGCCACCAAGCGCCGGCGGAGGAATCGCGAGAAGAAGGAGAAAGAGCAGTGGTCTGGGTGCTGATGTGCCTGGAGACGTCGATGTGCCCAGTTTTGCGACGAGCACGAGACTTGATGGGATTAACATAAAGAGCCCTGTGGAGCTGGTAGGTCGACTTCTGGCGCGTGAGGGGCATTGCCGGCATGCTGTCGCTCAAACCGTTCGCGGTTCTGACTCTCCATAGAAGTCAGACAAGCCCCGGCGCTCGAAACGCCGTACCGTCCGCCGCGGTCTTTCCAAGTTCAAGCGCGCATGCATACGACACACATGGCTGCTACCGCTCATCCTCCTCCTCGCGATCGTCGCGCTGTATTTTGTCAACCCGCACCCCTCGAACCCGATCGCGGCTTGTCTATTCCTCTCGTACCCACTTCCACGCAACGACCCTCTAGTCCCCGCCTCCGTCCGAGCAGACCCCAATGCGCCGACACACTACGGCAAGGGCGCGCGGGACTTCGCATTCGTCGCCTTCTACATCATTGTTCTGACCTTTACGCGCGAGTTCTGCATGCAGCGCCTCATCCGTCCCATCGCCGTTGCCTGTGGGATCAAGGGCCGGGCCAAGCAGAGCAGGTTCATGGAGCAGGCATACACCGCGCTGTACTTCGGTTTGTACGGACCGTTCGGCATTTGGGTCATGAGTCGCAGCCCCGTGTGGTACTTCAACACTACTGGCATGTACGACGGCTTCCCACACCGCACGCACGAGGGCGTGTTCAAAGCGTACTATCTCCTGCAGGCCAGCTACTGGGCCCAGCAAGCCATTGTCCTGCTCCTTATGCTGGAGAAGCCGCGCAAGGACTTCAAGGAGCTGGTCGCGCACCACATCATCACCCTCTCGCTCATCTGGCTTAGCTACCGCTTCCACTTCACCTACATGGGTATCGCCGTGTACATCACTCACGACATCTCCGACTTCTTCCTTGCCGTAAGCAACTATCTTTCTGCCCCCAGCAGATGCGCATGCTAACAACGCCCAGACCAGCAAGATCCTCAACTATGTCGACAGCCCTATCGTCGGCCCTTACTTCTTCGTCTTCATGTGCGTCTGGGGCTACCTGCGCCACTTCATCAACCTCAAGATCCTCTACTCCATCCTCACCGAGTTCCGCACCGTCGGACCCTACGAGCTCAACTGGGAGACCCAACAGTACAAGTGCTGGATCAGTCAGTACATCTCGTTCGCGCTGCTGGCGTCGCTGCAGGCCGTCAACCTCTTCTGGTGGTTCTTCATCTGCAGAATTGCATACAGGTTCATTGTGTACAAGGATGCGGATGACGACCGCAGCGAGTACGAGCCTAGTGAGAGTGAGGAAGCGGAGAGGAAGGAGTTTGTCAAGGAGAACGGCGATGTTGCTGGGAACGGAGTGAAGAGGACCATCTCGAACGTCGATGCACCCAGCACCCCCGTACAGACCAAGGAGGCAAAAGACCCGGAGACTATTGGGTCGAGGGTCAAGCAGAGGAAGAAGGGCGGCCAGTAAGCGTAATCTACGACTTACCTGACTCTGGGTAGGGGAGTGCAGAACGGGCCAAGGAGAGAGCAGAGAGCACACGGCAGAAGAACAAGGGGACAAGGAAGATCTCATAGCGAGCGTATAGCCTGGAGCAGGGTTCGCGGCGGATGATCTGATTGATTGGAAAATACCTGAGCAATGGTTCTCTGTACCATGGACGGATGAAAAAGTTCGTTCTGCTTGGAATGTGACGCAGCGGATTAAAGGGGCTACATACTTGTAATTCATGAGCTTGATGACGATGAGCAATGAACTTCGACAGGGTACTGTTCATCCTTGAGTACGCGAAGCGGTGAGGACCTGATGTGTCAGGTCCAGTGAAGGGCTGCCACCACAGTCGACCGGGCTGTTCCGCAGGAATCTAGGAGCTGTGCATCGAGATTGTAGCGTCACATTGCACCTAAATTCAACCAAACGAAAGTAGAGAAGCAGAGATTCACCATGACACAGATGCTGTTGGCCAACCTCACCCACCCACGAGCCCACGAAAACAGCATCCGTTGTTGAGCAACCCGCAGCCTCCGGAAGTGGCGCTGGTGCGCTCTGCAACGTCCATCTGCGCCGATCCCTCAGCTCCAGGCTGGCTCGGCGGCTCTCCGGCCGTCGACGGGCCGCAGAAGTACTCAGCGCAGCGCTCCTTCGCACGCATTTTCTCTGCAAGGACTTTACGGCGATGGAAAAGCGAAGCGTGGTTCGCCTTGCTCGTGCGATGAGAACGCTGGGAATAGGGATGCAAGAGTCGATGCGTTTGGCGGGTTCCCCGGATTGATGCGAGTCTGGGGTACTTTGTCTACAAGTAGCAATTCCGCTCCAGGGCGCAACGCTTGTCTGCTTCCAGCCCATCTTGGACCGCTCGCCGCCCCTTGCGCTAGCAAATTTGTTCCTCGCGCCTTCGGTCGCGGCGTCGCCTCCCTTTTGAGCGCGCCTTGTGCCCCGTATTTAAATGCACACGGACTTCCCCACACTCTCGCTCTTACCTACATCGCAGCATTTACATTCACTTTGGCATTGACTGTTCACTGTTCGCTCAAAAGTCTCTTCGATTCGATTGCTCTTTGTCACACGCACGCGTATAAAGCATCACCATCAGCATCAACATCACTCAGCGTTTACGCCACTGCACACACACACACAGCACAAAGTCCCCCGAGTCGCCCTTGCACCTCACACACGATCTTTCCAACTGCACAACACCCCACATACAAAAAATGTTCTCCCGCATCGCCACCCGCGCTCCTCGCGCTTTCGTCCGCTACAACTCGTCTTCTTCCACAAGCCGCGCTGCGCGCGTTGTTGAGATGGCCGGTCAGGTCGAGAAGCCAAGTACGTATGACACCGAGAAGCCCTGCTTCTTGCCGAGCCTACTCACTCCGCCGAGCATGCTCACTTCGTTCGCAATGCTAACAATTCCCAGGCGCTCTCGAAGCCTCCGTCCCCGTCATGTGGGCTGTCTGCGGCGCGCTGACGTACACTGCGTGGAACAGAATGGATGGACGTCAGGGCGATGAGGTCGAGAAGTTGATCATTGTTTAGATCGCTTTGGCGCTTTTCGCCCTGGTGTTTTGTATGTTCGCTGTTGGTGGCGACTTCTTCTCGTTTGTCTGCATAGACGCGCGGCATTGCGTTTAGACTTCTTCTTTGGGCTGCATTGGGATACGGGTTGGGCTTGGGAACGGATTGCGTTGCATGTGCATGGATGGGTTAATAACTACAATATTGGGCATGGGAATACGAACGGAATACTACTGCATGTTCATGCAGACCTCACCACATCTCACCACTCACTCATTGCTCCTCACTTTGACGCCGTAGCCCATCAAGCTCTGGAGTGTACCAATGACCGTCGCCGTACAAGTCTACGCATGGCAGGTACGATGAGCGCGGCTTTGCCTCTTCATTAGTCGAACCATGAGTTCATACACTATGGCATAACTGCAGCAAACTTCGCCCAAACACTCGCACTCTCGCATGCCAAAAAGTCGCCCAGGCCCAACCCTTTAGATGCGCTCTGACCCATCATCTTTGCAACCTCCCGATCGAACTCAGCATTTCGCCACAGCGCAAATGCCGGTCCCGCAACAAACAATCCCGCAAATGCGCCCATCAGCACGCCCGCAATGACGTTACTCGGTCTCCCGCCATCGATCGGCGGCAAGAACCGCCAGCTGACCGCAGCCCAGATGATGCAAAAAATAGGATATATAACAACCAACGGTATAGGCATATTCTCAATCCGAGTCGCACCGTGTATGAGCAGCACAAGAGCCTCGAGGCCGAGCAGCAGACACGCCCCCGCATTCCACGCGTTGAACGCTACGAATGCCCACGCTCCCCATTTCCGACCGAGCACAGCGCCGTAGCGAGCCTTGTAGTCGAAAGTTAGACTCAGCGCGGACACACCTATTGCGAGGGCGCGCACGCACTGGTTTATCCCTGAGCTGGCTGAGGTGAGGTGCACGCAGACCCAGATCGTCTGCGAGATGGGGGTGTAGACGGCGCTCCATGTCCAACCTAGCCAGCCGAATACCCCTACAGACTGGTCTACCTTGCCGAGCATGGGGAGCTTTGAGGATGAGCTGGAATGTGATGGTTTGCTGGATGGCTCTTGCGGTACATGTGCCGAGTATTGCGGTGGATTCTCGATGTCTGCGACTAGATTTGTCTGGGACTCTGCGGTGTTGTTCAAGGCCGTGCTTTCTCCTCTTCCTCCTTCTTCTTCTCCAACCGCGCTCAATGGAATGTTCTTGTACTCTGTGTTGACTGCGTCGAAGTTTGTGCCGGCTTTGATGGTCAAGTACAGCTCGTAGGCGCCAGCAATCAATATGCGGATGACGGAAAGCCAGGAGATCCACCCAGTAATGAAGGCGATCAATGCCCCAGAGCAGAGACCGTTGACGACAGAGCCGATAAAAGCGCTGAGCATGGTGCCGAAGGCAGCCGCAGACGGGGAGAGTTCACACGACATCGTTGCACAGAGTTTTTGGAGAGGTAACGGTGGATGTCTAGAGCACGATCGGGGCTATTTGCTCGAGCAAGGCTCCCACGTCGTTGTTATATCCCAGTTTGGTTGTTGTGGCTGTGACGATCTGACTGGAAAGTAAATATAGTGTAGTGGCACGCCTTACAATATCTCATTTTTGCTGACATGTCCACGTCAGCCACAAACATCACACGTAGCGCCCAGACCTTTCACAGCCCCGTCCATAGTGAGCAGCATACCTGAACTGTCGAACCCGTCTTTTCCTAGTTACAAATCTATGTAATCACTTTTCCTGCGATAGCGATGCCATGGCTCTTATGTTCGGCGCTTTCGAACACGCACAGCGATCTTATCCAGTGGCTTCACTGTGCCGTATGCAAACGCGCGCAGAGGAGGCAACACTGCATCTACTTCCTCGGCGTCGCTCAACTGAATCTCGAATTCGGCAAAAATCACCGCCAGCGTCGCCGTTTGCATGGCTGAGATGAAGCGGGAGCCCGGAAACTGATCGCACGCGGTAAGCGTCATGATAAGATCTCCAAATTCTCCAGCATCGGACTCGTTTGTTTCTTCCACGCCAGCAGGTCTCTTGTTCCTACTCTGCTCAGGCAAAGTAAAGCGCTCGGCCCAGAACTCTTCGAGTGGCCTTTCCAAAGCTCGGGGCTGAGCTTTCTTCCACACGTCGGTATTGAGGGCGATATCATGAGAGAACATGGCCACTGTGGCTCCTTTGGGTAGCGACCATTGTTTGTCCAGTGGGAAGCCGTCAGTCTCGTTGGTACGCATCACACAGGCTGCTGTCCGAAGCCTGCGAACTTCGGTCTGGAGTGACCTGACGCCCGGGTCCTGAACCAATCCGAGAACGTCGTACTTGTGTATAATGGGGGAAAAGTGCTGGGCAATGGTAGCTGTCATGTTGCGGGTAAGATGTGACTTTCGCAAGGTTTCGATCGTTGTCCAGAAGGTAGAGGATAATAGTTCGGTGCTGGTTCTACACCCTTTGTTAGCCTACAGTAATAATTTATCTCCAACCAAAGGAAGCAACGCACGCATGTGTGATGCCCAGTACCTCTGCAGCTGTACCCTTTAGCATGTAGTATTTGCGCTTGGAGATGCTGTGGCATTGATTGATGTGTTCTCGAACGACGAGTAATCCTGTTTTCTCGTCCCATGTTGGATAGACGGTGGCTGATTCCCTGCCCTGTTCCGTTTCATCGGTGTCCGACTCACCGCGACCCATGGGTACCCAATTCTTCATGCCCTCAAGCAAGCGGTCGCGCGGCTTCGCTGCACTGGAAACCATGACACGAGGCATGCCAGACACAAAGCCTTCTGTTGCAGCGTTGAAGTCGATGTAGTCGCGCACCATCCTAGGATATTGCTTCAACAGTACAGATCCGAAGAGCGTCTGGATCGTGCAGCGCACGATCACCAACTGAAAGAACGACCACAGATCTTCGATGCGCGTCCAGGTATCATACTGAAACATCTTGTCGTGCATGTTTGCAGACAAGATAGAGATGTAAATGTCGATACTCGACGTCAAAGCAGCGTCGGAGATATGGAAACAACCGTCATTGGGTAGACTCTCCTTGGCCTCCTCGTGATTTCTGGCTTCGCTCTTATGAGAATGACTATCGGCATCTGGTGATCCGAACAGCTTGTCAGACATCTCGACTCTGGCAGCTCTGGTGGTCAGATGGTCTTTGGCTTCTAATACCCTTCGCATGTGCGTGGGATCTCGCAAAACGACATAAGAGCGCAGCCCCGCTCGAACTCTAAACGGAGCGAACGCACCATAATCTTTGCTACAGGTTCTGTGAGCGCAATTCATACCAAATAGTCGCGCCACTACTTACATAAGCTCCGCAAAGTATCTTCGAGCGCCCAATTGAGCAAAGGCAGCGGCGCTGAATAGCCCAGGGACGAAATATGGTATCGTGGGTGGCTCTTTGCCAGTCAACTTGCTGTTGGACCGTCGGATGAATAAAGTTGAAGTTGTATAGTAAGTCAAGAATGGTAAGATGACAATGGAGGCGACGACCAGTAGAGTAAACGACATATTGGTAGAGATGGATTTCAAATTCGCATGATGGCAATAAGGCTCACAGACTTAAGTGGAAACAAAAGACGATGCTGCAAATGCCAAAAGCATTAGCTTCAGTGGTGGTTTGGATGGTAGAGAAGACGGTTGGTTCGGGAAGCCACGGTTCGCTTGCGCGGTTCATCTTCGGGCGTCCCCCCTGGCTTTGTCGTCTTAGGTCTAGCCTCCGCTTCTTAAGTAGGTCGCAGAAAAGGCCGGCTACAGCTGCACAATCTTGCAACCTTCAGAATCACTAGGTTGCGAGGCACTTGAAAATAACTGACAACCAATCCCTAGGTTCTTAGGAAGTTTAACCTGCACCTGGTCTTTGGTGATACATAACTTAACGTAAGAGCCCGCCCTTTCGAGATCTCCACCGCCATATCTACAACGATTGGTTTATTCAAGTGTCATATTATGTTTTCATTAGGCTTACTGCTATAAAATAGCCCTGTACTCGTGCTGAAATATATCAGGTATATGTACTTGGAAACAAATCGCTGATCTCGAGTCGTAATCATCGTAATAATTTACAAACGGTGCTGCTTGCCATTTCCAACTCAATCTAGACATCAATCTTCTCAGACCTGCCATCGCGAGTGTACCTTGACATGCTCGAACCACGGGTCTCTCTGTTGGTGCTGTGGCCGTGGAAAGTAGGTCTATCGTTAAGAGTCTTACTGAAGTTCATAGCACCGAGGAGCACCAGTCCAAGGATGGCAAGGTTGGATAGTTCGCCGAAGATGATGAACAAGAAGGCAAGGGCCTGGTTGGTGGTACGAGACCAGCTGTTGACGTCGTAGTAGAGCATAACGATCTGAGCAACATTAAAGGCGTTACGGACCCAGACGATAGGTAGGATCATAAAGACGAAGGAACCGAGGATGCGCTTGGTGTCGGAGACAGTCTGCATGATCATGTCAGTGTGAGTTCGAACCTGTGAAGTAGGAATGCTTACGCCTCCGAGACCATTCTTCTTGACACCAGTCAAGCATAGAGCAGCTTCCATGGTCGCGCTGGTCGATGCGGCAATCGTGACCGCAATGTAGGTAACAAAGATCGTGCGTGTGATGTAGCTCGAGCTGAGAATAGACAGGAAGTACAGGGCAGAGTTACCATTGCCACGACGAATATACGCAAGACTCCAAGCACTGCTCATTGTTAGCTATGGTCGTTCTGTGACTGCGTCGCACTTACGCAAATCCAAAACCAAGCATAGCCAATATCCAAAACTGGTTCCAGATCCATGAGATGAATCCAGGAAACTTGATACCGGTTGCGTTGCACTCAAGGTGGTTGGCATGCACCCAGATAGCACCAACGATGCTAACGTTGACCAAAATGCTAGCAAAATGGTAGAGGAAGGAGAGAATAGAAATTTCTTTGCCATAGCTGACACCGGCCACCGAGTTCGCTGCTCCGTAAGAGGGGTACGAGTACATTGAGGTGATCGAAAAGGGCGAATTAACTCTGGTCTGGAGAGCAACAATAGCGGCCTGCGCAGCGTATGCCACCATCAGATTGAACAGTCCAGAAATGAGCCAGAAGTGCGTGCCCAGACTGGAGTGTCGAGGTGCACCAGCATTATGCGAGAAACGCTTCCATCCACCTGGACGACTGGTGCCACTCTTCAGCTGCTTCAGAAATACCAAGCCAGCGGTGACGAGCATGAGCAAGGCCAAACCAGCTGTTGCTGTGTGAAGGGCAAAGATTGCCTGAACTGTGCTGGTCGCACTGGTGATGGCCATTGTGAGTGTGGATGGACTTATTGGTGCCGCAAGGTCTAATGGTTATGTAAAGTGTATTTACTTCACATCTCAGGAAGCACACAAGGACTTTATTGCGAAAGCCACATGCACGCTGTCATACACCACGATTGGACTACGCAACTCACTATGACAGATGGCTACCGTCAAAAGCAAGGACACCTCGATTCGAATGGACACAGAAGCCATCGTCTCCAGACTAGTCCGTTTAGTCCTCTTCGATGCTCTTGGGGTGTGCGATCAGAGACTGTTACTCATCGTCCGGTGTGAGTGACTACAATGAATGACGTTGAGCCGCGGGATGGGCGGAAGTGACGTGGTGCAGCATCTCCGAGGACATTACCGCAAGCTTAAATTTTGTCAAGACGCTTTGGAAGATCTCTGAATCAACACTTTCTGGTAGGTCTGCCTTGTCGTTGCTGCTGATTGTCAGTTCAGAGTGGAGTGGCTTGTCGGATAGCGGAGTTCACGACCCGTCCATTGCAGCACCATCCAGGTTTTCGCAGCGATGTTCGCTTGGGAACTGATAGAAGCGCCCGACCAGCTTCTTCAAGCATGATATTAGACACTGAGATAATCGCCATTGCATGCCTCATGTGAAGGCGTCGCAGCTCAGAACCGCTACGCGAATTCGAGTTCTTCGCCCGAGGAGTGCTTCACCAGCTCCGCACAAAACTATGGCAGACGACAATTATGCAAATACCTGGGCGATCCCCACCGACAAGAACTTTGGGTGAAATGAGAGTTGCGATGGTTGATGTCACCGCTGGACAAGCTCTACTCTTAGCGGCGGCAGCTATGTACGACTAGCCCGCATCCCTTGTCGATCCACCTCTAGAGTAGCCTCGTGTCCCTCAGCATGTGCGACCCTCATCACCTCATATTCAAACGCTGTCATGACTTCTGAGAAGTACATTGAAGGTTTGAGAGGATGATAGGGGCAGTAGCAAGCTACCTGACAATCGGTTCGACCACGTGGAGTCACATGCTTCGTATTGGCTAAAATTAGCTCGCGTCTGGAGCCTTTTCCGCAAACATCCTGAACGCGTTCAACCGTGTCAAGATGTTCTGCAGTTGCACCTCCACCATCCCCTGCAAACCATCATGATACTCAGGGCAATCACAGTCGCAAGCCTGCTCGGCGTGGCCGCACGGGTCAGCGCAGACGTCGCTCCAGACATCACCACCCTGGCCGTAGGCTACAACTACATCGCCAAGCTCCCCTGCGTAGACTGCCCATACCTATACCAGGATACCTCAAACGGCGAAAACGGACCGTGGACAGATCGCATCGATAACAATGCCTTGCTCTTGAACATATCGCTACCATTGGACGCGACCCATCTGTCCATTAACAACGCACCCCTGCTCTCCGGCTCGTCCTTCCTCCCCCGGATCTACGCTTCGCAAGTGCTCCAGGACTACTCCACCGAAGATCTCCACGCAAAGATATCAGACAGTGAACTGGACACCGCAGGTCCTTCTCTCGGCCTCTCGTACGGCACCTCGCTACACCAGATCAAAAACTCCACCGCGCTAGTGTACCGCTTCAACATTTTCAGCCTGTATTTCGCCCGGACCAGTCCAGCAACACGCATCTCGCTTTCCAACTCACACCAGAAAGTGCTCGAGATCATCTTCCTCCCTCACCCGCTACACAGCGTTGGCGACTCAGGCCCAGGCTGGGAGATCGTTCATATCCGACTGAGTGAGCGAGACAAGAAGGGGAGCAGGAGGAGAATGAAAACGATGATGTTTGAGGATTGGGATGAGTTTGGACGGAAGGGGAGTCCATTGCATCTCGTCTCCAGCTCCTCGAGCGGGGTCGCGAAGTATGCCGCTTCCGGAATCTGGAGTCTGAGTATCACGATCCTAGGGTTCATGGTTGCGTTTGTCGTGATAGTGCTTGGGGTTGTGTATATCATGGAGTGGTACTCCGGAGAGTATGATAAAGCCCAGAGTGGGAAGAATCGGAGGAGTGCGAGTAAAGGAAGTGGTAACTGGACCGATGTGGAGGCGGCGAAGGAGAGGATTTTGAGTGTGAGTGAACTAGGGATGAGGGCCGGTGGGAGTGTTGTTGGGGTAGGGAAAAGTGACTGATGAGAGAAAGAAATTAGAGTAAGAATGGGGAAATGAGTCCATGAACGCTAAGCCGTGATAAACGCTGTAAAGTCTGCCAATGCTGCATCTGTATGTGCCCTGTTCCCGTCTTCCAATGTGTTTGTATGCCGCAGTGCGTCATAAATAAGCCCCGCGTACCTGTGTGTGCGCTTCGTTGATGTCCACTTGGGCTGCTTAAATGTCCCTATCCGAGAAAGCAGTTGCATGCTCCTGCATGAGCATATCCATGAGGGCAACCCCATCCGTCTCGCCGCCGCCATCAGCAAAGATATCATCATCCAAGTCAGACACGATGTTGCTGGGAGCATCAAGTGTGTCTCGAGATGCATTCCTGCGGACTTGTCAGCCACGAGTACCCAAAGACGTCAAGTTGAGAAACACTCACGCCCCCTGCTGGACAAACCAACCGCCGTCTTTCCTCGCCAAAGCCCCACGAATAGTCGCACAGCCCCTCAAGGCTCCATCACACTCTCCACATTCAGCCTTCAGATACCGCTCCACCTCCCCGATCTTCTTCATTATCGCAGCATCACCCCGCTCCAGCGCTGGATCGACATGCTTCTTGACAGTAATTGCCCCGATCTCAATAATCTTCCTGCTCCGCTCCATCTGCTCCGGCGGCATGTGTCTGAACATAATGTCACCCGCATATCCATCGTGCGCCGGCCACTGCCGCTGCGCCGCAGGACGATGGTAGCGCGGACTGTCCGGCGAAATTGGATCGCCGATACGCGTGGGTACCATACCATTGATGTTATACGGCACGCTGGTTGGAATGTCTTCGCTGGAGTGATGACCCCTGCTAGTTGTGTCTTGTGAAGTACTTCGACTGTGGCGCCCAGCGCGGCGCTTGTGGGCATGCCCAGGGCTTCCTGAGCGCGCTCTTGGGATTTGAAGACGCATGAGTATTGGGTTTAGGGAATGGGTGCTCGAGGCAGCCGTGTAGTCGATCACACCTTGGCTGAGAGAGCGGCGGCGCGTGTTCCCAGGTGCTGGGTGGGAGGGTTGGAGATACGAAGTGTTTATATGGGAACGGACAGGCTGTGGGCGATGACGAAAAGTCAGGCTGACGTCTTGAATGGCATCTAGACATTGTTGCTGCTCGACAGGATACGGATGTGGAGTGTTTGGGTCTGGCGTTGGGTATCCGGTGGAGGACTGTCCAAAGTTGAAGTCGGAGAACTCAGGAGTCGGAGCTGAAGTAGCAGCTACAGAATCTGGTGGTGTATAGTATTGTTGAAGGCCAAAGTCTCCTGCAGCTTCGGGGAACGCCTCAGTGTATGCGGTCTGATCATAACCAACTGTGTTGAAGAGCTGGTCTAGTTGAGCTTGTGTGAAGAGGTCTTGATCCGTCAATAACGGATCAGAGAACCCCACAATTGACTGAGACATGCTGTATAATCCCGAGGCTACCAGGCTGTGCAACACCGCGTGGTATCGAACGATGGTTTGGGTTCGGAAGGATGCCAAAGATTGTTACACGGAGGAATGACTGAGGAGTAGGAATGACCAGATATAGTGATCATGTCGTCCTTGCGCTGGCCATGGCTGAGACAAGGAGAGAAAGAGCAGTTTGTGCGGAGCACCTAGCGATGAGGCCAACGAAGTAACGGGTCCTTGCGCGCAAGTGTGCATAAATGGCAAACAACACAGCGGGACATTCCGGCCTACTGCATGTCGCGAGAGCAGCGCTTCGGCGACCTGGGGAAAGGTGCTGAGCATTGAGGCGGTGCTGGGCGACAGTCTCGCCTTGTTTGCACCTGTAAATAATCGTCACTGTATCAGAAGGCCAAGGGGATGAGTATTGCTCCTTGGCGGGTATCTGTGATCGGTGAGCTACCGCCAGGCTGGCTCGTCCAAGCTGTTGGGTCTGAGGAGGCATTGACCGCTATAATACCTAGAGCTGAGACACCCAACAATTGCGTAGCAAAACGCAATGTGGAAATGAAAGATGAAGATCGATGCCGAGAGCGATGTTGTAATGTAGATTTCGTGATTTCCAATTGCGATCCGTGAGCGAGGTGCTGCTGTCGCCAGTAACACCGTCCTTCAAAAGAACCCTACCGAGTAGGGTCAACGCTGACACCGTCCTTGCCGTGTCCATACCTATCATACAGCATCCATAGTGTACATATTACCGTCTCTTTTCCAGCACAACTACTCCTTTTTCTCCCCGTCACCCTTCCCCTTCTTATCCCAGTTCCACACATCCCAAATCTGCTCAAAAATCATATCACTAAAGCTCTTCCCCTCCTCAATCGCCTTCTTCTCCTCCTCCAACCTCCTCTCCTTCCACCCCTCACTCTCTCCACCCATCCAAATCTTCGTTAGCACACCCTCCCCCTGCTCCTTCGTCCCCAGCTTCCGCCTCTCCTCCTCTCTCGCCTCCCTGATCTTCGCCTGCACCTCCCTCGCCCTCTCGGTCGGCAAATCTGCCGCAGCGCGAAACGGAGAGAGCTGTGTGACGAGCCCGCGTCCATAGTAGCTCTCGCACAGGTGGTCAGCGGACAGGTAGAAACCCAGGCCCAGCGAGAAAGTGTAGAGGTCGAGTTTTCGTGGCGGCATGAGCATGATTATCGGGCAGATTACTACGCCGCCGATGGCGACGTTACGTAGGATGCGCGTGTAGCGTTGTGCGTTTTCCTGCGTGAGGCGCTGCTCAGGCGTGAGGATTGTGAGTTGTGGTTGCGCCATGGCTGGGTATGGCGAGAGGATGTGCAGGGTCGTTGTGGAGGTGTGCGCATGCGATTTGGATGTTTCTGGGAAAGAGTTGGTGCTGCTCGAGCGTGCGACAATATGTGGAGCGGAATTGAATGTGTTGGTGTTGAGTTGTGGTGATGAGCTCATAGAAATCTGCGGAGCTCTACGCACCTCCGGTCGGCAATTCTTGCCGTTTTGCAAGCATGAGATTCGACAGGCACGTATACCATTGTTGCATGACACCGTCACATGTGATCTCGCTCATTATTCATGTCTAAATCTGTCCAGCCATTCAATCATTGACAAGTCGCAGCTTTCAGCCCGACTTCCATGAGTACTTTCGTCGTTTGAAGACACTCCCTGGCCTGCTGTGGTTCTCGTTCCCATCCAAAGCTCTCTTGCCATTTTGCTCGAAGTTGCCGCTGAGTCTCGCACGTTTTGTTGGCGTCGGGTCGTCGTTGTTACCGTCGTGCCCGGATCGCGATGTCACCTCTGTCTCTGTCCCGCTTTCCATCCGCGTGTCTTCGTCGTCGTCGCGTTTCCGCTTCTGTGCGGTGCCTGGTGTCTCCATGAGACGGCGCAGTCGACTCTCCTGTAGCCTCCTGTTGACCTCCTCTGTTATGTCGATGTGCTGTACAACATAACTCGAGTCGATCGTTGCTGTGCTCGGTCGCCGTGCTAACTCCTCGTCTGTAGGACGGATCTCGGTCCCCTCGTCTGAGCCCGGTATGCTGAGCCGGACTTTCTTTGTTGACGCCTCTGGAGGATCTAACAGTGTCGAGCCCTCTATGCTGAGTCGCTTGTTTGCATTCTTGTCATTGGCGTTTTTTACCTGATGCTGTGAGCTTGGGTTACTACAGGATTCGCGTTATGAAGCGCACTTTCTTGGTCGCCAGACCCTCGCCCTTAAGCTGATCTCTAAAGCGCTTCATGTCGTCTTGTAGCCTGCCTGACTTGTTGCGCAGCGACAGAAGATCGGTAGCCAGCCAATCGGGTGCATTGTGGTCTGTCGCATCGAGGCCTTCGTTCAGGAATCGCAACTGCGCGCGCAGGTTCTCAATGTGCCTGTCAAGGTCCTGAAACGAATGTCAGAGCTAGGCTAGGCTGTGGAAGGGCGGCTCTTACGTCGAGCGAGAACTTGATCATGGTGGAAGAGTATGGTTCCGCACGGAGGGTGTTGTGTTTCATCTGCTTGCATGGAGATGCATGTGCGCTAAGAATTACGCTAACATTCCGACATTCGGAACGTGCTTCCGACAATTCGAGCATTTCGGTCGCGTGAAGCCAACGCAGACCTTCAGTTGGCGCGCTGCATTGATCGTTGTCCATAGTCCGAGAGATATTTTGATTCGAGCAGTTGTGAGATTCGTGAACTGCTCAATGTGTTGCAGACCATCTGCTCAAGTGCACAGCTTCAAGGTACCCCTCGTCTTTACGAGTCCCAGCCTCATGTGCTATGGTCGAGGTATTGTGTTTGAGTCCCTTAAATATTCTTGGGGAGCTTGTTGCGCAAGGGCTGCACTTGGGGTCTTATCGTTAGAGTAGACCGAACAATGGCAGATGGTGGTAGTGTGTAAGGAAGTAGACACTCTTCCCACTGCCTGAAGTCTTTCGAGGCCTAGTCGACATATTGGAGCTGCTGCATTAAGAACTGCCTTACCCGCGCCTGGCATGAGTGTCGATCATGCGAGGACACGATGCAGAGATGCTTCATCCCTCCTCTTCATCGCCAAATGTAAGCTTGACAGCCTTTGACTTCTTCTTGGGTTTCATGACAGCCTTTGTTTCAACTTTCTTCACATCTCTCAATTGGTCTTTGTCGTCTTCCTGCTCGTCACTGATGATCTTGGCGGCTTTACGCTTCTTAGCATTGGCTCCGACCTCGGCGATCTTGTCTTTAGGTTTGGGGGATCCGTCTTTGTTCGACTCTTTCCTCACATTGTCTTGCTCGGGATTGCCGTCTTCTTTGGAATCCTTCTTGCCGATGAATTCTTCGTACTCTTCTTTAGTCATGGACTGATTGGTGTTTTCCAAGACATAAGTAGGCGCATCATCTTCGTCATCTTGCTTCAGCCTTTTGTTCCTGGGTATTGGGCGCTCATGACGTGCTGAATCTTCACCTTGCATCTGACCTCGCAGCCGTTGTAGGAACGCCGGCTGAGAGTTGTCTGAAGAGCGTAAGTACAAGTCGTATGGGATTAACAATGCCAGACTCACCAAAATGCAGATCTTTCGCCTTGAAACTCATTATTGCTGCTATATGAACAGAGAGGCGTGATAGTAATGAAGAAGTTGACGATATGTTAAGCTGAGGCTGTAAGAAAAGGTCGAGTAGCACGAGGCTGAGGCTGGACGCCTGTCGATCTTTCCAAGACTTGGGAGCGGCTCCTTGCTCTTGGCGAATCTATCTCCGGCTATACGAGCTATCGACCTACCGGTAGATGTTAAATGACATTCGTCTTGCAAGTCCTTTGCGGTCTAGTTACGCGCTGGTCGATGGATGTGACGGCAGCAGTTACTTGCTTGGCAACGTCTGCAGGGCTGCGATTTCCGTGCGCTGCGCGACTGGCCATCCGCCAGCTTTCTTCGGCGCAGGGTCCCCACATGAATCGGCGGCCAACTTGAGACATACGCAATCGCACGTCTATCACAGGCTTTTCAATTTCATTTCCCAGATTGAACATCCCAACCCCACGGCCACCGCGCGTTCTACCGGACCGTATACAGCCGTTTCATGCATCTCTTTGGAGTAACCTCCGGCCGCTCGTTACCTGCGCGAACCGCCTGCGTTGACCTCGTTGCTCCCACACTGCGCTGTGCCGATAGCAGTTTTGTCTGGATCCCCTATCTACCACCTGCACGCCCGAACACGAGCGACGGACTGCCATTGGGGTCGAACAAGTAGACCGCTGCCGCTGGCAGGAACTAGAAGGTTTGCTCAACACAAGGTGCTAGACTGCGACCATGGGCTTCATACAAGACCTCACCAGGAGGCTACCGTCTTCCAAGGACAGCCTGGACAAGCTCGACGACCTTTCACGACACGCAGAAAAGACTTCCCCCAGATTAGCATTCTTTCGCCGGCGCATACGATTGAAGGGAAACTCGACCGTGTCATTACCACTCGGCCTGGTCCTGCTATTTCCGTGTCTCGTCATCATCCTGATACTGGTCCTCTTCGTCAGATCGCCAGACTCGAATGGCATCATGAACATGCCTGGTGGCGGAGTGCCGCCCTCGATACGGTATGCTACTTAGCAGCATCTACGGTATCTGGAGAGAGACTGACAGCTTGCAGGAAAATCAGTGAAAAGTACGATAAGCCCTTCGCAACAGGCTGTCTCGAACCCCAGACGAACGGTCCCCGAGCGAATGCAGCAATTGTGGTCCTTGCGAGGAACAAGGAGCTCGACGGCGTCATTCAGTCCATCAAGTCGTTTGAGAGGCATTTCAACAGGTGGTTCAACTACCCTTATGTTTTCCTGAACGACGGCGACTTCAACTCGACGTTCAAGGAAACCGTGGGCAACCACACAAAGTCGGTAGTTGAATGGGGCAAGATCTCACCAGAGCACTGGGGGTTCCCAGATTGGGCTGACCCGGCGGTCGTGAAGGAGGGCATCGCTAAGCAGGGCGACCGCGCTATCATGTACGGTGGTATGGAGAGCTACCACCACATGTGCCGATTCTATTCTGGGTACGCGCAATTGCTCTCATCGTTGAACCACTCCATGTGCTAATGTGCCACAGCCAGTTCTACAAGCACGACCTACTGCAAAAGTACGAATGGTACTGGCGTTTGGAACCGGAGATCACCTACTTCTGCGACATTACATACGACCCTTTCATCCATATGATACGAAACAAGAAAACATACGGCTTCACAATCGCCGTGAAGGAGCTAAGAGAGACAGTGCCGAACATCTTCCGCTACGCATCGGCCTTCAAGAGGATGAACAACATTACATCGCAAGGCATGTGGGAGATGTTCGTCGAGAAGCCCAAGGAGGAGCCCAAAGACAAGCTGCCGAAGGACGACCCGAAGTACAAGAAGCCCCTGCCCCAGGAGATCTTGAACTCTGAGCCAGGCACCGGAGCACTTCCTGACATTGACCCAGAGAATATGGAGGGCGAAAACTACAACATGTGCCATTTCTGGAGCAACTTTGAGATCGTCAACCTGGCCTGGTACCGCAGCAAGGAGTACAACGACTTCTTCGAGATGATGGATCGCAGCGGTGGCTTCTGGATGGAGCGAGTAAGTACTCACCTTATGGACAGGTAAAGTACGTGCTAACATACTACAGTGGGGAGATGCACCGATTCATTCGCTCGCCGCGGGCATTCTTCTTGGTCCCCAGGACGTCCACTACTTCCGCGACTTTGGCTACCGACACACTACCATTCAGCATTGTCCTGCAAATGCCCCTGCGCGACAGCTCCCACGGATTCCTTTCCTCGAAGAGGCTACGAAGGACGAGAAAGCACGAAAGGAAGAAGATGACTACTGGGCGCACCCAGATCCGCCCAAGGAGAATGGCGTCGGCTGTCGCTGCAGATGTGATACCGACATCGTTGATGTGGAGGGCAAGGAAGGGTCTTGTCTTGCTGAGTGGGTTGAGGTTGCTGGAGGCTGGGCATCACCTGCACCTTGATAATTCTGTTTGCTTCTTGTTATGCGTTCCGTTCAGGCGAGCATTTTGGGATGCGCTAGTATTCGTGTCAGCTTCATGCGCGGCGCAGTGGTGTTTACGATGCGTTTTGGCTGGGCCACACGGCATAGATGTAATAAGGGCGTTGCTGGGGAGGCCTCATACCCAATGTGCATATAGACTGGCGCAATGGATATCACACAGGCTGCGCATAGACTAAGAGCGCGAGTCATGTTTCTGCATTCCACTCGAGATTGCCATCTTTCCTTTGCACATTTCACTTCACACGTCTCCTCTTTGCGCTGCTAATCGCGTCGGAATCGCGTACCGATAAGGAAGGGGCAACGCGGGGGTTGGACCCACTAAAACCCATGCTCGTGATCCCACTTGCCTCACGACTTGACGCCTTTATACATTGCACCAGCCCTGAACCATTCAACTTTGATCAAAACTTACTGCAGTCACTAATTCACCGACACACAGTAACTGCCTGTATTTCATGGTGTTTCAACAAAGTACGCCGGACGCCTGAGCTTCCCCGCTTGCATCATCCCAAGCAAGGCACCAGTTTCACGCGCCTGGCTCCACTAGGCGTTAGGCAGCTTCCGCTCCACCTTCACCCGTGCGGCCTCTCCCCCTCTTAACCCCTCCATGACCTGTTGATGCCCTACACGTTCTGTTGCACTGGGACTTTCAGCTGACATGCCTCCGAGTAGTTCGAAAGCAGGACCAGAGTTTCGGTATCCACCGGTTCAAGCTGATCGCTCTCTTACCAGCCTTGACCTCGATACACTGATGATGAAGTCCACTACATGCCGGCTCCAGGAAGAGCCTGGGAGCTCACTTGACGATAGCACATACGAGCTGCTGACCGACAGCCTGATCGAAACATCGGACGATGAAGCCCACACTGCGTCCATTGCATCTGCCTCAGATGATCACACACAAGACGACGGCTCGATCTTCGGCGACGATGACGATGACGATGACGATGATTTCGCGACCAACTATCGAGCACTCGACGCAAGCATCCAGTCTATGCACGCCGCAGCCGCAGACGATGATCTCGAGACACCGTTGGAAACAGGTGGGGAAGACAGCATGCTCACAATGGTACCAGACCACATGAACGGCAGTGGTGGGTCAAGAATGGTTCAACTTGACGAAGAGCCCACGGCAGACCCTGAAGTGTCGTTCGGGACGACAATCGTCCGGACGTTCCCAACGCAGACTGAAGAGCTGCCCAAAGTATTGGAGACTTATGGTCAACCTCAGGTGCAACTGGGGGTCAAGGCAAGCCTGTCCTCTCGATACATCACCACGCCTGAGTCTTACAAGATCCTGTACCTTGGTCTGCCCGAGCAATGGGTGCAGGACAACATTACACACCACATCCACGCGGCACTTACCGCATCACCTAGTAAGACAAGGTCAGTAATGGTCCGAGGCCAGATGGAGCCCCTTGGGACTGTCATTGATACATACCGCTGCACGAAGCTTGAGGTCACGAGCCCTGATATCGCTCTTTCCCCCATTCAAGTCCATATCGACGATGGGCGACGCATCAAGATCGACCGACAAAGAAAGCCAAAGTTTGACCTAGTGATTCTCTGCCATACGCAGAAGCGTGATTACGCCACTGGTGCCCAGTCCTACGACTCGCTTCGCACAGCTCTTCGCCAGCACTCGACTCCGATGATTGAGCTCTCTGAGATCAAGCCATACGGTGCTGGCAATCGAACGTACGATATGCAGAGTTTAGTCGCTTGCATCGAAGGTAGAAGCGACGATGAGGCTGAGTTTGATTTGCTCGAAGTACTTCCCCTGGACGTCTTCAGCTTCTGTGAGCTCGAGCCGGCCCAGATCAACCGTCATTTGGCACTGATCAGTCCACATCTGCTGCCACAGACTGTCGATGTTTCTCAAAATACACAGTTATCTGCCGTGAGTGACACCGTACGCGCCATCGGCAAGCAGCTGCGTACAGGAGCACCGGCTCCCACCAAAGTCTTATTTCTCTCGATCGCCCTTACGGCAATGCTTTCGGTATTTGTTCTCAGCCCGGTGTACCTGCCCCTTCTACAGCAGAGGTTCGCGGACGTCGCGCCCGAGCCACCGATGTTGTCAGTTTCTCCAGCATCGAGTCTTTCTATCACATCCGCGGCAGTCGGCTCCTCGAGCACCGCGTCTGTTTCTCTTTCCTTACCATCTTCTATATCTGTACCAAAGGGCCTGACAGTCGCCGCTCCGCAGGCGGAACAGCCGAAGCCAAAGTCAAAGCTGGACAACAACAAGAAAAATGACAAGACCAAGGGGTTCGAAATTCAGACTGCTGGTGAGAAGCAGTTCATTCTCACTCCATCAAAAGAACTGGCGAGCTCGAGGAAGACGCCGCAGCTCCAGATCCAGGTGTTCCGCAATACCACGCTGATCCCTGTCCTTTACGTCAGAACCATTACCGGCGAGTACTTCGTGGACCTCGAGGATGAGTACCCCTTCGGGTCGTTCAACGTCAGCATTGCCAGCTACTCCAAGCCTCTGCTGCACCAGTCCTTCGAGGTCACCTTGGGCCATAACAAGACTTGGTTTGATCAAATGCTTGGAAAGACCACGAACAAGATCATGGATGCCAAATCAATCCTTCGACATATCTCTTCTTCGGCTGCGGAACAACTGCAAGCCAAATTCAACGATATCGCTGGTGACAAAGTGGGTCACTGGGTAGAGGAGGGTCGGCACTTGGAAGAATCGATCTACGGTAATGCGAAGGGATGCCTGGAGTCTGGTACAGAGTTCGTCAAGCATGTTCCAGAGACTACCTTGATGGGACTCAGGAAGGCCACGGCGCCGGTCCGACTGTCTCAAACTCTGTGGAAGGCTAGATTAAATGCTCTTCGAATACGCTGCAACGCAGAAACTGCAATCGGGAGGTTTTGGAAGCTCTCTGATGAGCAGGCCAGCCGGGCGTGCTCCGAATTGCATTCGCTCGGTCAGAAGGGGGAGGCTTGATGCTTGAGTGTGTTTTGTTGGATGGTATGGCGTTCGGTTTACAGGATAGGAATGGAAGACGGTATGCATCATTGAGGAACTGGTTGCCATGGCGCTGATGGTGGGTCTGGCGTTGATGTGTTGGATTTCCTCGGATACCAGGTGCGTGGCGTCATTGGCGTCGCCTCTCTTTTATCGGGTAAAGCGTAATCGAGTATTCGTTTAGTAGATTTAGAAGACTGTGTTTATCTCAACAGGAATTTGCTTGTCCAGTGATCTAAGAGTCGTGCATGTGTTCACGCTGCTTCGCAGGGCTGAGTTTGACCCTGGCGCGCAGGGGCCACCAACTAGCATTGCCCCTCCATTGCCGCCTCCCACAAACTTTAGACTAGGCTGAGCACAACACCCAAACACTCACTCTGTAACTTATTCTTTCTGGTTACAGTGATCCTCTACGCATACGAACGTCACACAGAAAGCCTCGAAAACTCACACATCATGTCTGACGTCGCTAAGCCCGACCCCGCCGCCGAGCAGGTCGCCAACCCCGCCGCAACCCTTGTCAAGGACGAGACCGCAATGGTTACCACGGACAAGCTTGCCGACAAGGATGAGAAGCCGGCAACTACGTCCAGCGATGACAAGCCCGTCACCGAGAAGGCCACAGAAGCCGCCACATCTGCCGCAGCTGCAGTCAAGGACAATGTCTTCTCCATGTTCGGCGGTGGACCCAAGAAGGAGAAGAAGGAGGAGGCCGATGACGCCAACGAGCCCTCTGGCTCTTCCAAGGCACAGGCTACCGGCGTACGTTGATCAAGCCGTTCTGGGCTTCGCGGCGATGCTAACAAGCTTCAGGAGGAAGACCCAGAGAACCAGGAGCCTGATGTCGAGTTCGCCCCCGTCGTCCACCTGACCGAGAAGGTCGACACCAAGACCAACGAGGAGCTCGAGGAGCAAGTCTTCAAGATGCGTGCCAAGCTGTTCAAGTTCGACCGCGAGTCGCGAGAGTGGAAGGAGAGGGGCACTGGCGATGTCAGGTTACTGAAGCACAAGGAGAATGGCAAGACCCGCCTGGTTATGCGACGGGACAAGACGCTTAAGGTCTGCGCCAACCACTATGGTATGATACACAGTGAGCTAGGTGCAGGATGAATACTGAGATCGTACAGTTGTGCCTGACATGAAGCTGTCGCCCAACGTTGGCAGCGACCGCAGCTGGGTCTGGAACGCGGCCGCCGATGTTAGCGAGGGTGAGCCCGAGGCGCAGACGCTGGCCATCCGCTTCGGCAACAGCGAGAGTAAGTTGCAGCCTTGCACGCATGACAAAGGCTCTGCTAATAGCTGTTTTAGACGCCAACCTCTTCAAGGAGGCCTTCATCAAGGCCCAGCAGGAGAACGAGGCTCTTTTCAGCAAGTCATCAGAGTAGGTGTGAAGAGAAGTTGAGGGTGATTCGGAAGGAAACAGAGGAATGAAGCATGCACGCACGAAGCAATGACATTTTGGGGCGGTATCATATCACGGCGATAGAAGTTCTCACACCCTGCACATACTAGATAGTACTAAATTGGCCTGACCCTGAGTCTACGGCATTCCCCCAAACTTGCTCCCTCGAGAAGTGAAACGGTGCCCAGCGACGTGGACGCGAGCGCAGAGAGCCTAGCCACCTCTTCTGTGTAACGCTCGCAACATCAATTTCATCCCGATTACTATTCAGACGCGCCTCTCTTACATACATGGTACCTTGCCGCAGTAGCTCCCGCGCGTGTAGACGAGCAGGCGAGTAGACGAGCTGGATTACTGCCAAGCGCAGGGCTGGAGCTGTTCTCCGCCCACTTCGTTCCGCTCCGCCAGGTCGAAGCACCAGCCGAAGCTCGACCTCAACGCGCCGCAGTCGCGAAACTCCAGACACCCTCTCACTCCACATACAACACCGCCAACACCGCCAACATGCCTGACGTATGCGCTTCAATCGCACACGAACCGGGAGAAATGCTAACACATCGCAGGTCAAGCGCTGGGTCAAGATCATCACCCACCAGAAGCCCATGTATGTCCACGGCGCGCAACCACCCGCGGTCGCATCGCACCCCGCCCCGACCTTGTGCGCGCGTCAAGCTTCGAGCATTAGCTAATCCGCCACTCGCAGCGATGGCCCGTCGCCGGTCGAAGGGTTTCCCATGCGCTCATGGGACATCGAGATCTGGCTGCTGGACGACCAGGGCAACGAGGTCCTGCCCACCGTCTACGAGAAGGCCGTCTACAACCTGCACCCGTCCTTCGACAAGAACAAGCAGAGTGAGTGCGCTGCAAGGCGCCGCAAGTGTATGGGGACGCGCTGTGCGCTGACAGCCGGATAGCATTCAAGAAGCCGCCGTTCCGCATCGACGAGCAGGGTTGGGGCGAGTTCGACATGACCATTGTCCTCTCGGCAGTGCACAAAGGCGGCGAGCACACACTGAGCCACGACCTCAATTTCCAGTCCGAGCGCTACGAGGCCAAGCACCAAGTCGTACGTCTCTCTCGTCTGCTGGGTGTTGCCTACCTTGGCCCACTCACACTTTCCTTCATCGCACGTACCTACTGACAACTCGCCTACAGACCTTCCGCAACCCCAAGCCTGAGCTCCTTGCCCTCCTGCAAGACTCTGGCTCCGCCGACGCAAACGGCGTCCGCGGCAAGGATGCCTCGAAGAAGAAGGCCAGGCGCGACAAGGCCGTCGACATGGAGAAGCTGGCCGACGGGCTGCAGAAGCTGAGCGAGGACGACCTGCTGCACGTCGTTACCATGGTGCACGACAACAAGACAAGCGAGACGTACACTAAGAACGACGTCGAGAGTACGTACCCTGAGTGGAGCACCGAGGTAATTATGGAACGACATGCTAACGCGATTGCAGATGGAGAGTTCCATGTCGACCTGTACACCCTGCCTGACTCGCTGATCAAGGTGCTATGGGACTTCACAGCAAGCAAGACCGACCTGTAAGCGTACAAACACGTGCCTCCAGGTATGCTAACAGAAATGCGATGCGAGCAAGCTCGGACTCCAATGGCTGAAATGGCCGCGGACGCCTATGGAAACATGGCCAAGATCGTTCACGCACAGGAAGGCTTCGAGGGCCATGTGAAATTCAGCCACACGGATGCCTCTTGTCGGAGGCTGGACGTACCGCGAGAGCGGGCGGAGTCGCACGGTCTACAGCACATACAGCTTTGAGCTTCTTGATTATGCACATAGCACCCCGTGAGGTGTTCTCTCCAGATTCATCTTATTTTCGAGCCGGGAGTTTGGGCAAAAGTAGGGTAGATACCTCAATGGACGGGGTATCGCTTAGGATCAATCGATGCTTTACGACTCATGACCGATTACTGGTCTCTTTGCGGACATGTGTCGACTCGGGACAAGTCTGTTGACATTTGGACGGGATATGACAGAGGCCTGGTCACAAAAACATCGTAAACGCATGGCCTGTTTTTAGACCAGCGGGTCATGACATCTTTGTGGGTATCCCTATGATCATGGCGCCACTCTTGCACCCCCTCGAAGCCGTACCTGCTAATTCAGTAACGAACAAAAAGAAAGATAGCCGATCAAGCCACTGCCCGCACAGGCGAGCGTCTCACACCCAAAGATGCTCCTCTCCGCATTGGGCCAATGCTCATCCCATCTCAGCAGCCACAGCTTTCCACACACCCGCAATGACGGTGTTTGTAGCGCAGAGCGACCGGGAAACAACCGAACAACCCATGCCATTTCCTGATAGCTTCGCTTCTGCACAGCGGCAACCGCGAGGTCCGACATTGCTTTCAAGCCCACCGTCTCACGCCGTCGGTGCGTGTCGACGCCTCTTTGGGATGGGCGTCAGACCTATCTCCGTGTGGATGGACGGCACAAACTTCCCACGAACGTACGCGTCGAAGGTTTTGGATTGGCGATGCGCGGGATCTGAGATGACAGAAAGGGCTGAAATGGTGTGCGTGCGTAGACTCGCGGACGCGGGGCGGTCTTGTGTGAGTTTTGGATCTCGCTCGGATTATATAGCGGAAGATGAGCGCGAGTCGTCAAACTATGCAGCGCTTCTAATAACATCATTGGAAGTTGTCGAGCAGATGGCGCATGCAAGTGAGAACCCTGTACCGCAGGCGCTTCCCCTGGGATAGTGCACTGGGTCGTTATGATCGCCGCACGTCAATGGAGTTCTGACGATAGTCTTGCGAATACGCGAGCGGATGGAAGTAGCAGCAAGAGCAAGGCTGACACGGAGTAGGGCGGTTTTAGGGAGGTATCGAAGACATCAAGCATGCGTTTTTCGGTGAGTCGCTTGAGGGCAGACCATGTTTGCGCGCTTCAACCTGGATCCGGGGTTGATTTTGATTGTGGGCGCATGATGTTTCCTGTAGGGTGGCACTCTGTGGAAGAGTACTTTGCCTATTCGGCGGAGCCAGATCTATTGAGCAAGGCGTTTACTGGCGCGGCAGACGGCCTAATACGTAGAATCATGTATGCTATTCTGATGTTATTTCAGTCTATTGTAAGAAGTCACGCTCTTTGAAGACTACAGTGTCTTTCTTTCAGGCAGCGCCTTGTGGAGACAATTCGCGGTGTCTTTTAAATTTCCCCACAGCGTTTCCAAGTGACTTGAAGCGCATGCGGACTCTACTCTTTGCATTGGCCTCTATCATTCGATCACGTAGCCTTCACTGCTTGCAATTCCTGTACCGCGCTGAGATATATGTGATCGCGTCTTTGAGTGTACTTATGTCCACCCGGCCCGCACGAGTCAAGTGTGGCATTCCGATGCCTATCTCGGTGCGGTCTGCCCTGAGCTTGTGCCGTTAGAATACCCGAATCAGACGAGGTATCTTCTGAGCTTTCCACGGGGCGTGCGAAGGAACCTTGGTTTGTGCGATTTGATGCACATAGCCCTCTGCAGACGAAAGATCTAATGCCACATCCTCCAGATGTACGCACTGGCTTACTGTCGAAAACCTGAGGGTATTTGCCTAAGAGGCAACGTGTTCTGTAAGATATCATGCAGATAACCTCTGTTCTATCCCAGAGCTAAGCCTCTCCCTACGGACTGGGGGAGCAGGGCCTGATGGGACTAAGCAAAGAGACGGAAGTCATCGACGTAGGCAAATGCGAAGGTGCATGTCGACATGATTACATAGGAAATGGATGCCTGGTGCGGCAGTGAGCAAACACACATCAGCAAAACCGGCCGCCTTTACTCAACTATGGTCGGTGTTGCAGACAAAGAAGAAAGCCAGAGTAGATCCATCATGCAAACGCTATGGTATCCTAAATACAGTCAACGCCCGCTAAAACCATGCGCTCATGCTCCCTTGGCGTACGAGTTGCCACCAGCGGCTTGGTCGAAACCGATCATGCCGTCCAAGCCACAGACCTGAAATAGCTCCCTGGGCCCGTATCTCCTTCCATTTTCTTCTGCAGGCCCAACGTTGCCGGTGGTTTTCAGCTGCTGCACAGCCTTCCTAACCGCTGGGTACACCATCTCAAACGCCAGGCATGGGAAGATGGCAAGCTTGTATCCCAACTCCCTGCATTCCTTGACACCGAAGTCGGGCGAGACGCCGCCGGGGACGTTGTTGAACAGACAAGGTGTTGGCGCGAGCTCTTTGCATGCACGCTCAGCGTCTTCGCGGGTAGTAACACCTTCCAAGAAACAAACATCGGCACCTTCTGCAATGGCGGCTTGGAGACGTTTGATGGCCTCATCGTACCCGTATCCTTGGAAAGCGTCCGTTCGTGCGATGATGACAATGTCGCCATGCTTCTCGCGAGCCATAGCTGCAGCTTTGATCCTTGAGGCGTACTCAGCAATACTGACCAGTTCCTTGCCATTCAAGTGACCGCAGCGCTTATTGACAACTTGGTCTTCCAGGTGAAGTCCTGCTACGCCAGCACGGATATACTGCGCAACTGTACGGCCAGCCATGATGGGCCCGCCGTATCCTGTGTCTGCATCTGCGATGAGCGGTATGCTAGGATCGAGGTTGGCGATCATTTCAGCGTTCGCCTTCATGTCGTTCATAGTCGCGATACCCATGTCTGCCATACCCAATCTACTCATCGTGGTACCTGCGCCGGTCTGCATGCATATGTTAGTTTTGCAGGTCCTTCCCGTAAATGCATCCCACGAGGAATCATAATGACTTACCATATACAAGCAATCGACGCCTTCCTGTAGAGCTATCCGCGCCGTGAAGCCATCGTACACTCCAGGACATGCGATGAACTTGTCTGGATCTGCCAGCATTGATCTCAGCTTCTGAACTGCGGTCATTGTGCGTGTGTCGTTGGTGATTGAGCCCACTTTGGGGAATATGCCGCTTTCTTGTTGTGAATGTTCGTGTCGAACACGTTGGGGGTGCCGTTCACTTCAACACAACAAATAGGGAATGACGATTGGTGAGAAGGTATTAAAAGAAGGTACTAAGGGAAAATACCAAGCAGATTGAAACGATACCTAGAATGGATCGAATCTGAAGGGAAGGAAGTATCAAGCCGAACCCTGTTCTTAAACTTATATGTTTGTCACTGTTGATGCTCACCAGAATAAGAGGCATGATCGGCACCGAGTCGCTGATTGTGTGGAGGCCGTCATCAACTTCGCAGTTTGATACGGTAGCCGTAGCCACTTGCGAACCCGTCGAATAATATCGCAGCAATAAGGCTCGTCAGTTTTCGTCTAGAACGAACTTTGGTGCGTAATGGCCATGAAGTGCACCCCGCAACGTCTGTGATGTACTGCACGACGCCGATTTTCGCCGGGTCTTTCACCAATGGACGCGCCACCACTAGCCGTCAGTGGCTCAGAATTGAGTAACGCGAGTGCAAAGAGAAGATCGGTACGCAGTCGTTCGCCGACTAGCACGGGAAATGTCCGGAGTGATGCATGCGAGGGGTGAGCCGTGTGTGGGGTATCGGCATGTCTTCGTGGGATGAGCTCTAGCTCACATCACTGTGAGGAAGGGTTTCGTGAACCTGATAAGGAGCATACTACGTGCACGTCAGATCATGCCGCAGTAACGATATGCTGTGACATTGTGGTCGATCCTGTAGAAGTAGACACGCTCGACTCAGCTTCGCACGTCGTAGGGTGAACTTACGGTCACGTCATGTTCGGTGGAGATTTATCGTTACCAAATGCCGGCATGATATTAGCAAATGCAAGGAGTAATTTGTAGCACTCACCATTGTGGCACCCCTCGAGTGTTCAGTTGACCGAGAGCTCGTCGTCCATCAACGACTTGCCCTGAGTTCGGCGGACTCGGCCTCGTTTTGATGCCCATCGTCTATAAACGCAGTGTTCCCCCTTTCGACCTTCGTCAGTTCATACCACAATTTCGTTATCAACGTCCGAAAAAGACTTTCACATTAACGACTTGTCCCCAGTTTCAGTGACATTCAGTCGTACCGGATGTTGAAGATCATATCATTGCGACGTATACTAACCTATCTCGCTAATCGAGCACTTTGTCGAAGCCCAAAGCGTGGAGGACGTCGACAGAGGTCTTATCCCGCCGACCACTACCTGCGACCTTGACAACGGACCTTCATACACCGAAATAATCTTCGTTGGATTTTCGCCGTTATTGTTGGTGTTCGGTTCCTCCTTCAGACTGTAGTATTATTTCGGGTCGAGATAATGTCGCAATTACTCGGCCTCCGTGTACTCTGTCGAAGCACTTTCGGCGAGAGCATGGTGTACAGATTGGCCTCCGTTTTACGCTAAATCTCGTCCCACGCGGCGCACAACAGCAAGGTTGGATATCTCGACGAACCTTTACAAGCGCGGCCCGTGGTGTGGCAACCTGTAATTGGTGTTTGGTCAAATCCTTCGCGTTGTGCCGAGCCGGCGGTCTCCCGTGTCCTGCTATTCACCGTCCCTATAAGCGTCTGGACCAACTAAGCGGTGGTCATCCAGTCTTTCAGCCAAAAGTATAGCCCATGTTGCCAACATTCTGTGGCATCAACGGTCCACCTAAGGGGCCCAAAGGAACGCTGGGGAGGTCGCTATTCGAGAATCCAAATCCAGCTGCCCAATCGTAATCTGGAAACTGGTCCAACATCGGTGGGACGCTATAGTCAGATCCGTCCCAGGTATCGAAGCTCATCCCTGCTGAAGGATCGACCTGCAACTGAGGATTGATCAAGCTCGGGTCGAACTTGGTGAGAGGCTGCTGCGCTGTGAGTACACTTGTTGGTGCTGAGGCTGACACTGGGATTTTCGGATCTTGGCTCTGGTGTTGAACGAATGCTTCATGCAGTATTAGCTGAGGTCCGAAAGACTGAAAAGAGATTTGCTTACGAGATGTACCCGGCTGCGTTGTTTCGTTGGGCGCATTGATGGCATCATCTCCATTGTACGGATTCTGCATTTGGTTGAATTCCTCTCTCCAATACCAAAACATGTCGTAAGTGACACTCATGCTGAGCCTGGTCCGCAGTCTCAGTCCGAGCGACTCGATACGTCCGTCCCTCCTGCGGAAAACCTTGTTGCTGTTCCAGAGTTCGTTCATGATCAGGGCAGTGCGTATTTCGACGTCTCCAGATTGCATAGACACATTCTTGAGGAACTCTACCGCCTGGAAATAGGCTTGCTCTCCAGCAGTAAGATCCAGGTGCTGAGCAAGGGGGCTTCTGACAAGCCTCAGGATAGAGAACCCAGCGAGACAAATTGTCCGGTCTACAAATGATTGGCTTACTGATGCGAAGTTGACCGTCTGAGCCATCGCAGTTGCGGTGTTGATCGTAGAGATGCAATGTGAGTAAAACCGTGACAAGCCGTCCACATCAGGGTTCATGGGGTGGGCGAAGAAATGGAAAGCCATCACGTGGATACGGGCACAGTTAAGTTGCATGGTGTCTATCACAGTCAGCTATGTTTTTTTGCACACGAACAATGCCACTCACCTAGTTCACTTGGCGCGGACGGTGCCAAGCTAAGAAGTTGAGAGTCGAAAATACTGATGACTGATCGTAGAACGCGGACGTCGCACTTGATCGACTGGAGATTCGTCTTTCCCATTGCGACGATGGCGCGCAACAGGGTGATGTAGACTTTGTGAAGGAATTGAAGATCAGTTGGCAGGTACGGGTTAATATCCTCTCGATCTCGCTCGTCACAGTCGAAGAACGACTCTGCGAGAGGCGGGATCCCTTCTGCGCAACTTGTCCTGCAAGCGATTAGATCCTCTGTTCCGAAGCTTGTGCATGTCTTCTTACCTTATGGACACAACAACGCAGCACAGCCACAGCCTTGCTCGAAAGACCTTCTGCTCCAGGTCTTTCTTGACGGGCATCCTGGCGAAGTCTTGTCCGACGCCTGAAATGTGCAGGCCAATCTGGGTGGCCAAATGGACTGCGGATCCACACATGAGGTGGGTCATGTCTTTATACATGGAGTTTGTGGGTAACCGCCAAGTACAGAGAAGCAGGAGGCCCTGGATCACCGGCATTGGCGACGAGCGTAGGGCAATCGAAGAGAAAGCTAGAGGAGTTATAAGCTGGCTCGATTTGTCGAGGATATTTGGATCGTCAGCATATCGTCTCGATCCAATCACGATGATGGTCCAAAATAAAAATGGCGACAAGTCGTAGTAGTCGTTTGGCCCTAGCGACGCATCCAGAATGGGAAACAAAGGATGATACTGTGTAAAGAATCTAAGAAAAGGTCAGAAAAGAGGACAACGAAGGGCGACGGGAGGCAATACAGCATGAAGCAATCGTCGATTCGCTTGGGATCGAGAACGTAACCTTCCAGCATGCGTGGGATCGTGCCGTTGGAAGCAGAGCCTTTCCTCGTCGGTGGCCGTGATTCGGGCCCTGGGGAAAGTGAATATGACCCATCAGTCTGGCCTGAGGGATCTGAGTAGGCTGATTGATCGCGGTCCAGGTCCATGTTCGGCGATGCATTCGAATGCGGGTAATTAGAGTCTGTTGCTGAGCCTGGCGGTTGGTTGTGTCTCATACTCCATCGAAGCTCTTCAAGTTCTCTGCGCATCTCAGCCTTGGTCTGCCTAAGATTCCTAGTCGATGTTGGCAAGATTCTGCACTCGAGACCCATCTTCTTGCAGCGGCCGCAAGGGTCATGTGGCACTTTGTGTTGTTCGACATCGCATCGAATCTATCAGGTCAGTCGGCGCGTCCATTGTTAAGATGGATGCACGTGGTGATGAGGGGTGGTACCTTTTGTTGTCGACATTCGACGCATGCCTTCCGCCTGGGGGTAGTCATATCGGAAATCCTTCGCCAAAGATATCCACAATCGGTGAGCGGCAATGAGTCAGCCCTATAGCAGCAGCAATTCGTGATCAGTCGGCGAAATAAGGCATATAAGTGTAAAAAGGAAGCTCGCCATGAAGCGAAGTGGAACCACAGGAGAGAAATTAGCTCTCTACGTCGTCATAAGACCTGCTGCAACCGGTGCGAGTCGGAAGGCGGGGAAGAACCGAAGAAGGACCGCTAGGGAGATATTTGTTGTGTCTTTGGTATCGAATTTTCTCTGATTTCACCCTGAGCCCCAGGTGTTTTTCTTACAAATCTATCTGTTTAGTGCGGTGCTGGAGCTAACAATACTTTTGCTTGTGTGTGGTTGATGCTTGCATCAGCTGTGGATCACAGCGTGAAAATACCCATGCTTAGAAGTGCCAAACTTTGGTTGTTCTAGCGCGCTCCTCGCGCTGCACGTCCGCCTCGAGCCATGGGAATTCGATGAGCGCGTTCTTAGGTGCACAATGTGCATCTGCTAGACACGGCGTTGTTGAGTAACCAAGCTTTCACGTGTATAATTCTTATGCACTCAAAAGCGTGGCCAAGATGCACAAAAACGCGGCTGCAGTTCCGCCCTTAACTGACCCTCGATTTCTCTTACCGCCATACTCCCAGCAAATGCCAAACGTGTTCGGTGGAGACCAGAAATGTAAGCGTGCCTGATCTTCCTCGCCATCCACACAGCTTGACCTCTTGCGGTCTGGCCGTGGGCCTGACCTCTATAGCTTCACTCTGCTGCCACCAAAAGAACGGGCACTACTCGGGTTACACGGATTTACGGGTTAGTAGCGCTCGAATCAAGTCATTAATTTCATACAAATCTACTCAGCCACCAGCCAGTGTCGAGCCAGCTGCGTCAGAACGGTGGATGTTCCGCGCGCCACACCTGCTGTGGACATGTGTAACGAGCCCCTGCTTAGGTATGAGATTCTGTACAGGCCTTGCAAGTGCTAGATGCAAATCATCCACGTGGTGAGTGAAAGCGGAGACTCTAATGAGCGCATCCATAGCTTAGCGGAAGTTTTTTCCGTCGTGGCAGCTGGGCATGGTGGACAGACATGATCTGCGCTTGGCATGGTCACACATTGGCCTTAGAGTTGAGCCTCACCTACGGTCCGCGGACAGTAGCGTATACGTTGTCACTGTGAAGAGAGTTGCTCTTGACGCCGTTATCTTCATAGAAGCGAAACCAACCCAGTCAGATTTAGATTTCTGCTGATAAGCTTGGGTGGTATACCTGAAGCATTCCAACCCTCCCGACATTCATCTTGAGCGCGTAACTGTTGTTGCAACAAGCAACTGCATGAGCTAGACTATTGTATGTCCATAATTTCGGCACCCGAACCCCTTCTCTCAACGCACAGTCGCATGACCTCCACTCGAGTCGCGACTTCAATCTCAATCTTCACCCTCATCGACTAGCCCAGGGATCTCTCCCACAGCTCCGTTGCGGAGGGCAGGTTGACCGTCGCCTCTTCCATTCCTTCAGAGATTTCAGCCTCCGCAGATAGGCGAAGTATCACGGGATAGTAGAGGTCCTCGCACTACCGTATTGTTGTTGTGGCGCGTATATTTAGTCTAATCGAGATCTGGTGTTGGCACGACGTGGAAGTTAGAAGATCAGCAATCGACCTTCCTCTTGCAAACAGCCCAAGTTTCCCGAGGGCGAAAGGAATATGAACCCTAGCGCGGTCGACATACAGGTGTAGTCCAAAGAGGAAAGCCTTGCTCAGAGCACACTGTCGCAGGACACACGACTTAGATATGCTCGAGGCCGACACGAATGGCCGTCTGAAGGTCTGGCTGTGACATCTCGTCACAACATCGTTCATGACCACGCGTTGCAAATTGAATTACCATCATTTCGAAATCAATGCATGCCCTGTAGTCAGAGATACGTCAAGCATCCAAGCCAATATCGACGAATGCTGATCAGCAAATCAACACTCCATACCAGGGTCCCATACCAGACCCCAACTCGAATCATCGTATTGACGGAATCTGACTGTCCTCCATCAATGATCTATGCAGTTCATATATATTGCCTCTCTCAACACCGAGTTCCCCTGGAGAATTCTAGGAGAAATTTCGGCTTCCACATGCGTCGCGGTGCAAGCATCCAGCATCAAAAGCTAGCGTCCAATAACACCCCAATACCACGTGGATTACTATCACCAGCGATTGGTACGCGTGTCTCGCACCTCAGTAGAACTCCGTCGTTCAGGCATCAGATCTTGCTCTGGACTGACACAAAGGGCCGACTCGGAAGCCGGCACTACGTCAATGCAAAGTGCAGTGCATTAGGGACGCACAGTATGTGGATCGGCAGGCGACAACCCCACAATAAACATCACTACCTATTCCACGGTACAGGTATGCTCATACAATACGAGAAGCAAGTAGCTTCACATGGATTCTAGATCAAGTATCTATATCGCGGTCTAGGATATCGTGGATGTAGCTCAACGGCCGTAACCAACACTGCCCTCGCACAGATCAAACAACCTCCGCCCCGTCAGGGCTAGAGAACCACTGGGACCCGCCCAAGCAGCAAAGCGCTCGCCGATACCCAAAACGTGGTTGGAGTAGAATAGTAAACGCACAGAAACCGCTGTGCCAAAACGCCTGTCCAGCGCCAAACCGAGCAATAGTAACCCACGCAATGCAAGCCTTTGGTAAGCGCTTACAAGAAGGGCAGCACGATGCCCTTCCTCATCGGACTGCCACGACCGTCGGAGTCAGCGCTGTACCCAGAGTCGCGATCGATATCGTCGTTGTCGATATCAATGTCAAAGGCGGCATCGGCCTCCTCACCGTCGGCCTCTTCCTCGTCGCCATCCCATGCCTTCTGTGTAGCGCCGCGGTTATTCCAGCGGAGTGTACGGCTGATACTGTCGAACCACTCGGTGGGCTGCGACAGGACGGTGGGGAAGGGGTACTGCGAGGCCGCGATGGTGACATGGTCACCCTGGCGGAGCTCGACGCGGCCCTTGCCGTCGAAAGCGCAGTAAGCGGTTGCGCGTGACTTGAGCGGTACAGCGATGCGGAGGGCCATGCTGTCATTCAATAGCATGGGGCGGAAGGAGAGGGTGTGTGGACAGATTGGGGTGAGGAGGATCGCCGGGATATCGGGATGCACGAGTGATCCACCGGCAGAGAGCGAGTATGCTGTCGAGCCGGTGGGCGTTGAGAAGATGCAGCCATCTGCTTGTACGACCGTGAGGAGATTGTTATCGCCATACAGTTCGAGGTTGGAGACATAGGGCGATGGCCCGCGGTCAATGACCAGTTCGTTGAGAACCTCGAATTGCTCGGCCTCAATGTGTTGAGGAGACCCAGGGGCTGCATTCTTCTGGTATCTGTAGACTGTGCAAGTGAAGCGCATGCGCAGGTTGACGCGCATGCCGGCATCGCCCATAATCTTGCTGAGCGCTTCCTTGTACTGGTCGAACTGGAAGTTTGTCAGGAAACCGAGACTGCCGAGAGAGAATGAGAGAATCGGCGGCACAATGCGCTGGAACAGCCATGATGTAAAGAGGACTGTGCCGTCACCACCAAGCGTGAGCACAAGGTCGAACTTTTCTGGTGTCTCCCAGCAGAGGTCTGGTGTCCAGTAGCGGAGCGATTGCTCGAAACGCTTGTCCTTGGCTACCAGAGAAGATGCATCGAAGCGCTTCGATCTTTGCAGCTTGTGGTCCACGTAGACATTTACACCCACGTCTGAGCCATATCGTGGGGTCATGAGAAGCCACTCTGCCAACTCTCGAGTTAAGTGTACTAGGGCGTTGTCGCGCGCTTTGGTAACAATCATGACATTGCGCACTGTCATCCTAATCGGTCGGCGTTGAAGTTGCTTGGAAACTTCACGCACACTGAAGGCCGTTTGCATGAGCCTCGAATGCGATATTGAATCATCGTCTGCAATTTCCTCCAGTACTTTGTCGAGGTTTACTGCTTTGTCGAACTTCTTGTGGAAGAAGCATGGCGATGCAAGTGCGGCCATCTTGCTCACAGCGAGGTCTCCTGAATTCAAGTTGAACTCAGAAAGTGCATCGGCAAGCGCTTTGTGGGTAATGCTCTTTGAGCGCTGGGTCTTGCCCTCTGCTGCGCTTTTCCTGCCCTCCATAACCACGTTGTCGATCGACTGTGACGTTGGTGGTCGTGATTGCAGGGCCTTGAGGATCGTCTGGCGGGGTATGGCCGAATCGAATGAAGCTGCGTTCTTGCGGTGCTTCCGGATGCGGTGCTCACCAAAAGATGGCAGCTGTGGCAGGACTGTAAGATTTTCAATCGAAGATGAGTTGCTAATAACATTCGAATGTTTGTTCCGAGGTGGTTCGCCCGGTGTCGCAAAGGATAGGATTGAGTCGGAGGCAGTGGGCGCACCGACTAGGTCTGTCGTTGCTACCGATGATGCATTATCTTCGGGGGCTTGGGGCAAGTAAACACTTGTCTGCGGAGGCTGCGGAGGAGCAGGATGAGTGAGATTTATCGATGCCACACCGGCGGCGTTAACGGCGGAGAAGTTATCCCGCGGGTTTTGTGGAGAAAGGAGCGGGTGAATTGTGGTCGGTGAGAACGGCTCCCCATTCTTGGTTGTACTCGGCATCATTGTCGCTTATCGAATTACTGAACAGCGCGGGATGCGATCGCGCAAATGACGACAATATTCGCCGGACGTCGTCCTTGCGAAGATGGGTACCGCTGCGAAAAGTGCCGGTGATTAAGTTGCTGTTGGATGTTGAGTGATTACAGCGATTCAACAACGTGACCAGACGTTCAATCGACTATAATAATTGTAACGAGCTCCAGGCTAGGAATGATAAGTGAAACGAGAAGAGGGTCCGTAGGATTGCAGCTACTGCATGGGAGCGACTCGTGAGGTCTCGGGGCTCGGGGATATAATGGCTGCAAGCAGTGACGGTAGCTGCCGATGTGGTGGCGGGCGACGCTGCGCAATCGCCGGTGGAGTTGATCAAAGACTGTATTGAAGAGACCGGCTCAGATGTTGACTGAAAAACAAAAAGAACAACAAAAGAAGTGAATGCTCGAAAGTGATTCCAATTGCAAGGCGCAAACTGGGGAAGATAGGTGGATGTGAACTTCGCGGCAAGCACTAAACGCACCTGCTGCATCTGATCTATATTCACATTGGCATCTGCACAACATTACTATTACCCAGCCGTTCTTCGATAGGCACACGAGCCACATACAGCACTGTTCTACACGCAGCCTCAAACGCAGATAGCGCAAGTGCGTGGCGGCTAGCCCGCTGAGGGAAGTTGACACCTGCAGCGTTTGAGGCACAAGTCAGCGTCGGCTTTCGGTCCAAAGTTAGAAAGAAGCTTTGCTCAAACCGCCGTGCCGAAGCAAAGTCGACTGTCAGCGGACGGCTGCACGTGCTGTCAATTTGTCTCCTTAGGCATCGCTCTCGTCAAGGTCATTGCGTTATTGGAATGGAGTCCATCTGAGCGCTTGTGGGTCGTGCCGCCGACCCTCGACCAGAACCTCACACCCTTAGCGTTCGAAGAGGCTGTCCTTGAAATGGCTCATCAATTTGATACTGAGCGAACTCTAGTCACTTCATGTATCGAGATCGAGCCTCGTAGTCCCAGATACCGGGGAGTAAAGCCGCTTTGCCCGCACCTCGCGAGGACAAATAGGAGTACTTTACTGACATGAGCACGAAACGACTGAGAGTAGACTAGCCCTGCGGACGGTGTAACAGATGGCAACAGCCTTTGTCTTGACACATGGCAATCGGAGACGAGACAGATTGAGCCTCGCTACCAGGAAAGCCGCCTACTACCGTACTTCGAAGGCGCATAAAGTCGCTGCCGTTATACCGATGCATGCATGTGTGAATCATACACCTCAGAAACATGTATCATGAAATTGGGTCGGAGGTAGCGGGAGGTGCGGTGCGGCACGCCTTGGAGCTTGTGGAGCCAAGGCCGCCTTTCACATGGGCTTCGTCCGCAGGTTAGCCTATGCCCCCTGTTTGCCTCACGCAAATCGCAAACCTGCAGATGAGAGGTCAGTAACATATTTCAACACACGATAATGAGGTATTTCGCAGCGGGTTCTTTGTCATCCAGAGGGAAGTGCTGAGACATCCTCCCGCGGTGACAGCCTGGAACACTCGGTTGGCGCGTAGGAAAACAGGCTTAATGCGTGTTTCTAATTGGCCTTCGCCTTCTCCTCATTCGCGTATCAGTGACTGTTTGCAGTTGTGTATCTTGAGCCTCACACCGATCGCGACTCGTAGGTTGGCGGTCACGGAAGAAGTGGGTAATATACTGAGTCATTGGTAATACGGATCCGCTCAGTTCGTGATCCTAAAGCGTGTCAATGTGGGTATGGCGTGATATTGTGTATCAATAGTGTTGATTGTATAGCAAGTCGTACTTTTGATGGTCGTTGACAAGTCGTGGTATCTATAATAGCGTAGTTTTCAAAAAAGATCAAGCCCAATAGCTTTAGACCGAGGCGAGGGCCTTACGAGCGAACGTGGGCAGAACGAAAGAAGCCTCATGTATCTCCTTGCTGTAGTATCTACATTTCTGGTCCTCCTCCTCGGGCGTCCAGCTGCGAAGAGGCTTCTTGAGGTTGCGCTCGCCGTCCTTGGAGCAGACCATGAAGCCGATCTGTCCGGAGGGGTAGGTAGGAATGGTGGTGTAGGCGTACTCGACGGTAGGGAAGACAGCCTTGCAAGACTTCTTGAGGTCGGTGATGATGTGGAGGTGAAGCCACTGGTTCTCAGCTGTGCGGTAGTCAGCAAATGTTCATAGAAGCGCTTAGCGAGCGCATGATGATCTTTGTAAGTCAAAGGCAGTACGGGATTAGGAAGGGGGCTTACAACCTTGGGTCGTAATGACACCACCCTCGCGAAGAGCGCCGCTCAACAGCTCAAAGTATGGCTTCTGGAAGAGAGCCTCGGCAGGGCCCTCTGGGTCGGAGGAGTCGGTGATGATAACATCGAACTGGTTTTTCTTATCCTCAAGAAATTTGAAGCCGTCACCAACAATGGTCTCGGCCTTGGGGTGGTCGAAGCCAATGGACATGCCAGGGAGGTACTTCTTGGAGAGACGAATGACAGCTTCATCGATGTCGCAAAGAACGGCCTTCTCGACGCAATCGTGCTTGACGACCTCACGGAGGACACCGCCGTCACCACCACCGATAACGAGGACGTTCTTGGGGTTGGGGTGTGAGTTCATGGCTAGGTGAGTGATCATTTCCTGGTAGCTGTGTTCAAGTTAGTCATTCCCACGATGCGTAATTGGGTATGTAGAGGCGTACGAGAACTCATCGCGCTCAGTGCACTGGATGACGTTGTCCAGAACAAGAACCATGCCGTAGTCGGTGGACTTGAAGATGAGGACATCCTGGTACAAGCTCTTCTCATGGTGGATGACCTCCTCGACCTTGAGGGTCATGGCCTGACCAGGCCACATGCCGGAGATCTCGCGGAACCAGCCATCTATGAGGCACGTTAGCTCATTATAAAAGCCAAAGGGCGAGATTGAGCGCAAGTGACGCTACAAATGACATACCCTTGATAGTGGGGTGCTCGATGGCAGGCATTTTGTAAGATTTGTTTGTGAAGTAACGGTGTTTGTGTTTATGTAGGAAGAATGCTTTGCAACTGTTGACAGAGAACGAGACAGGTCGGTAATGAATATAAATGGGGACCTTCAGGATTGCGGTGTCAATTGGGCTCTTCAAAAACTTTCACCTGGGCAACAATTTTCAAGCTATCCAGGCCCGTCATGCCCCGCGCACCATCTATGCCGAAGGCGCCTTCCCTATCGGAGCCTAGTACAGGACACTCAGTGGAGAGCGAGGAAGGTGCTGCCGACCCACGACATGTCCAAAACCGGCAATTATTCAGAGAAGTCTTGGCTTGTGCTCATGCATTTACGGTGATGGTGAAGGCACAAACCCGTGGGAGGTGATCATGGCCTTGAGGTCATGCCTGCGGCGCGACTGGTGGGCTTGGAAAATTCGCCAGCACGAAGCGGGGTTGATCTTAGGCGAACCTTATTCCCAAGATTCCGGATTGGGGCCTTGTCATCGGCCTGTTGCTGCGAGGGAGCCGACATGATACGATTGTGACACGCTTGCTATGAGAACCAGCAAGCGCTGGTAGACATCCATCCTCAGATCTCATTGCTCTTGCAACAGCTCAGCTACGACACCCACTCACAATCGACCCAAATATGGCAGAAGCTCCGAAGGTGAATAATATTGAACAGTACCTGACAGACAAGACATGGGTTGATAACCCTGAGGTCTTGCCTTGGTATGTCAGGGACCTGGTTGACCTCCAGCCAACGACCAAAGAGCTTTTCGAGACATACAGCAAGGTCCCATCAGATGAGGTGGTACCTCATATCACACAGATCAGGAACAAGGCCTTCAAGATTGTAAGATAACTCCCTCTCCTAGCTCTACAAGAGCTGACGCGACGAACAGTTTCCGTACCCATGTCTCGGACACTGGGGGTTCCTTAACTTGAACATCCAGAAGTCAGACGCCTACAGTGAGGTACTTCGGCGTATCAAGGAGGGCGAGCAGTACCTGGACATCGGCTGCTGCATGGGTCAAGACATACGTAAGCTTGTGTACGATGGCGCACCCTCAGACAAGATGCACGCTTCAGATTTGAAAGGCCAATTTTGGGATGTTGGCTACGAGCTGTTCCTGGACAACTCATCACTGAAGGCGACCTTCATCGAGGCCGACATCTTCGATGACCAGTCGGGTCTACACCAACTGGCTGGCAAGCTCGACATTGTGCACACAGCATCATTCTTCCATTTGTTCGATTGGGACGGCCAGGTTGCTGCGGCCAAGAAAATTGTAGGCCTGTTCAGACCTGATTCGAATAGTCTACTCATTGGCCGTCAAGCTGGACGTGCAGAAGCCGGTGATTTCACAACTCAGGTAGAGAAGACTAAGGATCGCTACTGGCACAACCCGGAGTCGTGGGCGAGATTGTGGAAGCAAGTCGGTGAAGAAACCTCCACGAATTGGAATGTTGAGGCCGATTTCGACGACAGGACTGACTTGTTTCGCCAAAAGTCTGGCATGGCTGACTTTATCCCTCAAGACACCAAGTTCATGAGGTTCATCATCCGGAGGGCATGAGGCGCAAGGGATTGTGTCGTGCTGAGGAGTGACGAAAATTTTCGAGATGCTAGCGCGATAAATCTCAGACCGTCTTGCTTTCAGCTTTCAGCAATTACTTATGTGTTCCGAGTGTCAGTTGGGGAAAGTGCAGTACGTTGTGATCTGAGGCTCAAACTGCAGGCGCGAGGCATGGCCGGCCAATCAGTCTTGGCGGGTCACAAGCAAACACACCAAACACATTCGTGGCTTCAACATCACCACGATCCCAAACCCACAAACCTGCGCCTCTCGTATCCGTTATAGCTTCTTGCGCTTCTATAAATCACAATGGATCCGTATTCGCCTGAGGGAGGCACGTTCATTGCTGTAACGCAGCGCTATGTCTTGCTAACAGCTTTCCAGAGCTCATTAACATCCACACTGCGTTCCACGCCGGCGCATACCAACAAGTCCTCGACTTTGACACCTCCTCCTTCTCCTCCAGCAATGCGCTGCCTGTCCGAGTCTTGAAGGCACGCTCACAAATCGCTCTTGGCCAAGCAGAAACCGTCTCCTCCGAGTTCGCCAGCGAAAAGACACCAGACCTTGCTGTTGTAAAGCTGCTGGCAGATCTCGAGCAAGGCAAGGACGTCACAAGTGCAGCGAAGAAGCTGGTAGAACAGCACGGCCAGGAGAACATGACTGTACAGATCATTGGAGGCATGATCTTGGAGCGGGCAGGCGAGACAGAAGAGGCTCTTGCGCTGCTGAGCAAGCACCAGGGCAGTCTGGATGCGTACGTCGCAGCATGTTTGAAATTACAACCAGTAGCTAATGTGAACAAGCGTTGCTCTCATTGTACAGATTCACCTCCAGCAGAACCGCACAGATCTCGCAGCCAAGGAGGCTCAGCGTGCACGGAAATGGGCACAGGACAGTCTGCTCGTTAATATTGCCGAGTCCTGGGTTGGCATGCGCGAGGTATTCTATCTATCTGAAGCATTCCAGCAAGTCGGAGTCTAACACAACGTAGGGCGGTGAGAAGTACCAATCTGCGTTCTACGTATTCGAAGAGCTCGCCCAGACCTCGCAATCGCAGTCATCACACTCGCTCGTCGCACAGGCCGTCTCGGAACTGCACCTTGGTCGCTTGCCAGAGGCTGAAGCCGCTCTTCAACAGGCCATTGAGATCGACCCCAAGTCGGCAGACACAATTGCAAATCTGATCGTCCTCAACACATTACTTGGAAAGACTGAGGAGACAGGACTGTTGAAGCAGCAGCTCCAGAGCGTCGATGCCCAACACAGAGCGGTTCAGGACTGGGCAGAAAAGAAGAGCGATTTCCAGAAGGCGGCGGCGAAGTATACACCCAAATTTGAGGTTGCTGCTTAGAGGGGGTACGACGGAGGATACAAAGAAGATGCCAAATAGGCCACAGGTACACTTGGAGGTACAGGAGCGGCTTGTTTCGATCAGCACGGGCAGCGCTCGAAGATGAGACGAGTATCTTGGCGAAGAATGAAATTACATGAACATCGCCAAGATTCCGGTTGCTCGATTTCCCATCACGGTTCACGGCTAATCGTTCAAGAAGTTTCAGCTGTAGTCAGCTCCCGTCATGACAGCTCGCCTGCTTCGTCCCCAAGATCTAGAGTGCGACCCTCCCGAGAGAACAACTCGCGAAGGACTAGGTCAGGACTAGGTCAGGACCTTGTTTGCTGCTTACGTTTCTTAGTATCAAGGCTAGGAAAATTGTCGCCGGACTGATCTGAGTCTCAAGTAGATAAAATGCACCTCCCAGAAGGGTGTACCACATCAGATGCACCAGGCATACCTACCGGTGGAGCAGCCCTCACGCTCCTCGGAGACTTGATTCCGGCGTCTAAGAAATGTAGGTGAAGATGGACACCGTCCACATGCTCACCGCATGTGGCTTTGTGACTGATCCAGACAACGGAAGTGGCATCTTCCGAATTGACGCCCAGCTGCAACATATAATTATAGACCCTGACCATGCATGCAAGCCCTGTTTGCAGCCGTCCTCCAGTAGCAAGTCGTCCTTCACAACACCTGGCAGCGACGCTTCATGTGGTAGCGCGGTATAGCAAAGATAAGGACTTTGTGGTGTGTGACGTGTGGCTGTCGATAGCTCGATGCCGTTGTTACTTCGCGTTGCACTTCGCGCATGCGTGCAGCCTGAGGCCGCGGCATCGAGCTCGGACGCTGAGCGTGCCGCAACACGCGGGCGCATCAAACGTTGTCGATCAATCCAGGCTGTCGGATCCTTCAGCCCTGACGTCGAGATCATCCTTCACCCTCTCATTTCTCTATAGGCATGCGTTGTGAGCGCTTTCACTCGCGCCATCCACCGACAACTTGTCAGCGCTGTAATGCAGAGTCCATGCAGAGTCCATGCAGAGTCCATGCACATTTCGCAGCTGACACGCACAACGTCGGCGCGTGGGGCGCAAGGCCGCACGTTACGCTGCGACAGCATGTGTAGTGGCTCCCGGGACGTGACGCATCCGAAGCAATCTTGGAACAAGCTTAGCTCTAGCCCTGCATCCAATAAGGGCGGGCCCACCGACCAAAGTTGCAGGTCTTGGTCGCAGCTGCGATTCCAAAGAAAGCAATGCACACGAGGAATCCATGTGTTCGGATTTGTGGACTGCGACTTTGGGCGTCTTTCGGCGCAAAAGCAAGGGTGCGTGTGTAAAAATTTCAGGTCCAGCGGTTTGCGGTTTGGTGTGCCCGCCGCAAGATGAGTGATCTGCTGAGCCCGCTTAATTCTATGCTGGTATGGAAGTGACTTGAGTAATCTCCTCACATACCTAAGAGATCGTTCCTCATACCCCCGTTCATAAGCTCTTTCGCTACTCACACCTTGCGTCGTTGACTACGCACGCGTTCCTGTCCGTTCCAGCTGGAAGTACTTCCGGCGTCCGCTATCTCCGGCGCGCCACACCAAATCGATACGATTTCGCATGCTGTCGTCATAACTATGTTTGATATACAGGTCGAAGACACGCACGACGTGGAAGAGGCGCAAACACCAATACTTGAAAACATGGTCATCGGAGTACCGCCTGTGTTTGAGGGGTTGACGAAGCAGCTCGACAAGATCGTCGAGCAGCCGCTACTAGGCCCGAAAGCTGACTTCCCCGCAGGTACGTACTTCCCATCCGTACTCCAATGGTGTAAAAGCGAAACTGACCACTGGCAGCAAGCTTTGCATATGCTCGGAAGAGTGAGACCGGGCGGCGATTACCGCAGGCCATAGCGCATCGAGGATTCAAAGCGAAGTTCCCAGAGAACACCATGGGAGCGTTCAGAGGAGCTGTAGAGATTGGCGCAAATGCGGTCGAGACAGACGTCCACTTGACAAGAGACGGCGTTGTTGTCTTGTCGCACGACAAAGATCTGAAGCGTTGCTTTGGACGAAAAGAGAAGCTCATCGACTGCGACTACGAATTTGTGAGCAAGTTGAAGACACTAAAAGAGCCACATGAATCGATGCCGAGACTGGTTGATCTATTGGAATATTTGGCGCAACCGGGCTCAGAGGAAGTATGGCTCCTGCTGGACATCAAGGTAAGCTTCGATTAACGGTCACGTGTAATATGCGCTGACGTTGTGTAGCTCGACAACGACGCCAACGACGTGATGCAACTGATCAGCGAATCGATCCGAAGCGTACCTCCGTCGCCATCGAAGCCATGGCAGAGTCGCATTGTGCTGGGTTGCTGGGCAGCGAAGTACCTACCCTTGTGTTCGCACTATCTGCCCGGCTTCTCTGTCTCCCATATTGGCTTCTCGGTGCCTGTTGCATCGTACTTCTTCACAGTGCCGAACGTGTCGTTCAACATGAATCAGGCTGTGCTGATGCCGCCGTGGGGCAAAGCATTCATCCGGAAAGCGCAGCGTGACAGGCGGCCTGTATATGCCTGGACGGTGAACGATGCTCGACGTATGCGTTGGAACATTCAGCAAGGTCTGGATGGTGTCATCACAGACGACCCAGAGCTTTTTCTGGAGGTGCGTCGAGGTTGGCACGAAGGAACGAAGCATGGTCTGCGTATTTGGGACTGGTTGGACATCATGAGAGTGAATTTCTTCGCTCTCATATACTCGGTGCTGTTCCAGCTGGTGTTGGGATTCGGGCAGAACAAGCGGTTAGTGACGGTGAAGCAGGCCGCATAGTAGAGTCGCACAGCAACGCAAGTGCTGCAGCTGTTGACAAATACGCTGTCATTGCGCGTTTCTAAGTGCTGTTTGCATATATATGGCAGTGACATCGATGCTGAACTGATACGGTAGCTGTGCTCGGGAGCTCTTGCCCTACCAAATTTAGGCGGGCGCGTCCCTTGTCCCCGCACGCGTTAACACCCAACCAGCCCCACGCTCATTCACAACACACAACACCATGCCTAGGTACGACGAGACGCTTACAAGCACGACGCGCCTTGAAGCTTACTTGCACCTTGTAGGGAAATAATAACGCTGCAGGCTGGCCAATGCGGCAACAGCGTTGGGCAGCAGTTCTGGCAGCAATTATGTCAAGAACACGGCATCAACCAGGACGGTAACCTCGAAGACTTCGCGACCGAAGGCGGCGATCGAAAAGATGTGTTCTTCTATCAATCCGACGACACTCGCTATATTCCACGCGCCATTCTTCTCGACCTCGAGCCTAGAGTGCTCAACTCCATCCAATCAAGCGCCTACAAGAACATCTACAATCCAGAAAACTTCTACATTCACAAATCAGGCACCGGTGCTGGTAACAACTGGGGTATGGGATACAGTATGGGTGAGACAGTCCATGAAGAGATACTCGAGATGATCGACCGCGAGGCCGATGGCTCAGACTCGCTGGAGGGCTTCATGATGCTGCACTCAATTGCTGGAGGTACCGGTTCTGGTCTGGGATCTTACATGTTGGAGCGTCTGAATGATCGCTTCCCCAAGAAGCTCATCCAGACTTACAGTGTTTTCCCCAACACTCAAGATGGAGACATTGTCGTTCAGCCTTACAACAGTCTGCTCAGTATGCGTCGATTGACGCAAAATGCCGACTCGGTCGTGGTCTTAGACAATGGTGCCTTATCGAAGATCGCGGCAGACCGACTGCACGTACTCAATCCCTCCTTTGAGCAGACCAACCAGCTTGTCTCGACCGTCATGTCCGCCAGCACAACTACCTTGCGCTACCCAGGCTACATGCACAATGATCTGGTTGGCATTGTGGCATCACTCATTCCAACACCACGCTGCCATTTCCTCATGACCGCATACACACCTTTCTCAGGCGAGAACGTAGAACAGGCTAAGACTGTTCGTAAGACCACCGTGTTGGATGTCATGAGGCGACTGCTGCAGCCCAAGAACCGCATGGTCTCGACCAACCCCACCAAGAAGAGTTGCTACATGTCGATTCTGAACATCATCCAAGGAGAGGCAGATCCATCAGACGTGAGTCGCGTATACATAGTGACTGAAGTATCGACTAACATTTTTAGGTTCACAAATCACTTATGCGCATTCGCGAACGACGACTGGCTACCTTCATTCCGTGGGGTCCCGCCTCGATCCAGGTCGCACTTACCAAGAAGTCACCATATGTACAATCGTCACACCGCGTGTCTGGTCTCATGCTTGCCAATCATACTGGCATTGCAACGCTATTCAAGCGCATTGTAGCGCAGTATAGCACACTGAGGAAACGAAATGCTTTCCTGGAGAGCTACAAGCGCGAAACGCCATTCAAGGATGGCCTCGGCGAGTTCGACGAAGCTAAGGAAGTCGTCCAAGGCCTGATCGAGGAGTATGAGGATGCTGAGAATGCGGATTACCTGAGCAAGGAAACACCACCTGTTGACGAGGACGGCGATAAACGAGTTGGCTGAGCCACGTTTCGATATAGCATGGACGGCGTTCACATACTGTTGACATTACTGGAGTTCTCTGGATATGCCCTTTGTTGGTACAATACCGGCGTTCGGGCAGGCAAAGACGACCGCTTGTGTCGCAGAGCGATTCTTCAAAGATACCATTACTTCCTCGCAATCCTAGCCAGAGTTTCTACCGCAGTCACCCCTTTCTTACTGTTCAAAAGTTGGCTGCCTTTTGGATGTTGTGACTTCTGGCTGTGCTGACTCTCGTTAGCAGAGCGCGACCGTGGAACGACGATCAGCGAATATCAATACATGTGGCTTTCGAGATAAAACCACATGTGAATCTTATTCTCCGAATGTTCGGCTCCCCAACGTTACACTCGCAAAGCCGCAGAACAATTGTCACCAACACGAAATCCTGAACACAAACACTCCAACTCAGACCGGTCAACCTTAGAAATGTCTGCTCGACTAGTGTTGTCTCCATTGCCCATGCGCACTGTCACGCGCGCCGCAGCCGTCGCTTCGATACGATGCTCCGAAGCCGCCAGACTCAAGCGCGTCGACCACAACACGACCAACTTCGCTTCCTTGAACGACAGCATGAAAGATTCATCGACCCAGGTATTGTTTTCTCCGACTCTAGCTGTCGCCAAGTCACTTAGCCACCAGATCAAACCATCGACGCCGCAATCTGCTAGCTTGCCATGGCCCGTTGATGGTTTTGCCAAGGCGTTCGAGGAGGACAGGAAGATTGACAAGCTCAGTAAGACCTTTGTGCATGGTGAGAAGCAGGACAGGATTGTAAGTGCTTGGGAGCCGGCAGAAAAGGAGTTTTGGCTTTAAAGGTTTGGTGGGCCAGGGGAGGTGCTGGAGATGGTGGCAGGCAAGGGGACGGTGATCTTGAGGGATGCTGGTGAGCATGGAAAGAGGTATTTGAGGGTGCTCATCTAATGGTCACTTTGATTTTTAGAGCAGCATCATGATGTTGTCCATCTGACAGCGAGGCTGGAGACGTGAAAGTCGACCCGCATTTTGCGTATACGATGGACCTACCACCAACAACGACTATCAAATACGGCGCAGACTGGAAGCTATACCAAATTGGATCTGCAAACAGTTCGGTCTTTCTCGCATCATATACTGTGAGGTCCGGCACCGACCAATCCTTCCTCTCGTTCGTCGATCTATCAGCAGACTCAGCAATTCAAAGAATTCGCAAGACATTTATCTGCATGGACGCAACAAACACGTTCACTGACATCATAGACGACGATTACTGGAAAAGAGTACCAAGCTCTCGCAGGTCATTCAAGTCTTCCAAAAGCAAAAGCCACACCCATCATTCACCACAGTTGAACATGATCACAGATCAGTTGCCCGCGTTCGACGACAGATGGCTAGCAAAGTTTAACAAGGCAATCTCTGAATCGCTTCTAGATTACCAAGCCCGACGCGTCTCCGGGCGCGGTAGAGGATCTGATGGCGGCCTTTGGAGGAATAAGTGAGACCTCCTGGCATGTGTTTTGAGCTGAGCAGAATAAGTTGCGACTCTCATTTATTCCCATTTTGACGAGTTTCGTTTAACATGGGCGACCATTGCCTTGCAAAGAACGCGAGGATTGCGCAATGTTTGCGGGTTTGGTCAGCGGTGCGGTGCCGCTGGACGGTATGGCACCATGATAACGAATTCACAAAGCCTATTGTCAAGATTTTTCTGATTGATGCAGCCCTTTGCCAGTGCCCGTTGGCTTTGCGAAATAGGGCATTTCCGTTGCCTGGCGCACCTACTTTCACCACCAGACCTCGAACACCCACCATCGCTACCTTCCCATGCCTTCTTACCACAAACGACACGTCACCATACAACGCAACCAGCGCCAAAACCCTACCATGCCATCAAAGAAACGCGCTGCAGCTGTAGTAAAGCGCTCAGACGCGAGTAAAGCCAAGCGCCTGAAGGTCGCCAAACCTGCAATTCAAAGCGAGCAGGCAGTCTGGGATTTGTAAGAGTGCAATATTTTGTTCAAAAGAGCAAGAGGGGTATTGAATTAGTGTATGTACAACCATCACAAAGAAGCTGGTATGTAGGGTAGTATTCGACCGTTTCACGTATCTCCAGCGCCTTACAAACGCCCGTCCCAATGATGACCTCTTTTTATACACGACAGTACAAGTATGAATGCAGACTAAGGCGAAAGGGAAATGCTCAGTGACTCGGCGCAAAAGTAGGCGGCGCAGCCTCAAGGTCGACGCGCTGCACGGTCTGCCTGAGCTCATTGCTCTTGCGTACGAGGTTGCTGAAGTACTTGTGTGCGACCTCGGCTTCAACTTTGAAATTGCTCGTCTGCTCCCTCTTCTGCTGTAGCTTCTCGACGTTACGCTGCAAACCGATGCGGACATCGTTTGCGGGGCTCTTGAGGGCGCGGCGAATCTCGGAGCTGACGCGGAGAGCATTCTGGTGGGTGTAGTCGATGGCTGAGAGCTGTTGTGACAGCTTGGCAGCAAGACGGTGTGGAAGGGACTTCGGTACTGAGGAGAGAACGTATGATATGCCGATGACGACTGTAATCGCATTAGCGGAATAGTTTTGATGAACTTGCATGATGAAGACCTACCACCAGCGATGACACCAGGAATCAGAAGTCTTTTCAGGTTGTTCGATCCCATGACCTTCGCGGCACCAAGCGCGCCGTCGAGCCAGCCAACACCACCGACTAGCCTGCCACCAACAACACCAGCAACTGTGACGGCCATGCTAGTACCCGCGACCTTCTCCTGACGTTCCCACAGGCTGGCAACGTCAAAGAAGTCCCACAGTTCGATGTCAATGTCCACCTGGCGTGCCAGAGCGTGCATTGACTTCCTGAACATGCGTTCTGGCAGGAACTTGACGCCAGCGTGGACGTCGTCGCCAAGGTGCATGATGCCTAAGTTCTTGATGCCGTTGTAGCCCTGGGCTGCCTGAGTCCGTGCATGCTCTTCACAAAGACGTACTGTTTCTGAGACCTCGTGCAGCATTGAATCTCGCAGATCCTCAGCATATTGATAGGCGGATAGAAGCCCGGGGTACTCGATACCCATGTCCTGCTCTCCAACTCTTGCAATGCATGTGTTCAGGGTGTCGCGCGTGTGGCTATATACTTCCGCTGTGGTATCTTCGACGGTTCGCTCCACCTGTTCACCAGCTTCTATGCGGGACTTCTTCGACTGTTCATACTCAGGTTCGAGCGCTTCGATCTCCTTTGTAAGACGGTCGAGTTCATCCCGCGAGTGTTTATGGTTGGCATCACCCAGGCTGTGGAGGTCGCCGAGAACGTTCAGAAGATAGGTCTGAGCAGGAGCGAGCTTCGATCTGGCCCGCTTCTCCAGCACGAAACGTCGTAATGAGGTCTCAAGGTCACCGAAGTCACGGATCTTCTCAGCTTCCTTGCCCTTCCCCTTCCCCTTATCAGACGGGTCGTCATCACCGTCATCGCCAGGCGGTGAGCTGCCACTCGAGCCCATTGGGATAGCGTTACTCGAGACGAAATGAACAAGCTCACTTGATTCCTTGAAGGTTGCTGGACTGAGACCCGCAACCTGCTTCAGAATCATTTCCTGGCAACGGCGCTGATCGCGAATGACGTCGAAACCGTTCACGACCATGAACATATATGCCTTCTCACGAGCCGCGCTGAAGATGAAGTTCTTCGCTGATTCGGTGAAGTGGTTCGCCGCAGAGACGACAAACACAACCACATCGATCTCCTCTTGACGGGCGAAGACGGCAGTTGTTTTTAATGAGTCAGCATTGAGACCCGGAGCATCGATCAAGGCAATGTCAACGACGCCATTGTTCAAGATCGACTGATCCACATCACGAATATCTTGAATGTAGACCTTGCACTGGGACCAGCGCTCATTGTCGATGACAATCTTGTCTAAGTCTTTCAGGTCGAAGACTGTGTATGTGCTTTCGTTGTTGCGGTTGTAGACGGAGCCAATGGGAACGGCGTGGACCTCCTCCACACCACCGTTCTCCTTGAAGTCTAGTACCTCACAGAATATGCTTGTGCACGGCTGCTGGTCTTCTGGCAGTACTTTCCTCCGTAGCAGAGCGTTACAGAAGGTGGACTTTCCTGCATTAAGATCTCCGGTCACAAGGACTTTGCTCGAGGTGTCCTCGATTCGCTCTTTGATTGAGTACAGGTGGCGAATGCTTTGCTGAATCTGACCGTCAAGGAGCGAGGCAATGGAGTTTTTCTCTAAGGAGTGTACGAGGTCGGTCTGTGTGCGGCCGCCCATTCGTAACTCCAGCTTGAGGACCGAGAAATCCTGCGCAAGCTTTGGTGTGACCAGACGTGGCTCTTCCTTCTGTTTCGCAGCTGCAGCTGAGCTCGACTCGGCAACAAGGTCGTCTCCTATCGACGTGCCGGCGCGGCGGAGAGGTCGTGGCCGTTCGGGCGAGCGTACATGCGGTTCGAAATCACCAATCGAGGACTGTGTGTGATGGATGCCAGGGCGCGGATCACGGCTCTGAGAGGACTTGCGCTCTTTCTGCACGGAGGGGTAGTGGGCTGGCCACTTGAGATTCCTGTCCTGGAATGTCTTCAGGATGTCGATGGTGCCGTGGATGGCACGGCCCAGGGCATTCTTGTTCTGGTTGTATCGCAGCTGCAGGACATGGCTGCGCTGTCGGTCGTGTTCCGGGTTGCCAGATCCAGCGGGCAGTATCGACGTGGGCGATTCCGAGGGCCTGTCCTCGCCAATGTTAGAGTGCCAGCTTGGGATGGAGGTCTGTCCATCATGCATGCTGCCTCCATACCCAGAATCATCGTCCAGCATCGACACCAGACGGGCGGCGGCTTCAGGCGTCGATCCGGAGCCTACTGTCATGTAGCCGGGGGCGCCAGGCACGCGCGGGACGAAGGGGTCGGGCGTGGAGACATTGCGGCGACTCGAGGACGACGAAGACTCCTCCGGCGTGGAGCGGCCGTTGTCGCGGTGATCGTGATTCATCGAGGTGGCTGTGCTGTGTGCGCAGTCCAGTACGGGGGCATGTCGTGGGGGTGTTGTGTGAAGGTGGTGCGGCGAGCGACAAGGAAAAGAAATGTCGTAACGTGATTGATGATGCAGGAAAGAGCTGTGGCGCCCCGAGCGCACGTCAGAGCAGGGATCCTGGACTGGTCGGCCACTGCGAGGCCGTTGACACGTGCCAGCGCCGACTGCTGTGCGCTTTCTTTCGAAACGACTGGCTGTGAGTGCGCTGAGATATGGTCCTGAGCGGTGCAGTTGTTTCAAGCCTCCATACAAGCGCGACAAGCGCTGTTGTCGAGTCGTATCTGGTAGTGACCTCGACTGTCCAAGGCCAAAAAGGCGTCGACCGTAGCAGTAGCGTCGTTGCCTGAGCCCTACCCGCTATCACGAACCCCAGCAACTCCACGTTCACCACCACGCGCAGTCGCAATACGAATGAACAATACACTCGCCGTGGAAAGTTGATCTGTCAGACTGCGCTGTCACTGGAGTGGCGCTACAATAATTCATAGCCGCGACGGCGTGCACCCGTCTCCCTTTATTCGACCCCACGCTGCCTAGCCAGCATGAATGTAGGTACTGTTCGCGCTGTCAATGTGCAGTCATTGACCAATCTAGATCGTAGAATGGGCCTTTGGAAAGCGTATGACGCCCGCAGAGCGTCTGCGCAAACACCAGCGCGCGCTCGAGAAGACGCAACGAGAACTTGACCGTGAGCGCGTGAAGCTCGAGAACCAGGAGAAGAAACTGGTCGCAGATATCAAGAAGAGCGCCAAGAATGGACAGATGGGACCACTGCGTATACAGGCGAAAGATCTGGTACGGACGAGGAGGTACATTCAGAAGTTCTACCAAATGAGGACACAGCTGCAGGCAATCTCGCTGAGGATACAGGTAGGTTGGTAAGGTGCGCTATGCATCCCGAGAGTTGACACAAGGCAGACTGTCCGCAGTAACGAGCAAATGATGCAGTCCATGAAGGGAGCGACCAGTACGTGCAGGCAGCAGCTATGGAGAAACAAGCCTAACAGCATACAGCATTGCTTGGAAGCATGAACAGGCAGATGAACCTGCCAGCTCTGCAGCGCATTGCCATGGAGTTTGAGAAGGAGAATGACATCATGGACCAGCGACAGGAGATGATGGATGATGCCATCGACGATGCTACCGGCATGGAGGATGAAGAGGAGAGCGAAGACGTTGTGAATCAGGTCTTGGATGAAATAGGCATCGACCTCGGCCAATCGGTGGGTTTTTCATTCCTATACAAAAACTCTTCACTGACGCTGAACAGCTGGGAGAGACACCAAATGGGCTCCAGAAGACTGCTGTGCCTGAGGGTAGAGTAGCGCAAGCAGTTGGCGGAGGCGGTGTTGATCCAGTTGATGATGACCTTCAGGCACGACTTGACAGCCTGAGGAGGTGAATCAGGCATTGCGCTTTCTTGACATATCTTGAGCCAGGCTTGATCTGCCTATATTCACCTAGGGCAAGCAGCGATATGGTCGTCGCCAGTCTGCAGGCTGTCATGAAGCCATCTGTGGTGGTAGTGTCTCATACTAGTCTATCTTGAAAACGAGGCTGCTTGCAATCGCTGCTTTCATGCCGTACACTGCTCGATATGGCACTCCATTCGTCAGGGTTTCTCCGCGACAGACTAGGGATTTAGTTACATGAACCAAAATCTAGAATATCCCTGCATTCTCCACACCCTTTGAGCCGGCGAATCCAGACTGCTGATCATTAGCAGCTCCACGCACCCAGAACGAGACCACACAGGGCTTGCGGGCTGCATGCACCAGGAATGCAGCAAGTCAAAAGATCTCGAAACTGCTTCAGGGACGGGTCGTCGATCCACGCAGTCAGCTCTGCATATTTGTAAGGCACCGGCGGGGTAGAAGAGTAGGTGTCGAACATTGCGAGAGAGCGCTTTCAAGCCTCGTCCCCGCACTTCCCTAAAACAGCAGGCAGTGCACGCGCACGCAACACAGCCCGCTCTGCTTCTGCACAGTTCTTCAACACGCTATTCCTATGCTCTATCCAGTCTGAAGTCCTTTCGCCCCCTCGAAACTCCTGTGCAGCATCATCTCGCGCTCTATCTGGGCCGGTAACGCCGACGTCATTTCAAGCACGGCGCCTAACACCAACGGACACCATTGTCGCACGCAACGAGACCACATCTCCTTTCCCATTCACAACTTGACTGCCCGCACGCGCCCCTCGGTCATATATTGCACGCTCCGACCCACAGCGCACACCGTACGTGTACCTAACCAGCTGCCTACACATTTCGACGCACGGACTCGTTCTGATTGCCCCTCTTTGCTTGCCCTGCGTGTTGTCGGTTCGCTTCAAGAGAGCTCGCGCTGATACCTGGGAGTCCACGCAGGTCATTGACGTCACATTCGAACACGCTCAATCCGCCAACTTCGTGAAATTCGCCGCGTGGAGCAGGTTGCTACATCCGCCACCTAGTAACAGAACGCTACCGCGAATCCTTCAACCTGGCAGGTAATAAGCGCCGCAGCTTCTCCAGTAACGGAGGCTTGCTGAATCGCATGTTCGGCACCTCCCCTGGAAAAGAAGACGAAGTTGCTGTTAACGACGGCCCTGCGGTGAACGACCCACGAGGACCTGCGCCATCTGCTTCTACGAACGACCCCGCTATGGGAGGCGCCGGCAATGGACTGGACCGCAAAGCCAGCGATGCCTCGAACCCTAATACAGAAAAGAAGAGGCGGAGTAGTGGCGTGTCGCGTGCAAGGGATATGTTCTCAAGCGCAAAGCAGTCGCTGCACCTAAGCCCCAACCCCAATGCCGCCCCTCCGCCTGGTTCTTCGCCTGGAAAGGCAGAGACGCCTATCCAGAAGCTCGGGAAATCTGACGCTGCGCTCAGCGTCCCCCAGGGCTCGCTCAACAACTCAGCCGGCGAGTCCGCGCCCACACCACGTTCGACCTTCCGAGTCGGTGTAACAGAGGACAAGAACAAGAAGTGCAGGCGGACGATGGAGGACACACACGCATACCTATACAACTTCTTGAGCACACCCGCGCCATATTTCGGTGCTGAGAAGCGAGGTTCGACGTCCGACGCTGGCTCTGTTCAGTCTGGTGCAACGAGCCAGCAGGTTGCCGAAACCGACAACGGGTACTTCGCTATTTTCGATGGCCATGCTGGAACCTTTGCTGCCGACTGGTGTGGTAAGAAGCTTCATTTGATCCTGGAAGAGACAATCAAAAAGCACCCCAACACGCCTATCCCTGAACTCCTCGATCAGACATTCACCAGAGTGGACAATGAACTCGAGAGGCTGCCCCTCAAGAACAGTGGTTGCACTGCAGTCACCGCAGTATTGAGGTGGGAAGACCGAGTTCCGAACGCTCAGTCTTCGACTGGCTCTATTCTTTTCGCTCCTGCCGCAGCGTCAGCTATCAAGAACGAGGCCGGTGAAACAGTTCAGGTGGAGGCTGCAGAGGCACACGCAGTTGCAGACCGGTTACAAAGCGAAGTGAGTCGTCAACGAGTACTGTACACAGCCAACGTCGGTGACGCACGTATCGTTCTCTGCAGAAATGGCCGAGCCCTCCGCCTCTCATACGACCACAAGGGTAGCGACGAGAATGAAGGACGCCGCGTGGCCAGCGCCGGTGGATTAATCCTCAACAACCGCGTTAACGGCGTACTTGCTGTCACACGAGCACTTGGCGATGCCTACATGAAGGACCTAGTCACTGGCCATCCCTACACTACAGAGACCGTGATCCAAGCAGACCAGGACGAGTTCCTGATTCTTGCTTGCGACGGGGTAAGTGAAATTCTCACAAGACAGACGACAGGATGCTAACTAGTGCCAGCTCTGGGACGTTTGCTCCGACCAGGAAGCGGTGGATCTTGTTCGACACGTCCAGGATCCACAAGAAGCGTCCAAGAAGCTCGTGGACTACGCTCTGGCTCGTTTCTCCACCGACAACCTGTCATGCATGGTTGTCCGCTTTGATAACAAGGCTGTGAGGCAGCGCAAGAACGAAGGCACCATCGGTGTTGAGGGCGACCCGCTGACCGCTAAAGGCAACGTCACAGAAGCCGAGGCCATTGTTGCCCAGGCAAGGAAGTCGATTAGCGACCCACAACAGTCGGTTGAGAACGCCGCAGCCAGCATCATTAAAGAAGAAGAGGAGAAGGAGCCAGGGCCTGAGCTGAACATCGAGGCAGCGAAGGCAGCCCAGAAGCATCCTGCTTAGATTTCGTAGGTATTCAATACGTGTGGAGGATTATGCGGCATGGCTGGAATTTCATCTCCTTAGTCCCTCCCATGTATGCATGCTCTCAGATTATAGCTGTACCAAGCCAGGCGTTCTTGCAGAAGAATTGAAACAATTTCCGTGTCGGCCCATACAATCGTTCAATATGTGACTGGGATGCCCCGCGATGAGGCCTGTGCTTGCCGGGCGACGACGTCGTTGCTTGCAGCATCGGAGCTCCGCCGCGTGTTCCCCACGATCAAGGCGCACGCACTATCGACGCTACGCCTGTGAGCTGCACACATCCCTCCATGCGGCTCTGGCTCGAACTTTGCGAGCATCGCAGCAACCATGTCGGGCGATACAGAAGCCCGCCCTAACGATGCCCGCCCGAACTTTGTTTCACCGCGCACGCTGCTTGAGCAGGCGCGCCCGATCCTGCCGCCGCGCACATTCACCGCGCTCGACCGCGAGCAGCTGGACGGCCTGGTATGGACCTGCATATGACATCAGGACCGATGTATGGGGGCTGACCGCTGCAGCGCACGATCCGCGCCTTCCTCAAGGCCAGGACCAGCTATGACGTGCTTCCTATCAGCTACCGCCTCATAATCCTCGACACCGCCCTGCGCGTGCAGAAGAGCTTGAACATCCTCACCCAGAATGGTACGGCGTGCAGCAACCAGCGGAGAACTGGCGACTGACATTTACAGGCATTGTATCAGCACCGCTATGGGACTCCAAGTCTTCCACCTTTGCCGGTCTCCTGACCACCGCCGACTACATCAACGTCATCCAGTACTACTGGCAGAACCCTGATGCCCTGCAAAAGGTCGATAAGTTCCGCCTGAGCAGCCTGCGAGGTACGCCCTGTCACATCAACTAGAACTGCACCTTGACTGATCCGCGCAGAAATCGAGAAGGCCCTCGGCGTCAAGCCCATCGAAACAATATCCTGCCACCCCGACAAGCCCGTCTACGAGGCATGTCGCAAGATGCTCGAGTCACGGGCGCGCCGTATTCCCGTGGTTGACTTCGACGATGAGACCAAGCGCACTATGGTCGTTTCCGTCATCACACAGTACCGCATCCTGAAGTTCATTGCCGTTAACGTGAAAGAGACGCAAAAACTGCGCAAACCGCTGAGGGAGATGAACGTTGGCACATACAAGGATATTGCGACTTGTTATATGGATACTCCGGTCATGGACGTCATTCACATGCTGGTCAAGAAGAACATCAGCAGTGTGCCGATTGTGGATAAGCAGAGTACATGGATCACACAAGGAAGACTGGGACACAAAGCTAACCAAAATAGACACCGTGCTCAACGTCTTCGAGTCAGTCGATGTGATCGCGCTGATCAAGGGCGGCTCGTACGACGACCTGAATCTTACAGTCGGCGATGCCCTGTTGAAGCGCTCAGCTGTAAGCATTGCACCCGCATCACTCCACATCTCTCACGTCCCCCACTTACATCTCGCAGGACTTCCCGGGCATCTTCACTTGTTCGGTCCAGGACAGCATGTCAACAATCTACGACACAATACGCAAATCACGAGTCCATCGTTTCATCGTCATTGACGAGGACTACAAGCTCAGAGGTGTACTGACACTCAGCGACGTGCTTGAGTTCACATTGTTAGAAGGCGTGGACGACGAGTAGTACGGCGACGTTCCTGGACCTGAAAACGCACTCATTCAGCGTGTGAAACTTTATTGGGATGGAAAGATCACTGACTGATCGTCTGAGTGAAGAAGTAGTAGCGGCGCGTGTATGCTAGAGACGCTAAGCATACGCATCACAGGCATGATAAGGCGCATTGGATTGGGAAGGTGGGAATTACTCATATATCCAGCGGAGGCGCGGTTGTTTCTTTTCTGGGGTCTCGGCACATAAATGCAAACTATCTGTTATCACACTTGGCTCTGATGCGTTGAGACCTCCGGGGAAAGGTTTGGTGTCGTGGTTGCAAGCCATATTTAAGATCACACAGGCACCTAAGGCCCAGGGAGGGGCATCAGACGAACGTCAACGTGGTCACATCCAACCTGACACACTCAACCGAATACTACGGCGAGTCGAGACGCTACAGCCGACGAGAACGATGAAGCACATGCGAATACACTCCGAGCCATGGCGAAAGCAGCTCTTACCCACCTTCAATTCTTCCTTCGCAGGTTGAAGAGATGCGAAGATAGGCTGGGTCATTACTCCACGATGCAAACATCCACAATTATTCTCCTCGGAGAAGATACCATTGACTCTGTACATGAAGGACGAAGTTAAGGCCTTCAGGATGACCACCGCCGCGGACGTTTCCACTATAAATGTGCTACTCAACCTTAACACCCACGAATCTGTGGCAGCACAAATCAACACTTTACTGCAGAATATTAGGGACCTGCACAAATATTTTGATTCTGCGACTGACCGATTGTAGTTGGTTATAGAGGATGCCGGCGGACCTTCTGCTCTTGCTCAACACTTCGCGGTATTCGTGTAGACTTCACACTACTGTACAGGCGTCACCAGAAGATGAATCATCGTAAAAAGACGCTTGTAGGATTCCGAAACTTCTTGATTGTTGCTTCTATACCATACTGTATGCTTCCAATTCATGTTTTGCCTTCCAGATCCCTCACTCTACGCCTTACTTGCCCTCAAGCCTATCAAGGCCATCCTGTCTATTTATAAATGTCAGTAGCTCATCAAACAACGGCTGAATATTGGCCTGGTATTCCTTTGCGCTGAACGTCGCAAGATCCTTCTTGTGCATCTGCTCCAGATCATCCTTATCCTCTGCGCTGAACAGGACAACGTCTGCCGCACGAGTCGGCTCCGGGTCGCCTTCAGTCTCTGAGAACTGTGTCATACTGCTGGAGTCATCAGGGATGTTGGATTGGTCGGACGGATTCTCTGATGCTTTGCGTGCCATCTTTTTCTTAGCTTTTTCTGCGAGCTTGGGAGGTAGATGCTTGGCTTTATGCATGGTTTTCAATCGCTACTTTGTGGTATTTGCAGACATACAAAGAACGGAACTTGTTTACCGTATAATGAACCTGCACTGTGTGTCTCGGTGGATGGTGAAAGTGTCTCTTTGTTGGACCTAGTCGGCACGGTGATTGTCTGCTATGCATTTCCTGATGTCAGCGGACATATAAGAAATCAGAGCAGATAGAGTGGTTCAGCTTCGCCGGGTAAAGTTTGAGGAGTCGATATCGTTTTGAAAATTGCAAGGGCTGCATGAGAATGCACAATGCATCCGCTACATCTATTCGCAAAACCTCCAACACTTTCGCGTAGACCAAACCACATTTCACTCAATGCCTAGTCTACCATGAACTCAGACCACATTGCGAGGGAATCTAAAATTCCACTGTCCGCCGTGCTCTGCCCGTACTGCTCAGGTGCGCTCGACAAATCAGAAGAAGCCCTCGCACTCGCACTCGACGCCCTCAAGGCGTTGAGTGAATTACCGTTCGAGCAATCCGCGCACTCACTTCCCGAAGACACATCCTGGTTGATTAAAATAGACGTAAAGTTGAACGAGGCATACAAGATCTGCTCGACTCACCACAGCAACCCCCTACTACCCCGACCGCGCAACAGTGCAGCATCAACCTCAACCGTCTCAACCGAGTCAGCCCACTTCACTGAGCGTTAGAGCAGTCACCTACCACAGTCCGCCCAGTCAGCGGTACATTTTCCGAAGCTGTCCATCTGTTACGACCACGCCCTAAGGTCCACCCCATGTCAGCACCAATGCCTGACGCGCATCCACGGCACACTGCCACACCAGACGCCGACAGATGCTCTATTCCATCTGGAACTACCATCGTCGATCAGCCTGAGTCCCCGCACCTATACATCTCCCGACGGTGGTACGAGGTAGCGACTAGCCGAACATTGGGATCACTGGGCTGCCTTGACACCAGAATTACCCATACCCCTGGCTCCATGTCGCCAACGTCCAATTCACTGTCCCCGAAGTTGATGGTGGCACGTGCAAAGGAACTGCTCAGCCAGCGTTCGAGCAGGATGCCCAAGACACCTGAAGGGGGGAAAGCACATGGCGCTTCCTGCCGGACGAAGAGTGTTGTCAAGAGCCTACGTCACGGCAGCAGAGAGATTGTTGCTGAGAAGTCGCGGGATTGGCTTCGTTTGGGGTACTATTCTGTCTCGGAAGAGCGACTCTTCGATGGATTCGATGGCGAGGCTGAAGACCCAGAGATTTCGATTGTTTCTGATACACCTCGCATCGCGCCGCTGAGGCCAACGTCGAAACTCCTGCCTGATCTCACCATTATCATCCCTCAGAACAACATCGCTAGCGAGTTTTTCGTTGAGCACAACAGCATCAACGCCGGCGTGGAGGCTGATGGCGAGTCCAGCAGCGACGAAAGCCTCCATGTCGCACCTCTTTACCTGCAGTCGTCTCCTATCACTTCAGTGTCAAAGGATGGAGACACCACAGCTGAGACCTCGTTCTACACAGCAGGTAGTGAGACATCCTTCCACTACACACCTGCTACGAAAGAAGACGACGATGTCTTCGCAGCCGAGACATCTCACACCCAGCGTCCCATGACCAACTACACGGCGAAACTGTATGATGCGATGGTCCCTGATCGTGGGTACAAAACCCCGTCGATTGCGTCGACAACAAGTTCGACGGAGCCACTAGTAGATACCCCATCGCCGTCTCGGAAGCTTCGACATACTGCTTTAAAATCTCCTCGAGAAACGCGTTCCGGTTCATTGCGAGCGCAATTTTCAAAGGCAGAGCCAGCTTCTCTTGCTTTGGCTGAGGGCGTACCGAAGATGTGGCAGCTCAACCACATGGAGTCTACGCGAGATCTGCGTGTAGCACCAAGCCTCGAACAGGGACTTCGTGATGATTCCCTAAAGGTTTTCGAGGATTACGCTACGGCAGAGGCGGCGGCAATTGTCCACGTCGAGCCAGACGTCGTTGACATCCGTCGTACACAGACGTTCAAGAAGCTCGAATCGCGAAACCCGGATGTCTCAGATCAGCGACAATGTGATCGTGACATGGAGATCGCTCCCCTAAACATAGCACCCAAGCCCCGTCCTGTCCGTTCGTCATCAGGCATCGTACTCGAGTACGACGTTGCAACGATGCCCACCGAGATCCTTTATACCATCGTCTTCTCCGCCGCCTACGGAGACGCGAATTGCTCCGAGCTGGCCTCGGGGCTCTATGGAGCACTCCCAGAATCTGGCTCTCCGATCACCGAGTGTGTTTGGGATGGGCGCAAGCAGCGGCTGCTGCTCCAATCGCACCTCCTGGAGGAGCTCAAGAACTTGAAGCAGTGCGGGCTCATGCGCGATGATGTCTTCGCTGTCATTCGGGACCAGTTTTTTCCCACGAGTGTTACGAATGTGCTGAGTAGCGAGGATTTTGCGCGTTATATTCGCAGGGCTGTGAACAGGTTCAAGTTGGCTGAAGAGCGCGCCGAGGAGGTCCTGGGACTCGTCATCAACGATGAAGATCAGGGGTTTGCGCAGACGTCTCCAGAGGATGAGGAGTTCTTCGAGCGCGAGCCATTCAACTCGCAGGGGTTTGTCTATGATAATGGCTCCTCTGATGAGCACTATGGGCGGCTAGGATCGTTGCCTTCGACTGTTGGTTCGTTCGAGGGGTGGGAGTCAGAACCAGAGCCGCGAGTGAGCTGGTATTCATTATTCTTTACAAAAGTTACGCGGATGTTCAGCATTGGACACCGTAAGCCGATGGCTTAGAGGATAGATGGTGTTTCTGCCATCCACTCGTTTGCGATGGGCATAAGTTTTTTTCTTTGTTTGCTATTATGAAGCCATGCAGCGAGTCTGAATACCTAAGGCCTATCAGTAAGGGTCATGTGAACGGTGTATCGTAAATTAAATAGAACCCGGACTACCTCCAAGCTGAGCATTAGACTTGCACCTTGACATATTACTGCGAGTACTGTTACAAACAGCCGCCATTGCACACGGTAGCGACGCATTGTTCAAAGTCATTACCGACCCAGCTGGCTTTCGGGTATCATGCAGGGCGACATGTATACCTTCAGACCCCTGGTAATACTTCGTATTGAAGCAGAGTCAGCCAGTGTTTTCGGGTCTGTGATGACAGCGCTGCGGCCGGAGAGCATGTGACAGTTCTGAAGTGCAACCGGTGACGTCACCCACAACAAACGATGGCAAGACTCTCAGAGGCAGGCAAACTGACTCCAACTTACTGAAGCGGTGCAAGATCCACGGTCCAGCACGCGATCAGGGTCTGGAACCAGATCCGCAGATTGCGACGCGGCTCAAACAAGATTGGGACTTGCACCATCACCAGAGACGCGGAGCCGCTACAGCTGTACTGGACTGCAGGGTGTAATTAATTGGCTGATTCAGACGCACAATGAATGAACTGTGCCCCTCGTGTGTAGTTTTTCCGCCAGGAATTACCTGTGCAGCGGGGTGCCTGGCTCTTGTTTGGAGAGCGGATGACGTAGCGCATTCGTCTACCACGACTTCCTCAAGGGCTGCTTTTGTTTAAAGCTCCTGGGCCCCGACTTCAATCTAACGAAACTTAACTTTCACAAGAACAAAATACACACACAGCAACATGGAGACTATTAGCAACATTGCGTCCACAGCGACGACCACCGTCTCGAACCTCATCTATGGTAGCCCGGACACAGCTACCAAGACTAACGAGACCGCCGGCCAGGAGCCAGTCTCCGGGCAGACTGGCAAGGGTACTGTCGACGAGCCCTATGACCAGGGCAACTCCGGTGAGCCTAGCCCTGAACGATCGAGGGCCTTTTGGGTGGGCACGTGCTAACACTAGCTTGCAGAGGTCGCTCTTGACAAGAACACGCCCTCCACCACCGGCACAGGCCTCGAGTCCTCGAAGGTGGTCGAGCCCACTGGCTCCATCCAGAAGCCCGAGGACCTCATCAAGGCCTACAACAGCGAGGCTGGCGATGCGACCACCTCCACAACCGGCACGAGCTCTACTGCCACAGGCATCACAGACAAAGCCGGCGTGACCGATCAGGTTTGGAAGCCCACGGACGTTGACGCCGTCAAGCCTTCAGTCACCGACCCCGCTGCCGCTCCCGAGACAGGCGTTGGCGCTCACACCAGTGCCGAGACCTCGTCTTCTGGCAAGGACACTCTCTGGAGGGGTGTAGATGGCTACAAGGACACCTCGTCCACTGGCCCCGACCCTGGTACTGGTGTCAAGCCCCTCGAGCCCACATCCACATCTACTGGCTCCACAGTCACTGGTGTCGAGCCCACCCGCCTCACCTCTGGTGAATCGACTACTGGTGGTCGTTATGGCGATGTTGACGCGGAGCCCAAGACCTACTCCATTGGCGACTTGACCAGCGGCAAGGAGACTCCTCCCAAGCCGGTCGGCGGCACCACCACCTCTGCCACCACGGCTTCCCACACCGCCCCCAAGTCTAGTGAGTCTGCCATCAGCCCTCCCGACCTGAGCAATACCTCCCCTGGCGACAAGCCGGACTACAGTGCAGACACACACGAGCCCTCGCCTAAGTCCCGCGGTACGTGGACCCACAGGGTTGGCAACGTTCTAAACAAAGCTGACGGTGTAGCAGGTCTCGTTGGTGAGAAGGCTGGCCACGGTGGACCTACGTCTGCCGTCGACGACTCCAAGCAAGGGATTGCGAGCGAGAAGAGTTCTTCGATTTCGCCTTCCGGCGACGATGAGGAGAAGAGCGGCAAGATGGATAAACTGAAGGACAAGCTCAAGACCAAGCTCCACATTGGCTCTAAGGACCACTAGATGGTCGTCGAGGACGTCATAGAAACGGGTGGCGACGATGAATGAACATGATACCACGGTAATTTTGAGGGAAATGCGATGTAGGATACCCTTTAGTTGTGCGTAATGAACTCTTTTCAATCATCCCTGCTGTTCATGGATGAGTGAAGGTTGCGATAGCGGAGATGACCCTCAATTTGCCGAGAGCGGCCCCTTTCCACTGTGATTGGACCATCTAGACAATCGCTTTCCCGCGGTGCTCATTTGGGCCCCCCCTGTACGAAGTATGGTACCGAAAGGAACTCCACCAGATTATATGAAAGTCTACACCTACACCACACTCGCTCAGCTGCCACGCCGGCAAGATGCCTCGCTTCTCAGCGCGCAACATCATCGTCCTTGTTAACATCGTCCTGCTTACAGTCCTCTTCATCCACCTGAAAGACGTCTTCTGGGGCCGCGGCGCATCCCACGGCGCAAGCTCCCTCTTCGGCGGCGATGGTGAGGAATGGGACTACGGGAATGTAGACGATCGCGACGCCGTGCTGGGCCTCAACGGCATCAAGAGCGATAACGACTTCAGGAGCAAGGAGGGCAAGGATCTGCAGGTCAACGGCGCTGTAGCGTCTAGTCTAGTGGGTCAAGAGAAGAAGAAGAGGAAGACGGCCGTTGTGGTCGCGAGCCAGGCGAGTGAGAATGCCACGTGGATTGCCGAGGCATTCCCAGAGTGGGAGCAGAATGTATATCGCGTTGATGATTCGGCGGCCAAGTTGACGGTGCCGAAGAACAAGGGGAGGGAGAGCATGGTGTATTTAACGTACGTTTCTGTCGCATGGATACCCCCCAAGAACGTGCAGGCGCACGCTCTGCTGTCTTTGTCATGTTACATGTGTGCTGACGAGTGTACAGTTACATTATCGACAACTACGATAAACTCCCCGACAATATCCTCTTCATCCACCCCAACCGCTTCCAATGGCACAACGATGACCCCGACTACGACGGCCTGCCCATGCTACGACATCTCCAGCTCCCCTACCTCGAGGAACAGGGCTACGTGAACATCCGCTGCGCGTGGTCGCTCGGCTGCCCTGCGGAGATTAAGCCGCTGGCTGAAGAGGGCGAACACAGAGAGGCGGTGCATGCCGGCGGCGACTACAAGAAGGCGTTCCAAAGGCTGTTTCCGGATAAAGAGGTCCCGAAGGAGGTGGGTGTTAGCTGCTGTGCGCAGTTTGCGGCGACGAGGGAGAAGATTAGAGAGAAGAAGAGGGAGGAGTACGTTGGTTATAGGCAGTGGCTCATCGAAACAGAGTTGGAGGACAATATCAGTGGGAGAATTTTGGAGTACTCATGGCATAGTAAGTGGGATCGGGGTTGCGAGGTGTGCACCCCTCGTCCATGAGCGTGAAGCTAACATGTCGCAGTGGTCTTTGGCAAAGAGCCCGTTCACTGCCCAAGCGCAAAAGAATGCTACTGCAAAGTCTTCGGTCTCTGCCATTTAGAGTGCAGAGATCCTGGCAGCTGCGAAGGTCGGTACATTCTCCCACCCTTTTCGAGCCTGCCACAGGGCTGGCCGTTCGTAGGGTGGAAAGGCGAACCGAGAAAGAGAATGGGACCCGAGTGATGATCGCTTCTCTCTTGACCCACCCCAGTCTGCCACAAGGCTGGCCTTCCGTTGGCAGGACAGGCGGACCAAGGCGGAGGGTACGCATCCTTTCGACTACGATGACTACATCCAACCTCTTTCTCCGCCCGGACCCCAGAATCCAAAGCACCCCCGCCTCGCACTTTCTCTCGGTCAATTAGAGTTTGCAGCAAAACGCACTTCTGGACCTGGCCATGCGTGTTAGAGATGTCAGCACTGCGCTTCCATGGCGTATGTGCCACAAGCGTGAAGCGACTCTGGACCTGGTGTCACGATGCCCCCCGCTTGCGATCTGTTCCACAACTCCCCACCGGAATCACTTTTGGCGCAAGGTTGGTCGTTCGTTGGCTGGATAGGCGGACCAAGGAAGATTTCAGCAATGAAGAGTGATTCTTCAGCCTCCACATACTCTGGTCATCTTCCAGTCAACGATCAGATGCTTAACGGAGCTCACTTCTGTCTCGTTGAGGACGACCATGGGCAGTCAACAATGAAGCTCTTCTCCGCACTCGATGTAGGTGCGACCTCGTCATTTCGCAGTAGCATGCATCGTTCGCTTTTGCTGGATCGTTCTTCACCGATTTGAGCGCCATGGGACGCATTACTGTTTGAACAACAGGCTTTTCGAGTGATCTTTCACAAAATCAGCAGCCCACACATCGTGACCCACGTCGCGGTAGTACCACCACAAGTACCCTCGGTAAGCGCGGCATCCCATTCGTCTACATGTTATCTGCCAGGAACAGAATCCATGACAGGCCTGATATTGATATGCGCGCTGTCTCGTTGGGCGGGGTACCTGTGTACTTTCCAGACATTTGGCTGGATTTCCGCTTCCCCGCTGGGAGGCTTGACCCACTTCGCAACTGGCTATCGCAAGCCAGAATGGGCATCGGGGTTCGGCGAGGGGAAGGGCAAAGGGCCACTTACATGCCGGGGCACGCGCGGCGTTGAAGTGTATCAAAATGCTGTGCAGATGCTTCCATGTATAGTACATACACATCGACCACGGCATGCAGATCGATCCTATGACGAGCGACCAAATCGAATCGGGCCGCATGCCGGTTAGGTCCCATAGGCCGGTGGCCCCAGACCATTACGCTGGAATTGATCAAGCATCCGAAGTACAACCAACGGCCACATACCATGCACACGAACAATGCCATCTACTGGTTTCGCAATTTCTCAACCCTAATGACCTTCGAGGTGACACGGTACAAATATTTGTCTCACTATAGGGGATCGCTATTTGCAATGGTGGGAGCACAAGGCTGAGGCGGAGTAAATGTTGCTGATCGATCCGGTAAGCGCCTTCCTCATTCGTGCCAGCAGAGCCTCATGTAGTCACGGAACACCAAATTTCACACCGCTGGCGTCAGCTGCTCTTTCTTCATCGTCACTCGACCTTGACAGCATCTCAAATTCGCTGTCTGTCCAGACATCGCGACCAACAATATGAAGCACCATCTGCGTTGTGCATTTGGGCTCGTGTTCGACCGCCGTGAACCTGACCCATTTCCTTTCCTCGGGCTGAGGCTTCCATCTCAGCCTGACGCATTGATGGTGCATACCCCAGTCCGATCGCGGCTGTGATTCCTGACCCTTAGTGTTCGCTCTTGAGACACAATGATCTCCGCGCCGCTAGTTCCATCCTTCTTCATGCAGAGCCGCACACTTTTGCAATTTAGCAATGTCAATAAACACTGCGTATTCAATTGCCTGATGGCTTTCAGTTGCGCCCCCAATACACATTGCAAAAATCACTATCATTGTTGACACCTTCAGTCACTACTTCTTCAGTCATAGATAAGAATTCACCTCGACTCCTTATCGTGGCTTGACCGCTCGACCTTTGACAACTTTCATCCCAATCATCTGCAGATGACCTTCTTTGAGAATTTCTCATACGATGTCATCTTCGAACTCAATAAATATCTCAGCCTTGACGATGTCGTGCATCTTTCCCAGACATGCCGCCAATTGAGAGCGTCAATCTTCAGTAACGATCAAGTGGCAAGGCAGGTGGTCGGAGTGAGTATGAAGGATGCATACTTGACTTCTGGAGACTAACAATTCACACAGGCACATCATCTGTATACAGAAGAAGCATCCGAAGCCCAGCAAAAGATTTTTACGTATAGACACGCTTTATGTTCCATTTACGAAAGACGTCAGGCCTTCTCGGTTGCGCGGCCTTTCGCAGCACAAGTTGTTGGACAAGGACACTCCTTTCTCTATCGATGTGGAGTGCTATGCGCGAAACGAGACAGCACTATCTCTGTCACGAGCGTGCGATCTGCAGGGCCTAGCTTTGAGTTCAATCTTGGTCAACTGCTCCTCGATCATGAGGAGTATCATCTGGGTAACAGCTTTGAGATGATGTATTACAGTGAAGATCTCCTCGCTGTTCTTGTCGCAATCAATGAGCAAGAGAGCAATGGCGGTGATCCGCAAGAAAATTTCATCGTCCTTACAAGAACAACGCCAGGTCTGTCCGACAGGGAGCGTATTATCAGGGTGGTCTCAATTGGGCCAGCAGCAGACAGCTGTAGACTGTTTGTCCGCCATACTTCGAAGTACATGTACTTCGGCCTCCACAATACGCTAGGAAGGGATGGCCATCGCAAGTGGGTAATCAAGGGCTGCTCGTTAGACCCAGACGAGCCTGACAATGACATCTGGATGAACCCACCTCTTCTCATCGAAGACTTTCACGGCAATGATGTTGGGTCAACGGTTGCTTTCGAGATACATGATGGCTACTTTTACGCTGTCTCAAATCAGGGCACTTATGAGGTGGAAGAGGTCGACTGGACTTCTTTCTACCACTGTGTCAGGTTTCCCCTCGATAACAACGCCAAAGAAGCCGTGCAGAGAGACACACGCGTTTATCGTCGACAGCATGCTGAAGGCGCTATACACGACTCGTGGACGGACCTCACACTTCAGCACGACGAAGAGACCAATGAGCTTTACATTGTCGAGTCCAGGCGTGAATGGCTTGGAGCAACCTCAAAGCAAGCGAGAACGTTCTACACATCAAAGATCCAGTTTCCTACGTTTGTATTTGGAGACTTTATGCCAGATGTCGGCTCGTCAAGCAGCAGTACATCACAGCCCCGGCCGTTACCTGACAACGACATTCTAACAACTCTTCTTGGCTCTTCGCATAACGCAAATTATATGCCCACACCTGAGCAATACAGCTGGACACGACACCCCGAGTTTCCCACCAGTAATAGAAGCCCATTCACTCTTGCGAAAACAAAGTTCCGAGCATACAACTACTCCTGCTCTACCTTCTTAGATCTTGTAGAAGATGAAAATTGCTGCACCGATCGCTCACCAAATTCCCGACCCTGTCTCAGGCTGAGAATGGGAAGCCGGCGAGTTGCACCATCTGACACGCTTATCATCCAGAGTGGAAAAGGGAAGTATCCGGTCAAGCACAACGGCCCTATTGACCTCTCCCCGGCAGAGTACAGCCCCTACATAGACCACACGCACTACCGCTACCCCGAGATCAACATGTGGCCGCCACCACCCTCGACATGCCAATGCGCTGTGCGCCTTCATCGCATCATAAACCCCGTCTTCAGATCCAGTTCTACCTGGGGCGGAGGTGGTATCCAAGCCGTCTCCGATGAACGCAGTATTGTGTACATGGTCAAACCGAGCGGCGAGAACGTGGATAGTGCACTAGGCACCATTGTGCTAGTCGACTTCGGTCGTTCGAATGTGAATTTGCAAGCCGGAAACGACCTACGCTGGGAGCGCGGAGCTGGACAAGAAGCAAGATGCAGGGATGGCACGTGTGCGTAGGTGTCATCGCTCACCATATGACGGTCTCCTAGCAGTCTCTTCTGCAACGGTAGAGTAGCGACCACGACTTCAACGGCGATTGGGTCTCAAAAGGCAGGACACTGTGACTCGCATGCATGCGCACCACATTTGCCTGCTGTTGGGCTGCCATGCATAATGGCACGGCTCGTTAATTGTGAGGGTTTGGGCGTGGCTAGTCCCAGTCACGAGGCTGTAGGTGGGGAGAGTTAGGCCCCCGAATGAGGCTTACAAGGCTGGCGATGGAAGGCAACGGCGCGTAGGGCGGGTTTATTATCTAATTTGTTAAAATCCAAAGCATGCCTCAATGACGTCTAGACACCTGAGTCCGTGGATCCCGCACTGTGAATGTGTAAATGCAATTCCCATGTGGACGTTAGAGGCTTTCATGCTGTACTTTTGTTCGATAATTCGTGTACCAAATAGGAATCAACTTCTATATACCATCATTCATCATTTAAGTGTAGATCTCCTCAGTGAGAGCATTAAGCCCAACACCCTCCTTCGCGATATCCTCCTCCTTCAAGAACAGCAACGGCATCTCAACAAGAGTGCCACGGATCGTGCTAAGAAGCTCCTTGACCTCGTGCACGCCCTGCTCGCCCTGGCTGAAGTTCTCCGCCACGACGTGGCCCCACTTGTACAAGCTAGGCTTCTTGTTCTCCTTGTCCTGCTCGCTCTGCCCGAAGAAGCGGCTGTAGTACTCATCGTACTGCTTCCAGTTCTGGACCTCGTCCGAGGGTACGGGGTGGAAGATCTTGCCGAACGCCTGTGTGTTGGTGTTTGCGCGCCAATTCCACAGGTTTTGGAAGTCGTCGGAGAGCGGGTCTGCGACTTGATTGTCCATCTCTGAGCCCCAGTCGTACTGCTGCGGGACGGTAACGGGCTGCCAGTTGTCGTCGACGCCGTCGACTGGCTGGTGCTTCAGAAGGCCGAGATGCTTGCGGAAGATCTCGCGGCGCAGAGAGGAAGCGAAGCGCGAGACTTGGTAGGGGCGGCCGTCCATGTACGAGTCGACCATGTCGGGATCGCGGATGATGATTGCAATTTCTGAGTCGTGGTCGCCGAGCTGTGAGCGGTCGTTCAAGTTGGCGGAGCCACAGATAACGGTTGTGTCGTCGGCAATGAGCAGCTTGGTGTGGATGTACAGCTCCTCGCTAACGAAGGCATCCATCTCATCGACAGCACCACCTTCCCAAGGAACATTGCGGATGTCTTCGCCATTGAGCATGTAGCACTCGCAGACTGAGTCCCAACGTCCGTCCCCGAGACCTTGACGGCCACCAATGTTCTGCGCTTCTTGCTGGTAGCGGTTGTAGTCGGACTGCCTGCCGTCGTTCGGCACACCTCCATCCTGTGCGGCGTCCATCTCGTACTGCTGCTGGGGTGGTCGACCACCGCCATCCATCTCGTAGACGCCATACTCGGCGGTCGGCGGAGGACGGTAGGCTTGATAGTCTCGTGTGCCCTCGTGGGCAGCATCGAAACCTTCACTAGCCTGTGCGTAAGATACGCCCGAGCGCTGCTCAGCTTCCTGCATAACCTTGCTGGCGTTGATACGATCGTAGCTGCGAAGGTTGTAAAACCTGATGTAGTCCATCGGGTTGAAGCCAGCCTTTGCGATCTCCTCGTAGATAGAGTGTCCACCACGATTGATTGAGTCGTACTGGAATTCCATGATAGCTCTTGTACCCAAGGCCTCGTCAAGCTTAAGGTCACCAGCAAAAGCTGGAACAGCTGGAATGACCACGATCATCTTATACTTCTCACCGTTGCGAGCAGCACGAATGATACGCTCAACGATAGCCGCACCAACCTGGTTCTTAATTGGACGTTGCTTGTCCCCAGTGGCTGTGATGAAGAACTGGTTCTCGATGTAGACGAAGTGCTGACTGTCCCTGATGGTCTCGATGTAGGCGTTTTGGATCGAGTGCTCGGTTGAGATGTTGTGACTCCATTTAGTAGAGCTGCGAGTGATCTGAGCATCAATGTTGGCCCGCTGCGCACCGTGTTCAGCATGCGACTGATACTGCTGCTGTTCGTGTGCGCCGCCGTAGTGCTCCTCGTATTCCTCATGAACGCGGTTATACATCTTCTGCCGAAAACCGCCGCCACGGCCGAACAGACCTCGCTCGCCCTCCTCACCATCACCGCCAAATCCTCGAGAACCTTCCTCGCCCTCCTCAAACTCGCGTTGCTGAGGTGGTGGATACTCGCCACCCTGTTGGGCGCCGCTTGTTGTATCCGGAAGTCTGAGATACCTTGTTGACTTGTGTGAGTACTTCTCGTCGTAAATGAAGTTCCAGCGCTGGGTGAAATGGGTGCGAAGATCCTGAACAACGGGACCGCGCAAATTGAGGGCTACATCAGACCAGCCCATGCGAGAGCTCTGTGTCCTATCCAGCTTGTTCTCCTCCCAGTGGTCGACACTGACGAAGTCTGCGGCGGTGTTAGCCCACACCATTTGCCACGTCGCAAGCTGATCTTCAGTACTTACCTAGCATACGGGCGTTGTTAAAGTCCTGGCCGGGGAACACGATGCGATCAAGACTGCCAGGGTGTGCATCCGCGATCGGATGGGAGTTGGTATCCCAACGTCCGTAGCACAGATCTAGTCCACCCATGAATGCAATGTTTCCATCGATCAAGCAAAGCTTTTCGTGATGTGCCCAGTATAAGACTGTATCGCCAGTCGAACCGTAGATGCTCTTGAGACCATCGAGAGGCAGCTGAGCAATCTTCGCCGGCGAAAAGCTCATGTTCTTGATGGTGTTAAAGAACTGCCCAGATAGAACTGAGGCATCGGGTGTGTGATCGGGGTGCCTAAAGACACCGATGTTCTGGTGGAGATCCTCCAAATGGTGCTTTGTGTGAGCACTCGAGACTGTTATAGGTGGTGCAATCAGCGGGTTTGTCCTTTCCACTTCCTCAAGGGATTTGAATATAACGTCGAGACCGACTCGAGTAAGGCCTTTCGTGACAGGGTCCGTTGAGTGTGGCAATAGAGAATGTAGATAATTGGGCAACAATGGATTCAACTTACGCGTCAAAGCCTGGGTGACTTCTTTGTAGACTATAACGTTGACTCTGACACCGCGCTCGGCAGCAGCCAGAAGCATCCGGTCGACACGGTACTGCTGGTTCTTGGCCGGAGGTCGCCTGAGGTAGAGCTCTGGGGACAGCCACCAATCCAAGATCCAGATCGATTCACGAGCCTGTTCCAATGCAACCGATACGGCGTGCATGTACGAAGCTCCGTCGACGTACCACTTGATGTCATTGCCGTGACGCTCGGGAGCGAAGCTCAAGAAGCGGTGTTGGTTGTGGTATTCTTGTCCGGGTTGCGGCTCGCCCTGCTGCTGCGCCTGAGCAGGTGCATCGTTCTTTCCTGAGAAGGAGTCTTTGAGCTCGGCGCCGATCTTGTGAACCTCCTTGTGGAGCTTGTCAAAGAGGAAGGACATGCCGCCAGAATTAGATGAGCCTTGTTGAGGCTGCGAAGACTGGCAAATGTATTAGAGAAAGGTCGTGTGGGAAGAGTAATGAGCTGCGCACTAGAAAGCCGCAGCGGGAGCTCAGCAAGGTTAACAGCAGACTAGGATGCAAGAAGACGGGCCCCGCGAGGGGCTAGTCAGGCTCCATAGTGTTACAGCCCTGAGACCAATGACAGCATTGTGGTTGAGAGAGCACCTACCTCCTTCTTGCCTCCAAAGAAGCGCCGGCCCATGTCTCCAACGAAGCCGCGGTCTCCCTCCTGTCCTTCGCCCTGGCCATGGTAATCGCCGTACGCCAGGTCATCGTCCCTACGCGACATCTTGAACGGTAGGAAAATTGCTAAGATTCCCTTAATCCCTATTGGAACTCCAGCGACATGTGCTATGCGAAGCTCGAGGCGGTGATGACGCGGGGTTGAAGGTGGGGCACATCCAATTCAGCAGGGCGCAGCAGCTGAGACATTACAGTCGCCAACAACCAGGCTGCAAAACGTGTAATGCGAAAGGACTGGGCAATGGAGACAGCAGACAACCTGTCGTACGATTATATTGGTGCATTTGTTCATCTACGAACCGATTCAAGCTTCCGGCAGTTAGCTTGGCCCCTCTCCCCCGCACATGGTAAGCTCCCGCTTCCATCTCCAGCTCCTGTGCACCTTCCCTCTTCTAGCCTTGCCGTTTACGCGTGTTAGCACACCGCGGAGATACATCTGCCGTATCTCCAGGCCCAGATCTCTACAGCGACTCTACATGGGCATAGACTCGGACTGACGGGTCCAAGACATTGCTGGTGCGGAGATAGGTACGTCATGTTACATGTAGATCAATCTATTAGACTTCAGCAATCGGACAGCTCAACGGTCCCGTCTTATCTTTCCCCTCTCTATCACACCTGCAGCTGTATAGTAGTTATAAATCTTCAAGGAATCCACGATCATGTCTTCCGTATCCCGTCTCGCAGTTTCTGCCCGTCTCGCATCTCGCGCAATTGTTCCCGCGAAAGCTCCATTGCGACCAGCAGCTTTCACAGCTACGCGGTGCTTCCATTTCACACCAGCAAAGATGTCTCAACACCCAATTGCGACGCTTCAGGTATGTTTAGGTTCTCTGCTTTCGTGCTGTAGCTGACAGCCAGTAGGAAGATCTGATCCCCAGGCTCCCTCCCTCCTCGCCCACTCTCTTCGAGGCCAAGAAGAAGAAGAACCTCAGCTTCGAAGCTATTGCCAAGGAAGTTGGTCGCGATGAGGTAGCAATCGCCGCTTTGTTCTACGGACAGGCGATGGCCTCGCCAGAAGACATTCAGAAGCTGTCGAAAGTCCTCGACATTCCCACCGAAACACTTGAATCGCAATTGTCTGGCTTTCCCGACCGCGGCCGATCGCTCGAGATGCCTCCCAAGGACCCGCTCGTATACCGCTTGTATGAGATCGTGCAGAACTATGGATACGCGTACAAGGCTGTACTGAACGAGAAGTTCGGTGATGGTATCATGAGCGCCATCTCATTCTCGACGAAGATTGAGAAGGAAACTGACGAGAAGGGTGAATGGGCAAAGATTACGCTGAGGGGCAAGTGGTACGTATTGTCGAGCACGATTGAGGGATTTGACTTACTAATTACTCCAGGTTGCCATACTCGCGTTTCTAGAGTAGCAACAACGTTGATGATAGTACATTAGGATGTGTTGCGATAAAAACATTGATGGTTCTCCTTTCCCTCTTGAGTCGCTCATACCCGTCGTCTCTTTCTAGCTATCCCAAGTGTGCAGTAAGATGAGGCAGAGTACAGATGTGAATACGCTGCCCAATAGTATGGAATGGCCTGCCGAAGGGTATAAATATCCACGAGGTTATCGATCGCGCCTTGAAAAAATGTTGGAGCAGTGCTTGATTGTACCCTCATCTTGTTTGGGTGCGTACCTCTTAGGCCGCAATCCAACCACTCCTTCCCTGCGTCACTCCAGCTTGACTCTCACCTTGCTCACCCCAATTCCGTTTGATCTGCCTCATACTAACTGCCTGGAAGCTCCCTCATCCTCGGCACTGTTTCTCAACCATCTTCACACCGCTCACTTCACATCAAGCTGCAACTCTTTTTTTGCGCTTAACCTTCGCCAATCACTCGCTCGCTGCAAGCAAGCGCTCACTTCACGACAGGTCACTAGTACCAGGGACCTTACAGTCGCTCAGCAGAGCCAATTTGCCGCTACAGCGTGGGTCGATGGCCCAGTCATTCTCGAGTCGCTACTGATGATGACAGCAACCACCACGAGCAGCCACAGCGTTCACCATGCCCGCAATCACGGTTCCAATGAGGGTCAAGTGCACGTACAAGACCTGCGACCTGCAATTTGAGAGCGAGAAGGCCATGAAGAGACACAAGAAGTACGATGATGACCACGAGTACTGTGACAAGTGCGACGAGGACTTCGAGACGTATGACGAACTCGCCCACCACAAGATCCTTCGACCTGATTTCCACCACAAGGCTTGCCGTGTCTGTGGCCAGGAGTTTAAGTCCGAGTCTGGCCTAAAGCGTCATATCGAGCTGGTGACTACCCCATCGTTCCCTCATTTTAGATTGAAATTAACGGAAACAGTCTCATAGGGTCGACCAGAAGCTGACTTGTATTGGCTGCAAAAGGTCCTTCTATCGAGCCTGCCTGTTCATCGAGCACCTTGAGTTCGGCTACTGCGACGTCATCGCCGCTTCTCAGTTCCAAGGCCACGTTGTTCACAAGCACTTGGTCACAACACTGCTGAAGGACGGCGATGCTTACAAACGCTTCCAAGCTAAGCAAGCCATGTTTGAAGCAGCCCACGGCGACTTTGAGGAAGAAGGCGGCATCTGCCTCGATGGCCCCATGGACAGGGACGAGGAAGTGGAAGTCCCTTTCGCTGCCCTTCAGCCTGAAATTCATGTTACGCCCATCCATACTCCATACCCACCACTCCCTTCACAAGCTCGAGTTTCAGGCTACATCGTTGACGAGGTTGCATCCACGATTGGCACCATGTCTATCGATGACGAAGACAACGACAACAGCACCGTAGAAGGAGCACATAGCTCTGCCACACCCTCCGCGTACGGTGGCTCTGCGTACGCTGCGTCTACATCGGCTGCCCGCAAGGAAAAGGTCTGGGTCAATCGCAACGGCAAGTCAGCTAGTAGTGCTCTCTTCCCCAACGCAAAGCCGACCCCAGCGTATGAAGAGTTCTCTGTCGCTGCACACGATGCGCAGATGGAGCGCGAGCACGGCATTAACATCATGAAGACGCGTTTCTGGGACCCTATGAGCGCCGACTGGAACCCAGAGCGCTTCTACGACTCTGTCATCGACAAGTACAACTGTCCGTTCGTCTGCGAGATCACATTCGCTACGCCTGCCGACCTCAACCATCACATCAACAGTGATCACCGCCTGACTCGCATGAAGTGCCCGTACTGCCTCAAGTACTTCAAAAGTGCCACGGCATTAATGGCGCACTGCGAGAGCCGCGGTTCCAAGTGTCAGATCAACAAGGCAGACAACTTCAACATCTTCCTTGACAGGCTATCCGGCGGCTTTCTCGGCGTCAACGAGGAGGTCCGGCCTGACCATCTCAACAACCCCACGGCCATGGTCAGGAACCCCGACACAGGCAGGATGGAAGTGTACAAGCCTCCCGTTGCCTCGTACCTTCAGTACATAGTCACGACGCCTCCGGACTGGAAGGGGCCTAGCAAGGCTGGCGTCCAGATGGGCTTTGGTGCGCAGCAGAGCCAGTGGTAGAAACACCAAGTGGAGATGGAGTGGAGGAGCGGACACGCACAAGGGCGGCATGCTGTGTGGCAGGGTTGCTGCGCCGGGCATGTCAAGCTCAGCAAAGACAGAGTAGTTCATGGGCGGGGAACAACGGGAAGCCGGCGACGTTGTGGTGACGGTGGCCCGTGGGGAACTTGCTTTGAATGTTTCGGGTCCTGCGTTGCTCAATGAAACGTAGGAGTAGCATGGCTTAGTTCTTAGCCTAAGAGGGCTGTCACGTAGCTGAACAGGAGTGTATTTGAGCCTCATCCGTGTCTATGTGAAGCTTGCGTGGGCAAATCTATACTTAGCATGACATACGTACTGCGCGTGGAGATGGCAAGCGTCACAGGACGGCGTTTGTTCAAAGCGCGCTGCAGAGTGCGGACCAAGCCACTGCAGATCGCGAAGTTTCAGGCTAGCTGGCAGGGGAGTACAGGCTAGAGGCTGTGCAGCCACCCCGAACGGCTTGCGTAGCCGTCAGCCTCTCTCGAACTCGACGCTTCACTCCGCTCGCTGCGGGAGACAAGTCTTGTTGTACCTACAGCGCTACCGTCTTGGAAATCCTCGCGCTCATTCCCCGCCACATCTGCAGCGACAGCCAAGAGCTTCCGAACCCCGGCGCCTGCCTGCCACCGCTGCAGCCTCATAGTCGACCTCGGTCGCACCTACCTGCACCTTTCTTCTCACACACCACACACGACTCACACAATGGCGGCGAACGAGTACTACAACAACAACTCCTCCTACCCACCCACGGGCCCTGCGACAGGGCATGCTGCCAGTCCGCACGACCGAACAGACGGGCCGCTACCGCCCGTGCCAGGCAAGCAGTCGCAGCACGCCGTCTCGCCTGTCTCCTCGCCCTTTGAAGACACCAACTACCCGCCCTACCCGCCCGCCGGCAACAACGCCACACAGTCATCGGGCGCTCTTGGCGGCTATCCAGACACGTCGTACCACGGGCCGCCGCAGTACGCGCAGAACACGTCTGCTTCACCGTACGACACACCGTCGGCGCATGGGCATAACGACCCCTTCGCCGACCAAAACGCCATTCCGCTGCAGCAAAAAACGAGCGGGATGAGCCAGCAACCGCTCGCATACAACGCAGACCCGGAGGGACGGTATCCTGCGCCGGAGAAGAGGAGGAGGAAGCACAGGAAGAAGAAGGAGGGCTGGTTCAGCGGGCGAATAACATGGGTCGTCTACATCCTCACCACTGTCCAGATTGGCGTCTTCGTGGGCGAGCTGATCAAGAACGGCATTCTCACCGGGTCGCCCATCCAGACCAAGCCCAACTTCAACATCATGATCGGGCCCTCGCCCTACGTCTTGATCAACATGGGCGCCCGCTTCACGCCCTGCATGCACAACATCAAGAAAATCATCGAAGGAGGGATCACATCTTGGCCCTGCCCCAACACGACCTCGCTGGATGCCGGCAGTCTGACCTGCTCACTCAACGAATTCTGCGGCCTTGGTGGTGTCCCAGACCAGAGCGATGTGAAAGACTTCAGGGACCGCTCCAAGGAGCCGAACCAGTGGTACCGCTTCATTGTCCCCATGTTCCTCCACGCAGGTCTCATTCACATTGGCTTCAATATGCTGCTCCAACTGACGCTGGGCCGGGACATGGAGAAAGAGATTGGGCCCATAAGATTCTCCCTGGTCTACTTCAGCGCTGGAATTTTCGGCTTTGTGCTGGGCGGCAACTACGCTGCGGATGGCATCACCTCGGTCGGTGCATCCGGCTCGCTCTTTGGCATCCTAGCACTCACGCTCCTCGATCTCTTCTACAACTGGTCCTCGCGCCGCTCGCCTGTGAAGGACCTGCTCTTCCTACTCCTCGACATTGCCATCGCCTTTGTCCTCGGCCTGCTCCCCGGTCTCGACAACTTCTCCCACATCGGCGGTTTCCTCATGGGCATCGTGCTGGGCATCTGTCTCTTGCACTCGCCTCACGCGCTGCGCGAGCGCACAGGCGAAGATGAGCCGCCGTACACCAGTGTGGATAATCCGATTCACGATCCGCAGACGGACCCCACGCACCCGCCCATGGCGAGCAAGAGCCCCGTGGTCGGACTCAGCCAGTTTGCCAAGCAGCCCATGAGCTTCTTCAAAGGGCGCAAGCCGCTGTGGTGGGCGTGGTGGATTCTGCGCGCCGGTGGTCTCGTTGCAGCTTTTGTTGGCTTCATTCTCCTGCTCAGGAACTTTTACGAATGGCGCAACACTTGCTCCTGGTGCAAGCACCTTACGTGCTTGGTAAGTTTTCGATCCGTCTTTTCAACCAGAGCCCATTGCTAACAGGCTCACAGCCCATCAAGACGAACGGAGTAGAGTGGTGCGATATTGGCGGTCTGAACTTGACAACCACTTCAAATCAGAGTTCGAAGAGAGAGGTCGGATTTGACATGGCCGCGTATGCTTTGGACAGCTTCGCTGGGTCTTACTAGGGACTTGGGGATTTGGTGTCTTGAACAGCAGCTTGAACACTGCTGCTATGGAGAAGGGAGGAATATGCATACAGCCAGGCGTCTATATATCTTAGCATTAGCGAGTGGTGTCAGTGAACTATCATGCGACACGGCCAAGACTCTGCACCAGACACTCTGGTCATGATCAAGAATTGTACAATTACTGTGTTTGGAGCGCTACTTGCTTTTTTGTAGTTCTTGCATCCCATTCAGCGTACAATATTGCCGTCTCCTTTCGTACAGCAGAGCTCCGCACTCCCGAGCTGCATCCCTGCACCCACGTCACCTCCGTCAACAACACCGACGCATTCACAGCCACAACCCCCTCACGCCTCGATGGCACCGCACACGACACCACGCCCGCCGTGATGGAAGTCCGCCGCGACCCGCGCTCTTTCCTCTTCTTCATCATCCTGCTGCTCCTCATCAACTCGCCGGAACCGCAGCAGCAGTCGTTCAACACGCGCACCCGCTACGACGAGCTGATCCCGCGCGAACACGCCCAGCTCGACATCCTGAACCGCACGCGCTACGGAGACTTTAACCCGCGGCACAGGAAATGGCTCAACGTCAGCGGGTGCCGTGACGAAGACGGATTCGCATGGGACTTGCTGCCTGGCGTGATAGCCAAGGCGAACACCCACGGAGAGCGGGCGCTGGGCACGGCGTGGGCGGGCGTACTGGACGGCTCGATTCTCGGCCAGGAGCGCGACGCCCTGCCGCTGTATAGGAACCTGAGCGGCTATGTCCAGGGCGAGTGGGTCCGCGATGCGAGCAGCCGCCTCAGACACCCCGGCGATATGGGCAACACGACGCATCCCGCCAGAGACCCGTTCACGAATGCGGCCATGGGCTTTGATCGCAATCTTACGGGGCCGAGTGGCAGGTTTCGGGTGCACATCACGGAGCTCGAGGACAAGATGCGGATGGATGTGAACAAGACGATTTCCGAGGTTAGTGCCAAGGTTGTGGTTGGGGACGACGAGAGCTTTGGGGGGAACTGGTGGGAGTTTTATGTGCATGGTGTGCATTTCAGGGACAGCGGGCATGCCGTGCTGACGACGACGAGCGAGCGCTTTGCGGGCATCTTTGCGCTGCCGCATTTCCAGCTCTCGCGCGCGCTGCACGATACCTCCCAGCACTTTCTGAACTGGACCATCCTTGAGACCATCGAGCGGCAGATACATCGACCGTTTCCTGTCTGGAACCCCTGGACGAGCTTGCCTGCTGGGTCCAACGACGACATGATGGGCGTGGCGCATCACTGCGAGTTTGTTCTCTACCTGCAGCAGCCGCCGAGTGCGCAGACTGTCGACATGGACTGGCTTGAACACGAGATGCGCTTCCCCACCGGTGCACCGCTGGGCCATCGCTCGCAGCTCTCCATGTCCATGGTGGGCTTCTCGCCAGATTGCGGATATGTGATCGAGTCAAAAGGACCGCCAGGCTATCCTCCCTCGGAAGCCATGCATCTCGCTGGCTCCAAGACGGAGGAGTACAACGACCGAGCGCGACACAGTATCGTGGCCTTTGCCATAGCTCTCGCCTTCCAGCTGTCCTTTCTGATCAAGCAGATGAAGGAGACAGCAACCCCGTCCATGCGCAGCCGTGTCAGCTTCTACACCATCGCCATGATGGCGCTGGGCGACGGCTTCACGTTCCTAGTCCTCATCTTCATGTATCTCTTCCTAGGCACCGCGCAGCTAGCCATGTATAGCATCGCCTTTGTCGCTCTCTTCAGTGTGCTCGCACACCTGCGCTTCCTGATGGACATCTGGACTGTGCAAGCCGCCGAACGCGCGCGCCAGGAACGACAACAGGCTCCATCCGCACCGACACCGCCGCCAGCCCCTACACCAGCGGCATCAGAGCCTTCAAACGACCTCCCTCTCGCAGCCGACGCTTTCGGCACCCCGGCAACCATCTCCCGCCCCCCTCCCAATGCACCTCCTGGTCTTCCCCTCCCAGCGATTGCACCCGCACCCCGTCCTCCTCCGCGTCCACAGACGCCTATCCTGATCGCACCGGACCAAGACGACCCGCTTTCCGATGACGACGCGCCCTTGCTACCCACACGGAACCCAGCAACTGCCCCCGCCCCCGTCCCGGCGCCCGCCAACCCCCGCGCCGAATTCGGAGCCCTATACTCACGCTTCTGCCTCCTGCTTATCATAACATTCTTCGTTTCGATCCAGTTCGCCACCGCGCGCACCCTCTACCGTCGAATCTACTTCAGCCTGCTTTCGTTCCTCTACGTCTCCTTCTGGGTTCCTCAAATATACCGCAACGTGCAGCGCAACTGCGGGCGCGCACTGCGATGGGACTACACGATAGGCACATCGCTCACGCGGCTCGTGCCGCTCTTATATTTCTACCTCGAGGCGGACAACGTGCTGTTCGCCGCGACGGACTGGCAGGTTGCAGCTGTGCTGGCGGGCTGGGTGTGGGTGCAGATGGTCGCGCTCGCCAGCCAGAACATCCTGGGCCCGCGGTTCTTCGTGAGAGAAGGCTGGGCGCCGCCCGCGTATGACTACCATCCCATCCTCCGCGAGGACGAGGAGGGCGCGCTGCTCCCGCTTAACGTGACGACGGCCTCAGACGACGCCATCGACGGCGCCGAGGCGGGCAGCAGGAGCGCCGCGGAGGCCAGGGATAAGGGCAGGAAGGTGTTCGACTGCAGCATCTGCGCCAACGATATCGAGGTCCCTGTCGTGCCTGCTGGCGCGGACGAGAGCACCGTTGCGGGCATCGCGGGCACGGGCATGGTGCTGCAGAGACGCATGTATATGGTCACCCCGTGTCGACATATCTTCCACGCCAACTGTCTCGAGGGCTGGATGCGGTATCGACTCATTTGTCCAAACTGTAGGGAGGCACTTCCTCCTCTGTAGTCCACAAATCGAGCCATTTTCGTCACATGAGTTTCGTCTTCATCTGAACGTGGGTGCTGTTCGCGGCCTGCACAAGGCTGGACGAAGCGCGAGTGCACGTGCAGCCCACTAGCGCGTCCTGACTGGCACTCCAAAGCTCAACCGCATCAGCTCTCCTCCACAACCACCATGCCGTCAGACTACACCACAGCAGGCGGCGGCCTGAAGCTAAAAGGTGCCGGCGGCATCGACAAGAAGAAAAAAAAGAAGCGGCCCAAGCCCACCGACACCGCCTCGCACACGACAGCCGTGGAAAAGCGCGCCGCACACGCCGAACCCGCGGACTCCCCCGGCCGCGCTTTGTCGCCCGAGACGGCGGAGCAGGTGCTCAGAGACGCCGGTGGCAGGACGAAAACGGAGGCTGAGAAGCGCCATGAGGAATACAGGCGCAAGCGGCTCGAGGAGAAGATGAAGAGGGAGGGTGTCAAGACGCATAAGGAGAAGGTCGAGGAGCTTAACAAGTATCTGAGTGGACTGAGTGAGCACCATGATATGCCCAAGATTGGACCTGGTTAAGGCGGGTGTGTGGTGCGGATGAGACACTACGTTACGATGCCGTGTCTGTCAATCGCAACGGCGCGCGACGAGCCTGGAATGCATTGGCTGCTGCCGCAGGATGTATGTGATCACGACCCCGTGCCGGGACTTCACGCTTTCTACTTGCCGCCCGCATACAGCGATGCAGAGACAGGCCCGGGTTGCTTCCAGTACAACTTGCACACCGCCCGCCACACACGGGCGTAGCCTCATCCGTGCATCGCAGCATTCAGCCTAGGCTACCTCTTGCCGCTTTGGAAGACAGATCGATCGCATCAATGTTATTCACTTTGCAGGCCGCTGCACGCTTGTGCATTCCACGATATTCCTTTGCTTGCTTGTCGCTTTTCTGAGTCTGTCCAGCTTTCAGACTGCAGCCTCGTTACTACCAGTACCCCAACGGCGACACCGTGCGCGAGGACCCGGAGGTCAAGTCCTTGAGACACGTGCGACAGATTGCGATACCCAGCACATCGAAGCATCGAGCCACGACGGACGCAGGAGCCGGACGCGCTGAAACACTTGATCATGTACCGGGCCCATCGCCTACTCATGCCGAATTGCAAGCCAGTTTCTTGCGATCGAATGCGAAGTAAGAAGATGGTTCGACTAGGGTGTATTCCAATCGGACCACGTTCGTCAGTCGGCGTGTTGATCCTTCAGAGAATCTCTGTACTTGGGACTGACACAGTTGGACCGAATTTCGGCTCAGAGTGCTCTGTAATCACCTAATCGGACAGAGCATGATACACGTGCTGGGCCTAAAGCTGTAGCGTTGCAACTGTGATCCCCTGGAGTTTCCAAGACCCGTTTAGTGTCTGTGCGCACTGGCTGGCAGTTCTTCGTAAAAAGAAAGACCGCTTGAGGAGCCAATCGCCAGTATGACCTGGGTACTATTCAAGCATGCACGTAGCACATAATCACATTACTGTGTGTACATACCTAGACAGGCACTCGAATGCTTAGTCTGTTTAGAGCTGTGTAGATCCTGACCTTAAGGTTTCATTCGAGCACTCACTGAGTGACCTGGACTTGACTGCTGTTGAGCAAATTGGAAAAAAGATCTGCGATGCTGCTGTAGGTTTCACGTCAGTCTAGGTTCAATGGCTTGGTACTACCGGTTGCAAATGCTGCCCTGTGGTCGCAGCTGCCGAGTCTGTTTGCTCTGGCGTCACTGACGAACGACCGCTATTCATGTGGCGATCAACCGCGGCGATGTACTCACCAATGGCAGGAAAGACCATCCTCGCACCATCTTGATAAATTCTGCTGCCGGTCACGACACTTTGGACAGGCACCTTTACCCATCCGCCACAATGGGAGACTTCAACGCCACCCCCTACCCACCTCCCGACGTCCTCCAGCCCCAATACGCCCAGCTACCTCTCCAAAATGCTGCACCACAGCGCTCCAATCATACTGCCCAAGCCGCTCCCAGATCCGCACTATTTGCACCAGAACCCGCTCCGCCCAGATCCGACTTTCTCATCATCGGCCTCTTTACACTGCGCCTGGCCCTGCGCCTGATCGCCTCGCTCCCCGCCTACGACACCCGCGCCACTGACATGACCTGGCTGCAGACCTTCCTCGCGCCGTACGATTCCGCGTACGATCTTGCAAAGATAAGCGGCGCCGCGAAAGCGGAGTTCCTCGATGCGTATCCGAAGCTGCTGGCGCGCATGAAGAGGCAGGATAAGTATCCTGAAGTGTTCATGGCGATGAATCCCACAGTTTTGCCGCGCAGGAGGGCGCTGGTCGGAAAGGGCGGGATGGGGGACGGTGAGTTGCCTGTTTGCACGGGTTCGAGGTTCAGGAGATGCTGACGCTGCGGGTAGCTGAGAGGAGAGAGATTGTTGACTTTGTCGATGCGGCGACGGAGTGGGGGTCTACGGTGCCTGTGCCCCGTGATGAGAGCGAGAATATACTGAAGATGGCGGATTGGAGACTTGTTGCTGATTTGGGCACTGGGAGGGGTGGAATTGGTGTACGAAGAGGGCGTGAGGATTCGGTGATGGCGAGGGAGGAGACGCCACGAAGGGGAGGAGGAGGTGGTCGGGCGTGTGCTTCTGAACGATGAGTGTGATCTGCGCAGATGATGGGGGGGGAGTAGGTTAAGTTGGTTTCTTGCGGTGGGATGCGCTGAGTGACGCTTTCACTTGGGCTGTTGCCTGGGAGCTGGCGGTTCGTTGGCTTTGTGAGATGAGCGAGAGACATGAGCACGGCACAATAGCTTGTTAAAATTTGAGCTACGGTCGGAGCTGATCATGGAACATTCTGGGAATTGAAAACACGAGGATGGGCAGCCGTTGGGATGGATCAAGTGATGGTAACAACGATAACGGTGTGTTATACGTCATTCCCTCAGTGATTGATTCTTGACCTTACAAGCCCTGTATTATGATGAAAGAGTTATAATCAATACTTTCGTTGCATTGTGGCTACGTCTACTCATTTATCACAGAATGTCAAAGTCATAGTCGATATCCGATTGCCACCATAAGCTTACCGCACAACACAGACACGTGCACAGTCTCTAGTCGCATGAAATCCACAGCCTCCCACTTCACATCTCCTTCCCTTCACTGCGGCCGAGACATTTCCACAGGACTCCTCTTTCGCTCCCCCTTCTTGCCCTCTCTCTTCAGCGTCTTCGGCTTCTTCACCACACTCCTAAACCGCACATCGCCCTCGTGCACCCTCGGACACCGCGCGTTCGCACACGTACCCGCCTCGAGGAGACACTTCGGTCGCTCGCACTGCGAGCCCGAGCCCATGCAGTTCTGGCACGACTCACCGGCGTCGCACGTCTGGTTCCACCACATCTCGTGACAGTGCGTGCAGACTGGGAAGACTGGACCTGCCGGTGCAGGAGTCGAGCGTGACGAGGGAGCAGGTGTTGAGTGTACGGATGCTGGTGATGCTGGTGATGCTGGTGGTGCTGGTGGTGCTGCGGCGGGGCACTTGCGCGATATGGTCGGGCGAGTTGCGGGCATATCGTGGGGAGCGTGGCTAGAGCGGACACTAATGATGCTCGGTGCTTCGCTTGGGTGGCGCTGGTGAGATGCAGACTGGTCGTTGCGCGGTGCTTGTACAGTGTCAAAGGACCCGAAGTTGCCGTTGAAAGCTTGGTTTGTGTCATTTTGGAGTAGACTCGGGTCGAGCCCGAGTTGCTGGGGTGTTCGCTGGGGGACGTTACTGGCGCCATGCTGTTGCGACCAAACGTCGAAAGATGCTTCGGTGTTATGCGATTGGTACGGCAGGGACGCTGGAGTATTTGCCGCTGCAGAGAAGCCGCTGTGCGCGAGGCCGTTTCCGAAATCCTGGAAGTTGACAGCACTTGAAGTTATCTGTCCGTTAGGTTGGTGGGAACTATGCTCGTGGCTTGGAGTCGGCGACGCCCAGCCAGGAATCTCACCCTGATTACCGAGTCCGCTCTTATCTTGAGCGCCCTGAGAATCTTCAGGGGATGGATAGAGGTTCCCATCTTGCAACTGCAATGATAATTGAGCTGCAAGATCCATGTCGTCTATCCCAGAGTACGCCTGTTGTGTCACGGCTTGGGGCTGGAAATTCTTATCGGACGGTATGGCGGGCGAATTTGCGTTGTATCGCGCTGTCAAGGTCGGCATAGAGCTAAGATTTTGGATCGATGTTGCAGGCGACTGCCAGTCGTTTTGAGGTAGACTTTGCGGAGACTGCTGGCATTGTTGTGGCAGTTGCATTGATTGGAAAGTTCCAAAATTACCTGCCCGACGTGACAGTGGCGATTGTATGTTAACAGATTGGTGTGTTTGCTGATCAAAGAGTGTTGCCATCGGTAGGAATGGGGACTGCAATGTAGCTTGCCTATCACCTAAGGCCATGTTCTGCGACATGGAGGCATCGTGCTGGAAGATGAGCTGAGATGGGTTCTGACGAGCTCTTAAGGCTAACAGCTGTTGGTTGAAGGCAGACCATGCTTGCATAATGGTCAGTTGAGGATGGCCGACCTTCTGTCTATCCGCATTCATGCGCGCGAAAAACTGATGGAAAAGCTGATATGAACCGTTCTGTTGAGCTTGCAAGAGTATGTCCTGCTCCTGCACCTGCCAGTTTGCTAGGGCCTGAGTTTGTGACTGAGCCTGTTGGAGTGACTGTAGAGGACTGGCAGTCGTGGCCGGATGCTGAGACAGCCGGGTAGGAGTCACAGCGTTTTGTGAGGACTGTCTAGCCAAGCTCGGCATCTTTCTCTTGGGAGTCGTAGTCGAAGTGTTTCCACCGCCTTGCTCTGGCATTGAAGCGTGGGCGTCGCTATTTGAGTTAGTCTGAACCTTTCCGCCTTCGACCCTGATGACGTACCCTGTGGAGTTGAGCCGCCTGCGCTTCCGTGCCTGATCTTTGTCCTGCTGAGGGCTCTGTAGCGTGGTCAATGGGAAGCCGGCATGGATCCCTGCAGCCATTTGCGGGCCTTGAAAACCTACACGTTGCGGATACTGCTGTTGCAACTGGCCCTTGTGCCAATCGAGCGCCTGTTGCGACTGCTTGAGCTGCTGTTGGAGGCGCTCAATCTCTTGCTGCATGGACTGATACTGTTTCATCCACTTCTGTATGGCGGTCGCAGAGTGGCGAGTGGACTCGTCTTTCCATTGCTTCTCCTTCTCAGCAAGACGCTTCTGGAATTCCTTCTCCGATTGCTCCTTGAACTGCTGCTTCTCTGCCTCGTATTTGACTTGCACTTTTTTGAGCGCGTTGCTTTGACTGGTCTGCACTCGTGCCGCGGCTTCCCTGTGTTGCGCAAGCTCGCCTTGCAATCTGGTATTAGCGGTCTGCAGCTCCTGCAGTTGGACATGGCTGTGTTCGAGTTGCTGCGCCTGCGCAAAATCCGCCTCTAATCTCGCGATGTTGTCTTTGAAGCAATTGTACAACCTCACGGCCTTGATCTGATCATCTGTTCTCTCCCACTTTTCATTCTTGAGCGCTTGTTCTGTGCGCTCGGCGCGGCGGTCCGCATGCAAGAAGTCTCTGTAACGCTCCGATGCTCGCTTGTCAGTTGCATCTTTCTCGGCTTTCAGTGCCTTGTTGAGGCGTTTGAGTTCTGCGATCTCTTCGGTCTGCGACATTGTGGGGGCGGGCACAGTGGCAGGTACGAAGAAGCCTGCGTTCAAGATCTGGGTGATGTAAGATCCATCTGGTGGAGTCGACATCGTGGAAGCAGAAGCCGACCGGCGGCGCTATCGCGCGAGTGTGTTGTCACGATTGCTGGTCACAGACTGTGTTCGAGGTTGGTGAGGTAGTTGGGTGTCGAGTGACAAGGCCAGCAAAGTTGCAAACAATCAATCATGAGATCGGAGGTGAAAGAGATAAAGTCCAGAGGGAGATAGCGAACCATGGTTGGCGCTGTCGGCACCCAGGACTCGAGAACAACACCGACGATTATCATCACAATAGAAGGACCTGAATTATTAGACTCCCTAGAATCTTTAACTTTGGCGAGACAGTAACCGGAGTTCAATACGCAGCAGAGCGTATTGGAACCCTTGGCTCGTGAGACTGTTATCTCTTCGTGACGAACGAATATCGGGGCAGTCCTTTCACAGCCAGGGTACTGCGCGGCTGCACGCATGGATGCTTGAAATCAACTTACACGCATACAGTAGATTTACAGCACATGGTAGTTGCGGATCGTCAGTATTGATCTCTTCGCTCCATCAGGCAAGACGAGGGCAAGGCAATGAAGCTGCCTAGCGCAGTGCGAGCAGTGCTCAGGGGATCGCTCGGTAGGAAGCACATGTCGTTGTATTGCAACCTGTTATAATATACCATATCGAGCCTTCGAGAGATCCGCGGGAGGCGCAAAAGACTTGCAGGAGTATGAACATGACCGAAGCAATCTTGCAAGCGCTAGTGAGCTGCTATGCTGCGAGAACGGATTTTAGAAACTTGTGTTTGCAGCAACAGTCTACAAGCTGTAGGTCAATCGTATAGCCTGAAGGTAGTCGGAGTATTGCCACGACGGACGTGCATGAAATTCCGATATCGAAGATGTCCGTTGTTATTGTACGGTATATGGCGACCGGACGAAACTCGTTAACGTTGAGGCGCAGAAGCTGAGGTTTCTGTGGCGTAGTTACTACATGGGATAGAAGACGGCTGTTACACAGTGGGTAATGCCTCGGATCGTTAAGAGATGTGGAGTATCTTTGTAGAACTGGGTGTTGATTATCCCGAGGCTGCACCTTGAAATGCAGGCTGGGTACAAGAACAGGAACGAGACCGGAGGAAACGCACCCTGCCATCCCTCTGCATCATCGAAAGCAACTTTACTCAATTCAGGAGCATGCCCAGCACAGTGACAACATGCGTTGGCGTTCTTGCGGAGCCTGCGGAAGGCCTAGGATTGAAAGAAGAGATGAGATGGCAAGCATCGCAAGCATCGATGCGAAGCGCCACGTGAGCGTCTTCCCGAGAATGTGCCGGGCCTGGGCGTGTTTCCCCGCAATCATCGACCATCAGCATTCGTCAACGCCAACCCGCTCTAATCCCTGTCACCCATCGCGATTCCATATTCGTCTTGACCGCAGCCTCTGATGTGCATCAATACTTACCAAGCGCACAACGAACACCCGCCATACGCGCACCTATCGACGCCTCTTTGCCCCTTCACCTTCGACTTCCAGATCTCGGCCGATTGTCAACTGCCGATGTCGCCTCCTATCCAGTGAGGAATCATGATCAATTTCACTACTGTAAAGATGAGCGAGAGCTGGCTTTCAATATCCGGACCGATACCACCAGAAGAGGACATATAGGCGGCTCAGCTTTGCAGAGACCTCAGGCACTATCATTAGCACAACTGGCTGGTACTTCTTCGGCAGCTGTCAAGGGCTAGCCACTCTTGCACGGTTTTTTGGCCTGCGCACCTCAGCTTCCGTGTGGTTGCGGTGTCTTGATTCGACGCTCATGTGGTGCGGTCCGGTGCAAGGTCTGAGTCCTCTCGATATGGATGCCATATGGTGACTCGCTGTATCAGCATGGTTCCGGAAGGCACTCGGTGGCGGCGCGGGGTAGATTGTGAAGACGTATAAAGAGCGATTCATCATTGAAGCTGTTGAACGCACCAGATATTGATCAACCCTTGAGTGGCATCTCTCAACATGGTACGGACACTGAGTCTGGTTGGATTAGCTGCCACTGTTGCGGCTCAATTCAACATCAATCATACTCAGTATGGAACAAGTCCACCAGTGTATCCTTCACCGCAGATGAGCGGAGCAGGTGGTTGGGAAGGTGCACTTGAAAAAGCTCAGGCTTTCCTTGCTGAGCTGACAACTGAGGAGAAAGCGCAGATAGTCACAGGTACGTTACATGTTGACTAAACACGGTGTGTGGCTTACAGCCTCCCGCAGGTACTGCAGGTCCATGCGTTGGCAACATTGGACCAATCGAGAGACTCAGCTTCAGTGGCCTCTGTCTCCAAGATGGGCCACTTGCTATCCGGCAGGCCATCTATGCGTCTGTGTTCTCAGCGGGTCTTTCATCTGCAGCATCGTGGGACAGACGACTGGTTCGACAGCGTGGAGCCTACATCGGTGCGGAATTCAGAGGCAAGGGCGCTCATGTCGCTTTAGGCGTAAGGTGTCGCCCCTCCTTAGATCGAAGCCATAGCTAACGGACGATCGCAGCCAGTTGTGGGTCCACTATCGAGGTCTCCGTTTGGTGGGCGTAATTGGGAGGGTTTCAGCCCTGATTCGTACCTTTCCGGGGTCCTAGTTGAGGAATCCGTCTACGGTATTCAGAGTGCCGGTGTCCAGGCTTGCATAAAGCACTACATCGGTAAGTGGCGAGGTCTAAAGCTCGTCTTTAATACAATGCTTAATACCTCTAGGCAACGAACAGGAAACCCAGAGGAATCCATCTACTGTCAACGGGACCACGATCGAGGCCATCAGCTCAAACGTAGACGACAAGACAATGCACGAGACCTACCTCTGGCCCTTCGCCAATGCGGTACGTGCTGGGACAGCTTCAATTATGTGCTCGTACAATCGTATCAACGGTAGCTATGGTAAGTTGCCTTTCCCCTTGCAGCCTTTCCACGATCGATAGACTTACGACCTCACAGGCTGCCAGAACAGCAAGACTCTCAATGGATTGCTCAAGGATGAACTTGGTTTCCAAGGCTATGTAATGAGTGATTGGCTTGCGACTCACTCTGGCGTTGCCAGTATCGAGGCCGGGCTGGATATGGACATGCCTGGCGGCATCACCTTCGTTATCCCAAATCCGTCATTCTTCGGTGGCAACGTCACAACCGCTGTCAACAACGGCTCCCTATCGACACAGCGAGTCGATGACATGGTCCTCCGGATCATGACACCTTACTTCCATTTGAAACAGGACGTCGACTTTCCACCCATTGATAACTTTTCTTCACGCCTTGGTTTCTTCCCGGCTAGTGAGTACCTGTACAACTTCACACTTGGCCCTATTGTCGACGTCCGCCAGGAGCAGCACGCACAGCTTATTCGCGACCTTGGCGCAGCAGGCACAGTCTTGCTGAAGAACGCCAATGGAGCTCTGCCCCTCAAGACCCCTAAGAATATCGGTGTCTTTGGCAACGATGCTGCTGACTTGACGCAAGGTCAATACTCATTGTCCAGCACCGGCACAACTCTCTTTCAAGGCGACTACAACATTGGTACTTTAGCTGTTGGCGGTGGATCTGGCACAGGCCGTTTCACGTATGTTGTCTCACCCTTGGAGGCTATCAAGGCGCGCGGACGATCTTACGGAGCTATTGTGCAATACATCACCGATAACGAATACCTCACTCTGGGTGGTCTCGCCGCTCTAGCACCTGCACCGCCAGAAGTTTGCATCGTCTTTCTGAAATCCTGGGCAAGCGAAGGATCTGACCGCTCAACACTGATTGCGGAATGGAACTCAACCGTTATTGTGAACCAGACTGCTACCCTGTGCAACAATACAGTTGTAGTCCTCCACGGTGCAGCACCAAACACAATGCCGTGGCGCGACAACCCCAATGTTACGGCAATTATTGCAGCGCACATGCCTGGACAAGAGTCCGGCAACTCTATCGCCGACATCCTGTGGGGTGATGTCGATCCGTCTGGTCGATTGCCATACACGATTGCGAACGAAGAGACTGACTATGCCAAAAACCTTGTAAACAGCACAGCTCTCGTAACGAGCACTGACCCAGACGCCTGGCAAGCTGACTTTGTTGAGGGCAACTTGATCGACTACAAGGAGTTTGATGCTCGCAATGCCAGCGTGGCCTTCGAGTTCGGTTTCGGACTGAGCTACACCACGTTCAACATTTCCAATCTCCAAGTCCAAGTCAATGGTAGCAACGCTTCGAGAACACCCAATCCAGCCGCTCCGGTCCGGCCCGGTGGCAATATTGAGCTTTGGGCCACGCTTGCTACTGTCAGTGTGACTGTGTCCAATACAGGCTCAGTGTCTGGCGCCACGGTCCCTCAACTCTACCTCTCGTACCCAGAAGAGGCCAATGCACCTCACCGCAGCCTACGAGGCTTCGAGAAGGTTGTTCTCAGCGCGGGCATATCTGGAACGCTCAACTTTCCACTCACTCGACGTGACCTGAGTTACTGGGACACCAGGACGCAGCAATGGACATTGCCAACTGGTGCTATCGAGGTACATGCTGGTTTCAGCTCAAGGAACCTGCCTCTTCGAGGCAGTTTGACTGTCTAAGCTGTAGGCACCTTGTATAACGAGACGTACACAAATCAATGGAATAGCATTCGCTGACTACAAGTTTCTATTTGACTGCTCGTGCACAAGTCTTTGAAACCAATTTAAATTTCCTTCAAGAATACCTGACCACTTCTTGGCCTAAGTTTGAGCAAGTCGCGTTCCCTCTTAAGGCTCAACTTACTCAGTTGACTAAGCCCTCCATGGAATCAGCCGAACATGTCCAATGGCGCAGTCTGCAAATAGAAGGGACCTGTGATGTATCGCTTCCCAATCTCAAGTCAACTTCAAGAGGACACCAAGATCTCACTATGCTATTCCTCTCAACGATTCCGTAGAATTCTATCGAGCCGCAAAAGAGGACTCCGCAACCTGCCCGCCATGTCAGGGACTTCGGCAACTACGGCAACTACGGGACGGGACGCCTGATGCACGGCCTCAAAGTGATCGACATCTTACGTTCGTCCCCTCCACATCGGGGCACGACCATGACTCCAGGACCAAGCTTTTCGCATCTCTCCACGACCAGGTGGCTGGTATGCCACCGACTTGCAAAGATTTCTGAAGGACTACTTTAGCCACGTCTGCGATATCGCCATGAACATAGCCACTCCAAGCGTTTCAGCCCCAGCAACTGTTCCCGCCTCGGACCCACATAGGTTAGTGAACGGCGACCTAATTTAAGATAAGTGATCAACCTTGCCCGCTGTTGCGCGCCTTAAGTTGAAATCGTGTTCACCTTTTTCCGAGTGGCGATCTGCTCGACTCTCCAGATCTTTCATCGTCGCCATGTTGCGCACATCGCCTACCTTGACAGCCGTCCTTCTCGCATGTACGAGAATCGTTTCGGCCGACTTCGATGAGTTCTTCTTCGCAAGCAATGCGACCGAATACGTTTGTCCCGGTATCGGGTTCGCGTGTACACCGCCTATGATCTGCTCCCATGAATCTGTTACCGATCTGTACTATTGCTGCGCGCCTGGCGCCATAGATGCAGTATGCTGGAAGGGATCAGCGTCCTGTGATGGTGGAGATGAGAAGACGCCTTCGGGAAGCCAGCAGTCATGTTCAAGTGGAGATAACGCGTTTTGCTGCTTGAAGTCTCGGTGAGTGCAGCCGGTGTCTATGAAAGCTGACTTTCATCGTGCTAATGCCGGCAGTGAGGAGTGCACGCAGACCAAGAATCAAATTAATGTGTGCTGGTCAACTATCGATAACCCCGTTGCAAACCTCTCAGACACAAAGTTGAATGAGACTTTCTCATCGCTTTCGTCTGCCAAGCCAAGCGCGTCTTCCTTTCCGATCTCCCTCGCGCAACTCCAAGCATCGGCAACACCCACTACTTCGCTTCCCGTATCAATGTCTGCGTCTTCGCTGTCTAGTGGATCGGCAATCATACCGGCAAGCACGGCCGCATCAGTGACCTCCATTGTCACAGACCTGCCTGAGGCCCAACCGATCGATAAAAAGGGTAAACCTGGCGGTGCGATTGGCGGCATTGTCGGTGGTGTCGTAGGTGGTCTCGTATTGATAAGTATCGCGGGCTTCCTGTTGTTCAGACGCCGTAAAGCAAACTTGAAGGGTGGTCACGCACCAATCGCCCCCGGGCCACCGTCAGAGCATGGACCCCCGCACGAACTCAATGCATCCCAGCAGCGGCATGCAGGAATGGTGGAAGCACCAGTATCTACAGGGAAGTATGCGTATAACTCACATAACAGCCCATACAAAGACGCGCCCGAGGCGCAGGGGAGTCCAGTTGGCGGGCATCACATTCATGAGATGCAGGGTGGTGCGCCGGCGGAGATGGATGCAAGTGCCTATCGAAGAGTGTAGAAAGGCACGACTGAAAGATGCGCCACTGGTAGAGTCTGATAGATAACCAATTCTGGCCACCAAATCGCACAGCATGAGATCTCTCCTGGCATGGAAGGAGCACCCGACCCTGGCCGATCTCACCACCCCCGGCATCGCCTAGACTCACGATACTCCTCGTTTCACCATGCATATCTCTGAGTCTGAAATCGTCGCCTTCCACGCGTACTCCGTCCTTGAGGTCGATGCATCAGCGACTGGCCAGCTCCACTACATACATCCTGAACCATTCACAAGCTGTACAGAGCTCAAAAGTGATACTTCGAACGACAAGTGACAGCATCCACTCGATAGGCAGAAAGCAAAGAGTACCGCGGAAGGCTTACACCTGGGAGAGATTGCCGGTCACAGCGATTGGCCAGTGGCTAACAATGCCGAGACATGAGCACAGCATGTAGTCTGCGGGCCCCCGCTCCGAGCTGGGATCGAGGACAGGACTGGAGGACAGGACTGGAGGACAAAACTGTAGGATCCAGGCCTCGTCAGACTTTAAATGGAATCGCTGGGTGACAAACTTGTGGAATCGTCTCATCTCGCACATTGTAACGTCCTCTGCTTCTCATTACTTGGATCAACGCTTTATATGATGGATGTCTTGATGAGCCTCACCGCTAGAGCATGATTCGTTCGAGGTCTTCTAGACTGAGACATGGGGTTGTTCTTGCGAAGGAACGCTTCGGTTTGACAATCTCCTCGCAATGATGCGATTATTACTGCGTAATTACAACCAATGTACGTGCCGCCTGGTGTTCGAGATGCCATTCTACACGTACCGGATGTGTGAAGGAACTTTTGTTGAGCTGCATCCGCTACGCCTCGCGTCTGTGTTCAATTGTGCTTATTCGTCAGGACGGCACTGCTATGGCGAGATTGAGAATGCCATCCTTCCAAATGGCACTTTCGAGTCGTTTCGTCTGTGTTTGTGACATTCCCATCTCTTCAGAATGCTAAACCTTGATATCTGTTTGCGGTCTGCGACATTGCGTTGGGCTGGACCCGATGAGCTGTAAATTTGGTGATTGGCCGAAGGAAAGCTCCTCCGGGCTCTTTCGATCACATGCTGTCAGTCAGAACGAATGATGGTACATCTGTGTCTCACAAGACGAACACCATCGCATGGGGCGATGGTGTTCTTGCTCTGGGGTGCACAGCGCCGCAACATTGGGACTTTACCGTAGTGGGTCCTTGCTAGCGCCCTTTCAAAACGCACTGCGCCACAATTCCCGACCAGCGATTTTCGACCTTAGCAATCCGAAGATCGTTCCTTGCACTTACGACGCAGATAGCTTCATCACCTTCACTGTATCATAGATGTGAACACGCATCCGTATGCCCAGACATTGTGTTGAAGTCCGGCCCATGCAATGCTTCGACAGGCTAAGCTTTTGCACAGAGATTAGAGCTTTGAGCCGCCCCAATTCAGCCCATACGCAGTCTGCCAGCGACGAGCATTGACACTAGAGTGTCATGTGTGATAGTTATCGGCTGAGTGCGGCCAGTCTGGTATGCAGCCTGGATGCAGTCTGACTGAAAGGATGCATATGTTGTAACAACGAAGCAAAGTTCGCCACCTGCATGCTACCTGTCAACGCTACACGGAGAAGCGTAGGGCTCAAATTTGCCGACATGACACACTATGCCGATAATTTGAGAGCCCCAACGGTAACGCCAGTGACCCGCATTCGCAAACGGACTTGTCTCGTGTAGGTCGAGCCTAAGCCCGGGCAAGTGATTGGTGGTGACGCAGCCCTGTGATAGCTATGCGAAAGCAACAGCATATAACAACATGACTGGCCTTCTGTATCTAATCAGCGAAGCACAGCGATAGCAGCCCATCCTTAAACTCTTTGCCTACCAAGACGTACCTCAGTTCATCACCGACACGTATTGTTCTAGAGAGATGAACATTGCCATCCCTAGTATCCGCAAAAGAGCAGCGAGCCGGGACACGACTCCGAGTCTACCGAGCTCACAGAGCTCTAACGTATGTCGCACATCCACGTCCGAGGTTGCAAATTGGACTGACTATTTGCAGAGCTCTCACGGCAGTGAGACTACAGCACTCGAAAGAGTGAAGCAGGTCATTCTCTGTTGCAAGCGGCACATTGAACGCTTTGCTAGTGCGCCTCGCTCAGCTGTGTACGAAGATGAGGAGAGCGTGGACTCATCTTCATGCTTCGAGCTCCGTCGACCAAAGTCAAACAGCCTCCCTACCCAACTACCCTCACAAACGCACCCCAGACGTGCGCACGCATCTCGACCTATACCACTCAATGTGGCAGTGATGAGGCAGCAGAGCTACCAGTTCTACATGGATGACGATAACCATCCCTTCATAACCACGCCGTCTTGTATGGAAGGGGATAGCAGCCAGAAGTCGACGACTTTTATCACCCCCACCTCTCGGTGACCATGACCTGTCCTCCAAGATTTCCTCTGTAGCAATTCATCTTGCTCAGAAGGACTGAGAGACCTGGTTTCGACCTCCTTATTTTTTCATTCTTCTACGAAGTAACGAAGCGCTGTGTCTGATTTGACGGCCATAGGGCACAACTGCCATAAATTCTTCAGATCTTCTACATAGAATTCAGTCTACCAATGTTCTTAAGATCGCCCACCATTCCAGTACAGAACCTCTGTAGTAGGGCTGAACCCGGGTCTTTAATTACACGGGTTCTAGCCTGTTCCGATTTAGTCCCTGCGCCTAACCATAATCCGCTCCACACTGTCTCAACCCCCGCCTGCCATCGTTCTACACAACGTATGATATGCGGCTCATTGATGTCCGCACAATCGAACTCCGATGGTTTAATGACAACGAGATACCTGAGTATGCCATTCTTTCGCATACCTGGGGCGCGGATGAGGTGAGCTACCAGGAATTGGTGTGGATCAACCGCATCAAAGCATTCACAACAACCTACGACACGCCGTCGTCTTCTGTGGCATCACTCAGCAGTACTCAAGACGATCAGTCCTCGGCCATGTTGGCCGCAATGGAGACCATGCTGCGAAGTAGTACGAGCTTTGCAACAAAATTGAGCGGTGTCAAAGAGGAGGATCTTCTGAGCAGACAAGGATACTCGAAGATCGTCAATGCAGCCAGAGAGGCGCAAAATCTAGGCTTCAAGTACATCTGGATCGACACCTGTTGCATTGACAAGTCTTCAAGTGCAGAGCTCCAGGAAGCAATCAACTCTATGTATCGATGGTACTTCGATGCCGAAATCTGCATTGTCTATCTGGAAGACGTCTGGCCACCCAAGAAAGGACCAGGTGAAAACGACACCGCTTCAGAGATTGCTAGGAACGCTTTCGAATCTAGCCGCTGGACGAAACGTGGATGGACGCTCCAAGAGCTCGTCGCACCTGGGATTTGCCGCTTCTATCTTCGTGACTGGCGACTGCTCGGTGAGAAAGAAGAGTACCTCCAAGAACTTTCAGCAGCTACTGGCATACCAGTCTTTGTTCTCGAGGAGCGCCGCTCAGTGAGCGAAGTCTCTGTCGCAGAACGCATGTCATGGGCTGCCCATCGCCAGACCACGCGAACAGAAGATCTCGCCTACTGTCTGCTTGGGCTCTTCGATATTCAGATGCCTCTGCTATATGGTGAAGGAAAAAAAGCTTTCATCAGATTGCAGGAAGAGATCCTGAAAACCACTGACGATTACTCCCTCTTCGGCTGGCGTGCCCACGAGTCCACACTTTCAACCTACCGCGGCCTTCTCGCCCGCTCCCCCACAGAATTTCGCGACTGCCACTTCTTCGAACGCGAAGAAAGCATTTCCACATTCCCTGTAAACCCAACACCCATCGGCCTCCACATTCAACTCGAGTTCCTCCCGCACCCTAGCGACAAAACGCGCATCCTTGCACTCATTCGGGCTTCGAATCCACTCAATCAACGTCTCGCCATATCCCTCAAGTGTCTCGATGGCCTAGCGCAATATGCCCGCGTCGATGCCGGCGAGCTGGTCCCCATGAATGACTGGCCCACCGGGCAATTGCGCACGATATACATCCGCCAAAATCCGTCAATACCACCAGACTTCACAGCGCCCGAATTCTCATCCTTCCACATCCGCCGGCGCTTCGCAAACCAACGAACACCCCCCGTGCGCATCATCTCAGCCTTCCCGCGCGAGCTCTGGGACGGCGAGACACATGAAGTCCGCATCCCGTCGTCAGCGCCGAAAGCGTTTGGCGTGTTATTGTTGCGGGTGCAGAGCCATGCATATGCGCACTCGCTCAGCTTCCCTGTTGCGTTTGGGTTCGATCGCTCGACGTGCCATTATTGGATCAAGGCGGTTCCGGATTACGTTGCGCCTGAGGGGTTGGGTGCGAGGGGCGCGTGGCAGGCGGTGCTGAGGAGAGATTACATACCGGATGAATGCTACGATGCGAGGAGAGGGGGGGATGTGAGGCGCGACATGTTCGTGGTTGGAGACAGTGGGGCGGGCATTGGGGTTAGTATCAAGGCCGGATTGGTTGGCGACAGGATTGCGCTGGTGGTCAGCGTTGATGGACTAGCACGATGGCATTAGAGTGGATCTGTGAGTATCTGGTGTTCGCGTAGATGGAACCTAATGCTGGTTAAATGGATAGGTCAAATTTTGGGACGCCTCCATTAGCTATTGCAGCAACATCGAGCGAATATGTGGTCCAGATCAGTACCGCTCAATGTGCGACAGGAAGGCGCTAGAAAGGACATGTCTCATCCAAGGAAAGACGTGACAAGGATCGGACTGGGTAGTAAACCTTCGTCAGAGGAATAGTCAGGAAATAGATTAAAAATGTAGCTTGGAATGCTCGGCTACCGTCACCGCATTATGGAAGAATGTTCACGAACCAGCGCTCGTCAGTATCTGAACAGAACCTTTTTTTTTTCAGAGACGAACAGCACAGGAGTTGTGGCAGATCCACGCACCCCTATCGAATGACCGACTTAGCTCTTTGCCTCAAGGCAGGCCCAGCCCATCTCGGGCGACGCTGATGAAGTTCACAGCAGCGCTGCTTACGGGTCCTTCGTTCCTAATAGTGTGGGCATGGCTGTGGATAGTGGTCGTTCTAGAGATGGTGGCGGCATAAGCGTGGTTGAGAGGATCGAGGATCGCTGGGTGTGAGCAAACCCGGTCGGCGAGAAAACGGTGTTTATAAACGGTGATTGGTTGAAGTGAAGGGAGCTCGAAGATCTGGTCGAAGCGTAGCGACGCCATCACCCTCTGAGATTGCTGTGAATCAAGTGAAAGCAAAGCTTGCACGTTATCATATGTATGATTTTCATCAGCAGATAATAGTTGTCCGTCGCGAGAGGCCCCGCGGCTTGTAGTAATGTGCTGTCTTGGTAACGTAGTGCACTAGACAGATATGTCAACTCCCCAACTCCAGCCGACCATTTAGGCTGTACACCTCCTCCCATGTTGAACAACAAGCCCAACACCGTGCGCTAAATGCAGTGACAAGATTAAACACAACACGAGGCAGCTCATAGCCGAACGAAGCTAACGCCGAACCATGATCATCACCTCCACTGGCCTTGGCTGAGTGCTAGCAACCCTTCAACGCAGCCAGCTTCTTCCGCCGAGCTCAAGTTGGTACGAGCACTGCCACTGTCGCCGTTCATGAACGTTCGCAGCTCGTCGTCCTGCTCTGGGTCGATGGCAGCCTTGCCTCCCTTCTTTGCTTTCGCGAGCAAGGCACCAAGGCTCGCACTCTGTGAGATGATGTTGGTATTCTCGCCGAGGACCTTGCGAGGTCGTGTGGCCGAGCCAGGGGTAGCAAGTCCACGCCTTCGTACCGACTTCGGCATGTCTGGCTCCCAATTTTCCTTGTCTGATTCTGTCGAGGGGAAGTCGTCTGACTCAGTCTCGTCGCTGTCCTTCGGCTTCTTCCCACTTGAGAAGACGTTGAACGTCGATGCGCGTTGCATGGAACCGCGGGATTTCTTCACGCCCGAAGAGCCAGGTGCCTTGTGCGAGCTCTGCCTCGACTTCAGAGGGGTGTTTTGTCGTGCCTGGTTCTGAGTCAAGATCCTCCTGTTCGCGCGCAGTAGTCCAATCGCGTCTGCCGCACTGCCGCTGCCCTCCTGCTCTGCACGCGCTGTCAAGCTCGTGTTGTGCCGTGTGTCAGGGTCGCACCAGAACTCCCAGGCTCTCGAGTCTCTGCTCCTTCCGATGTTGGGTGATATGCGTGCCATCTTGGGGCTGGGCTCTCCCCTCGCTGCAGCGAAGAGACGGTCGTTCAAGCCTGCGGCGCTATAACTTCGTCGTAGACCGGCGGCGGCACGGGCGAAAGGGACTGGTGTGGTCTTTGGGTGGGGCGGCGACGGCGTCTTGTCGAGATCTGTGACGACGCGTGCTAAGCCATCTTCGTTTGTAGCTATCCGCACGAAAGAGTGTGCGCGTTTCAGGGGACGCGTATCCGCTGACTTGGACTTGGGCGCCTCAGGAGACTCAACGGCCGTGGGAGGTGCATTTGGGAACGTGATCGTCTCTGACGCGTAGTCTTCAGCAGAGCGCACGAACGACGCACTACGACGGTTCGAGATCCACGATGTCCGCGGCTGCGCACCCTGCGACGCCGATGCGCTTTGCTGCGAGTTGCTGATTTCTGTGGGCGCGGCGTCAGTGGGCTGGAGGGCGGTCGAGGCCTCTACTGTTGGCTGTGCTGTTGCTGTCTGAGTCGTATCTTCGACTGCTGCTGCCGTCTGCGCGTTTGCGTGCGGCACCGGCACGGTTTCGTCTGATGTGGCTTCAGATGTCGTTGGTTGCGCGGGTGCGTCGGTCTTCGGCATCTCTGCCCCCGGCTCCGGCGCGTTCCCGTCCTCGCGCGCGTGCTCGTCTTCGGTCGCGGGATCAGACATGTTGGATGATGACGACATGAGCGACGCAGAAGAAGAAGGCTCGAGCGGTCGCGAGCGGCGGCGGTCGTTTTGTCTTTTGTTCTGAAACCAGATCTGCCGGTGTGGTTAGTCGCTCACGCTCGTGACGTGGAACAAGGTGGGCGGAAGCACGTACCTGGACCTCCTTCTCGCCAAGCGCGACTTTGCGGACGATCTCCAGACGCGCAGCCTTGTCTGGCTTGGAGTTGATCAGGTACTCGGCCTTGAGAACGTCTTCGTCCTCCTTGCTGTGGGATGGACGTCAGCGCGCTGGGTTGCCGAGTTGGTGGGGCATAGCGCAACCGAAGCTAGCACGAGCCAGCGCGTCTGCGAAATGCTCGACACGGGTTGGGGTGGAATGACTTTGTGGAAAACAAAACTTACGAGGTGCGTCTGCGTTTCTGGCGCGCGAGAGGTTTGTTGTCGACGTCCGGAGGCATTTTGTTTGCGACCGTCTCTGGCGAGTGCACCAGAAATGCAAAATCCGTCGTGACCGCGGCTGCAAAGTCGCGTCTGCCAATGGCATCAGACGCGACTGGGAGTGGCGACGAGGGTGACATTGCGAAGAACGGCCGTAACAATGGCTGAGCAAGAAGCGAGTGGTTCAAGAGTCAATTCGCATTGGATCTCGAGGAAAGTAATAGAGACACGACGTGGTGGCAGGGAATGCTAGACGCGTTGGTAGAGCGCGTTGCGCCGGGTCCGGACGCAAGTCACATCACATCCACTGCACTTTACCTGTTGAGAACATGGAAAGTCCGTGCCACACTTTGAGCCTCACGTTTTGGCGGAACACAACCTCTGATCCTGCGTTCAGTAATGGTCGAATAAATGCGCTTTTTGTCGTTATGTCATTCCCATCTACTCATCGGGAGTCTATAGCTCTTTTGAGCATGCTGGATTGGTTTGACGCGTCGTCGATCCTATATCTCCGATTTGGCACCTCAGCACGAGCACGAGCTCGGCTGCCAACATGAACCATGGTGGGCCGCGCAGGACGCGTCTCGAAACTACTCAGCGGCTCCTGCCGCCCTCACTGCCCTGCCATGGCAATATTGCTTTTCGCGACTCTTCAACACCAGCGATCCTCACTACAGTAGTCAAGCGGCCATCGACCAGGCCATGATTTACTGACCAAGGCATGTACAAGAGGCGCAACAGTGAGGCAAATGACAACGAATATCAACAAGCCGATATGTAGGCTCCAAGCAACACGCGACTTCCTCGAACTGGTTCTCGACGTTTCGTCCAGCACGCGTTCCCAATAATACAGATAACTCAACATCATTGGATTTCCGCTAAACCACCGTTTCTTTGTTGGGTGTTTAGAGGTAATCTGAATCGTTAGTTCCGAGGTCCGATCATTCTCTTCTGACACTTGAACGCGCTGTCATGTGACCATGGACATCATGTGACCGCTTGCCATTCTGGGTTGATGGCAAGCGAGACGGGCCTTCCGTTGGAGCCCCACCTGCAACGTCTCTGCTACAACTCTCTAGGAAAAATTCAATCCCCTCGTCAGATCGTTGCCGCCCATTGCGAACTGTCGTTACAGCCTCCACACCGCTAAGAAGGCAACGGCTAGGCAACGTTACCGCTATTACTTCCAGCCCAATCCCGCCATGGCGGTTTCACCGTAAGACGGGCTGAACATCACGCCGATATTTACGTCTACGAATTATGCACCTACGAGCACTAGACTACCGAACACCTGACTGTCTGCCTGTCTATGCGCTCGACCTTTGCTCTTGCAGTCCCTCTCTGCCAGCACCGGTGAAGTCGAACAGTCCTCCAGGCGGAAGTGACTATTGAAGAGCTGGATCCTTGGTTTTGGGACAGCCACCGTCTGCTGGTCATCTCTGTGCTACCCTCATCAAATGGTTTGTCCGGCGCCTGTCGTCTGCCTCAGGCATGTTGAGCCGCGATTCTGACAGCGAGGCTGAACGGTGCAAACGGCTCGGAGATGACCTAGCATCCTGTGATCGACCACAACGCATCCTTCGAGACCGTTTCCTCTGTACGAGGAGCCCGATTCTGCGTTTCTGGGGCATTTTCGGGAACAGCGACGTCTTGGACGGGTCACCGGTTTTCGGCCCCAGAGTCGTAGCCGATCTCTTTAGCAAGCTCGCTCCGTCTTGACTGATACCTGATTGGTGTGACACTAACGAAAATGCATCTGACTGCATTCTGGAGAAGCTGCTAGGCCTGCGCGACCGGTAAAGATCCCCGCCGCTCTCCTGGCATTCGCGTCCCACAGCCATGTAGTCGGTACCTGCGCCCCACACAAGAACACACCAAGCATCAACTCGAACCCAGTCAGTCTACAGCGTAGGGCTAGCCCAATGTGTCTGCCTATGCATTTCCATAGAGCGGATTGGTCGAGAGCAGAGGGCCCTGGGCACGACACCACCGGTTCCCTGCGTCTGCTCATGTATTCACCCTCGTGCTGCGTTGCTACGGTGTGGGGTCCTCAAGCATGTGATGCCACATCGCTCAAGTCGACGAGCACATGCCCTTGCATCCTTGATTCGTGGATTATCTAGGAGTGGTCAGTGTTGACATGCGGCTCTCTGAGGGCGGCTTCGATACTTGCATGTGCGGGTGACATCCGCTCCGAGCAGGGCGTCGCCCCGCATAATGGTACTCACATGTCGAGTTGCTCCGTGGTATGGCCGGACTATAGAGCGCCCTCGCTGGCAGCTGCGAATGGACCAGCCTAGTTCATGTATGCCGTGGGGATACCGACTGTCACTAGGAACTCAGTGGAAGCAGGCAACCACAAGGCTGATGTGATGACTTGTAGCTATTGGCCTATTGCTTCTGCCGAGCCCATCAAGACGCGAAGGTCCTTGCGCGTCCCAAAAACCGAGGGGGCGTAGCTTCGATACTGCACTTCACTACGCCAGTATTGAGGTCAGTGCACTTGGGCTCATGGATTGAAGAGGCCTAGTGGCAGGCTACCCTCTGTGACGCCTGGAAAATGCAACCTTCCCAGAGTGCGCATAACCTCCGGCCTTACATGAGTGTACATTCCTTCATCGTCTCCGAGCCCAGTGTGGGATCCTGACTATGAGCATCAACGCCTTGTGTTACTGTAATGGACGCTTAGTCGTGGATATGACGGTCACTGCATGAGCTAGAACGTCTCTAGAGTACCCAAGGCTGGTCGACGTTTCCTGAGACATCCGTAGATCTCACTCAGGTCGTTGTTGAGAGAGGATTAGACAAAGAATGTCTAATATGCGCGTAGCAGTCGCCGGCACGTGTAGTCTGGCACTCCTGATCGCTCAGGAGATCCAAGAGTCGACCAGCCATCAAGTCATCATTCTGTCGAGGATGGTGAGTATATTGACCCAATTTATGTCTCAGCCCTGTGGCTAATACCTTCCAGAACCAGCCGATCCTGACATCGCAAGGGTACCAGTGCCAGGTCGTCAACTACAAAAGTTCATCGTCTCTGCAGTATGCACTGATGGGAGTGGACACTGTCATTTCCACAGTGACTGGAAGACCTCAGCTCCGGCTCATCGAATCGGCTGTACAGTGCCGCGTCCGAAGGTTCGCGCCTGCCGAGTTCGAAGGTCGTCCGGGACTGCAATCACCGAACAGCATCCTGGATCGTGGAAAGAGCGCAGCTCGCAGCCTGCTTCGAGACTATGCTACATATATGCAGTCAACGACTTTCGTATGTGGCATCTTCTACGAACGTTTCGCTGTTGGCGGCCTGCGAGCGCACCAGGTGGGTGCCGAAGTTGCGAATGGAGAGGGAGACTATATCGCAGACCTTCGCAACATGAGCGCAGTAGCACCCATCTACGATGGTGCGAACAACTACTCGTCCTTGTGTCTGACCTCCATGTACGACGTTGCCAAATTCGTCGTCAAGTCTCTGGACATGGCCAGTTGGCCGAGCGAGATGTCCATGTGCGGGGAGAGAATGACCGTCCACGCGCTCATCAACCTCATGGGTATATGCAGAGGTGTGTTGCTTCGTCCTTGTGGTCGAGCGTCTCACTGACTACTTCACAGGCCGACCACTGAATCCCGTCGAGTGGCAAAATCCATCAGGTACGACCTCTGAAGCAGGCGTATTCCTTTAGGTACTGACCTCATCTCAAAGGTCTTCAATATCAACTCAGTATCGCCAACGACAAGACTCAGCAGCAACGCATCGCGACCCATCTGGCCACGGCCGAAGGACGGTACGACTTCGCTCCGCCTGCGTACCTCAATAGCATGTATCCAGAGGTCGTGGTCACGGGTCTCCGACACTGGCTTACACATACCTGGGCTGCTGTGTCCTGAGCAAGACAACTCTGCTGTCGATAGGCGTTCCTCTCGTCTCTTTTCATGAATCTGCTGTTTGTGTGCTCCCACGATGGTTCCTCGGCACTTTGCTCTTTCATCAACCTGTTTTACGTAGAAGCTTCGGGATTGATTGCAGCAGACGCACTGGATTGATAGCATGCGTGCTAAACCTGCAGATCTTGGCCATCCACTGTCGTGCAGACTGCGTGTTAGCTTTTGGCGATGTCGCGATCGCGAGACATCGATGCCCACTTGCAGAAGACCACTTGGGCCACCCAGCGATGATGCAATGTGCTGACTCGGAAGCAGGGCACGCAACCACGATCCTTTGGATCCTCGAGCTCATGGGGCTCAACATCAAAAACTCGTCTCGCAGGCTCCATCAGGACCGGGGAACTGCGGCTCAAGCGGGCCCCTGCAATCGCAATCGCAATCGCGTTGGTCAATTCTGCAACACAGTCCCCGCCTGATGATGCAAGGGCCCACTGAATTGCGGGTGTGAGCAGATGCGAATCTTCGATGCGAATCGTGTGTTTTCTATGTCAAGATGATGTCACGGCACCCGCCCCAACACCCTCTGCGATAAAATTGCTAAATGCGCCCGCGAGAAAAGATTTCCTCCAGCATCAACGTAAATACAATCAATCGCAGTCAGTAACTACTCGACTCGACTCCATTACCTTACCTTTTCAACGACTTCACAAACGTAAGTTTACAATTCAATGTTGCGCCGCTCGAGTTTACTTAGTACTCCTTCATGCTGCCATGGGCGTCACGAACACCACAACTAACAACGCCCCAGCCACACACTCAAAATGGTTTCCTCGCAGCAAGGCTACGCTCCCACCACCACCGACATGAAGGCCTCAGCCTCAACCATCGACGAGGTCAAGTCAAACCTGCCGCTCCCCGAGCAGCCCCCCGTTGCCTCGGACTTCAACTCGTCCGACGCGCGCACCGTCAACGTCGGCTCCGGCAGCCAGTCCGCTACTGTCGGCTCTGCGGAGCCTGCTGGCCGCGAGGGCAAGGATGGCCTGCGTGGTCTTCCCAACGACGCTGTTACCCGCGACCAGAAGAACCACGCTGGTCTTGAGCAGACCACCGGATAGGACCTGGGTACGCCCTCTTCATCTAAGTAGATGTTGAGCGTCGATGGTGAGCATTGACGGGTATGGTGTGCGATATGTATGCAATGCATGTTTGCATCGGCGTTTGGGATACCAGAGTATTGCTTTTGTTAGGGATCTTACCTTGTGCGCACTGCGTCAGCAAATGCAGTAGTGCAGCTGCGAGAGCAGTCGAGTGTGGAATAGATGATGAGTAACGAACGATTAAGCCGGGCCTGAGTGATGCGTCTGTGATTTCGGCTGCCGCGTGCTACTGGCATGCAAATATTGGCAAATTACACTCGAACGCTCACCTTCAGCGCATGCGCTCCTGGCTGCAGAGCGAGACGCAGAGACATGATGTTTATACTGCAGGCGTGTCGTACACCCACCATTGAATGAAGATATGTATGCCACGACGCTGGGAAGATGATGGGTTGGGGTGATGGTGCCATCCACCACCGTGGTTGCAGGTTGACACTGCTTATCCCTGAGATCAGGTTGCTTGGACAATAGCAAAACAAGATCCCAAGTCCGGCACCTCGGTTCTGGACGACCAATTAGCCTCTCGTTAGCTGCGTCCGGATAGCTCTAGCGGAGCAGCGTTGGAGCTGTCATCAAGCCCACTAGATGGGGAGCTGGAGAGCTACCAAACCGCTTGACGTCACAATGTAGCAGCTCCGCATGACGCAAGAGCATGTCACTAGCTGAGGCAGGATATAGGTGCTGTTGTCTTGAGGGAGATGAGCAGCAGAACAATCCACCGCATTCCAGGCATTTCAACAGATACTTGCACACAGCATATCACGTACCATGTCTCAGTCTCACGGCCAGAAAGTAAGAGCCACCCCACCCAGGGCCCGCTCGCACGAGTCAAGCCTCGCCTTGCCTCGTGCATGCATAATGCCACATCGTCATGTCATAGGCATCCTAGCTCACAAGTCCAGGTAACGACGGACCCGCGGTCCCAGATCCCCATCCACGAAGGCGTGGGCATGGTGACCAGCGACTCGCTCGCAGCCGAGTCGCTCAAGGGCAGCGGCTCCTTTGGTGAAGGCAACCCCAAAGCCGCAGCGTCGGCGCAGCCCTCAGCAGGCAGCACAGCCGCCAACACGGACACGAGTGGGGCACGCACACTCGACGCCGCCGTCGACGCCGAAGCGCGTGACGCAGCGTCCAACTGGTCAGAGCAGGCGCAGCTCAGCGCGGGCAGCGGGCTCGGACTCGGCAAAGAGCACGGCGTGGGGCCCACGTACAACAAGGTCGGCGGCGCGACAGGGTGGGGAACCTCGACGCAGCCGCCGTCGTCGCACGTCGAGGAGGTACTAGGCGGGTTCGCGGGCGCCGGCGATAGCGTGAGGGATCACGAGGGCGCGTTCAAGATGCCTGGCAAGAACGTCACTGAGGACCCCAACTTGACGGGCAAGAGGGAGTTTGGGCCAATTGGTACTAAGAAGGACCCCGCAAGGGTGGCCGAGCTGGAGCAGACGAAGCACAATGCGGCGGTTGGGGGTGGTGGGCTTGGGGATGGAAAGCATGAAGGGGGCAGCAAGTTCAGTGGGCTGAGCGACGAGGCTGCTTAGATGGGTGTTGAGGACGGGGATTATGAATGAGCAAATGCAGAGAACTACTACGAATTGTCTCCATTATGACCCTGTCGAGGTTCTAGTGTAGCAGGAGACAACGTAGTGACTGAACCCTGGGGCACTGTTGGGGTTTTGGTGTTGCAGGTGACAGCGTGGGGCATTCCCGCGGCCGAATTACTAGCTCCACGGGTTCAGAACGTCCAAGTGGCCTTTCGGCGACGCGTAGGCCGAAGTTGACTTGATGTGTTCGCAGTCAGCAGTGGCGCTCCTTCCACTCCACCACCGATTCCTTACGTGGCTGTCTCTCATCGAGCACTTGTAGTCGCAATTGGGTTAGCTGTGACCGCGTTGCGCAATTGTTCGCCGCCATGAACGGCTATGTGCAGGACCAGGGCTATGTGCAGGACCAAGGCTATGTGCAAGACCAGGGCTACGCGCAGAACCAGAGCTACGGGCAAAATCAGAGCTATGTGCAGGACCACAGCTACGCGCAGAAGCTCGACGAGGATGCGTTTGGGCCGTCCAAGGGCGGCATTGTGAGCAGCTTCGACGCTTTTCGTAGGTAGTCTCCATGCGGTCCTGAGATTCACTCTAATCCGCACAGCCAAAACCAAGAAGACGTACCTCGTCCAGGGCCGCAACTCGTCCGCCTGGACCGTCACGCTCATCCTCACGTGCATCTGGCTGGCCTGGACCGAGACGTCGCGCTGGTTCACCGGCACGACGACGCAGACCTTCTCCGTCGAGAAGGGCGTCTCGCACGACATGCAGATCAACCTCGACATCATCGTCGGTATGCGCTGCGCCGACCTGCACGTCAATATGCAAGACGCGGCCGGCGACCGCACCCTCGCCGGCGACCTGCTGCGCAAGGACGCAACGAGCTGGGCGCAGTGGACGGGCAAGAACGCCGAGAAGGGCGTGCATGAACTCCACGCCGACGACATCGGCCAGGGCTGGCAGATGGACGACCTCGAGGTGCACAACCACCTCAATGCCAAGCAGAAGAAGAAGTTCTCCAAGACGCCGCGCATCAAGGGCGCCACCGACTCGTGCCGCATCTTCGGCAGCCTCGACGGCAACAAGGTCCAGGGCGACTTCCACATCACCGCCCGCGGCCACGGCTACATGGAGTTCGGCGAGCATCTGGACCACAAGTGTACCCTCCCCCTCGCTGCCGCACATGCAGGCCCCCACTGACACCCCTCGCAGCATTCAACTTCTCCCACATGGTCCGCGAGCTGTCCTTCGGCCCGTACTTCCCCTCCATGGACAACCCGCTCGACAACACCATCGCCCTGACCCCGACCCCGGACGACCACTTCTACAAGTTCCAGTACTACATCTCCATCGTGCCCACCATCTACACCGACAGCCTGCGCGCCATGCGCGCCCTCGACAGCGCCGACAGCGCCGCCACCGCCGGCCTGTTCGCGCAGCACGCGATCAAGACGAACCAGTACGCCGTGACCTCGCAGTCGCACACGGTGCCCGAGCAGAGCGTGCCCGGCGTCTTCGTCAAGTTCGACATCGAGCCCATCACCCTCAGCGTCGTCGAGGAGTGGGGCGGCTTCTGGCCGCTCGTCGTCCGCCTCGTCAACGTCATCAGCGGCGTCATGGTCGCCGGTGGCTGGGCCTGGCAGATGTACGATCTTGCCCTTGAGGTCTGGGGCAGGAGGGCAAGGCGGGCGCGCGACTTGGGCGTCTTGGGCACCCCGGCCATGGAGAAGAAGAGCTGGGATTAGAGGAGGGAGAGGATTGAATATGTGGCATTTCATTCAAGATTAGACATGTGGCATTTCACTCAAGAGTGAACGTGTGATTGCATTTCAGGCGTTGATGATTGTGTGTCGGCGTTTAGGTTGTTTTGCGAGTCAATGCATATTCACATGACGACAGCGAGTCCGACGTGCAACGTCGCCGCGCATTGTCAGCCTTGATCCAACTCTTGTGTGCAAAGTGGCGTTTTGGTGTTCGGTCAGGTCCTGGGTCTTATAACTCTGTGAGCTGCTCTGTGAGGGCCTAGCTCTGTGAGGGTCTAGCTCTGTGAGGGTCTTCGCCCAACGGGGCCTCTCGTCTCCAAGGAATGCGTGCCACGAACCGCACTCAGCCCTGACATTTCCTTACTTGCTGCCTCGTGCGACACCTCACTCTGACCCGCAGACGGCGTTGCACGGACGCATCAGCTAGGCAGGCTGTTCCGTGCTTGCGCTGAGCTGCCACGCACAAAATCTCTTCATCGATGGATGTTGACATTCAGAATGGCAATTGCACGCGATGACATCGCCCAAGCCCTCGCCAATGCAGCCAGCGTGACGTTATCAGATCCTCTTCACACCAAGCCCATGGGGCGACCGCTGGTGGTGGCCCGGCAGCATGGTTTGCAGGCTCCAGCTCCAGTCGCACATCGTCACACAGCACCCGGAGCTCGAGTCACTGGTCATGGTGCCTCCCGCCATGCAACCAGCCAGCAGCGCGTTACCAAGCCGAGCCTAGTATCTACCGGCCGTGAACGGCTGAGCGTGCGCAGTGCCGATCAGATAAATGTGATCGTCGCCAGGTGTCAGCCTTCCTGAAACTCTTTCTGCATTCTCTGCTCTTGGAGTGGTGAATGAGATAATTTGCTCTAATAATGAGGACGTCGATGAGAGCAAGCGATACACCTTCGCCCCATGGCGACGAGAAGACCTATGACGTCCATGCACCACCGCCTGACTACAGATCTGGCGACGATACAGATAGCGGAAGCAGCAGCGAGGAAGCCCAAGCCGGCGTCAAAAGAATTGAAGCTGTGAGCAAGGCTTGGACCACCGTGAGCCTAATTGTTGCTTACATTGGGTGTGTACTCTTCAGACAGCTCTCTATCTTCGTAAGATACGAAATGCTGACCCCTTCGCAGACTCATGCTGCTTGCCAATATCACATCCTTTGAGATTCAGGTCACCTCAAACCTCACATTCTATGCAACGAGTGCTTTCAGTTCGCATTCATTGCTATCGACTGTGGCAGTCATCCAGGGTGTCGTGAGCGGTACGTTTCCAACGTTCGAGCTGTATTCCGAGCTTCAGCGCTAATTCATTCCAGCTGCGATCAAGCCTCCCATGGGTAAGATCGCCGATGTGTTCGGACGGCTAGAATCATTCAGCATCTCGATTCTTTTCTACACGCTCGGCTACATCCAACAAGCTGCCTCGAATAACGTTCGAACATACGCCGGCGCTCAAGTCTTCTGGGCTGCTGGGTTCAACGGGCTTCAAGTCCTGCAGCAGATCTTTGTCGCAGACACGACAGATCTGCTCAATCGCGCTCTGTACTCCACTATCTTCGACCTGCCTTTCCTCTGGACCACTTTTGCAGGACCCCAGGCCGCCAATGCCATCCTCACCAACACCACTTGGCGCTGGGGCTATGGAATCTGGGCCATCATCCTCCCTGTTGCTTTCATTCCTCTTGCAGTGAGCCTGTTCATGAACCATCGCCGCGCAAAGAAGCTCGGTCTGGACTTTCCGAGTCCATTCAGGGGCTACAGCGTCGGCTCCATCTTCAAAAACCTCTGGTACGACATGGATGTGTTCGGCCTGCTGCTGTTAGCTGCAGGAATCTCACTGATTTTACTCCCTCTCACGCTCGCTCCAAACGCAAACGGAGGATGGCGCAACGGTAGTATGATCGCCATGCTGGTCATCGGCGGCATTGTATGCATCCTGTTTCCGTTCTGGGAGACAAGCAAGAAGCTCGCACCGAAGGCTTTTTTCCCACCCAACCTGTTCAGGAACAGGACAGTGGTCGCGGGTGTTTTGATCGCTTTCTTCTACTTCAGTGAGTCGATTGTTGCTTTGGATCTGATGGGCGTACTGACGACGTGCAGTGGCGTTCTACATGAGCGTTTTCCCGTACTTTTTCTCGTACTTGCTCATCGTGCAGAACAAGTCGCAGGTGACTGCGGGCTATATCACGCGCGTCTTTACATTCGCGTCGACCGTCTCTTCCATCGTCGTGTCTTTGATCATCAAATGGACTGGACACTACAAGTACTTCGTCACGGCTGGAGCAGCCATCTACATAATGGGCTTGTAAGTCTGCTCGCGTCCGAAACACAGACGGAAAGCTAATCGCGTGCAGTGGAATCATGCTCGCTTACCGCACCGAGGATGCATCAACATGGTCCATCATCGGCACCCAGATCGCAATCGGCATCGGCGGCGGCTTCCTCAACGTCCCAGCCCAGCTGGGCGTGCAAGCATCGGCATCGCACCAGCAAGTCGCCGCTGCGACAACCGTCTTCCTTACCATCCTCGAGATCGGTGGCGCGGTCGGTGCCGCCGTCTCTGGCGCCATCTGGACCACCTACGTGCCGCGCAAGCTGCAGGCGTACCTGCCACCCGACGTCGCCCCCAACTACGCGACGATATACAGCGACGGCGTCACGGCGGCAAACTACTCGCTGTACCCCCACGGCTCGCTGGAGCGCATTGCCATCAACAGGGCGTATCAGGAGACGATGCGGTACATGCTCATCGGCGCCATTTGTGCCGCTGTGCCCATCCTGCCGCTGTCGCTGTGCATGAAGAACTACAAGCTGGATCAGATGACGCAGCCTGTAAAGGGTAAGGTCATTGGCACGTCGAACGAGCGGAGCGAGGCAACGAGCTGGAGGTTCTGGCAGCGGGGAGAGAGCACTCACGCTGTCTCTTGAAGTGTGCTCAGTGCCTTTCTGTATGCGTGTTTATATCATTACTTTCTATATCGTCATTGCTCGGCTACATTTTTATATCGCGCGCAGAGTCTTGGGTAATCAGATTGATTCGAGATGATGCAAGGAAGAAGAGAACGCCCGACCGAAGTCATGAGGGGTTCGGCTGGAAAGCCAGAGAGGCCCCCCTACTTTAGCGGACCAGCCCTCCTGCTGCTAGAGACAAGGAACTGCCTGCTGCCAAAGAGAAGAAACCGTCTGCTCTCTGGAAGAGGCCTTGTGTTTCGTGGCCGTGACTAGATTCGGGCGCTGTGTCGCGCTGACACATGCAAGCAGGCCGGAAAGACGAAGACGTGTCTAGACCTCGTTCTCATTGCGTTAAATTATGATTAAGAAATGCGAACAACTGTCCATCTACAGTTCGCGGAGCACTTGCTCACTACCGCTCCCCTTCCGTCCCCAATCGCCTCAACACCATACACTCACCCACTCTACAAAGCAGGAGCATTGGGGTCCATCATGCACTGATCAACACGCATCAGCTGCTTGCCCGTCGCCTTGGCGATCTGGATGAACTGCCGCAGGTAGCTGACAGTGGAGGGGTACAGGTAATGCAGAACAACCAAGTTACCGCCCTTGTTAACATCGCGCTGGAACGCAGTCATCTGCTGCTCCGGGGTGTTGGTCTCGGCCCACAACCAATCCTCGACGTCGACGGACCAGTTGGTGATGGTGGGCTTGCGGCCCACGGCCTTTGCGAGACGCGAGCGCATGCGCGCACCCTCGTTGCCGAAGGGAGGGCGGAAGTAGGACGTGTCGAGACCGTTGAATTGGCTCTTCATGGCTTTGATGTCCTCGTTGTACTCCCAGTCGATCGAGGCGTAGTCGGGAAGGCCCTCCATCTTGGGGTGGGTGAAGGAGTGGAGCGCGAGCTGGTGGCCGGCGGCCTGCATCTCCTTGTAGACGTTGGTCAGGTTGGTGGTCTCGTCGAGGAGGGGCGCGCCGACGGTGAAGAAGGTGACCTTGATGTTCTCTTCGCGGATGATCTTGAGGACTTCCTGCGCGAGGTCTGGGATGCCGTCGTCGATGGCGAAAGCGAACGAGTTGGGGCGCTTGCAGGCGAAGACGAGGTCACCGGACTCCTCATCGTTGGGAATGACGAAGCCGGCAGGGACCGAGGGAACAATCTCCATGACGGTCAGCTTGACGGTGTCGGTGCTGTAGAAACCCTTCAGCGCGAAACCAATGGCCTTTGTCAAGTCAATGTTGAAGTGGCTGATAGGGATGTAGATGTGGCCATTCTTAGCGTAACGGGAAGCCTCGACAGAGTCCCAGGTGAAGGGGTAGGGAGCGATCTCGGGGTTGCAAGCGCTGTTGTGCTGCTGAAAGGCGACGGTGAATTTGGTGGTTCCAGAGTAGGCGATGTGAAGGTACGAGCCCTTGTACTTGCTGAAGTCACTGCAAGATCCAGACACCTGCGAGTAGAAAGAGTAGTCCGCGTCGGTAGACTTGATGGTAAGACCGCCGCTGTAGGTCAGGGTCATGCCATCATCACCACCATGCCAGAAGCCCTGAGCGTTGCTGCCAGCGCTGGCGAACCTGTCAATTACGTAGGCAGCAGCAGTGCCGGTAGGAGCAGCAACAGTAGCAGTAGGAGCGGAGTTAGGATCGGTGGTGGTGACCGTGAACTCGCCAGTGGTGCCACAGTAGAAAGCCATGGGACCGAAGGAGACAGTCTGAGTGAAACCAGCAAAAAGAATGGTGGTAAGCTTCGTAGTGTCCAGTCCAGAATACTTGGAGAAGGGAATAGTGTACAACTTCTCGGTGCCATCGAAAGTCCAGCCAAGCTCAGTGGTGGACTGAGTAAATGCCTGAGCAGCAGTGGGGTTGCAGCTGCTGGAAGAATCAAGCTCAATGTTGAACCTAGTTCCGGCAGGCGCCTTGATGCGGAGAGAGATGCCAGCGTGGTTCTTGGCATTGGCGTTAAAGCAACCGAACTGGGAGTAGAAGTATGAGCTAGTGTCCCTGGGAACGATCTCAACGCGGTTCTTAGATGGCTTGCCAACGGTGAGGGAGGTCATGGTGCCATCTGAGGACGAGGCTTTGTTCAGAGCGTTGTAGAACATGAAGGTAAGACGAGACTGCGATGTCCAGTCATCGACCAGGGAGACAGCGCACGTTCCGGTGGGAGCGGGAACAGTGGAGGTAGCAAGGGTTGTGCGGGTCGAAACAGTAGCAGAGGTAGAACGGATGGTGGAGCTGACACCAGAAGCAGAACGGATGGTGGAGCTGACACCAGATGTAGAGCTGCCACCGCCAGTAGAGCCGCCGGAGCAGCCGAACTGAATGTTGCTCAACTGCCATGTAGCGGTAGTGGAAGAGAATCCAGACCAGACGAAGCCGGTGACGGCGTTTGCGTTGGCACCCGAGAACTGGCTCAGAGGGATGGTGATGGTCTGGGTCTGGCCAGTCAATCCAGTGAACTGAGTGTAGTACGAGGTGTACGAGGACGCCGAGCAGGCTGTCTTAGTCTGCATCTCCAGAGTGCCAGAGCCTCCTGAAACGCCCTTGACGGTGAACTGGATGGAGTTGTAGTTGTTGCTGCTGGCAGCCTGGCACTCGAAGGTCTCATAGAAATATGAGCCAGATTTGGGCTGGAAGGACAGGACTCCGCTGGCAGCCGATATCGTGGTCATGGAGGCATCGTCGCTAGTCCATTGGCCAAGGCTGTTGGTGTTGCTGGACCACTTGGAGAAGTCGTCTATCTTCAAAGCGGAGGTGCAGGCAGCGTAGGCCTGGCTGGCAAAGCCAGCGGCGAGGCCAATTAGGACGGATGAACGCATCTTAAACTAGGCGTAGCGAGAGTATTATAACGAATGTACAGAAGTCAAAGACTTCCAATTGAAATGTCAAAACTACGTCTCGACAAGATCTGGACGATAAATCGTACAGTACCGTCACCAGCGGGCTGCACCGATGTTATATCCAGCGGTAGAACAGGGGCGAGAGCCAAGACATACGCGACATTTTGCCTAGTTTACTGGGCGTGCAAGCCTTCGCGAAGCAATCCTTGTGTTTCGGGAAGACATGATTCTAATTAGGGTGGCCTGGTCTGGGCAGCTGGCGATCCATCGTTCGTTTCGACCATGTTGAGTTTGGCGCGTGCTGACGGTTCGTCCCAAGCAGCGGTTAGGGCAGCAAGGCCCCTGAACTCTTATGCTTCGTTGCTGGGCGTTTGTGGAGCAAGCACTCCTCTGATGACAAGGATTTCGTGATTTTGTCTCAAGCAAGTCAAGCTCCCGCTGGATATGATGGTGATGATGGGCCCTTAGTAACGCTCAAAGATCCATCAATTTGTTTGCGGAGCAAAAGAAGGCCCATCTGCGCTTAGGCCTCATGCAAGCCATCAATGGCGCTGTCCCCAGCTGTGTGCGAAGCAAGGCGGGATGGCATGACAGCAGCCGTGTAGGGGTGTTACCGAGACGGTAAGTCGCCCTCGTACCTTGGCGTGAGAGGCTCACAGAATTCCGCGGTAAGCCACTCGCGCTCGTGCGACGAAGGAACACGAGCATACGCTGTTGGGCTGGAAAAGCGGAGCTGCGGCGCACTTGGCCTTCATCTGCCGAGAACTAAACACGAAGGCCGTCAGCAAGTCAGTAAAGTTGATGTTTGAGGGTGTATTGACGGAAGCAGAGACGGACCAGGCGTCCAGCCTGAGAGCAAAAGTGTGATCACGCTGTCCTTCCAATAATGAGACAGTGCAGACACGAGCTCTCGCGTGGACGTCACACAGCGTGCATGGTATCTGTGTAACCTAAGAGTTGATTTGTCGTCTGTAGCGAATCGTTTCACTAGGCAAGGGCGGTCGGCACGTGCGACCACGAAGCCCAAGGAAGCCAATTCTGACTTCTGCATCCTCATCATCTCCAGCCTCGCGTTTCTTCGCGCTGCCGTGATCTACTTACCCGTACAGCGACATCATCTAGGGCCCGTGGCTGCGCTATTCCGGTACGGTCATAATTCATGCATACGGTTTCGTGAAGGCGCAATCTCTTTCCCGACTTTCGCCAAGTCTGCCCCTGCCAAGGTGCCATCAGCAAAAAGGCGGACCGCCACGAGGTCGTGGTTTCAACAACAAAGTAGTCAGGGACCTGGGTCTGATGGGTCGCAAATCTTGTTCCCGACCAAAGCCTCTTGTGCGGAGCTATACGCCCCGTTACCACCAACATAGATCATGATCGGTCATCCTGCGGTGGGATCCTATGTCTTACTAGTACCGCGAAATGTGCCATTCAGCTTTCTCCGGATTAGGAGATCTTGCCAACTTCAATGGCACAACTGTCGGTACAGCTCCACAGCGGTAGACATGCATCCATGTTGTATGATGCAGTGTCCTGTTCAGGCACTCATTGGAAGACAGCTCGGATCGCTACTATGGGCAGTTCCAAAAGTAAGCCCTTTCAGAATCCAGGTATCCAGCCATATAATTACACAAGCTTCGACAAAGACATGTAGACAGTCAAAACAAAAAATCGCTGTCATCAACGAGAAAGATCTTGCAATGACCTATAGAAAAAGTTTCAAGATACTCTATCTTCGTCCGCGTCCAGTTCTTACACGTTTTCAATGTGGAATGCAGAACACGGAGGTACGCACGTTCGGGACCGCAGTTCGCCGCTTCCCCGCTCAACCCCACTCCCGTTAGCTTGAGAGTCAGCACGCATCATCACTGCCTGACAGGTGATCCTCAAAGCCAGTAGGAATGCTTTTCGTCTCTCTGCGTCAAGCAATGTTTGAGGACAGGTGACTATCTAGGTTTATCATTCACCGAACACCAGGGCGTCATGGCGAACAACAGCGGGTTTGTACCATCATGCCACACAACTTGAAGGCATACTCATCGACACTTTCAGTCTTATAAGGCTTGCCCAGAAGCTCGCATCAGATGGCCCGTACAGAGTCGAGACGACGCATCGTCGAGTGAGGGCATTGTTCCAAGGCAAATACGTCATCGACACACTACAAGCCTACCACGTCTGGGAACACCCAAATTTTCCACAGTGAGCCTGAGCATCCCAAAATGGTGCAATGAGACTTATGCAATGAAGATTTTACGTCCCCAAAACCGCCTTCAAAGATGTGAACGTCACATTGAAGGATCCGATCGATGGAACTAACAAGACCGTGCATTTCGTCCAACTCGACAACGGCCACAGTGCCACGAACCGAGTCCTTCTCTTCAACACCTCCGCGCTCAAAGACCTCTACAAAGTTGACTTCCACTCCATGGACCAGTGGTTCGAGGAAGATGTCCCGGTCTACGGGCACCCCAAGGACCCTTACAAGCGCATCGACATCCTGCACTCGACGCGCAACATCAAGGTAGGCATTGACGGCGTCGTGCTCGCTGAGAGCTCAAGCCCGTTGTTTCTACTGGAGACGACGCTCAGGACGAGGCATTACTTGCCACCGACGAGTGTGAAGTGGGAGTGTCTGAGACTGAGCGATACTAAGACCCTTTGTCCTTACAAAGGTCAAGCGAACTACTACGATGTGATCGTGAATGGGAAGGAGTATAGAGATCTGGTCTGGTACTACAGGTACCCTACTAGTGAGAGCACGCCTATTGCTGGGTATATGTGCTTTTACAACGAGAAAGTTGACGTGTGGATCGATGGGGAGAAGGAGCAGTGATGGAAGACTCGCAGTGAATGGACCGATGTAGCACAGCTAATTAGTCTTCGCCTCAAGCAAGCTTGTGGTACTGGCTATAGTTACTTCGAGATGTCGATCCATGTTGTTCGTCTGCCGTCTCAGATGCCTACAATGCTGTAAAATTCGTTCCTTTGTTATTCATTTCAGCAATTGCTCAATAGTACTGTTCACCAACAGGGGGGTTAAATCGCACACAGCGCGTACCTGTACAGTACGAGCGCTCATACTTGAAGCTTTCACTCAGCTTCTGCTCACCTGCCCGCGAGATGCTCACCACATCTGGCGATCGACATTCAGCAAAGCTACTAACGACGACAACCGCAGCGATTACGGAGAATGATCCGCTTCAAGCAGGTATTTATGGCAGCGCGCGAACGCATTGTGCAGCTTGTGCCCTTCTATAACACTCGACGACACTCCGCACAGGCAGACCTCTATCAGCAGCTACATCACTCCTCCGATTCGGTGTGCTCATCTTCTACCCAAGGCGCAGCTTCTACTTTTGCATCGCGGCCATTAGGACGCACACGCGACACTGGCCAACAGGTCCCCTATATACCCCTCCATACCACTCGCAAAGTCACTGCAACAGTCACTCTGGAAACACATGCCGCCCACGTCTGTAAGTTCTCCCACGGCTCCGGACTCCTTGTATACATCAACGGCGCGCTAATGAGCGCTGCCCAAGTAGCTCTCAAGGTCAACATCGCAACACTAGAACTTGTGCGTCGGTTGCCGCTGGCTGAATTGAGCGCTATTGGAACGTGTCTTGCTACAGCCTTCAGCGACGACGAGGAACTTGTGAACATTTTGTGGGTAGAGGTTGGCAACGACACAGAACGAGAATGGCGCGATGCGGAGCGCAGCTGGGACTGCTTTCCTGGTGGGCCATATCAGGCTTATGAAATGGAAGAACATAGCCATAACTCTATGCTACGGCGGTCTTTCCGCCGCTTCGACGAAGCGGAACGCCATCGACTTGCACACAGTGGCTTTTCTTCTATGGCCCACTGGGCTTGTTTCCGCTATCTTCGCCTCTCGGCGAGCAGCAACGAGTCTTTGTCACTACGTTCTGATGTCGAATACTCCTCACGTGGTCTGTCTCAAGCAAGCTCTGGACTACAGCATATCTTGGCTGCATCGGAAACGTGCGTTCTACCAGGAAATTCTGATTTCTTCATTGCTCCATCGTCCTGGGAGGATGAGGACCAGGACGTCGAGCTGACCGCCGAGGAGCTGAAGGCGATTTTGCGCGCGGAGCGCCCGCCCATGACGCCCTCTGATTCCTCCTCGAACTACGCAGTCGAGATGAAGGCCATTCAGTGGCCATTCAAATTGAGCGGAACGTCGTCAGGCTCCTCAGACAAAAATTTCACTCGTGGCCCATGGTCTCCTGGCAAGGGCACTGGCCCCATCATGTCGAGCGAGGAGTTCGATGCTCTGCCAGATTATTCTGATGTCGAAGATGACTCACATTGGGACAACAGAGTGAGCCATATCTTGGCGTTGAATGAGTTCGTCGAGCTTGGAGAGGTGATCTCTGGACGGATTTGGTGATTGAGGATGAATGATTTTCCTCTGTTGATGATAACGTCTGAAGTAAACTCTTGAAGACATAACAATGATCATATTACCTTGCCTTTCTTGCCCGTGTCGTGAGGTAAGGCCCTGTAGGCCATCCCCAAGTGCATGAAGCTGCTGCAAGTGTAAAAGGACGATATTCTCAGTATTGTGTGTGTTCCTTCCTCTTCTGTTCGGTCGAGCTTACCGTGTCTTCCGTGCCTGCCTCGCGCACAGCCTCACCAAGTGATCATGTCCTCAGCTTCAATCAGCCCGCCTCTTTTCTTCTACTGTCATTATGCTCGTGGTATTCCTTTTGCGGGTTACACTGTTGCGCATGTACCGATCTGGTGTTTCCCACTCTACCATCAGCATGTGACACTCTGCCATCATCGCTGTGGCACAGCACCAGCTACAGACGACCAACGAGCTCAGGACTACCCTCGCAAACGGCTGACATGGCTTGAAATGTGACGGACGTTCGAGGGGGCCTGAGGTTGACAGCGATGGCAGGTGTCAAGACGGAAGCGTAAGCGCGCCCGGCCGCCCTGCTCGAATCCGTTGGCGTGTCTCGGCTGCGCGTCTGCGCGGCAACGTTCAGGAGCGCTGAGCCATATGTGGACTCGTTGAACTTGGGACTTTCAACGCTCAACATCCACACGCACGCATCATCGCACCCCCCCACCGCATCGTCGACCGGCCGTCCAATGTCCCAGTGCACCGCCCCTCGCTCGTAACACCTCACGTCTCTGCGCACCCCCCGCGCCTGTAGATCGCCGTGCAATCAGTCTCCCGCACCGCACCTCAGCATGCCGCCGCTGAACGTGCTGGCGGCCCGCCTCGCCCGCCGCCCTGGGCGCATATTGATTCTCGTAGTAGTCTTCTTCTTCTTTGCATATACGCTCAAGGGGCGGAGACCCTCTGCGCCACAGCCCGTCCACAAGGCGAAGACCAAGAGCTTCTTCCCACCGCTCGAGCAGAGGAGTGCGAACAGTATTGAGCTCGACTACTGCCAGAACTTTCCCAAGGACCTGCTTAAGCAGGTCCAGGTCGTCCTCAAGGTGGCTGCTGGCGAGACAGCTGTCAACAAGGCGCATCTCAGCACCGTCACGAGCTGCATCGACAACCTTATCATCGTCAGCGAGGCCGAAGAACGACTGGGCGACCGACACGTCTACGATATCTTGGCCGAGCTGCCCAAGAGCTACGAAGTCAACAACCTCGACTTCCAGGCCTACGTTAGCCACAAGAAGGCTTACGCCGAGGGCGAGACGAAGCAGGAGTCGCAGCGCAGCTTCAAGCTGGACCGCTTCAAGTACCTGCCCATGGTTGACAAGGCATACATCTCTAGCCCGAAGGCCAAGTGGTACGTCTTCCTCGAGTCGGACGTCTACTTCTTCTGGGACACGCTGTTCCGCCTACTAAGCCAGCTCGACCCCGACGAGTCACACTACCTGGGCGCGCCGCATAAGGGCAGCGAAGGCCGCTGGTTTGCATACGGTGGCGCAGGATTCGTCATGTCGAACGGCCTCATGAAGCAGCTGATCCCTGCAAAGACGCCAGGCTCCACGGATATCCCCCGTGAGAATCGCCTGAGCGTGCGTTTCGAAAGCTGGGTCAAGGAGGAAGCCCGCGGCGACGCAGTCCTTGCGTACGCTATTCAGAACGCTACCGGTCACAGACTGGAAGCTCTGGACCCTACATTCACTAGCGACGAGCTGCGCAAGATCACGACTTACCGTGATCGCTGGTGCGTACCACTGCTCTCGCTGCACCAGCTGTCTCCCGAGCAGATGGAGAACCTATGGAAGTGGGAGCGCACACGGCCTTACAACCTGGTAGGTCACTGGAGCCCACTGTGATTGGCTCGTACTGACAATGACAGAAACCCTTTACATACTCCTCTCTCCTCTCCTACACCCACTCCTTCCTTGCGAATGGCCCTTCTCGCGAATGGTGGGACAACCTCTCAGAGGCCCCCGTGCCTAACGATCGCCCCGCCCACCACAACGCCGGCATGTGTGGCTCCGAGTGCCACAACGACCCAAACTGTCTCCAGTGGTCATTCTCGCAGACCGTCTGTCGTCACTCGAGTTACATTCGATTAGGCGATGCAGTCGACAAGGAGAATGGTGGCCAGGGTGAATTCGTCTCTGGTTGGGACGCCGAGACGTTCCGCACATTGGGCTTTGGTGTATCCGATGAGAAGGGTGAGAGGAAGTTTTATGAAGGCTGCGACGAGGCCACATGGCTTAGTCCCAGGATGCTGTAGAACGGCCATATCATACCGCACACCGCGATACACATTTCCCGTAATGCGCACAAGACAGCAGCGCATGTGCGCACACTTCTGTTTGAGTAGGAGCAGGATGACGGTCCTGATGGCGTTGTGGTGGATCAATTATGCATGGCGTTCTGGATACACACCACTGTTGAGTTTGAGCGAAGAGCATAGAGAGCGATTATTTGGTACGTCACGAATGGCAGCTTGTGTTGATAAGATGGAGAAGCAGCGTGAAAAGGGCACGATCTCGCGCACAAAGAGACTGGGTGGACCACGAAGCATGTCGGTTACATGCCATCCGCATCCAGGGAAGATATAGGAACGTATAACTTAATCAACCGCATTTTTTGCAGGACAACTCTGGTTGCTCAAACGCTCGTCCTGGATGTTGATGCTGATGAAGCGAAGGCAGGTGAGTCGTAAGCTGCTACCATTCTGCGGCTCGTACTCGGCCCTTCCCGTCCTTAGCCACGACTTGGACGTTTGACGGTCGCTCTGCACCAGTGCCGCCGAAATGAAGATATCAATAGACGAAACAGTGTCAGAGCCTTGATTCCGTGCGGATTGCCAGTTCAGATGGAGACTGCAACGAGCCTCAAGACATTCAGTCCTACCTCACACACCGGCCCTCTCGTAAAGAATAAAACCAAGTTCGACAAGCACCGTGTTTTTCTAGAAGATGTTCCCGGGAATACGGTCCGCTTCGCTTCATGCATTTACCCCAGGTCCCGGACCACAGAACGCCTTCGCATCATGTCGCAGGTAAATTACGCCGGTCTTACACTCAGATGGGCCGACATTACTTTGGAAGATCTGTCCAATGTCCATACTGCGGACCGACAGCCCTGCTTATACCGGTATGAAGGATCATAGTCTCCATAGTATCGCCTGGGATTTCTGCCTCCATAACGAATCGGATCGCGCGGGCATCATACCGCCCAGAAAACTGCCAAAAGAAATGGACACAGGAAGTTATGGATGACATCCGATGTGCTTGAAGATACGATAGCAAAAGCATAAAACGATACAAATGCCCTCCTAATTATCTCCTTCCAGTCCAGATTCTCTATTCGATTCACCCACAGTCACTCCTTTCCACTTCAAGATGTACACCACTTCTCTTCTTACCACGCTGCTAGCAGCCCCTCTTGCCTTGGCGGCTCCTTCACTCTACTTGATGCCGCGCGCACCTACCGATAACGTAATGTGCCCCATCGTTCTTGATGGCCGCGTCCCCAGAAATTTTTCCACAACCCCCACCGTCTTCGACAGCACCAACGCGATCTTCAACGCCGATTTCGTCAAGGGCAACAACCTCACGTGGTCACAAATTCTCAAGTTCCCCGCCGTCGGTTGCTCCCGATTCGACGGCGCCGCCCACTCTGCCGTTGAAGTCACTATCAGCGATGCCTCAATCTTCCAAAAGCAGCTCGGATTTCGACGCGCAGGACTGCAATTCGCAGCCGACTCAGCGCAGGACGCCTCCGACGAGGGAATCAAGACTCTGCACTTCAGCGTGAAGCAGGATCCCACTCGTCCGCTCAACTTGACGCACGAGTACCTTAATGTGTGGCACGAGGCAGCCGACTTCAGCAACAACCAAATCCAGTTCCAGGCCGGCACGCTCATCGATAACCCCAGCAGCAAGAAGGACAACTTCAAGATCCTGGACCGCGCGGGCAAGCAGATCTGGGATACCCCGATCGACTACAAGCAGTGGCAGAACTTTGCCATCACATTGGATTACGCCAAGAAGTATGAACCCCCCTAGTCCCATGCATTGCTCATTGGAAAGTTCCATGCTGATACGCGATGCAGCGAAACTACGGTCTACTATTCTGCCGGCACTGCTGCGCTTGCGCGTGTCGCAGGCCCTACCAGCATCAACCTTGCAGGCGGTGGCCAGTTTCAGATGGGTGTCTTGAAGAAGCCGACCGGTACTTCCGATGTCGTCAATGCGGGATTCCAGTCTCCAAATCTGAACGAGGGACTGATCTACGGTGGCCTGTTCGTTGAGGACTCTGCCAACGGCTGTATCTCACTCTGAGCATTAGTGTTTGATAACATTCCTTCCCCGTTTGTAGTTTTTGGCGTTCGAATGCGCGTGTTGGGTGACGACTGTACATTTACAGAACATAGACATACATAGACAGAATGATTGAACGTACGACCCTGCAGATCGCAGGGCACTCGTACTGATGGGATCCAAATACTCTACCGTATACGTCTGTCTAGCGACTGAACTTGCTCCTCACAGAGACTGGCGGGCACGGCAAAGACTTGTCTGTGACGGCATCCTGTTGGATTTCCGGACTCCTTTTCCCGAACTTCGATCTGGTATTCAAAGTCTTCAGTCGTGTCGTGCTCATCTCCGCACTTGATAAGCTCCCAAACTAATCCCACCTACCCTCCTCATTGGCATCCGTCGACGCCATATGAATCCAGGTATTCGCGCTTCGAGCCGCGCTCTCTCGGCATGATCTGTCGTGGCGTCTCGTGACTCGAGTCACGTGCATCTCCGCTAAGCCAGCCCCAGAGGCTCTGAGGTATGATCTTATCGAGCAGCTGGACGCGGATAGCAGGGTGCGAACGCAGGTGAATGTGATGATGATCTCAAGCTTGGTCCAGACCACGACGGGCACGTAACCCAGGTGGGAACGACGGTAGATTTGAAGGTGAGGAGACTGCGCAGACGGATGAGGGTGGTGATGCGGCCGCTGGGAGGTGGTCAGCACTGCACTAGATTGCAAAAGCTCCAGTATATTTACAAGCTACCGACCATGAATATGATGGAACCGCAAGTGTTCGAGTCTTATCTATCTACAAATTGCACAGGTAGCGCATGAGAAAATTCAACGATGATGACGTTTTGCACGATGGCGGAGACGCGGTTCGCGTGGCCTAAATTGGATGTCTATATAGTTGAAATAAAGCGACCGACTCTCACGGTTGGTTTGCTGCTTCGGATTGAAAAATGTGTACGAAACGAGATAATACTACTGACAACTCCATCGCTCTATATGTATGGAAATAGAAAAAGAACACTCGAAGCAGTCTTCAACAGCGAGTCACGCCGGACTCTATAGGATATCGAACTTCTTTATGATCATGAAAAGTAACGCTGCGACAACGCCCCAGATGCAAGTGTCGATCCACGACAGCGAGCGATCTGCGCTCTGTCCGACCAGTTGTTGCAGCGGTGGGGCTAGTACTGTCCTCGTAGGTCTGGGTGCAATCACGGCGGGCAGGGACGGTGTTATTGTTGGCGGTGTATCTGCTGGAGCAGCCAGCGCTGGAGGTCGAATCGATTCCTCATGTCGTGCCTCGGACTCAACCGCCTTGCCCTTGCCTTTGTCGATCTTCTCAGCCCCAGCGTCCTCTTTCTGCCCCAGCTCGTCCCGGTATGCAAGTCTCAGCTCCTCAGGCACCTGTTCCTCCTTCCTCTTGCCCTCTGTCTCCTCGATATCCTTGACAGCCTCTTCGCATTCCTTCATGATGTCGGTGTTGCTCTTCCCACATCCCGAGCACGCCCACTTCCCACTGTCTCTTGCCATCCTTTCCCGTGCATCTCTACTGCACTCAATGCCACCCAGCTGGCCCTTGGCATCGGTGTCCATGAAGCTCCTGATGGCCACCAGCGCCGTCCTCACGCCCCAGGCCGGTTGCCATGTCTCCTCGTGGTGTCCAGATATGCTCAGACAGATCTCACGATTCACCTCGAATCGTCCTGTGGGCGTAAGGAAGCGGAAATTCGGCGGTCGAAGAGGGTACTGCGGTGGCAGTATTATCCGCCCGTGGTAGATGCCACCAGCGTATGCGGAAGGCGACTCTGGGCCTTTGATTGTGAAGTGCCATTCGAAGATGTTGTCCTCTAGCGGTTCGGCATGGTAATCTGGCGAGGGAGAGACTGAGAGCTCAGAGGCCTCCTTTACTGAGTCGTGTTAAGACTATGTAAGGGATGCGGAGGGGGCTGAGCTTACATATGCGCTTGATGGTAGGGTTCTTGGTGTTGAACTGTCCGCGGGTGGACATGGCCGCGATTTGGTATAGCAACAGGCGACTGTTCTGGAGCTTCCGGAGGTAGCGATCGCTCAGAAGATAGTTGGCCGGCCGTTGCCGGTTGAATGCTGGAAGCTGAGACGTTGACGTGGACGTTGCGACTGCGCTCGTTGCAATAAGGGCCAGCCGTACCGCCGCCCCACTCCAGCAATCACTGTCATTCTGGGGTACGTGCGGGTCTGTACCACGCCTCATTGCCAAATGTAGGGATCTCGGCCATCTTTTGCCATCTAGTCTACAGTAGCGTTGGCCGGTAGCCAGAGCGTGTTTGACAGAGATCAACACCCTGAAATAGGTATTTTCAAAAATACAGGCGCTACCCGTGATGGATCTGGACCTTTCCTTCACCCCGTCTCTCCACAGCTTGGCCATTCAGCAGCTCTCCCGGTACCAGCCCAATTGTGCTGCACACTGTTCACATGTTTGAACAGCTCATCGGTCCGTATGTCGAGTTGACGGTTCAGCACGGCCCCCGATCTCACCATCGCCAGCCTTACCCGGCAAATCGAAGGGCTCCCACATGCCCAGTTACCACATGATCCCCATCCCGCACCCGTGAACCCGGACGATCACATTTTTCATCATCCAGCGCTTTCTTCTGCGTCCGTCCTGTTTCGACTTCACCATCACGTTCAACATGCCGCAGACACCTGCCTCTTATCATGCTCCACAGTGGCAAATCGCTCCTGACGTCTGAAACGCCACTCGCTTGCATCTAGGCCGCGCGCATGGCCTCGGACGAAAATGACACCATCGACCGATCGAGATCGCGCCTCTTGCCTGCCTGCAAGACCCCTCAGTCGAGGCGCCGCCGCGTGAGCTTGACACGAGACGTTACTGTCAAGGCTCTTATGCGCGTGTGCTGCACGCATGCAGGGTCCGAGAGACGGTAGTGTTTGAACGGTAGCTCTGCCGCAGCGACCGTGTTGTGAAGAGCGTATGAGAAGCTGTGCGCCGCTGCGCAAACTACGCCTCCGTTACAGCCGCTGCCATACTGAATCACTACGTCGTCGACCATGTTGGAGAGCGCCAAAGGACTGCCTGTGTCCTTGCCAGGCGAGATCAACGCAGCAACACGGTAAGCTTTATCCATTTCTGCTGCTATGTATCATGGACTCACACCACATATAGAACACTGCACACCAACCTCAACCGCTTGATAACAAGCCGTCTGCCACTTGGACTGCCACCGCACACGGCTGACTCGACCCTCTACGCAACCGGTCTGCTTCACTTCGCGCACATCTACCTGACTTTCGAAAGTCTGTGGGCAGACCTCACTCGCGACCACGCTCGGCCTACCTCCCTATCCCCTTCCACTATCGAAGCCTCGTCTTCGAGTCGAACAACTTCGCCGATCCTCTTGTACTTACTAGTCAACCCCTACGACTCGCCCTCGCTTTTTACGTCTACACTCGGCGCACCCACACTGCCCTCGCCACAGCTCGCCTCGTTTCTGTCTACGCTACGTCCGCGAGGCCTCTCACGTTCTGGGAGGCTGAAGAAAGATCTCGAGTATTTGCTCGATCTGCACTCAACAGATCTTGAGGTCTTGTTGGCGAAGTACCCCGGCGACAAAGTAGGAGCGTTCTGCACTCACATCCGCAAAAGTGTGAACGAGAAGCCATGGACGTTGGTGGCGTATGCCTGGTGCTTCTACATGGCCGTCTTCTCCGGCGGTAGGTGGATAAGGGCAGGATTGCTGAGAGCCGGCGATGACTTTTGGCCTCCGCAGGCTCCAGAAGATGAGATCACACTAACAGAACGTGGACTCGGCTTCTGGCATTTTCCTGGTCTTCACGACGGCGAAGATATCAAAGCCGAGTTTCGGCTGAGGCTTGCAGAAGCAGAACATCTTTTCACCGACGATCAAAGAGTGGACGTGATCGAGGAGGCAAAGACCATCTTCCAGCTTTGCGCAGGAGTCGTCTTCGAACTGGACGACATGGTCGGCTCGGCCCATGTTGCGCAACCTCAGAGTGAGACCCCAGTGGCGCAGGTTCTGAAGGAGACGCCTACAGAGAAGCAAATTCATATCGAGGGACCTGTCGTCCAGAGGCACATGCTCAGCTTGCCCAAGTCGCTGACTGCGTTGCTGCGGCGACCAGAGATCACCAGCAGCCTATTAGCACTGGGGTGCTTGATCTGCGTTGCACTACTGCCTACTTTGGGTGTGAGTCTGCTTCAAGACTGGTAGTGCTTATCATTTGCAATCGCCTTTATGCAGCAGCGGTAATGTTGGGATTGTCATAGTTGGGTTTTGTCACGTCCAGCGTTGGTTTTGATTAAGTATGATGAGAAGCAAGATACCCTAAATACGCCTTGCAGATTGCAAGATCTGTTCAGTCAATCCAGTATTACTATTTTCCGATCGACCTTCCTCAGAATGATCAGCAATATATGCGCGCGCGTTCGCTCTGCACGGAGGCCGAGACACGTGATGATGACTAACGCGACTTCGCCGAACAGCCTCGCTAATCCGCGGCCTGCCTTTGACACCTGATCTCTTACCATCAATCAACGATGGCAGAACATCCGTCCTTCACCCTCGCTGGTCTCCGTAAGCAAGCTACTGAATACATGGTGTCGACATCGGAACATTAATAAACGGTACAGTCTCGGTAGGCGGAACTGCCGGCTATCTCCGAACGCGTTCAGCACCATCTCTCGTCGCAGGCCTCGTACTCGGTGCCTCATATGGCTACTCTGGTAGGTCTTCTTCCTGCACTGGTCCGAGTAAATAGTTTTTAATCATGTTCTAGGCTACCTGATCAAAGAGAATAAGGACTATGGCACAGAGCTTGCGCTGGGGAACAGCGTGGTTCTGCTTGGATCAGCGATCCCAAGGATCATCAAGACGGGCGGACGGGCACCTGTTCCGATTGCCCTTGGTGCTACGGGACTGCTCGCGACTTACTACTATCAGAAGAAAGTGCGTGAGTTCAGGTACGGCGTATAAGCACTGTCGAGACGACGTTCCTTGTAGAATAGTGTACAATACCTCTGCTCGGCTACCACACTCCCAACGCCAGCACTCGCTGTGCAGGGCCGCGAATGAAAGCTCAGCCCTTTTGACCTTCAAAAATGGCCCGTCTTTGGATAACCTTGCTCCATGACATTATCTAATGCTCGCCGACCAAGTTCCGGAACGGTTCGAGCGTGACATTGCATTTCGTCTCCTCTTTCCACCCTGGGCTTGAACTCCTTGCCATTGCAGGAAAAACTGTGACTGGTGTTCTTACTCATTTACTAATCTGCTAGGGCCGGAAGTTCCCACGTTGTTGGAGTGAAGCCTCGAAGTTCGCCCTGCCAGTCACCGCGGTATCGATCAAGGAACTACAGATGCCGCCCAGCAGATCCCTCGTAAAGATGAGAACCTTTGATCCTGAACAGCTCGTCTCTACTCACACAACGTTTCACAAACGAACCAAGCATCGACGTTTACGATAAGAGAACACAAACTGACGAGATGCATCCCTGCAACAAGACGCAAACTTTCGCAAGAATTGTGTGGAAGCGCCACAAGCCTTCTGCGCAGTGACATGCACCACGGAATCAAGGCATCGCCATGCACTGAGAGCTTCGACCATAGCGTCGGTGCCTACACTGCCGGAGGAGGGCGATTCGCATTAATGCGCGAGCGTGAGCTCGAAGGGTTTTGATGGGACGGATCATCATAACAGCCCTCCGCCGAATCCGTGTGATGTGCCCATTATGCGGCTTGATGTGGAGGGCCACGAAGGATCTTATACTCATTTGATAACGCTTACCACCTGGGCACAATGGAATCACTCCACCCAGGCTAACATCGGCCATGGCTAAATCCGGTTCGAGGCTGCCGCCCTCTGATTGGCCAGATCGTTAGTTCCCGCTCCCACACACATGTAGATAAGCGCTCTTCCGTAGTACCAAAATACACAAGATCGCCGCCCACCACATTCATCAAATTCTGTCGGCAAGCCGAACATATCGAGAAAAGCTACGATTCGCCCTCAGGACCCAATGCGCTTGTCCTTTGCTCCCTCTTGATTGCTAGAGTGCAGAAAGAGTTAGTGGACAGGGCTCGCATCTCTGCATGGCGAAAGGGGCTTCAGTTATATGACGATTGCGGCACATTGCTGAGTTTCTCAGGCCTGACATATAAGGGCACACAGCAGTCGTAACCTACAATACTTGTAAACACATATTCGAGGTTCTCATCCATTAGACCAGTTTATAGTCATTCGTTTCACGTTCAATAAAGCAACCATGAGAATTGGATCTCGTGCCTCCGAGCTCATCCATGTACGCACCCAGAGCCCGATTACATCGAACTTGATTGACAAGTCTTACCAGACGGGATTTCCCCTCTCTATGGCATAGATAGCGGTGGTATTACGACTCTATGTCCGCGTGTTCATCGTCAAAGCGTTCGGCGGGGACGACAGATGGATGCTCTTCGCTCAGCCCATGCACACATCCAAGAGTAGCTGCACCCCAGGAGGTGCCATTACAGGCACTTTCAGGCTCACACAGGATCTTATGCCTAGTAACATAATGATGGCGCTGAGAGGAGGTGCGCTTCTCCTCTGACTCGCGCCTGTACTTACGGCCTTCTCGCAATATTCCAGTGCAGCCCAGTCGAGTTCTTCTGAACCAGAGCCCTTGGAGCTGAATGCACATGCATCAACATGGACATCATCAAAGTTTTAACATATCTGATGCCAGCTTTTTTCGCAGTATGCGACTTGAGCTTCGCGATTCTTCCAGTCTTCCTCATCACGGGACCTAACATCAGTCGGAACCAGACATTCGCTCTCATCCCCATTCTCAGCATGGCTTCCATGTGACCCTCCCCTCCGCGTTGCGTTTATTTGAGTCTGAAAAGAATTCTCTGCAGTCGGCGCCGGCCTTTGGGAAAAGACAAGTCGTCCTACGATACCTTCAACACCCCGCACCGGCCTGGAGCTGCACTGTCGGCGAAGGAACACACCCAAATACCTTCTTCTCGAAGACATCCGTTTAGTCTACGAAGTATGCGGCACACACTGTAGTCGAAGATCACGATGCTTTGCGACAAATTATCATTTTCCGAGGGACGACGTACTCATCCCGATGTATTACACTTGGAGGTATGTGACACAACAGCGAGTAGGTTTGTATCCCTGCGTTTGAAGGAAGTAGGATACATATGTCTCACGCTCGTGCTCATCGCCCAAATCTCGTTCAGCAAATACTTCAAGGTCTTCACCAACTCGCACACCAATTTTAACGCTCCCTTCTTCCAAGGCTTCGACAGGGTCGCGAGCCCTTCTGGGACCTGAACATATTGTGGACGTCTCAAAGAGCGTGGGTGCACTGGCGTCAATCTCAGATGCTCACTCGGTGTTGGTCTCGATTGATGATGTAGTGGCAGCTTGTCAAAGTGGACCGAGGTGGGGACGCGTTCCCGCACATCCCGATGGCTTCAAGGATTTTACACAACCACCACGGTCGTCGACGCGCGTTGGGTAATTGGTAGCAAACCACTACTTTGGAATGTATAACCTATGACCTAGATTTTCAAGTGCCATTGCTGCCTTCATGACGGTCCACGAGCTGCGGACGATCCACTGCTCTCTGTACAGATTGCGATCCAGCGCAACACAACAGCGCTGCGCCACCAGGACATTCAAGTACCATCGTACACACAGGTCAGACCTCTGTCACACTGTAACTCGATTGGTGGATCCGGTTAAACACGAAGCCCGATTAAAAAGTGCGTAGCTTCCGCACAACATATCCAAGCAACCACAGGCACGGGCAGACAACCATGGGTACAGAAGTACGGCACATGTATCCGTCAGGATACATGTGACGTACACCGGCTGAAGGCGAAGGTAAATATTGCAAGTGCCGTACGAAGCCTTGCAAAGCTCTGCCTCGAGAGCGTCCCATTGGTGGATCTTCCGGATGCGCAACTCTTGGCTTTCCCCATACCCCAGACGCTACCCCGGAAACTAAACATGGAGCAGGTACAAGGGCTTGAGATTAATGCTTCGTCAGTACGGTAGGTAATCTCTATTTGCCCTGAACGCCGCTGGCGCTAAGCTGCACACGTCGCGTTATGTGCATATAAGTCGCGCAAGTCCGCGGCCCTCCCACGACGGAGAAGTATTTTGAAGCTGTGCCTGCCCGATCTGTTTGCAGCCTCGGCCCTCTCCTTTTCTCGGCATTGGCATCGGCATATTTCCCTACACCTCTTCGGTATGATGTGGGCTCACATACTCCTCGCGTCATGTGCGATCGCGCTCACCAGCGCCGAAGTGCAACAGCCTGTCGTGAAGTCGCAGGCAGGGATATTCCATGGCCGTTATCTTCCTGAGTTTGAACAGGACCTCTACCTGGGTATCAAGTATGCGCCTCAGCCCGTGCGCTTCACTCCTGCCGAGCTGAGCAAGGACACACCGAAGACCCACTACAATGCGACCCAGTATGGTCTTGATTGCACAGGCTATGGCTCTGACACAACGAGACTGGTCAAAGAAGGTTGGACGAAACTCGGGGAAGACTGTCTGCACCTCAATATCATTAAGCCCCGAACGAAGCAGAAGGACTTACCAGTCCTGCTGTGGATTTACGGGGGAGGATGGCAGCAAGGTGCCACCAGTGATCCACGGTAAGCGAGGCGACTCATACTTGAGAGAGGACGGAAGAGCTGATAGGTCACTAGGTACAACATGAGCTACGTGGTTGAGCAATCGATACTGAACAACAAACCCGTGATCGGCATCTCCATCAACTACCGTCTGGCCGCATTTGGCTTCATCTCGAGCGATGAGGTCAACAAAGCGGGCGCGCAAAATTTGGGACTTCGCGACCAGCGTCTTGCGTTGCAATGGGTCAATAAGCACATCTCCTCGTTCGGAGGTGACAAAACGAAGGTGACGATCTGGGGCGAGAGTGCAGGAGCATACTCTGTCGGCGACCATATTATTGCTTACGATGGCAAGAATGACGGTCTCTTTCGAGCTGCTATCCTTGAAAGTGGCGGCCCTGCAGGTTCACCGCTGAACGGAACTGATTGGTACCAAGGCATGTACAAGAATCTCACGGCCTCGGTCGGCTGCGCAAACTCGACGAACACTCTACAGTGCCTGCGCACAGTACCGTATGACCAGATCGCACCCTACGGGTACGTCGGTCTGGAATGGTTCCATGTCATCGATGGCTCGTTCATTCCGCGCTATGGTCAAGAGTCGCTGTTAAGTGGCAAGTTTGCAAAGATACCGCTGATTCTGGGCACCAACACCGATGAAGGCTTCGGGGTCAATGGTGTAAACACAGATGACCAGGCTATCGAGCAGATGCTAACAAGCAAACGATGGAACATAAACGAGGAACAAGCGCGACGTATCCTTGAATTGTACCCAAACGATCCAGCCGTAGGCCTACCGTACGGCTGGGGTAACAGAACGTGGCCGCAGTACGGACTGCAGTACAAACGCTACCAGAGCATCGCAAGCGACCTGGTAATGTATGCGCCAAGAAGATTATTAGCCGAGAAGATGAGTGATCACGTGGAGAATGTGTACTCTTACAGGTGGGATGCGCCGAAGTTTAACACCACACCAACCGCAATCGGCGTCAATCACTTCTCTGAGGTCTGTGACTACATTCCATGATACGAAGCTTTTTCTGACTGCTCGCAGATTCCATTCGTCTTTGGCAACACTGAGCAGCAGATTACACCGCTAGGCAATAGTACTGCCAATTTGAAGCTTTCAAATCTTGTCATTCGGATGTGGACATCGTTCGCATATGACCTGAATCCAAATGGGCACGGCGGTAAGTCACGAACCTGTCCAGCGAAGCATTAATTCTCACACAAGATGCAGTTTCCGAAATCGACGTCTGGCCGCAATATAGGAACAGCACATCGAACTTTGTCTTCAGAGCCGACGAGAGCTACATTGAGAAGGATATTGACAGAGCTGAGGGTGTAGCATTCATCAACACTATTGTTAGATAGACGCTACAGAGTCTATACACACAGATACAATTAAATCTCAGGATCCCTAGCCTCTGTCAGTCCCATACGATTTGCTGACGGATAAGGCCCCCGGGCTGGGGAGCTATGGTATATATGCTGCCTCGGGCCCAATCGCTGCCTGGCAGCGAACATTCTGTAGTCTACTAACACACCCTATAATTACCCTGACCTTATTGTGCTATTGTGTTGTGTTGTACCTCTGCCTCCCTTGTGTCCTTCGACTAAGGTTCCTGACAGGCTCTAGGGGTAATACAAAGTGTGACTTCCATTTAGCTGCGGCTCACCATGTTATATATACTACTTATTCTATAGATATGTAGCCTTAAAAAAGCACAGAGCTAGATACAGGAAGCAGTGCCGTAATATTGTGTGCACTAATGGACTTAGATTTCTGGGAATGTTTTTCAGAGACGCCGGCTTATAAATGAGGAAACACTTGCAACCAGGCTGGTGTTTGATATACCTCAGAGGGTACACGCCGAATGCTTACAAAAGCCTCAACTACCAAATATGCTCGACTGACCATGTAGCTTATACCGCAGAGTATGCACCGCAAAGTGATGAACCCGAACGCGAACCAACTAAGCTTACGCTCATTGTAGGCAACCCATACGCTATCGATGAATGGAAACCGACTAGCAAGAAACATATACATCGCCAATGGCAAAAGCCAGTCACCCTTGAGCAACGTTGGCGATCCGACTTGACGAGGTTTGTGCCACCATAGAACGTACATGACTAGCGCACACACAACATGTGCAACGGTGTGTACTTCCAGCAGCGTCGTTGCAAGTCCGGTAGCTGCCCGACTGGTAATCTGGACGATCATCCAGCCCGCTTGGATGCATACCAGGAGCTTTGCGAGACCGTCTGCCTTGTTCTTGTCTTTGATCTCGTCTACAGAGACTTCCGAGATATGCCCACATTCGGCTAATAGGGCAAAACCTTTTGCAGTCAGAGACAGGCGTTTATGACTGCCGAAAAGTGACGTGAGAGGGTCATCCGTGGTTTCGAGGTCAATTGCGAACCCACCCATGGATCCGTGGAAGCCATGTGGGAGCGCCCATCGGGTCATGCTGATCAGCCGCTGATCTTCTGCTTCGGTCTGGATTACGGACTAGAAGTTTCAGCAGAGGTACAAGCGTATGCCAGAAGATGTAATTTCTCGTTCGAGGCAAGTTTAACAGGATTATTTGTTTGTATATCGTTGATCTTGTAACACAGCTGCCTAGCGGAAGCAAGTTGCCTCCAGGCGGTATAGAGGATCAACTCTGGTGCAAAGAGGCCGATGATGCACCACTTGAACTCTCGGACTAGAACCCGGATGCTACTCTCGCCTTTACGTGGGACGTTGAGATGTACTGCAGAGTAGACACAAAGCCCGAGAATAGCGAAGCAGCTGAGCAGTAGAGAGATCGTGTCTCGTTGGTTGTCCTCTCTGACGAATCCGACAGTGTCCGTGATTTCAGCCTTGCGGAAGCCCAACGCGCAAACCGGAAAGGCACATTGAAGTAGAAGGACGCAAGAGATTCTCATTTTGACCACACGATCTGAGTACGCGTTTTGGATTGAATTACAGTTTCTCCCGAAGGTCTGTAGCTTCATCTTCCGAAGCTTCGACACAAGGTCTGGACGCCTCTTTCACTTCGATAAGATCGATCTCTATCTGTTCCTCCAGAGTCTGGACCACGTGTCGGTACCCTTCTAGCTCGCACTTAGTGTCGTCGAGTTCGGCTTCGTCCGGCTTCAGCTCATCTTGCAGCGTTTTTTTGCGTCTATGCAACACTACACCAGGGCTAAGGTTCAAAGGTGCACTTTAAAGAACTTCAGGGCTCAATAGAGCAGCGCTATGACAAGCTTTGAGCACATTAACAAGATAAGGAAAACAGACTATCACGAGGGTGACAATGGCGAAGCGACAGTCTAGTTCATCGCTCAGTCCATATATGCAACGAGATAGTAACGTGCGATCAGCTTGCGCTCTAGGTGACGTGGTCGGAGAACCTACGAGATTGCTGTGGAGCTAAAGCCATCACGTGCCAGTCCTTTCACTGACGTAATTAATTTGCTGCTGCCTGTGGCCAAGCTACCTAGCCACTGAAATTACCAAAAGTTTGCGCGTTATCGATCCCCTACAAATATAATGGCCCTCTTACCATCACTATCTTCTTCCTTCACGAACGCAACCAAGCGTGTATGGCACCTCGACCCGGGCCGTAATTCGTACCCAACAGCTGGAGTATTGTTTTCTACGAAAGAGCCGAATCGACTGAATGTTTTTAAGCATCGAGCCTTCCATTTTCCAGCCGCCCCAGAAGATGAGTACTGAACACCAGCTGCTGCCTGAACATGGCGTGTCGATCTCTGGCAAGCCCGACGGCACCGTTTCTCGTCATGCACCCAATATTTTGCACGAAGGGCTTTTCTGAACAAGACTCCGCGCTCACCCGTGTGTAGTCAAGGGAAGTACGAGGTTGTCGGTGGAAGATGGATGTGCGCTTGTCCACCCCATTTCACTGTGTCGCTTCCCCATGAGCGCTTGCACTGAAGTGAGTCAGCACCTTGTGCGCTTGTGGTTGCATCCCACAGGCGCATTCAGTAGCTGGAATTTTTCAAACAAGAGCGCCTGGTCTGTCGGCCCGGTCACTCGCGGATTGCCTCAAAGTCATCCAAGCACCTTGTACGCTTCCGGTTGCATCCCGGAGGCGCATGACGCCGCTATGGCTCTTTGTGCGCTTTTTATTGCATCCCAAAGGCGCATAGGGCAGTCAGGCTTTTTCGATCAGCCTGCTGGTCGATAAAGTCACCCCGCCCTCTGGGCACTTTTTCCGTTGAGCGCGCTGCCCATGGCGGCGACTTAGAGGAGGACTCTCCCGTTCCCTGTCTGTTACTGCGAGATGGATCTTGCCTCTCACTTTTTTTACGGGCTGGCGATTTTCAGAGAGACAGTCTACAATGTACCACGACATATCGTCAATTGATCTCTCTCATTACCATGTGCTAATTTACCTACATCATGCGCAGCTCACGTTGATCCTTGCACGACGTTGTACACACGTACGAAAGAGTCGTCACTAGCTACAGCGATCTGGTACCCCTGCCCCTCACTCCTGCCAGGTCTCCATACGATCTGGTTTATCGTCTTAGCAGGGGAGATATCTACGCTGACCATTGTCACTTCACTCTTGTCCAGCTCGTCTGCTTTCGCACTGACGATGCCGATCTCACCGGTTTCAGTGCCAAATGCGAACCACGTCGTCCCATCAATGACTCTCTCGCTACTTGCAACGGCGGTGACGGAGGTATTCGCAGTCACCGTACCTTTCAGCTCCACTTCGCCTTCGGCGACCTGCCAGATTTTGACCGACTTGTCGCGTCCTGCGGTCAGGAACGTCGGCTGCTCAAACGACGTCCACGCGCAGCTCAGGATCATGCGCGAATGACCCTTGGGGTTCGAGTGCTTCAACGCGTACAGCGAAGGCTCTTCGCTGCGCTCCCAGACGGCCCACTGCCTGTCACGTCCAACACTTAATAGATACCTATCGTTGGGCGAGAATTGGAGCGAGGTGACCGTGAGTGAATGTGCCTTTAGAGCTGGCTTCACTTCAAGCCATTCTTTCGTATCGTAGAGTCGGATGACTGCGTGGTCGATGGAGGATGCTCGGCATGCTGTTGCAACCAGGCTGCCGTCTCGACTGACTGCCACTGCGGATACCTCATAGCCGTGACCGTACAACTTCTCGGTTTCAGGCCAAAGTAAATGGCGAGCAAGATGATCTTCGAATGGCGGGTGCGAGAATTCCAGCGCGGACTTCTTGATAATGGACGCAGGATCAACGGCTTCACGCTCGTCTTCCTCGCCATCTTCCAGTGGTTCGTCGTCGCCTACTGCTTGGATCGCTTTGTTCGAGAGTCCTAGCACTGGGATATTTGCCGCATCTGGAAGATCAGTTGTGTCCTTGGACTTGATGTTGCAAAGCTTGCTCAACATCTCGGCGACACCCTTCGGCTCATCGAAGACTCGCAAGAGCTTCTCGTCAGCGCCGGAAACGAACTGAGAATCACTGATGGCGTCCACACAGTTCAGATCGTACCCGTGGATTTGCGGTCTTGAGAACTCGTGCCATGACGGCGCCGTCTCCTCCCGTTTCCACTCCGAGAAGAGGCGTGTCGTTTGATCTTGTGATGTTGAGAGTAGGTATGCGCCATCTCTTGACCATGTCACCCCCCTTACTTCTCGAACATGTCCGGTGATTGCGACTTGCTGTGCCCACATGTCTTCAGTAGCAGAATAGATCCACTTCCTCCAGCTGCCTGTTCTTCCTAGAGACACGACCGAGTTGCCATCTGGCGACCAAAGACCAATCCAGAACCCACCCGCACTTCCTGTCGCACTCGTGGATCCTTTCTGAGCGCTGATCTCTCCAAGTCTTGTGATGCACACCCAGACACCTGATGCCGGATCGGATTCCCAAATGGAAAGTGAGTTGTCCTCCGATGTCGACAGTAGCTGGAGCTTCCCGTCTCGATGCCGCCACGAAGCTGTGTAGATCCAGTCTTCATGTCCGAGCAACAGCGCCTCGAAGGTGATGGAGTGCTTCGATGTTGCCGATTCGATCCAGTGTGCTTTGTTCGATAATGACTTTACAAGTCCTCCAAGAGCAGGATCGTTGAGTGCGCTACTTGCGACCGGTAGCTCGTTGCCCTGATGGAATCTCCAAAGACGAATGTACTTGTCCTGACTTGCTGATGCTAGCAACAGATCGCTGCTCGCATCTGCTGTCTCGCGAGTGAAGTCGAGCGCCCGGATCCATCCCTCGTGCCCAGTAAGTGTCGCAGAGAGGTGGAATTGGGTATCTCGAGAAACAAAAACTTGAATGGTTGGGCGGGTGCCTGCAACCGCCAGCACCATGGAGTCAGCATCGAGTTGGCCAAGAGCAAGGATCAGAGGGAAGTATCTCGGCTTCAAAGCGATTGTCTGCAGAAGCTCAACATCTACAGAGGAAAAGCTTTCATCGTGGACAAGCTTCCATATCTTGACAGACCCATCTGAGGAGCCAGTCGCGAAGATGTCTGATTTCGGCAATGTGGCGATCTTGGTGATGGGATTGGTGTGTCCGGAAATGGTCTTCATGCAGATATAGGTAGACGCTTTATCATTCTGGGCGCGCCAGATACGGATCGTGTTGTCCGCGGCACCACTCAGAAGGATGGAAACTTGTGTCAAGTCTGTGGGAAAGAACCTGACCGCATTGACGGACTTGGCATGCCCATTCAAGACTGTGTTTACCCCACGAAGTTGCTCATCCTACATCTTGTCAACTCCCGTCACTACATCATGCATGTAGACTCACCTGAGGATCCCACAATGCGATGCAGTTGTCGGCGCCGAACGCCAGAAGTCCTGTGCCGTTGACGTCCCAGTCTGCCGCAGCAGGGTTTCTGTTTCCACCGACTGATACGAACTCCGTCGAGATGTCCATTCTGGGCCTTTGCGATGTGGAGTTGTGAGCTCTTTGGGTAGTCATCACTCAAGGAATTACTAGCACTCGCTTAGCGCCCCGAGCCTGGCTTAGTCTCACGGTGGGCCTATCTTTCACAGCAGTCGCAACCTACTTCGAATCAGAGTTCAACTTGACACAGGAGCAGCACTAATCAGTCAACGATGAGCGACGAGACGCTTACGATCAACGTCGAGTTCAGGTAAGGTCTTGACAGACCGATCCCAAGACAACACTGACACCCCGCAGTGGGGGACTAGAGTTGCTCTTCGACAATCAAAAGAAGTACACGCTCTCATTACCAAGCAATGACGAATCCGGCGCACCGTCGAATGTGGCATTTCTTGTAAGGCACCTTTGCAACAAAGTCATGAAAGATGCAAGAAAAGACATGTTCGTCCTGGACGACACTGTGTAGGTTGACCGAGCACCTGCACCACGTTTGTAAATTGACTCCAACGCTAGACGTCCGGGCATTTTGGTCCTCATCAACGAGGCAGACTGGGAGTTGGAGGGGGAGGATCAGTATGAGTTGCAGAAGGATGACCACATCATGTTTGTGTCCACTCTACATGGAGGTTAGCTGGGATGCGCTGGGCTCGAACGAACAAATATCAACATTATAAGCAGCGGCCCGATTTGAGCGATCCCAGTCATACACTGTTTGTCGATGATAAACCACTTCCTGCGCAGTTGGCCTGGCACGTGCTAGCGCGAAAGCGTGTTCCGCGTGTACTTTCCCGCTTCGCGTTGCTCCGCCTGCCGAGCATCAACACTCCACCAACAAACACACGCAACTCTGGCCCGAATCCACCTGCCAGCAATGCGATGGCAAATTCATACGATGATGAAGATCTCAAGCTGGCCATGGCTTTGTCCCTGCAGCAGAGCCCAGTTCCCAAGCCCTGCAAAGCGGTGGTCGATCTCACCTCAGATAATGCAGGTGAGGCTGATGATGAGGACGAAAGCCTGAAGAAGGCGATCGCGCTATCAATGCAAGACATGGTGCGGTCTTCGAATACTGTAAAGTCTGCACCGGCACGCCAGCCGTCAGGTCCAATCACCACAGTACCCACGGCGGAGCTGACTCAACAGGCGGCGAAGTCCGCGACCAGCTCAGCATCAAACCCGTCAGCAGGCACTTCGTTCCCCATGGACCGCAAAGCCATGGAAGCCGAGCGTCTTGCACGGCTGAAAGAGCGTGAGCGTAAGCGCAGGCGCACGCCTTCGCCAGATCGCCCAATGAAACTCCAATCGAAAGCACGCGCACCTGCGCCCGTGAGGGACTCCACAAGGCTCCAGCCACATTCAGAGTCAGCGTTGCAATACCCCCGAGGCGCTATCAAGCGCACCTTTGCCACCAAGTTCCCTCGAACCGACGACGTTACCATCGATGAGCTGCTTCAAGCATCGACAGTCAACATTGCAGTCATCAGCTCATTTCAGTGGGACGCTGAATGGCTAGGTCGTAAACTCAGCCACACGAAGGTGAAGCAGCACTGGATCATGAATGCAAGGGATGCAGAGACCCAAGCAAGATGGAGAAAAGACCTCACAGGTTGTGGCATACCCAACTTGCGAATCAATTTTCCGCCCATGAACGCTGCGGTTGGTAACGCGCACAGCAAGTACATGCTGCTTGTCAGCGACAGGAAATTACGGATCGTAGTATCGACAGCGAATATGGAGCCAGTGTACTGGGGAGAGGTCGAGAACAGCTGGCAGCCTGGTGTGTTGGAGAACTCTGTCTTCCTCATCGATCTCCCCAGAAGAGCCGATGGTCTTGTGGGCAGTGTGCATGAACTCACACCGTTTGGGAAAGAACTAGTACATTTTTTGGAGGTTCAAGGACTTGACGCACAGATCGTGAAAGGCGTGCTGAAATTCGACTTTTCTGAGACGAGTCAGCTCGCTTTCGTCCATTCTATCGGCACTACTTCTGACACGGATGCCCATCCAACAGGGCTCCCTGGTCTCGCAAGAGCTATTCAAGACCTTCAGCTCGACAGGGTCAAATCGATCGAATTCGATTACACAGCCTCGTCCTTGGGTGCGGTCGACGAAACTTTTCTACAGCGCATTTGCTCTGCTGCGCAAGGTCTGTCTTACAGCGCCACAAGCAAGACCACAAACCTCGGTCAAAACTTCCGCATCTATTACCCGACTGAGGAGACGATCAAGTCCAGCATTGGTGGGCCGGATTGTGCTGGGGTCATTTCTCTGAGGAAAGCTCACTACAGCTCCTCGACGTTCCCTGTCAAATGCCTTCGCGACTACGTGTCAACACGCAAGGGCATGATCTCGCACAACAAGTTGCTCTTCGCACGCGGGCGACAGGTCGATGGCAAGCTCTTCGCATGGGTCTACGTGGGCTCGGCAAATATCTCAGAGTCTGCCTGGGGAGCGCAGAAGGTCCTCAAGAGTGGGAAGCTCGGCAAGCTGACGATGAGGAATTGGGAGTGTGGCGTCGTTGTTCCTGTGCCCAGCGAGCGCCTAGAGGGGCTTCAGCTTGCAGAAGGCGAAGCACCACCAATGAGCGTCTTCGAAGGCACGATCGAAGTGCCTTTCCAGTATCCGGGAGAGCCATACAAGGGGCGAACACCTTGGCTGCAGAACTCGTAGCGACTCCGCGTTCAGAGACACGGACGATTGGTCACCTCCAGAGATCAAGGTGGCGAATCTCAAGACATTTTCAGGGACCGGGACCCGCTGATCATCATTAAGGCTCACGGTGTGTCATATGACCATGGGCCAGAAATTGGTGGTTGTATATCGAAATAATCAACGTGGCTCGCCCGTGCGAGAAGGGACGGGTAGGGGTCCGGAGTGGGCGGCATGGCGTCAGTGAACTTGGTCGTGGGCGAAAATGGACGGTAAGTACCACCGTGAGGGCGCCGCACGGCGCAGATGCACAGTCAGGCCCACGTCAGGCCTAGCCTCCGAACTCCTGAGGAAGATGTTGCAGGCACTTGCAAGGCTGCGATGGTGTGGCGGGATCGGGCGGGTCGGATTCGGCGTCTCTAATCGGCATTTGCAGGCACCGGGCGGAGAAAAGAGTTAGGCGAGTGGCGGGCCGTTGAGGGAGCCGCCGCGCTGTGAGAGTGAGTGGGACTGGGGCAGAGATTCAACGACCATGCTGACTCTGCGTGCTGTCCATACCATGACCCACTGCGACTTGGACGCCATAGTATGAAACCCGAGACTGCTGTGGTTGTGTAGCCGCCCATGGCCAACAGCACGCCGCATCCTGCCTGCGGCACGCCTGCGGACGCAACAGCCTCCGCCGCGACGGCCTCGCAGAAGTTCCATAATACCGAGCGGCCCATCACAGCGCCCATCCACTCGTGGTTCACGTCGCCGGCGCGGACACAGCCCAATGCTGCGCAGGCGAAGGAGTTGCCGCTACACCTGATCCAGCTGATCCTCACCCACGTGCGTGCTCTGCCGTGCTGCCATGCTGCAGTGCTGTCACTGACCTCGACGACAGCTCGACCATGTTGGCGACCTTGCGCGCATCACGCGCACGTCGCGGCTCTTCTACTACATGACGCTGCCGCGGCTGTACGAGAGCGTCACGCTGCGCTCGCACGCCGAGATGCGCTATATCGACGGGCGGCCCGAGGGCTTTGGCGGCGGCAGTCCCTTCTCGTCAGGGCTGAACACGCTCGTGGCGCGCAGCTTCACCGCGTACGTGCGGCAGCTGCGCATCGTCGGCGAGTGGCGCGAGCATGACGTGGACGACTACAAGCACGGGCGGGTGCCGGACAACAGCATGGTGCTGCAGATAGCCGTGCGCGCCGCCCTCGACAAGATGACGAGACTCGAGGCCTTTGCGTAGGTACCCCGCGCGTTGCGGCCGTGAATCGCGACCTGTGAGCGATGAGCCGTCAATCGTCAATCGTCAATCGTCAACCGTGCTGACCTGCGCCAGCTGGGAGCTGAACACGAAGCCGCTGGCCACCGTCTACCAGGGCCTTTTGAACAAGCCCACCCTGACCTCGCTCACCCTGCGCTGCCAGACGAAGCGGCTCCCGCGCCCGACGACGACCATCCCCTCACTGCCGACCCTGACCACGCTCGTCGTCTACGACATCGACCCGCTGTGCTACCCGGACGACATCTCGCTGGTTCTCGCCGGCGCCACGCGCCTCGAGAACCTGAAGCTGCACTGGAGTCCGCGCATGCGCGAGCACGGCGAGGAGTCGGTCAACCTGATGTCCATGTTCGCCCGCTGCCTGGCGAACCGCGTCTCGCTGCCCGTCAAGCGCTTCGAGATGTGGAACCTCTACACGCGATTCTTCGGCGAGAGCAACGAGGACATCTTCGACCCCCTGGCCGCCCAGGAGATGACCGTCATCAACTCCATGGGCTCGTCCGACCCCATGACTGTCTTTCTGGACGACACCTGGCGCCTGCAGCACAAGCACGCTGTGCAGCCCAACCTCAAGATGATCCGCACGGACAGCGTGGACAGGGAGGGCGTGCGCCTCCTGCGCGAGTTCACCGGTCTGGAGCGCTTGTACGTGGTCAGCAACAAGCGGCCGAAGGAGACCCCCAAGTCGTTGTCGGAGAGCACAGCCGCCACGCCGACGACTCCCTCTGTCGCAACACCCGGCGTCTCGACGAACGGAGTGACGAGCGCAGCAGGCACGCCGACCATCAGCGAGCACCACTGTCGCGGCGCCGGAGGTGACATGCTCGCCGCCATCCAGACGAACCACCGCGGCATGCGCCACCTCCTGCTGTCGGACCTGTGGCAGCTCACAGACGACGCGCTGTACAAGACGTGCCAGACCCTGCCAAATCTCGAACAGTTAGGCTTCAGCTGCGGTGTTCCGCCCCTCGAGTCGCTGCGCCAGATCATGAACCTCGTACCAAAGCTGTGGGCGATCCGCATCCTCATCCGCCCCGGCTCGGAGCTCGCAGACAAAGTCGACGCAACCAAGGACATGCACGCCTTCGCCATCGCGACCGAGATGTGGCGGCCCGAGTACAAGAATGTGCAGTACCTGGGCATGGGCGAGCGCCTGGTGTACAAGCTGGGCAAGGTCACCTACCCGCCCAAGGGAAGCCCAGAAATACCCAGAGGGCAGCAGAACAGCCTGAATGCGAAGAGAGCAGGGCCAGTGCGCCACGTCGAGCGCGTCAGCAGGGACAGCGTCAAGTGGATCGACATCTGGGGCATGGACTCGACCGAGTTCGAGGTCCCCTTTCGGTGAAAGCCTGTGGACAAGGGGCCTCGGACGCTCTGGGAGGCCGTCCAACACAACAACAGAGGAATGCAAGGGGCGTTGAAAGAGGGCGTGGGACGCACGAGGCCGCGCGGTCAACTTCCATCGCAGTCTGCCGCCGCCGCCGACTCGCCCGCGGGGACCGTTGCACATGCATCCGCTCGAGCAGAGCAGCGGCAGCACTCTCTTGGATCTCGGCGCGCATCATGCCGAGGAAATGCACACGCGCTGCAAGGAGCGAAAGACATCCGAGGAAAGGGGGATTTTTTAGCATCAAAAGCCATGTATCAGTAGACCGCAACGGAAAAAACAGGCATCGACGGTACAGACCGGGGCAGCTAGCATTGTACGATGACTGTAGTAATACCGACTCACACTTTTCGCAACCACGGGATCATGTCGCTGCGTAGAATCCATGCCGAGACCCGAGATATCATGTATTGGCTGCATGCTGGTTTATCTGCTACAACCACCGCTTCTACCGCTGCGGCTCGTAGTAACTCGTCGCCACGCCGCCATCCTGCACGGGTACCTTCCCATTACTCGGTCCGCCCTGCGTCTGCGCCTGCGCCTGCTGCTGCGGCCTCGACGGCAGTGGCGGCAACGGCTGCTCGCCGCTGATCGGCCTCTGTCCCCTCATCATCTGTGGCCCGGCAGGTCCCCTCATCTGCTGCATGCCCTGTGATCCCATCTGCTGCGTGCCCTGTGATCCCATCTGTGGCCTCGCCATGGCACCATGCCCCGACCCTCCCAGCCCCGAGACGCCGTCCGCTCCGCTCGGCAACGGCTGATAGGCCTGCTGCCACGCATACCCACGCATGTGCGGCGGACCCTGCGGCGGCACAATCGCGCCGCTCTGCACCATGTTGCGCACGATTCCCGCCGCGAGCTTCTCCGCATCCTTGCTCACGCGCGATTGCCGGTACTTGTGGCAATCGACGCACGCCCACACGAACAGCGTGAAGTGCAACAGCAGACCGAGCCACTGCGTGATGGCAGCCGTGAGCTCGACGCGCGCGCGGGTGCCCTTCTCGCGCCAGAGCGTGTTGACGTAGGCGTCCATTTCGGCGCAGCTGTGGAAAGGCAGGGCCTCGTAGTACGTGTAGCTGGTCGAGCCGTTGCAGACGCGCTCGTAAGTGACGCCCGAGTGGCTGTCGGACGTTTCCCAGACCCACGTGTTGTTTCGTTGGAGCACGTAGTCGCCGTACGAAGAACTGTAGCCGAGGGAGTTGCTCAGGTTGCCGTCTTCGCCCCAGTACAGGAGGTCGATCAGCGCGACCATGGTGAATAGCGCGGTGACGAGGAAGCCCAGCCAGAGGAGGAGGTCCATGGTAACGCGCATGCCGGGGTGGACGGGGTGCTTGGCAACGACGAAGCGCATAACGCAGATGAAACACCAGATGAGGGATATGGAGAAGGTGATCAGACCCCAGGGTAGGGACCAGGTGCTGTCGTAGCCATAGCTCCAGTTGGAGGGTAGTCTGTTCGCTGTGCCTAGAGCCCAGCCTAAGCAGCCAATACCAACGATGCTGGCGAATATCATGGCGATCTGCAAGGCCATCTTGAATTTCCAGTAGCGATCCACGGCATTGAGTTGTTCATTGTAAGTCAGGTCGTCTTGGTCCGCGGAGCGATCTGGTGTGGCAGGGACAGGGGCGGCAGATGAAGGTGGCATAAAGGTCGCATTCGATGTAGAAGTCGTTGTCGGCGCGGCAGGCGAGTTCGGGAGTGTCGTTGTATGCCCGGTTGGAGAAGTCGTTGTCGGCGCGGCAGGCGAGTTTGGAAGTGTCGTTGTATGCCCGGTTGGAGAAGTCGTTGTGATCTGAGGCGCCTGGGGTGCCTGAGGCGCGGCTGCAACCTCTGGAGTAGACATTATGTATAGAGGTATTGAGTAAAGCGAATGGCTGCGCGAAAGTCGCGCAAAGGTTGGAGAATGAGCGTCAAGAGAGAGGAGCAGAGAACATGAAGCAGAAGAAATTTGCACAATGACTGACGCTCCTTTTGCTTGCTTTGCCGCCAAACGGGCGCAATGGTTGCCTGACGCTAGACGTGTATTTGGCGATGGGTAACTTTAATTAGCACTGCGTGCAGGGGCCGTGCCCTCGTACCGGATCGACCGTCGCTTCCACATTTTGAGTTTATCCAAACCTCATCATCACGCAAGCATCCGTAAGCTGCAGCGTCGAGGAGCTTGGATGCATCTGTCTAAACAATGGTCTCTTGCGGTGAACTGATCGACTCTGTACCAATCGAAGACTGATCAGATAGCTCATGTACTGCTCGGGTACTGGACGGTGATGCAGACATGTTGTCAGGCCTGTAGATGTGGATGCCTGGTATACCCGAGGCATCACCGCTGTGAAGAGGGTCAGCACTGTATTGTGCATGCGTAATTGTGTGGAGTAGGATCAGGCGGGTGAGTCTTATCACAGATCTCACCGCATCTGATACTCGTCCAGCGCCATGCCCTTTGCGATCTTCTTGATCAGCGCCTTCTTCAGAAACTGCTCGCGAGCTAGGCTTCGCGTTTGCTGAAGGTTGTTAGCATGTTGCGAAAATCTCTGCGGATGGGGGGTACATACCTTGACAAATACATCCGCAGTAATCCTCCCCCTGTCAAGTGCCCTACCCAGAACGAACAAGGCATCAGCGATACCTCTCTCCTCTGCCGCAAGAGTGTATAGCTGTTGCCCTACTACGGTAGGCGCTACAAGCACGTCATCGACATCTGGTGCCTGTTTTCTTCGAGCATCGTCCATGGCGCAATCTGCTTCGACCATGGCACCTTTCAGAATCTGCTCATTCGAAGCCAGCGCTGCATCCAGATGCTGCAGTTCGCCCAACTCGGCTTGAAGTTTTGAATATGCAGTCTGCAGCGCTTGTTGTTGCGCGCGTAAGGGCGCCACGGCAGCCTGGTTCGAAGCTACGACCTGACGTGTTTGCGAGGCGAGAGCCTGACCGAGGGCCGTGAGGAGGGCGTCCTTCTGCGGGTTTGGCGGCACAGGCGGCACCGGAAGGGATGCTTGGTTGCCTTGTTGCGAAGGCAGAGTCACCTCGAGCGAGTCGTCGAGAAGGTTGACAGGAGGCGCCAGCTTTGGTGCTGCAGGAGCCGGCTGTGGCGGGTTTTGGTGGTACTGCTGATATTGCCGCGGATGCTGCTGTAGGGGACCCTGATGCTGCTGTGGGGGACCCTGATGCTGCTGTGGGGGACCCTGATGCTGCTGTGGGGGACCCTGGTGCTGCTGTGGGGGACCCTGGTGCTGCTGGTGTTGAGGCGGCGCTTGGCCATGAGACTGCGGGCCTGTGTACTGTTGCGGTGGCAGAGCGTTCGCAAAAGGCTGCTGTGGAGGCGCCTGCCTTGCAAAGCCGGATGCATGATGCTGTCCCGGCGGAGCCATTGGGCTGACGGGACTTCCGGGCCCGTATGATGGAGGCTGGATGTGTTGTGATTGAACGCGCTGCCGTGCATCGTGCGACACTGGCGCTACTGGGCTGATGTCGTAGCTTCCTCGCTGCGGCGGATGCGGTGGGAGCGGGGGCGGCTGCGAGTATCGGTCGCTCTGCGGGTGCGGTGCCTGTGTGTGCTGCTCAAACGGCTTCGGCGGCTTTGGCGGCGGAGCGGGTGGTCCTTGAGAGGGGCCCGGTGAGGCCGCAGGGCCTTGTGCGCCTTGCACTGGTCGTCTGTACTCGACGGGCGGCGGAGGCACAGGCGGAGGACCTTGCTGCGCGGGCGCACTGTACGGCGGCTGCCGCTGCCGTGTCCGAACGGGAGGCTCTTTCGCGAAGACGTCGCGCAGGATGGCGAGCAGGTCGAACAGGGTCGACTTCTGTGCAGAGTCAGCTACGACTCCTGCCGCCCGACTGAGCGTCGTTTGCGGGCGCATGTGTGGTACTCACATCCCAATACTTGGCCCATTGCGCCAGATAGGGGTGGTACACCCTGCCGTCGCCGCTTACATACTGCCCGGAGCGCACCAGCATGTCCTGGTCCGGCTTGATATAGACAATGGGCGGTTCGCGTGGGTAGGCGTAGGGCACCCACACTGCCACCGGGAAGCCATAGGCGGCGCCGCGGAATGTGACAGGCAGCGTCCCGGTGAGGTTGAGCAGGAGGTGTGGCGCTCCGTTCTCGTATGCTGGGCCTGTCAGCTGCTGCGCGCTTGGAGGAGAGAATGCGCCGTCGTGTTGCGCGTCGAGTCACGCACTGTAGACGTCGGTGCGCACCGAGAGGGACGGGTAGTAGGAGAGCGCCTCGGTTGCGTCGTGATATGTGCGGTTGACGTCGGTGTAGTTCTGCCATGCGTCAGCGCCCCAAGAGGTGGAGAGAGGGGGAGAGAGGGGGAGAGAGGGGGAGAGAGGTAGAGGGAGGTAGAGGGCCAAGCGCTCACGCTGGTCAGGACGCTGTACAGCCAGTTCAGCGTTGTCTCGGGCACAGCCATTTGGAGGTGCTCGCGGGGAAGCTGACCTCTCCGCCGATCACGAGCTCTGGGTTAATTGGATCCGCCAAGGGTCGCTGCTCTCTCTGAATGTTTGATTGAACCTCTGCACCACGAGGTCCAATAATACTGTGCAGATTGGTGATTGTAGATTGGTGATTGTAGATTGGTGATTGTAAATTGGTGCTTGTAGATTGGTGATTGTAGATTGGTGCTTGTAGATTCGTGATTGTAGATGCAGATTGGTGGTTGCAGATTGGTAATGGCAAGCAAGACAGCCAACAGTCCACAGTGGCATGCTTGGACCCCAAGCACAGCCAAGGACCGTCACAGCGAACCGTGGAAGAGCTCGACCGATGAGATCATCACTCTGAATGGGGTCACGGACGAGTCACGACGACAGTGGTAATTCCACTAACAAAGTGCAGCATCTTCATTCATACGCCTCAACGAGCGTGTGCTACAAGACTATCTTAACATGCAACCAATAACTTACAAGAACGATCAGGGTATCCTCCAACGTCAGCTCAGTGCTGGCTCCACTCGATCGTGTTGAGATCGACACCCTCCTGGACGAGCTCCCACAGCGGGCTGAGCTCTCGCAGGAACGTGACGCGCTCCTTGACAGCCTTCAAGACGTAGTCAATCTCCGCGTCCGTCGTGAACCGTCCAATTCCGAATCGAATGCTGCTGTGCGCGCTCTCGTCGCTGCTGCCGAGAGCGCGGAGAACGTAGCTGGGCTCCAGTGAGGCTGATGTGCAGGCGCTGCCTGACGACAGAGCAATGTCCTTGAGGGCCATGAGAAGGGACTCGCCCTCGACATAGGCAAACGACACGTTGACGCAGCCGGGGTAGTGGCGCTCGCGGTCACCGTTCAGTGTCGTGTGCTCCATGGAGAGCAGGCCCTCCAGCAGGCGGTTCGAAAGCTTCGTGATGCGCTTGGTGTCGTACTCCATCTCCTCCTTGCAGATGCGCGCAGCCTCACCAAAGCCAATCGCGAGAGGTGGCGCCAGTGTACCGCTTCGCAGCCCACGCTCCTGGCCACCGCCACTGATGATGGGATCGAGTCTGACCCTGGGCCGCCTTCGCACGTAGCAAGCACCAACGCCCTTGGGCCCGTAGATCTTGTGACCGGAGATGGACATCAGGTCGACGTTCATCTTGTTGACGTCGATGGGAATCTTGCCCACCGCCTGCGCGGCATCCGTGTGGAAGAAGATCTTCCGCGCCCTGCACATCTGGCCAATCTCCTCCATGGGCTGCACAACACCAATCTCGTTGTTGACGGTCATGATGCTGACGAGCATCGTCTCGGGCCGCATCGCCTCCTCGAGCTGCTTCAGATCGACGAGACCGTTGCTCTGCACGGGCAGATATGTGACGGAGAAGCCCTCGTCCTGCAAATGCCTGCAGCTGTCCAGCACGCACTTGTGCTCCGTCTGTGCCGTGATGATGTGGTTCTTCTTGCCGGCGCGCTTAAAGAAGCGAGCCACGCCCTTGATGCTCATGTTGTTGCTCTCCGTGGCGCCGCTGGTGAAGATGATCTCCTTGGGGTCAGCTCCAATGAGGTCGGCAATGTGCACGCGGGCATCCTCGACGGCCTTGTCCGTCTCCCATCCGTAGGCGTGCGTGCGCGAGTGCGGGTTGCCGTACAGGCCCGTCATGAACGGCAGCTGGGCGTCGACGACTCGGGGGTCCGTGGGCGTTGTGGCCTGCATGTCCAGGTAGATTGGCCGCGATCCCTGGTCCATCACCGTGGCCTGCTTCAGAATACCTGGTCATGTCAATATCACTCGGTGACGCGGCGAGGCGGGTGGCGGCGCTCACCAGCAGTCGGGCTCATCATGGCGTCGGCAGACATGCCGGTGGTGGGCATCGTTGCGTCTTCAGCCTTCTCGCCTGTCTGGTGCAGGAAAGCCTTCTTCTCGGCCTGAATCGTCGTGTCCAGGTTGACGGTGGCGTTGTTCGACTTGGTCTCAGAGACATAGCTGCGGCGGCTGGCAGCGGTGCGGGGCGATGTGCGCGCGAAGCTGGACACTGCGTACCTTCTGGAGGCAATGCGCAGGGCCTGCCTCGCGATCGTGGGGGCGATACTCGACATGTCGGCGATGGCTGGTGTGGGGTGGTGATGTCGGCCATGCGGAATCACGTCTCCGTCGAGCTTGTGCGACCGAGCTAGAGAACTGGTGCTGACATAACGGCCGACTGCCGGATCGCCCATTCAGCATTCAGGGAAATGCTGACATAATGGCCGACGGCGGATCCGTTCGGCAGAGGCCAGCGAGGGAGCCATCGCGTGCAGAGCGTGCTGTACATGTCAATAATGCGTGCGCGTGAGCTCGAGGGCGTTCCGAGTCTGGTTGTCCGCTGCACCGCGTGCATCTGCGGTCTTGTCTGCATCTGCGTGCGTCTGCGTGCGTCTGCGTGTATCGAACTTGTGGCTGTGTGGCTTAGCGGCTGTACCAACGTCATGGTCAAGGAGGGACAGCGACAGGACCCACCAGCTAAAGCGCCCACGCTTCTCTCCGCGCTGTCCTTGCGACCACCTGCTCCCGCTGCGAACACCACCGAGAGTCCCTTGTTCCGCATCACACGGCAGACACGCACTATACGGCGGACATTGCGCGCACAGTGAATCACAATGAGTTGGAAAGGGTTGACGAAAGGCGTAGTGAGGGTACGCCAAACTCGTGCAGCGCCCCCGTCAGGCCGCTACACGCTGCTGACAAGACTCACAGACGCCACAAACGTTCAAGCAAAAGTTCAACATCGTACGTCTACCCAGTGGGCCCTACACCGAGCGATGCCGAGCCACGCGCCTCTTTCCGCGACGCACAGGCGTGGGGATGCGCTGACAGCAGTATGCGTAGGGCGAGATCACAAAAGATGCCATCTACATTGACGCCGATCGTCGCTTTGCCGAGCTGGAGAAGGAGACGAAGAAGCTCCACGAGGAGTCCAAGAAGTGCGCTACATTGCTAAACCCGCCCACGGTCCTGCTGACTGACGCCTGACAGGTACTTTGAGGCTATCAATGGTGCGCACAGCCACGCCTACACTCCTCCAGCCACGTCTAACACAAGCCCGCAGGCATGCTCACACATCAGATCGAATTCTCAAAAGCCATCGCCGAAATATACAAGCCCATCTCCGGGCGAATGTCTGACCCCACGTCGTTCCACGATGAGGGAAACACCGCTGGTATCGAGGCCTGCGACCAGTACCAGGAGGTTGTTTCGGAACTGCAAGAAACACTCGGCCCCGAGCTGGAGATGATAGAAGCTCGCGTCATCTCGCCTGCGAACCAGCTCCTCGACATCATCAAGGCGGTTCGAAAGCTGGGCGCCAAGCGTGACCACAAGCAGCTCGACTACGACCGGCACCGGGCGACTCTCAAGAAGCTGCAGGATAAGAAGGACAAGACTTTGAAGGACGAAAAGGCCATGTACCGCGCCGAGGCCGATTGCGAACAGGCCACACAGGACTACAACTACTTCAACGACCTGCTCAAGGACGAGCTGCCCAAGCTGTTCGCGCTGGAGAGAGAGTTCATCCAACCCCTCTTCCAGTCGTTCTACTACATGCAGCTGAACGTCTTCTACACATTGCACGAGCGCATGCAACGGCTTGACATTGGCTACTTCGATCTGGAATTGGACATTGAGGCAGCCTACGAGAAGAAGCGCGGAGACGTTCAGGCAGAGGCAGAGAAACTGTCGGTCGTCAAATACAAGACGACGGGTGGACGCACGGGTCCCGGAGCGCGACCAGGCGTTTCCAAATACGCAACAAAAGCACAAGAGGCAAAGGCAGGCCGCGCATCCGTCTCTGAAGAGGCGCCGCCGCCACCATACAGCCCTGGCTCGTCTGGCGCGATTGGCGACGTCAAATCACCAACATTCTCCCAAGGCTCGTGGGGTTCCGCAGCAAAGGCGAAGGGCGCCGCACCGCCGCCACCAAAGCCCAAGCCCTCCCGCCTCAGCGGCATGCCCGCAGCGGAGACGTGTACAGCCCTATTCGACTTCGAGGCCCAGTCTGAAGGCGACCTAAGCTTCCTGGCCGGCGACACCATCGAGATTATCACGAGGACACAAAACGAGAACGAGTGGTGGACTGGCAAGGTCCGGGGCAAGCAGGGGCAGTTCCCAGGTCCGGTTCCTCACACTCCCAGCAGTCCCACAAAAGCTGACTTTTCTAGGCAATTACGTGAAGCTGAATTAGGCGTTCCAACGGCGGGACTCGGTCATGTCGAGATGAAGATGCCTTTTGTTACTGTTGGTGGCTGTCGATTAGACCTGCATGTGCATTCTGCTAGACACTGCATTGCTTACACTTCAGACTAAATATTAATACTCCCCCACCACTTCTCAGTCCTCCGGATGTTCACATAACATCGTCTCGCACGCCACTGCTCCCAGCTTCAGCCACACCTCGGTCCATCTCCATGCTAGCGTAGATCGCTCCCCGCATGACGTTGCTCGGCCACACGGCACTCATCCGAGCTGATCGCAGTGACGACGCAGTCCACGAGCTCGGTTGTATGCAAACATGCATCCTCTCCCCATGTCCAGCAGCATAATCGCACTCATCCACGCATCACCGCAGCAATCAACACACCACGCCGCCTCCTGACCGCGCCCAACCGCCCACACCACGCTCACACCCCCGACCATGTCCTACGACTCGACGATCACATTCACCCTCGATACCATCTGCCCCTGGTACACAGCCCAGTCCCCGTCCTCACGCACCGACTGACCCTCTCCCCAGGACATATCTCGGCTATGTGCGTCTGCGCAAAGCGCTCTCCGCGCACCGCGCCGCGCACCCCTCGTCGCCCGTATCCTTCACGCTGCGCATCGCGCCGTACCAACTGTACCCCGAATTTTCGCGCGCCGGCGTGGACAGACACGTCTGGTACCGCGACGAGAAGTACGGCGGCTCCGAGGCGCGCTTCGACAAGTACGCGGCCTACATGGGTGCGCTGGGCAAGGACGAGGGGATAGAGTTCGACTTCAGCAGCGGGCCCTTCGCGAATACGTTCCACGCGCACCGCGTACTGCGGTACGTGCAGGAGCATCGAAGCGCGGATGCTGCCGTCGCGGCGCTCGAGAGTCTGTATCAGCAGTACTTTACGGCGCGCGCGCACCCCAGTAGTCCTGAGACGCTGGTGAAGGCGTGTATGGCTGCGGGGCTGGATGAGGACGAGGCGAAGAGGGTGGTCGAGGACGAGAGCGAGGAGGCCATGGAAACAAAGATGGCGATCCGAGAACAGGCCGGGAACGGGGTCGATAGTGTGCCGTACATTGTGTTCGAGGGCAAGAGGAGGGACTTCACGCTGATCGGGGCGAAGGAGGTTGGGGAATATATCAAGACGCTGGAGCAGGTGGTCAAGGAGGCATCGTAGTGAAGCAAGCTACCAGACAAAGCTCGGTGAGAATTGATGAATTGAAACCTAGTGTACACCCGTCATGCTAAGCTACCCCGTGCATGTCTGACATGGTTTGGATTGCATCATAGTCGTCATTGTTGCCAACGCAGATAATGCAGATGACGCGACCAAGATGACCAACCAGATGGTCAGAGATACACTAGCAAACGCCACCAAGTATGAACGAGAGAAGGATGTAAGGAGTATGTACCGTGAACGTCATCACCAACCCGGGCTATCATGCCGTTACAGAGACGTCGTGAAGAGGGAGCCTAATCACTGACGTGCTGCTTTCCTTTGTATGTACCAGTTTTTGGAACATCTCATCGACGCTTACTTGCGAGTCCAGTCATAGCTGACCTCTGCGCGCTTGGTGGCTTCACCGAGTGAAGGGTCGCCGCAGACTGGGCCCCAGACCTGCGCCTCGAACTGGCCGGCCGCAATATTATTGCCGACAAAGTCATAGTCTGATGTGATCAGTGCCTGCCCTATACCAGGACAATGACAACTTACAGCAGTAGAGACGACCAGGCCAGTCGACCTGACCAGGGTTACAGAAGCCAACAGCGCAGCCGACGCGGGATGTGTTGCGCCACACCATCTGCGTGAAGTGACCCCAAGTGTCAGCATAGTGCGGGTGGTCGTACGGATACTTGGTCTCCTCCTCGTGCCATCCATGGACAGCGGTACGGGCGAACTCGATCCACTCGTCGTAGTTGGAAGGGGCCGGCTTCTGCGATGACAGGTTGCTGCCGGAGCGCATCTGTGAGATGAGTCAGTCACTTTGAGAGGATCGAGGAATGCTCGGTGACTTACGTGCTCGGGCATATACGTGCACTCTGCAATGTCACGGCGAGCAGCATCGGCTAGGTCCTGGCCCCAGACTAGGTCTTGAGCGCAGTGGAGGCGTCGCCAGTACCAGTGAGCCCGCATCACGGCGCTAACGAAATTGGGGTCGTCGACGTGAGGCGCATTGTCGTTGTAGAGGTCGCGTGGCTTGACGTCGTGGGCGGGCGCAGCGACTGCAGTGGCAGCCAGAAGAGTGGCGAGAGTAGCAAGAGACTTCATGATGTTTGTTGATGTCGTTCACTGAGAGGAACGACCAAGGTGGATTGATATGGGTATCTTAGAGGTCAGGTTGTAGGTGAGCTGGTGCAGATGATCGAGGGTGTCGTGCACTCAGGTGTAGTATGAAAAGATCGGGAGTTGTAATGAGCGTGAGTGATCGAAGATGGAAGAGGAGTGAAGGGAGGAGAGCGGTGTGTTTATATGATGGAGTGTGGCCCATGCACTGGGGTAATAACGTGTGCTCGAGAGGCGCCTGCTGCCTTCACTTACCTGCTGTGAACGTGTACACTAGCTCATCGAATCAGACCGCATTGCGTGTCACAAGGAAAGAGCAATAGCAGCCGCGGACAGACTGAGAGAAAGCGCAAAGATGCGTGCAATAAGGCCGAAGGCGAAAATCTCGAAATCTCGAGCATCGCGGCATCGAATGAGCTGATCGGCTCACCCGACTTATGTCGCGCCAAATCTGTGCTTCGTGACGACTGGCTCGTTTGTTACTTTATCACCTTCTGTTATGGAACACAGTGTGGGTGTCACGTAGCGCGTCCCTGAGGGCGCTTGTAAACGGGCACCACCCATGTCGGCAAGCGCTGTGAGATGCGTAGGGTTATTAGAGAGATGTGAAGCTGCGCACAAGATAGCATGTGGTTGACGTTGTGAAGTCTGAAGCATTGAGAAATAAAATGTGCGACACTCGAAGCCAAAGAGTTCAAAGGTGAACGAGAGCAATGTTAGGGAGAGCTCGTGAAACCAATTTCTATGAAAGAACCAGGCTCGTAGTTTGTAGTGGTTTCCATCCAGCAGTCTCATCGACGTTGACTCTAAGAACGAACCCAAGCGTGGCAATGATGATCAAACTCGTAGGAGCATAGAAGCACAACATCCAAGGCTTGCTTAATTCGCGCGTTCATGTGACTCCCCAAAGCTTACGGAAGCCCTGTATGATCTGGCGTATCACTTGCTCTTGCTCACTACTTGCTGCTCAACTGTAAAGCATATGCGATTAAATCAATGACTGACAGTTGTGCAACGTCTCCTGGTGAACGTTGAGGAAGGTAATCTTTCCTCTTAAACCTCGCTGTGCGACGTCTGAGCCTTGCGCAACCGCTCGTGCTGCCGGATAGAGTTTCCGTACCAGGCTGCGGGCTATGAGGCTACCACGAGCCACGCTTTCACAGGCCATGCCGCAGAGACAGCTAGGTTATATATTCGATCGTTCGTGCGACGTCCGCGGCTGACTGCGTGGTTATGGCAGGCCGAATTCAAGCCTGCGATTTGGAGATGAACATGTGGTTGCACCGCTTATAGTCATCCTTCCTTGAGACGCTTTGCTGGTCGGCCGATCAACGAGTCATCTGGCAGCCCGCTCCTCTTCGTGCCTGGCAGGCCGGACGTACGGATGTCGTTGTCCTCCTGGCTGACTCTTCGAACAGGATACTTGATCTTGGAGTCCTCAAAACAGCTCTCCGCAGGCTTGCCGTGTACGGTAAAGTACGGATGCTCGAGCGCCTTCTCAGCTGTCAGGCGCTTGAGTGGGTCGTACTCGAGAAGCTGCTTGAGGAGGGACAATCCTTCCTGGCCAGGCGTGTCCGGTCCGGTACCAACAGGGTAGTGGTTGTTATTCAGTGTCTGGTGGTACCATCGTTCTAGGCCGTCACCCTGCGGGCGAGGATAGCGTGCTGCGTTACCCGCGATGAGCGACGTAAGCTGGGGATACTCAGGCATAGCGGGCAGTAGTGGCCAGCGGTCTTTACTTGGCAAGCCCATGACCTCGACAATCTTCTGCATCTGGTTACGCTGGAAGGGCACAGTCTTCTTGTTGTCCATCTTCGCCTCTTCGCCCTTGAAGATAGGCCGCAGAGACAGTAGTTCAGCAAAGATGCAGCCTACAGCCCAAAGATCGACCGCTGGTGTGTAGTGGCGACTGCCAAGCAGTAACTCTGGTGCTCGGTACCAGATCGTGACGACAACCTTATCGCCCGAAAACAATGACTGAAGAGGCTTGTGGAAGAGACGAGCTAGACCCAAATCCCCAATCTTGACCTTCCCCTCTCTCGTAACCATGATGTTAGCGGGCTTCAAGTCGCGATGCATGACCCAGTTACGGTGAAGGTAAACAAGACCCTTCAACAGCTGGTATAATATCGACTTGATGGTTCGTGCCGGTATGGCTTGGCGCTGAGGCTGATTGTGGTGGTGGATGATCTGGAGAAGATCGTGCTCTGCATATTCAAAGACAATGAAGATGCACTTGTCTTCTAGTATGATCTCGGACGTGTGAACAACATTAGAGTGTGCCAGCTCCGTGCAGAGAGCCATTTCCCTTATTGCGGACTGTGAGATGCCAGAGTACTGAAGTTCGCCTTCCTTATCCGGCTTGAACCTGAGTCGTTAGCATTGTCAGATGACCTGCCTGATGAATCTTACTTCTTGATGGCGAATTCTCCGATGCGGCCATTCTTGCCTTCTGCTTTGTAGACGCGTCCATAGGTCCCGCTACTGATGAAGCCTACGATCTTGTACCGCTCGTTGATGCGTTTCTTCGAGCTGTATCCTGCAAACATTTGTGTAGAGTCTTCAGTGTCTGTTTGGTTGCGTTCTTAGCGAAGCCATCCAACTTGTTGATGTTTGCGAGCCTGGATGGTAGTAGGAGATGCCAATATCAGAGATGTAAGATGGATGAGACGATTTGTGATGATGCCAGCAGCGAGGCTGACGGAACAACAATAAGCGAAACAGGCGGCACTCACGACCAGCAAAAGCAAGCGCCGCTAGCAGAGAGGCAGATAAAAATGGAGTTATTCAGGAGGCGGGAAATGAGGCAGACGACTCGACACAGAGCAGCGTGATACCAATAATGGCAGAAGGGGTACCGACCGTTGAAGGCCCTCTGTACTAGGGCGGCTCGGGCGGTTGATGCTGCAGACGAAGGTGGGCCACCCGAAGATGGCGGATTCGACGGTGGCTGGCTCATCTTCCGGTCATTTGCGTCTCGTTTAAACGTCTCCACGTTGGGAGCTTGCGCATACGCGCCCACGGCGTTTCGCGGGCTCGCTCCGTGGGCGGAACACAGATCGACTCGACGCGATGGAGTATCTCTCGGGGCTGCGCAAGACGCCGATCAACGGACGCGTGAAGTTTGTCGGCTATATGGGTTGATCTCAAGGCCGCTATGTCTTGTATGATACCCGCGTAGAGTCTTTTGTAGAGAGTGTGAAGCAATTGGAGAAGTGAAGCTGCGCAGTCGTCACGATCCATGGATACAACTTTGAGCTGGTTGGCCTCCCCGCAGAGCCGCAACATGTGAACACTGGGTCGCCCAAGCTCCCAGGTGAGCTCCCATGACCGCTAGCCATCGCGATCTCCACACATTACCCTGACCCAAGCCCACCACTTCGCCGCTTCTTGGTGTCTGTTTGTCCGTCGTCGAATGGTGTCATAGTGTGCTTAATCTTTTCGTGTGTTTATCAAGCCCTCCGCGGCTCGTCAAACAGGTACAAGCACCCGTCCTCCGCACACTGCCACGACGGCGTACCCTTGTGCAAGAGGCTGACAATTGTATAGCGCCGTGTAAACATACACACGGCTAATTTCCCCTCCTATACCACTGCCTGTAGAGCCACAGTAGATACCATGGACCCAAGATCGTGGTTCGGTGACCTTACAGGGTACTTCGTGTACCTGCTCTTTACTGCGACTCTAGGTCCTCTTCTGTTTGGTTTCCATCTTGTATGCACCGCCCAATACTCGACATGACCAAACTGACAACAATAGTCTGAACTAAACGCGCCCGAAGATGTCATCCGCTGCAAGAAGAAGTCCATTACCTCGACCGCAACGCCGAATCTGCCACAATGCATTGAGATGACCCCAACGCAATGGGGTGTTGTGGGCTCTATGTACACACTGGGAGGGCTTATCGGTGCGCTGTCAGCGGCGCCCTTAGCTGGGAAATACGGGCGTCTCAGGGCTATGCAGATGACTACTCTGTTCTTCACCATCGGCCCCGTCTTCGAAGCGCTATCGCCTAGCATCGCCGTCATGGCATTTGGCAGACTCGTCTCTGGGGTTGGTGCAGGAGCGGCTGTGGTCATTGTACCTCTGTATATCTCAGAGATCGCACCACCGGCGAACAAGGGCTTCTTTGGCGCGTTCACACAGATCATGTGCAATGTCGGCATCTTAGTCACGCAGTTGCTGGGCTATTTCCTCAGTCACGACTCGTACTGGAGAGTCATCTTGGCTGTTGGTGGGCTGATCGGTTTTGTGCAAGGGCTGTGTTTGCTCTTGTCTGCAGAGAGCCCCAAGTACCTTGCTGAGAAGGGTAACCTCACCCAGGCCAAGAGGATTTTACGCAATATTCGTGGCGCAAATGCCGACATTGACGGTGAGATGAACGACTGGGGAATCGACGGCTCCAGCGTGAATGGTAAGTCGTGTGCTCAGAAAGCACGCTCTTGAACGGCACTGACACCACAACAGAGGAGGAGCAGACCCTGCTGCACAACGAGGGTGGCTCGTCACCATCAACCGACAAAGAAGGCACCTTGACTATCATGCAGGTTTTGCGTCACGAAGATTACAAGAAGGCTGCCATTGCAGTCATCATGGTCATGCTGGCCCAGCAGTTCAGCGGCATTAACAGCATTGTCATGTACGGCGTGTCGCTCCTGGCGGGGCTCCTTGAGTCCAACTCTGCGCTGCTCAACCTTGCGGTGTCTGCAGTCAACATCGTGATCACGGCTGGTGGTGCACCTTTGCCAGACAAGTTTGGACGTAAGCCATGCCTTTTAGGCTCGATCGCAGGCATGGGCACCAGCTCCCTGCTGCTTGCAATTGGCATCATGAAGTCGGTGCCCGTACTCTCAGCCGTCGCTGTGCTCTTCTTCGTCTCGAGCTTTGCGCTTGGGCTGGGCCCAGTTCCCTTTATCCTTGCCAGCGAGCTTGTGGGCCCAGAAGCTGTGGATGCAACTCAAAGTATCGCGCTTGGTGCGAACTGGATTGCTACCTTCATCGTGGCTCAGTTCTTCCCGCTGCTGAGTGCACAGTTGGGCGGAAAAGTCTATCTGATCTTCGCAGGACTCTCTGCATTCTTCTTCGCCTTCCTCTCGTGGTATGTGCCAGAGACAAAGGGCAAGAAGAACGCGGACGAGGTCTGGGGCAGGGAGCGCAGGGTCGATTGAGGCTCACATGCAAAAGGCGGGGTGACGTGGGCGACGCAGATTCGGAAGGCGCATCTGCATCTCACAATGTGGTAGCACAAGCAAACACAGATTCTTTCGCGCCTCTCTTCTCCATTGCCAGCGCTGTCATGCTTACGATGATGATTACAAAGGACCACTGGTGCCACATCCGCCTCGGTGCGGGCGAATATCGGTGCACTTCCGCACGCTTCCAAAGCGGCTCCGGCCTCGGGAATCATGACAAGCGCCCCACAGAACTCCCGAGGCCCTCATTGCGACAGCAGACCTCACAGTTTCATGTGCATACGCTCTGGCTACCACCTGCCCACTCCTGTCTGTTGTGCCGCGCTCAATTGACGGTACACTTCTTTTTTCCAGCATGCCTGAACTCCCGTCCCATGCATCGCCCGGTCTCCCACCACTCTACACACCGCAGCCGCAGAGCCCGAGCCGGAACGGGTTCGACTTCCACACGTCAGACAGCGCCGTAGGGGAGGGCACGACACAAGATCATGTGCCGCGAGTCTCACAGCACCGTGGATCCGACCCACCCCCCTCGCTCATCTCGCCCGCCTTCACGCCTCCAGCCACGCCGGGCTTCACGACACCGTCACAACCCCGCCGACCGCCCCGCTCGATACCTGTGGATACCTCGAGATCCACCGACTCGCCAAGACCCGAGCTGCTCCAGAAGCTACCCATAGTCGAGTGCGAAGTACGCGCGCGCATACCCACGACCACCGGCCATGAGATGTGGCTTCACGTTTACCGCAACAATGTAGACACCAAAGAGCACCTCGCTATCGTGTTTGGCAACCAAATTCGCTCGCGATCACTGGACGCGGAGAGGCCTGGAGAGACAGAGCTCGACCGTATGACTAGAGGCGCATACGTAGGGCGACTGTATCCAGGCCGGATCAGCTCTCGGATAGAAGCAATCAAGCGCGCAGAAGGCGTACCTTCGAAACGAACGCCAGACGTCGCCACAACCAACAGTCACGACGATGGGCGGACCTCATCCTCTTCAGCATCTTCAGAGAATGGCGATGCACATACGCCCACCTCCGACCTCCCTCTCGTGCGCATACACTCGGAGTGCTACACCGGCGAGACCGTTTGGTCCGCACGCTGCGACTGCGGCGAGCAACTCGATGAAGGCGCGCGCCTTATGGCAGACCCTACATTCTCTCCCTCCGGCGGCGCCATAATCTACCTGCGGCAAGAAGGGCGCGGCATTGGGCTTGGCGAGAAGCTGAAAGCATACAATCTGCAAGATTTGGGCAACGATACCTACGAAGCAAACGTCATGCTTAGGCACCCGGCTGATGCTCGGAGCTACGGCCTGGCGACAGCTATGCTCATGGACCTGGGCCTGGATGGAGAAAGAGGCATCAGACTGCTCACAAACAACCCTGATAAGGTTCGCGCGGTCGAGGGACCAGGGCGCGAGGTTGTGGTCAGAGAGAGGGTGGCTATGGTACCGCTTGCTTGGAAGACAGGCGGTAAGCAGGGCATCAAGAGTGAGGAGGTGGAGAAGTATCTGAGCACAAAGGTGAGTCTCGTACAGCGTTCTAGAAGCAACAGGGCTAACAGAAGTAGATCGAGAAGTTTAAGCACATGCTCGATCAAAGGTAGAGTTGTTTCGAGCGGCCGATTGTATACAATGGACATATTTGCATAGAGACTCAAGATCCACGCTGGCATTGGCGGACTCATCTCCAACATTTTGAGCAGCTGGAAGCGCGATAGCAGTTGCTAAGATACCACAATGAGACGCTTTTCATTCAGCCTGGCTCCGATCGAGCTGTTCATGCCGTCCGCAGCGCGCTCGCAGACCTTTCTATGCCAGACGCGACTACATCAAGTCCGTAGGAGCACGCACGAACAACCAGCAGGATCTAATGGTTTGCATGCAATAACGCTCTCCCTGCTGGACGAAGCACTTCGATGTCCACGGCATATCATGCACGGAGCCCCCACACCTGGACAAGGCTGTGAGTTGGCGAGGTGTATTCGTCTCTAGCTTGGCCCTGGTGTGTGGCATGTGACCCGGGGAACACTGTCTGAGGGGCGGGCGTTTCATCATCGGCGGCTGCGGCGGCAAGAGCCTGATATTGCTGTGTCGCCGGTTCACGGGCGCCTTCGGCGGCAGTCTGATATCACACGGTGACCGAGGGACGCCCTTTGCCAGTCATCTTATTCATGAAATTGGAGCGTTAAGGCTCAGATCTAGTCGCGCCTCCTAAAGTCCCGGAATCAGAATCTTCCGCAGAGAGAATGTTAGATCGAGCAGCTGCGATGTTGACTGTAGTAAGCATGTGACGAATCCTACGAACATTCTTCTGACTTCTTCCGCTTCTACGCAACACCCATATGACAAACAACACTGTGCGAACCGGCCCGCTTCGGTTTCATCCCCCGTAATTTATACCCGACAACCAGATGTTTTTGGCTTTAGAAACGTCAGCGGTTGCTACGGTCTCGGTACATGGGCAGGCTGGATCTTTATCGCAGCATCATCACGGTACAATGTAGCGCTGCAGCCGCGCAGAAGTCCTTCGCGAGATGCCCCTGCGCACATTCCAGTCGATCTGCTACGGACAAGAAGTTATCGACCAACGAAGCTGTTTCTTTCCAAAAGTTCTACATTTACGTGTGGTTACAATCAGGTCAGGAGGACACTGCAGTGTGGTCGCAGTACGCGTGCAAACGAGAATCGCGACGTTTTACGTATCCAAGCTCTGCGGTTACTGGTGAATGATGTGCAATCTTGGAGCAAGCTCATACAAAGACCTTTGGGCAAGTGTTCAGCAAACAGCTGTTGTCACAAATAACACATCGACAATGTTGTACGCCGGCGTTGCAGCAACGCAGTTGCTTCTTGCCACAAATCACGACTTACTGAGCTATCAACGTCGCAAAACAAGTACTTGCCTAGCTAGCTCATAACTTATTCACATCGCCGCCTAGAGTCCAATGTACGAGCTCATTATGAATGTCCGAGAACCCGACTACCAGCGCACAATGGGCGAAATCACGACGCTGGCATTCAAGCTGTATCCTACCTATCCTACCTACATCTCCATAGAGCAGCATGAGGGCGGCTTGTGGTCGGCGGAGCTTCGCAAGGTGGTGCGCAACAGCACGTTGATTGGAGTGATGGAAGACGGCGAAAAATCGGCGTTAACAAGCTTGGAAAGGGCGATCGAACTGGAGTTCGCGGATGAGGAGGGGCTGTGTGAGTTGGAGGACTAGATGTGAGAATGTGGGGCGGCGTCTGCAGGGAGAAATCTATAGACCATTGCAATGTCATTCGCAACAGTCGCAGACAGGCCGTAGCTGTTAAGCTAACTAGAGCATAGTCTATTTGGGGACACAAGTAGCATCACCTGGCAGCTGATTTATGTCCACAAAGCTCTTCTCCTCATACGCATACCAATTTTTCTAAATTGGTGACGGCAATGAAACTATAGTATCATGTCACTACTGGCCTCATCACTGGTTGGCAGTACGTTCCAGCACCGGATCGCTGCTTCTTGCCCAGAGATGCAGCGCATCCTCGTAACTTCGAGCAATAAGCAATGTGCAAGCACAGTGCCAGGCTCAACAATAAGGCTCACAGACAAAGGAAAATCATGCAAGCGACGGCCATTGTATGAAACCCGCCATATGAGCCGCCATTAATCAAATTCGTCAATTCTTCCCTCTCGCCGACCTGCTTCCTGGAGAATAGGCATTCCAAGTGAGCGGTTATGGTATTCTTCAACACCCTAGCCGCAACGGCTTTTCTAATCACTCTGAGCAGCATTCTCTACAGATATCTTCACGGACCTGATTACGACCAGCTTATTACCGACATTGAAAGTCGGGCCACACAACTCTACCCGATCTTCAGCAACAGACTGGTGATCCTGGAGCCATCGGATGGCGACGGGATCTGGATTGCAAGCGTACGTTGGACAACCGGCGATGGAGATGTGGTTCAGCGAGCATATGCAACAACGGAAGCGGAAGTACTGGTTCGACTCAGGAGGCTTGTACAAAAGGAGTTTGTCGTCGCGAACAAGGGTGGACATGTTGGAGTTGGAAGCTGAGTTGTGTCTGTTGATTGTGGCTACCGAAGCACATTATGTAGGCTACAAGTGGAGAATGAACGACCCGTCAACTATCCGATGGTGCAATTATCCTAAGTTTGATACACGTCAGCTGCAGGGCGTCTATGATAGCCTCGCTCAGAATACATTAATGGATCAGGCTGACGTCGAAAGTGATGGTGAAGAGTGACAGTACAGGAGTGCACAAGTCTTCTTGTTTGCAAGTTTGCCAGAGGAAGCCGACCCGTAATAGTATCCGCTCCTTTAGACGAAGTTGCTTGTACAATTTCGGATGGTACTCATCGTTGGTGCATAGGGAATTGATGACACAAAAGATCATTGAGATGACGATAAGGATGTTGGCGGCGATCGTCGCAGTTTCAGGAGCACTTTGGAGGTATTCGATGTCGCGTAGGAAGGATCAAGATGCGATTTGGGCGCACTGCGGGATGGAACAGCCAATGCTCAGGCACCAGAAGCGAACGAATGCCTCGTTGGTCCAAATGTGATGTGCTGTGACACTTTGACCTCATCTCGCCTTTGTTAACTCGGCGCCGCGGGATCGGCACCTTCCTAGTGCGTCAAGATAGCGCCGACAGTCCGCTAGATGTACGTTAGGAGTCAGAGTATATCACCTTACGATATGTATAAGACGACGCGCCTTGGGATGTCAACGTTCTTCATCCCCGACTATACTTTGGACAGTCTCTCATACCGTACTATTTCCCCGAATACTACCCAATCAACGCGGACCCATTCGTTAGTCTCGGGTTAATACTGATGGAGTCGAATACATCCTACGGTCTCGACGCGGCCTCTATCGCTCGTCTTTCTTTACACGACCCTGCCAATTTTAGCGTCCAGCGCTCCCAGACTCAACATCGCCTTGAGCTGCTGAAGCATTGGAATGTCTCTCCGGGCGCGAAAGTGCTTGAGCTAGGGTGCGGCCAAGGGGACTGTACCACTGTTCTTGCCGCTGCTGTAGGTGAGCAGGGGACGGTGGTAGCGCTCGACCCAGCAGACTTGGATTATGGCTCGCCATACACCCTTGGCCAAGCCCAGGGTCACATCTCGCAGGGTCCTTTGGGTCGGCAGATCACTTGGGTCCAGCAATCACCCCAGGAGTACCTCTCCTCACTATCCTCCGGTGACAGCAAAACTTTTCACGCAACCGTCCTCGCACACTGCCTATGGTACTTCTCCTCCCCCTCGCTTATATTGTCCACTTTCCGTGCCATCAGGCAGCATAGCAAGCGTCTCCTCCTTGCCGAGTGGTCGTTGGTCGCAACTCCCTTTTCCCAGCCTCATGTCTTGGCTGCGCTCACCCAGGCAGCCTTAGAGTGCCGTAAACCGGAGAGCATCTCAAATGTCCGCATGGTACTGAGTCCAAAACGACTTACACAACTAGCCCTGGCTGCCGGGTGGCAACTGGAAGGCGAGACCTCTGTGCAGGCTGGCGAGGATCTTTTAGACGGACAGTGGGAAGTGTCGGCGTGTCTCTCTCCGTCCTTTGAGAAGCAGGTGGAGGAGTATGTGAATGACGAGAGAGAACGAGGCGTGATCCTTGCATTGCGGGATGCTTGTGAAGTAAGTTTAGAGGGTGTGCATGGTGGCAGATCTGGGATTAGGGGGATGGACGTGTGGGTTGCCAGTTTTACTTGATCAGGCAAGCTGAGTGAGTCGTACAAAGACCGGCGAAGCCCACGTGCAAGGCGTGTACGTGTTTGTTCCATCATCGCTCCCTCCTATTCAGGTACTTTGAGAGGTGGTCTGATGTCGCAGAGATGATAGGGCATTCACGTCAAGAGATGAAGTGGATACTCGTGTTCGGCATTCGCGCTGTCGTTGTGAGAAAGCGTTGCAAGCGGAGGTTAACGGATGAGCCTCGCAATTTCGTTGGCAAGCATAAGTAACGAGTCTGCTTTGATAGGAGTTGGTGCACGTTGCGATACTGACGTCTGCCATGAGCGAGGTGCTGGAAAAGGGCGCAAGGCGCGAGCAAGGATCTCGCTGATGCCTAGACTAGCGCAGTTCTTAGGCAAGAGTCAAGCTCTCTCATCTTGTACCAGTAGTCGTACACCTCGTCGAGTCCTCACTTACGTCTAAACGCAAATCCGACTTCATTTTTCCGTTTGGCCTTCAAATTGGTTCCGCTGTTGATGCAACGCCAGCGACGATGGACCCTGACGACGAAGCGGGGGTTATTCGAGCTTCGGCCACACACAGCAGCGCGCAACCCTGCACCAGTACCCAACAACGCAGATTCCAGCCTTCCGATCCTCTAAATGACTTATCGGGACTGCTTCGAATCGTGATTGTTGTATTGAACTGAGTAGAACACAGTTTTGCTGCTATTCGACCCAATCGAACGCAGAGTTACCTACCGCCAGCCGCGCCGCATAGCACATTCTCAGGCTTCCAAGTAGGACGGCAACCTATCTGCAAGCACTGCTGGCCTGAGATCCTGAGCACAGCGCTCCCTACAATCGCCCGATAACGAGAGGATGTCCATCGTATTTGATCAGACAAGTGCCGCATGGCCGAGCCGCGTCGGTCATTCACGGTTGCATTAGGATTGGGCAGACACGCACAACCAAAGAGCAGCTCCCGAATGCTCCGTGGCACAAATTTCCTCCTTCAAGGAAACGCACGATAGGACTTTCGCCACGGTCGTCTTGGTGCCCTTCGTCGAGAGGCCGCCACCACCCTACACTTAATACGGTGCCACCATCACGCCACTGGTCTCGGTGCTCCTCAATGAAGAAGGTACGCGTTTATTATCGCGCGACGCTTCTCATTGGTGATGTCGCCGTGCCTCAGTAGATGGCCAACTGTGTGGCTTGGATGAATCAAGCTCGGCTAAGAAAGCGCGACCCTTCTTGGCAACGCTTCTTATCGCGTGCTCAAGACTAGTAGTCTAGTGCTAAAACCTGGGTTTTAGATTGTTCAGGATGCGGAGCGGACTCTGACTCCGGGGGCATGCCAGCCAGCACTCTTCGATTCTTGGTGATACGGCCGTGCCTGACTATCAGTCTCGCGATCGCTTGGAATGGAAGCGCGTTCGACATTTCTGGCGTCTGCTACTTGCCACAGGTCTCCGCAACCATCTGGACCCTGAAGAATTTGGCGCATTGGACGCGCATATCCAACACGCCTGCAGCGTGCGGGTTCGACTGCATGGTGTGTTCCGTGCATGGGGCAGGCCAAACTACTTTTCCGCTATCAGCTCTTCGGCGCTTCTGGAACGCCTTCACGCGCCGTCTTCTCCATATTCAGTTGGCGATAAGATGGTACCATTACCTGGGTAGTCGTGATCTCCGCCCACCTACATGGTTGCGCATGTATCCCTGGGTTTGTTTCAATACCAGCGGTGTCGTGCTCCGCACCACCTTCCTTTTCGCACTTAGATAGTACCACCATTTCGCTGCCGGAATGCAAGAGTTCCATCTGATTGGCAGCTGCGTACGACCTCGCCGCGATTTGCTATCGCTTCAAGTCCTAGCGTTATGTGCTCATGTGAACCGTTCCGGAGTATCTATATAGTATGGGCTTCATCCCATGGTGTGTATGGTCGTCACGATAGTTCTTGCCCACCTTCACAATGGCCGCAAATCCCATTGGTGAGACGCTCATTATCGGCGCACCCGGCGTTGAGGGCAAGACGACTGTTGTTTCCTCCCACGAAGCCATCAATACTTTCACCGATGAGAAGCACCGCCTGGCTGAGAGCGATGAAGGGTCTGAAAAAAAGGGTGTGTTGGAGCCGGAGATTAAGGCCGCTTTGCCTTCGTACGACAGTGCCGACGAAGACGATGACCATCGCATCATCGTCACTGGAGCCGATGCCGCTGCTCACTTGTTGCCCATGCGAGACGACCAAGAGCCGGCCTTGACGTTTCGAAGCATTTTCCTAGCGACCATACTGTCTGCATTCCAGGCTGTGGTCTTTCAGATCTACCAGGTATCTTCCTCGTTCTCGCTTTTATATGGACCGCGATCACTGACACACGCCTAAGTTCAAGCCAACTGCCATTACGATCCAAGGAACCTTCATTGTCCTCATAGCCTTCTTCCTCGGTAACGCCTGGGCCAAGATACTCCCACGTGGCGAGAAGTTCGAAGCTCGATGGAGGGCTGCCGGTGGTGTTGGCAAGGTACCCCTCTACATCCAGATCATCTCCTTCTTCAACAAGGGTCCCTGGAGTCTGAAGGAGCATGCTATCACATCTATCACAGCCACTTCAGCATCGATTGCTGCTCCTAGCAGTCAGGTCTTCGCTGCCCAAGACATTTTCTATGACCTCCCTCTGAACCCTGTGACCGTCATTTTTAGCACCATCTCGATTGGTCTGTTCGGCTATGGTATTTGCGGTATCATGCGCCCCATCTGCGTTTGGCACGTCGATGCGGTCTACTGGAGCAGTCTGCCGACTGTGAAGGTTATTCAAGGTCTGCATTGGCAGTCGGTCAAAGACTCCAAACCGATGAGATGGTTCTGGATCGCGTTCTCGTGCATGTTTGCCTACGAGTTCTTCCCAGCGTACATCTTCCCATGGCTCAACTCGGTCTCGATCCCCTGCTTGGCTGCTATGCACGCAACTGGATCCAAAGCTGCCACGCTTACGAATATCTTCGGTGGTGCTAGTAACAACGAAGGCCTGGGTCTCTTCACCTTATCCTTTGACTGGCAATACGTAAGTCTTCCAGTGGAGATTGTAGAATCGAACTGATCAGGTCTTTTCCGACAGATTACATCCTTCCAGTCATCACTTCCACTGAAGTTACAGCTGCATCAGACTGCTGGTCTCATTGTCTGCTTCATCGTTATGCTCGCCATCTATTATGGCAACGCCTGGAACTCGAAGTCGTATCCGTTTATGTCGACACGTCTGCTGACTCAGGCCGGTGGAAAATACCCCAGCACAAAGGTGTTCGTGAACGGTGTGCTTGACAAGAGCGCATTGGCCAAATACGGCCTGCCAAGACTCACGGGCACTTTTGCCTACGCTATGTTTATGGCAAACGCTGCGGTAAGCAGACTGATCCTCAGTGTGAAATACAATCATCTGATAACTTACAGATCGGAGCCCTGATCGCCCATATTGTTCTCTTCTGGGGTGGCGATATCGTCAGGACATTCAAGTCGGCCAAGAAAGGCAACTTCAGCGACCCACATCACGCCTACATGCACAAGCACTACAGAGAAGCACCCTGGTGGTGGTACGTGGCTGTGCTTGTCTTCAGTTTCGTTCTCGGTCTCATTGTTGTCATCAAAGAGAACATCACTCTGCCCGTTTGGGCTTACATTATTGCTCTGCTGATGGGAACAATCATCGCACCCTTCAGCACGATCCTCTACTCTCGTTTCGGCAACGGTATCGCGACAAATAACTTGTCTAAGGTCATCGCCGGTTTGATGTTGCCTGGACGCCCCATAGGCAATATGTACTTCGCTGCATGGTCCCACAACGTCATCAACGGCACTGTGCAGCTCAGTATGGACCTGAAACTCGGAGAATACCTCAAGATTCCTCCTCGCGTCATGTTCTTGACGCAGGTCTACGGGACCGTGCTTGGTGGCTTTATCAACTACGCCATTATGATCTCCATCGTCGCAGGCAACCGGGAATTGCTTGCTGATACCAACGGTGACGCGGCATGGAGTGGTGCTAACATTCAGTCGTACAACACCAACGCATCCACTTGGGCGCTTGCAGCCTACATCTACAAGCAGGGTCAAACATACTCCATTGTACCTTTCGGCCTCCTCATCGGAGCCGGTATCGTCGCCGCGCACCGCATCTTTGCGCATGTGAGCATAACCCGACAATAGGTTGTCTCTCACTCTACTGACACTACAACAGTTTGTTCCTCGGATCGGCAAGTTCTCTCTCGAAGAGATCAATCTCCCGCAATTCATTCAGTATGCTGGTTACATCCCGTACAACCAATCACAGACATGCGTTCTTCTCAGCTGGACCATCGTTGGTTTCTACACTCAGTTCTACCTCCGCAACTACCGCCCGCGCATCTTCAAGGACTACTCATACCTCATCGCTGGTGCCTTTGATGGCGCTAGTCTGACGTGTCTGTTCATCCTATCATTCGCTGTATTTGGCGCTGGTGGCCCTGCGGTCCCGTTCCCACAATGGTGGGGCAACAACGTCGCTGGCAACTACGACCATTGTCCGGTCGCGGAGTAAAAACTCGGTTGGAAGAGGCCAGGGGAAGTGGACTGTGTTTCTCTTTGGGAGATGTGTGCCGTTTCACTAGCTTCAATTTTAAACCTTCGAGTTATGAAATGTTTACAAAGCTCGAACGAGGACTATATCCATTAACATTTCCGGTCCAAGTGAATGATGGTATCCTGTAAGCTTTGACTGTCCGCCGTATGACTCCTCAAAGGAACTGGCGGTCTCTAAGATCAGTTCCGCCTGCGAAGTCCACCTACGCGCTGTGCACAACCCGCCATTGATCGTACACCCTCCCAGACTCTTTGTTGTAAACCACCTGATCAGGTTGCTTCAGAAACCGATGCAGTACCCTTGGGCGGTAATACCAATCTGCGCTCATCAACTGCTCCTGCACAGCACCGCCCTTCATACCGAAGACGGCAGCGGTCCAGAGGTTGAGCTCATCGTCCACCGAGTCATCGCTGTTGCGCTTGATCTGGACGACAAAGTCGTTGTGCTCGAGCCTTAGCTTCGGTGCGTATTCTGTGCGTACCTGTTAGTATGGATGCAATGGTGCGTCTTTGGGAGGAAGAGTTGTTCAACCTATGATGCGCTAGACCCAGTATGGCTCTCGATCGAATATTCGAGAGATGGTGGAGCCAGCAATGAAGACCAAAATGAAGAGGAGAATGTGCGGGTGATCGCCAACGTGGCCCTAGAACATGTTGATTAAGAGGCGGTGGGCACTGGGTCGTTTGTTGCTCTCGCGAGCTTGGAAGCCGTGGAGTGAGGTGCATTGCAGGGTAGACCTGGTGGCAATCAACAGTAACTTTGTTACCATCACTGAAGATCCCCATGCAGCTGATGATGACGGTACTAATTGGTGCCATAATGACTGAAAAATAGAGACGTGTCGCAGTTACGTGTGAGATACAAAAAGCCTTAAGGTGAACGAACGAAACGTAATGTACACTGTGGGAACAAGACACTGAGTTCCTGTCTTAGGTGTAAGAAGCGACCCGTGGACAACTGTGTGAGGGGAACGAGCAGATGAATTAAAGGATGTTATCGCCCCATGTCCTTACCCGAGCCTCATCTTGCCCCAAAAACATAAATCTCAGCGTGGTTTATCGGGAAGCGCCTGTGATCTAATCGTAAGAGCTCCAGTGATTCGTGTGTGTTGCCTGGAGAAGCTGGAAGGAGCTCGAAAACCTTGGAGGCATTTAATGTAGACCGGTAATTACTCTGCAAGAGCGTACATTGTTTGAGAACTGCAAGCAGCTCTGCACTCGGCAACTAGGCTTCTCGATAATGCGACATGGCGAGGTGAGTATCTCGGTACCAATATTTGATCTGTATTTGCCAACCAGGGTTTGAGCGGACCTTCTGGAACCACGGTGTAAGACTGCATATGACACAGCCACAGTTCAGACTGATCAAGGGTGCGGTAGACTCACTGCAGCTGGTCACCGAAGGCTTGCGACTGGTTGCTCGCACTACGCAACAGTTCATAGTTCCGCCATAAAGGACCGATCGATATGAGAAGAGAAGCTTTGAAGTAACCACGTATATTTAGTGCTCCTGCTCTTGATGCTGAAGACCATCTTGATGTTGAAATTTCGAATTTGGGGTATCATCGTTGAGAAACCTCTAAACGCCTGTTGGAATCCAGTGGTCTGCGTTGTTGAAACAGACCTGCTCCACCCTATGCGTGGCGTCTATTTCCTTAGTCTACTCCTTTTCTACCTTCTTCTCCGCGCCGTATCCGCCTTTGCCTTCTAAGTTCTGGTAGGTCTTGCCTTCAGAACGAGGAGCATTCCTGCCATTCCTGAGACCTCTCTCGTTAAGGTCCTCCTGCAGCCAGGTGAGCACGAGCTCACCAAGCTGGCTGTTGCCGGACAGCACTCTGGAATCAGGATCACTCTTGACGCCCATGTCTTCCACACTGCCCCATTTCTTAACCTTGCCCAGCGACATGTGTACGAGGTGTGTGGGCCAAGTTGCGAGGTTATCCAGAATATGTGTTGCGTATACGATTGTGCAGGGGCGCTCGTCCGTCTCCTTCTTCAAGAAGGCCAAAAAGTTCGATCGCGAGAGCAAATCGAGGTCGACTGTGATCTCGTCAAGGAGAAGAATCGTCCAAGGTCGCAGCAGACCCATTGCCAACTGCACTCTTCGCCTCTCGCCGTCAGACACAGCGTGCATGCGCCACGTGAGGTCGATGTCGAGCACTTGCACGAGCTCGTCACGGCGCTCGGAATAATACTGGCCACCGACGGAGTTGAGAAGGGTGACGACATCGATATCGGTGCGGACGATGGGGTTCAGAACCCACTCAAGACCGAGGTAAGTGACGCCTTCGAGACCCTCTTTGAAAGGGTCGACGCCTGCAATCGAGACGGAGTCGGCCGGGGCCATGCGCTTACCGGAGAGTAGGCGCAGAAGAGTCGTCTTTCCAGCACCATTAGCTGCATTTCATTAGCCCATGTTATTATTGAAGGTACATGCATTTTATTTACCTCCAATGAGAAGGGTTCTACTGCCAGGAGGCAGGTTGAGGAAGACCTCCTTCAACCCACTCGAGCCATCCGGAAAGGCATAGCTCAGATTCTTCACGTCAATTGATGGCGCTAACTTCTGCCCGTTCGCGTCTGTAGTCATTGTAAAGCCGAATTCTGTGGTTGGAGATGCAAAGGAGGCAGATGCGACTTGTTGGCAATGCGCTACATTTTGTACCGTGAATTGGCGGGGGGGGGGGGGGGGGGGGGGGGGGGGGGGGGGGCGGGGGGGGGGGGGGGGGGGGGCACTTCGGTGAGCCGCGCCGCGGTGATGACAGCATCAGGTGCCGAACATCGGCTAGTGCCGAATTTGGCAGGTACAAGGCGAAATCTTCAACCTCACCTCTCCGGCACTTAAGCCTGCACTGTCAGCCTGACCAAATACTCGCAGTACAGTGTTCGTTGACCAGGCCGTCTGAGTCATTCACAGCGTCTATCACGCCGCATCTTCAGTGTCAGAGTAGTCCTCCAAGCTGATCGCCTTGATCCAGCGCTGCATTTGATGCAAGGTCGTCGAGACTTTGTATAGGCATCGATGTACCAGGTTGTCAAGGTGGGATACTTTGTCACTCATCGCATACTGGTTCTTAGCGGTAAATGTCGCAGCAACGATATGCATCTGCTTTCGTCGTGCAGAGCAGCATCAGAAGTCCCAATCGAATCCTTGTAAGTCTATCAGTATGTTCACGCGTACATTGTCATGGTCGACTTTCTTTCGTTTTGATGTCTTCTATACGGCTTAGCAAGTTAGAGCTCAACGTAGACGTAGTACATATATGCACCATTCTCTCTTTCTCGTTCCCTCACCTGTGGCGACAAGGTCGGACTCAGAAATGGTTCACGTGACACTGCGCTACCCTCTGGCCACCAAAGCCAGTCCTGCAGCTTGGATCTTTCGAAGTGAGCGATTGCTGCTGGGGTAATTGTTACTATTTTATTTGTGGCCTGTGAGGGGCGATAGTCTTCTTGTAAGAGGCGCTGTATAACACACACTTATTCACCAGAACAATGTAGCCATTTTGCAGCCGACAAGCTATAATCATGTGCTGTATAAGCTGGGTAAGGTGCTTTCCGGCCACCCGTACTTTCCGGCCACCCAACCAAATGTGACTACCTCACTTTGAATCGCGATAACTTAACCACAACGCTTATAATTGGTATACTGTACACATAGAATCAAGAGTGCAGGCTGCTGCTTCCTTAGCTGCTTTCTCAGCTTCTTTTTCTAGGTTTTTGGCAGCGTTCTCTGCCTCTTGAGCAGCAGCCAGAGTCATCGCAGCCTTGATCGCTTCAACGTTTGCAAAGCGCTCATTTAGGTCAATTTAAACGCGCTTTCTTACCCGTGTAGTCTTAGTACTATCTAGTTAATATTTGAGTCGTTGATTCTCAGCCTCTAGCCTAGCAGCTCTAGCGTTGGTGATAGCAATTGCCTTAGCTGCTTTGGTGAGAACCTCCCGGGTGCTTCGCGAGAGGTTCTCTGATCCTAGCAGCGCCTGCTGCGCGCGCTTTAGCTGCTGAGAGCTCTTTGGTGTAGCAAGTACTGCCTTAAGAAGAGCTCTGCCTTGATCTGCTGGTGGTGGTGTACTTGGGCGCCCAGTGATCTAAGATGAGTTGAGTACTAGCTTTTTGTTGAACGGAACAAGGCCAGCAGCCTTCCAGCCAGCTCTTATTACTCCCCCCGAGAGCCCTTCCTCTCGTGCTAAGTTATATGAGGTTACAAAGCGCTCTTTCTTGACAGGTGCTGCGTCATCTAGCGCGGAGAGCGCTCTGATCGCATCCCGATAGCTTGACTTTACCACAGAGAATGGAGCAAGATCTAGAGGCTGAAGAAGGTGCGACGCGTGCGCAGGGAGGTAGAGAAGGTGTATCTTATTCTCCTTGCACTCCCACATAAAGTTGATAGGTGTGTGGGAGCCATGGCTATCAAGAATAAGCAGCTAGTAGCTACTGCCTGATGGTGAAGTATTTGGTACAAAAATACGCCTTAACCACTCAAGTCTAATAGCATTTGATGTCTAGCTATTTATTAAGGTTGTGTATAGCTAGTTAGGTGTGTTAACTAAGGGAAACCACGTTGATTAGAGGTGTACGCCTTTAAAGATGACAACGCACCATAGCTTCTTACCTACTGCGCTCACACACTCTAGTACGCTTACCCACTTGCTCAATTCTAGAGATTTATTGTAAGCCTTCTTCTTCCTCGCATCTGCAATAACCTGCTGGTTGGTACATACACCAAGTGCAACGCCAGTCTTATCAAAATTCCATACGTTCTTATAGGGTATACCTAGCATCTTTTGGGTGCGCTCAAACAGCTCCAGCCACTTGTTTATAGTGTTGTAATTGGCAGCAGTAGTACGCGCGCTCTCAATCTTCTTCCCTACTATAGAGGCGACGCGTGGATTGCGTGCAAGAAACTGAGGTATCCATCGCCTGCCAAGTGGGCGGGTGTCGCCATTCATACAGAGGATTCAGGTAGCCATCTCACGCACACGAGGGTGAGATGGAGGTTGTGCGCGTGAGTCCTCATCCAGAATCTACTGTACGAGAAATTCCTCTTGCTCCAGAGTCAATCGCTGTTGGTGGGAGTGAGCTATCGCGTGAGGTTTGCTGCCATTGAGGCGCTCTTGGAGCGACGATCGGGGAACGCCCCACTTCTTACACGCTGCGCGCTGGCTTTTTATAACACCAGAAATAACATCAGCGATAGCAAACTGTATAGCAGTCTCACGGGCATCCATTTTGAGCACGTGGTGGTGGGAAAAAAAGACGTTGATTAATGGTGACGCGAAGTGGTTGGGTGGCTGGAAAGTACGGGTGGCCGGAAAGCACCTTACCCAGCTTATACCATCTGTCAGGACCGGACTCCGCCCACTCGGCCATCCAAGCAGCAAAAGGTGTTCAATGCTCAAGTTCATAGTGAGAACCTGCGCGGAACAGTACAAATCGTTACTCGGGTCAGAGATGGCCTTGGCCACATGCCCGAGCGTGCATGATACCAGCTCTACAGCTGAGTCAATATCTAGCGGATTGATTGATTGATTGATTGATTGATTTATTAATTAATTAGTTTAACGTCCTGTGTAAGTCTAAGACTATATAGGACAAGAGCAGTAGGGCTACTCTAGTAATTTACAAATTTTTCTTTGTAAGGGAATAGTACATGTAGGTTTATAGATATATAGTAAGAGCCTGTGCTCTAGTTATAAATAGAGGAAATTAGCTGTCTGTTATCTACTATAGGTACTACTTGCGTGTGCCTACTCTAGTCTCTAAAATAAAAGCTAGTGTGGCTTAGATTCCTCTGTTGATTGATTGATTGATTGATTGATTAGTTTAATGTCCTGTGCGAGTCTATGACTATATAGGACAAGAGCAGTGAGGCTGCTCTATTAATTGACGAGTTGTTTCTGTGTAAGGGAATAGTACATGTGGATTTATAGACATATAGTAAGAGCCTGTGCTCTAGTTATAAACAAAGGAAATTAGTTGTCTGTTGGCTGCTATAGGTACTACTTGCGTGTGCCTACTCTAGTCTCTTAAATAAAAGCTAGTGTAGCTTAGATTTCCCTTTTTGTGTCTAGGAGAAGAGGGATTGTTAGCCTTGTCTCCTGTAGGCTGCTCTTTATTTTCTTTCTTGCTTCTCTGTAGTTTCTACAGCTAAGTAGTAGGTGCTAAGGTGTTTGTGTATATCTACAGCTGCATTTAGAGCTTTCTATTTTTTGTCTATTATATAGGTAACGTACCCCACGGGCGAGCGAGCCACTTTTGCCAAGCCCCTACCAAAGTACCCTTTCTATACCAATGTCTCAACAACAACCTATTATTAACGCGTCTTAAGAAGCTCAAATACAGCTTGCGCTTTAAGCTCTTAAACAAGACGCGAATCTCTCCCAGCAACGCGCTGCAGCTATCTATAAAGTGCCTTAAAGCACGCTAAGCCATCAACACACTAGACAACCTTCACAAGGCAATACTATGCCTAACTTACAAGGATTAGATAATAACAAGGAGAGGGTAATTGTTAAGCACATACTTGAGCTAGACGCGCGAGGATTTGGCCCCCAGCTTGCAGATGTGGCTGCTATGGCCAATTCTCTGCGCGCTGAGCGCAATCTGGGCCCTGTTGGCGTAAACTGGCCCAGTACGTTTGTTAAGCGTTAACTAGAGCTTAAAGTAAAGTTTAATCGCAAGTATGACTACAAGCGAGCCCTCTGCAAGGATTCAGGGGTTGTGCAGGGCTGGTTTAGCCTAGTAGCCAACATTAAAGCCAAGTATAGCATCTAGGATAACAATACCTACAACTCTAATAAGACAGGCTTTATAATAGGCCAGATCTCCTTAGGAGCAGTTGTTACAGCTTTAGAGAGACTAGGAAGGCCAAAAACAGTCCAGCTAGGCAACTAGGAGTGGACAACGGTCATACAGGGCATTAATGCAAAAGGATAGGCTATTCCGCCCTTTATTATCTTTAAGGCACGCCACCACCTCTCTAGCTAGTACAAGGAGGAAGACCTGCCCTAGGATTAGGTTATTAGAGTCTCTAGTAATAGCTAGACTACTAATAAGATTAGTCTTAAGTAGTTAAAGCACTTTAACGCGCATACAAAGGGGCGAACTATTGGTACCTACCAACTGCTAGTTATTAATGGCCACAAGAGCCATGACTTGCTCTAATTCTAGCAATACTGCAAGGATAACAAGATTGTTACTATATGTATGCCTCTGCACTTATCACACCTCCTACAGCCACTTGATATAGGTTGTTTTGCCCCTTTGAAGCTAGCGTATAGGCGCTAAGCTAAAATGCTCATGCGCAACTAGATTACCCACCTTACAAAGACTAAGTTCCTCCTATGCTTTAAAGCAGCCTATAATGTGGTGTTTACTCCTAGCAACATCTAAGGAGGGTTCTAAGGTGCTAGATTAGTCCCCTTTAACCTAGAACAGGTTATTTCAACCCTTAATGTGAAGCTATAGACTCTATTACTACTACTCCCCACTAACAGCAAGCCCTGGCAGTTGCAAACCCCTAGCAATACCCTAGAATTTAGGTTGCAATTAACTCTAATTTAAGAGAAGTATAAGAAGCAGTAGGGTAGC